AGCTCTTTCTGCATATGGGCAATGAGTCTGCATGCGATGACGAGCAGATGGCTTACGGACGGACAGACGAGGCAGGGAAGGGAAGATGCGAGGCTAGGACGGGATCGGCTTGGATCCATGAGTTGTGGAGGGAGGTTGACGATTGCCATCTTGCCATCTTACGCAGCGGCCAGGGTCTCTGCAACTGCAACCTCGCCGGGGATCCGGGCTGGATGGGACTTGAAAATGGGCCGCCATTCTGGAGATCGGAGGGGCAGCACACGGCAAGTGGGGTCCGGGAGCGGGAAGAGTCCGAGATGCGATGGGGATGTGTTGTGATACTACGGTGGCGTGTCGGTGTTGCTACTCAGATCCGGCAGCCGGTGAAGAAACCAAGAATAAACTGTAGATACCTAGCAAAGAATCGGCAATCCCCAAGTGAGACTCACGAGGCAAAATTAAAGTTGCGGCAAGCAATTTTTGACTACCTAAAAGAGTGTAATTCTTGCGAAGGAAGCTGCCAGGCACCCGAGCACAGACGTTGGGATCCACCAAGATGTCAGGACTCAAGGCAGGGGCCAGGGGCCTTGGCTCTCTCCACAAAATGGCAGGCCACAAAGGAACGGCGAGGAGAAATTGTTGTGGATGGGGATGAGCATGGAAATGGAGGGATTGAGTCTCCAGTCCCATGACGGCTGGACAGTACTTGATCCCTATCCATGATTCGCCGCGATCCTCCCGTACGATGCTGCGCATGAATTCAACCCGGTAACGGTAACCATCTCGTCGTTCACACAGCTGCCAATGCCGGGAGTACAACGCAAGCATTCGCAGGCGTGCCAAGACATCACCCCGCGTTGTTGTTGGAGGGTGAGCTTGAAAAGATCCGTTTCACAATGGCTGAGTCCCGCTATGAGATGCAGAGGGCTGACACATGTGTAGGCTTTCGGTCTAGTCTATCCTGACAGCCCAGAAGATACTCTGGACCTGATCAACCTAGAGACTACCGAACATTGTCTGGGATCTCTGGCAAACCGGCCTGCCAGCTCAGGTCCCTTTGCTGTCTGAGAGTCTCGTAGGGGTAATGTCCAGGTGCTGCTCCACCATGGAAGCGGAGATCAAGACTTGTGTTGCATTGAGCAGCAGGACCCCGCGGCTTTGCAACTGTGATGGGGTGCAGCGGCGCATTCTGTCCCCGCTCATGCATACAGCCAGACTGCCTCGAGACTTTGGGGAGCCATCTCGGGAATGGTAGCGAAGGATTGGATCACATCCCGTGATGGTGGACGCTGGAGGACACAAAATCCCACCCCAGAACATTGTTAAAGGTCATGACGGCCCCGGGAGCGTCAGCCTTCCCGATGGCAGGGGCGAATCGGATAGACATCCACCGAACGGCGTTGATGGCTGTTCATCAGCCAACTGGCGTTCATGGAGGGGCATTGTCCGCATATCGCCCTCGCCAACCGCAGAGAGCCCTCCATACTCGTTCAAACCATCAACTGTCTGAGGGCTGATCTTGGCTGCATCTTGTGTTTCCCACGACCGACCTAGCTCGCTGCACGTCGCGGCTGTCAAGAGAAGGATATGCACGAGCGGGTTGGCAAACTCATTGACGGATTGGCTATCTTGCAAAGCCATCGAGAATGATCAAAGCGGAGAGACAGACGCAACCACGGTTGTCATCCCTTCGACATTTGGGACTGAGATGGCAGCGTCTGATCCTGCCGCCTGTCATCGCTTGTGAGAATATCCGTCGAAGTTGGGCTAAAGCTCGCTACGGAGTAATCAACAGGCAGCAAATCGACGCCAGCCGAAATAGCCAGACGACGTGTTGAAAAGATAACATCTTGGCGAGCATGCGGACGGAGAAATCCGCGGGGCACACGACCAAGACAGATTCTGCCAACCACTCCGTGCTGAACTATGGGCAACCCTCCTCAACCCCACATTTGTCCCATTAGCTTGGTACGCTGCCCGAGCCAATCAGCCTCGACGACGTCCTACACATTCCTCCGAGGCCAGCCTCTCTTCCTTCGATGTGCCTTCGACAGGGATACCTCAGGCCATAGCGTTCGCGGTACACAAGGAGTGGATGACCCAACAGTTTATGTGTTCATCGGAGTGAATATCAGGTCCACACTGAGCCATGCTGGTACTATACAGACAGACCATCACAACATTATCGTGGCATCTTTGAGTGGTAGAGACGTCTTGAAGCACTTTTCTTACGTTGATCAACTGTAACAGCCGAGCACCCAAGTATGTATACACAGTACCCTCGTCCGGCAAGACAACTGAGCTAGGTAAGTAAGCAGTGTCTTCCTCTTCCCATATTGCATGCATTATTACCATGATATATAGCCTTTAGCAGAGGGAAGCAGCGGGCATCCCGTCCGGGAATCTGCGGCGCTTGCTCCTTCTCTCTTCTGCTCTACAGGACATGATTCCGTGAGTCAGTCACGCACGTTCTGGCCGCTGACCCGGCCATGGCATTTACCGCACTAGCAGCCACAGACCTTCTGCTCACTGCGGAGCGCCCAGCTCCCAGCTTCCAAGACGGACTGTGGTGTGGCCGTGACGGTCGTGATGAGCTGCAGACTCTCTTTGCTGCTAGCAGTCCATGGGAAAGAATCGTTGTAGCCAGCTCGGCTCTGAGGAGACAGCCCAAAGTTCAATCCGATCAAGTATTCTAGCCTCGCTGTCAAACAAGGCTGTGGTGGTCCCCAGAAACCCTCCATTTTTCCCAGCTTTGGTTGGCGAAAGTCAGCCTTTCCGCAGGAGTCCTCTGCAAAAGCTCCGAACTCGAACGTCAGCCTCAACAATTTTGGGCCAAGTAGCACGCCGATTGGACAATAGGCCCCGGTCGAACAAGGTACTCTTTACCCTGGCCTGGCCTGCTGTTGAAGGCGAGAGAGGCAACGGAGCGAATCATAGGTGACGTTTCTTTCGGCTGCCCGCCCGAACTTTGGTATCATGAATATCAGCATCAACCCCCGGCTAGCATACTCTCATTTCAAGGTTGTGTTTATGTAAGGATTTCTCCTTCCAATAAACCTCGTTGTTTCTTTCACCCTAGACACGATGTGACACTGTGTTGTGGTGTCGCGCAGGGGTGCAGCATGCTGGATTTAGCTGCAGGCGGTTGCAGCGTCTTGTTGGCCGCTAACAAAAGGCAAGAGCTTTCTTTCTGTCGGAGTGAAAGGGGCGTGGTGAGAGGTTGATGGTTCACCACCAATTGTCCCTGGTCCCCTGTCGGTCACCCGGCTTGCTTGCTGCCCCAGGCTCCAGAAAATGGGAGGTCCTGTCCAGGGTGCGGTGCCGAGAATGCGACGCTAGACTGGCGCTGGAATAGCGGCACGCAGTAAGCAGGGCATCGCTGTTTTCGTCACTGTTAGGTAGTTTTGTGTGTGCAGGCACTAGAAATTTTTTTTCTCCTGGTGGGAAGGTGATGAAGGACAATCAATGCTGAGGTTTGAGGTGCAATGTGGTCTCGAGGTGTTGGCGATGATCAACATGAGACCCGTCCGTAGGAGACTTTCCTACGTCCTAGTCTCCCGCCCCGTCAAACAGCATTGCAACGCAGAGGCGTATGTTACGTCTTAGGCGCGAATCTTACGTCGGCATAATTACAGCTTACAGATCGTAAGTTATCTCTCTAACGGTGAGCAACACCCTTCATGATTGGAGCTGAGCCCCTGCTGGCGAACGTGGGTTTCCCGGCAGGCAAACGGCAGATGGACAAGGGCTTCAGATGAACTTCGTGCCGTCCCTTGCTCCACCCGCAGACGACAGGGTTGTGGGTCATGATTGCGGAGGCGGCCTGTCAGAAGCCTGGCTATTTAGCAATCAGTGGGCGGCAGCGAGCCAGGACTCCGCGGTGCAGCCATGTGGGCCGTTGATTTGCGGTGCAGCAGAAGGCACTGCTGGCTTTTTGTTTTGATGCATAAGAGCGAACGGAAGTCTCACCGTTCGTTCGTTCGTTCGTTTGTCTCATTCGTTTGTATTCTGTTTCTTGGGTTCAATCGTTGAGAAAACGGTGTGGTGCTTGCAAGGTGGGCCGGCGCTTTACGCTGGTCGCAGGTGTGGTCACACAACACGGTGGTCCAGTGGACGACCTCCCACAAAAAGTCCACTTTCCTGCCTACCGCCGCCTGTGCCATCAGGCCTGGCCCCATATCAACACCAAATCTCTGGTCTAATCCGACTAGCCCATGCAATCGTTGATGATGATGAATAGTGGGTGGATTCCATGCTGATCAATGATCGATGGCAGCGCTCCGAGTGGTTGAATAAAACCAGAAGTTGCAAGTGGATGGAGCCCGGGAACTTGATGGACCTCGGTTAATAAACCCGGGAGCTTGTCGGTTTGATTTTGAAGCTCTCAGCAACCGTCGTTGTTCCTCTTGCACTCTGTAGGCTGCAATCATTCCAATGTAGGTCGCTGCGTTCACTGCACTGCAGTTGGGAATATAATATTTCTTTATCGATACATGTGAAAAGTAAATTTCGCTGCGCACAGAAAGCATAGTTTGAGATGTTCAGAGTGTTGTTGTTCTCAATGTTTTCCTGCTGATTGCCCATAGCTTCATAACAAAAATGGCTTCGAGTGAACCAACTCTTGTTGCAAACCTCCCTGAGAGCCTCAATAACCAGGCAGTGTGTGTCAATTATGGCTATTCTTTGAATAAAGAGAATATCCCACAACCCCGCCTTCTTTCACTCTTTGCACAGTAGGTCACTTCTCCCAAGACCTTTCCCTGCGAATTCGTATTCTCCCGTTCTCATTTTTTTTCCCATACAAGAAACCACACCAACTCATCCCTCTACAAACGCGAAATCCCCCCTTGTTTACTTCCATACAGCTGCTACGAGGTATTGACGACAATACTACAGGAGCTCGTTTCTTCCTCTCTGGACCCCTAACCAGTTTCGTGGAACTGGAATTTCGACGGGAGCCATCGTGCTCTTGACAGGCGAGTTCTCGCATGCCACCTTAAATTTCTTCTCACCGACCAACAATGGCGACTCAGAAGATGGATTCCGCTATGGTCAAAGTTCTCGGTCAAAAGTATTGGAACCATTTTGCGATCCAGCTCGGTCACTGGAATCCGATGAAGGTCGTCATCATGAGCGAGGAAACATTCAGTAACATGTCCTGGCCCGTTAAGATTGAGCTTGCCCGCGAAATGGGGTAAGTTCAAGTTCTTCAGCAATTACATCCGGATTTGTGGCATGTATTACAATAGTCAACTGACCTGTATCAGCAAATATCTGAACGAAGAGGTCATGTATTGCCAAGATGCTGAGAATGCAAGCGTCTGGATTCTTGGTCCGAAGAAGGTTCTTGCTCCGAGCGTCCTGGTTATCAACAGCATTCCCATCTGGGACCCCAAGAAAAAGCATGCTCGTGTGCCAGCCAAGATCCCTCGTCCGCCCAATGCCTATATTCTATATCGTAGAGACAAGCACAACCAAGTCAAGGCGGAGCACCCGGGCTTGCATAACAACGAAATCTGTAAGCATTGATCTCGTTGTTTTCTGCCCTTATGTGTATATTATTTGGCTAACATTTTGGAGCTGTCATCACTGGCGCCATGTGGAAGGGTGAATCACCTGAGGTTCGAGCTCTCTATCACCAGAAGGCTGAGGAGCTCAAGCAACAACTGCTCGATAACCACCCTGAGTACCGCTATTCCCCTCGCAAGCCATCTGAGATTCGTCGTCGTGCGCGTCGTGCTCAGTCTTCCCAGAACACTTCCCTGAAGTCCAACCTGAAGAACATGCAAGCTGCGTTCTCTCCTATTAGCGAGATCACTCGTCAGATCCCCCAGGCGTCTAAGTTCCTTCCTCCTTTCGCGAATGCGAGCTGGACTCCTTACCATCTATTGTCCGGCTCTGATGGCCCTTCTATTACTGAAGAGCAGAATGCTACATCCGCTGAAGGCACTGCCGTCATGCAGGACGACCTGGGTCAGAACGCCACATCCATCCAGGAACTTGGTTATGCTCAGGATGTTGCTTTAACTCAGCACAATGCTCATTTCCCGGCCACCACCGTTACTGTCACTGACCACGAGCTGACAGACGAGTCCCCCCAGGACTTTTCAGGCCCCTGGAGTCATGACGACTCACTTTCACACGTTAACTATCACTTGTGAGTTAACCAGCCTTGGTGACTTATCGCAGCTCAACGAGCGTCGCAATTATGTCGCCGAGAACATTGCTCAAAACGTTCATAACCAACAAGCAAAGGTATGTAGTTCATGTCGTACTCTCCGGTCTAAGTTCAGACAACTCATTGACACCTACCGCAGAGAGATTGTCAATTATTGAAGGTGTGGGCATAACAGACGGGTGAAAGCTGCAACCAGCGTAGCAACCCGTCACACACTGTTAGCTAAATAAGATACTTGGGATGGGGGAAGTGATTGTGCTTCCCGTTCACCTCTGGAGGACGGCGTTAGTGGTGGGACTATGGGCGGCGACTCGGTACAGAAGACGGACTAGACTAAACGGATACGCTGGCAGTCGACTTGAAGATGACGGGACACAAGCTTCAGTTGAGTAAGTATAGTTGTCGACCAAGTTCTACCTAATCTAAGGTACTGGGTCGTGCCCACGGCGGCGGGCATAGGTTATCTGAGGTACATTGCGCTGGGGAAGAGCTTGGCAGAAAGCCCGCGCGGAGGGTTCGCCGCTGGCCCAAGCGGGAACGCAGTGGGTCAATGGTCAGAGACCACACGGTGAAGGTATTGGTCTCAGGGACCTTGGTTAGTACTTTTGTTGCAAAGAGGGGGGAGCCGGCTTCAGTCGAGCATTACTAAGCAGCCGAGAGGGAGTTACTTCGCTGCTTTTCGGACGTAGTCTCCACCCATTACAGCTCCGTTACGGTATCTTACGTTACAACAAGGTTACATCGAACGCTGCTGATGCATGCATCAAGAGGGGCCGAGAGAGCAGCATGGAAAGATGGAAGAAGACCGGACCGAACAGACCACCTGTTGCAGAGAGACGGGCCAAACGGATGATCCCTATGCACGTAGCGAAGCGAAGCTGCTGACTTTTGCTGCGGCGACGTCGGGTCGCTTCGACACCTCGCAGCAGGTCGCAGTGCAGCAGCGCCAGGACATCGAACACAGCACCGCAGCACCAAACCAAGCATGATGACGGGATAAACGGACTGGATCGCTGGGCCGGTGCTAGGTTCTGGTGCGCTCCACGCCCTCACCCTTCATTAACCTTTGTTATTATTAACACCAGGCGGTGCCCTGCATGGAGACACTAATGTAGCTCCTCTTCTTTTCTTCTCTCTCGCTCCTTTTCTCTCTGTCCCGCTGGCCGTCTGTCCATCCACCCGTCCTCACCTTGTTCTTGTCACCTCGCCTTGCACACTCGGCCTCACGCAGCCGTGCTTATTGTACACACTTTCGGATGCCAATCCCGTCGAATGGACATTGTGTGTGTTGCTTGATGGTGTTAGTATTTTGGCATTAGCTATTTTTTTACTAGCTCTGTAATACTTCTTTTACATTATATTCCCAGGTCTACGGATCACACTCTTCCCCGTATACCGACACGCCAACAGCAACACCAACACAATATCCCCTGGATCCCTGGCCGGCTAGGGGCATATAGCATTCCGGTACGGTACATAATAGCCGATCGATTGACCAACCGACCGATAGACCGACCGACTGAGACCTCTGCAAGCCAGCCAGAACGCTTGCGGAACGGCAGACGGACGGAAGCAGCGGCAGGTGCAGCAGCAGACAAAAGCAAATCACTGTTTTTTTTTCTTTCGGCGCTACGCTAGGCTACACGTTGGAAGGTTCAAGCAAGTCTCCACTTAGTTTGGTTCGGGTCCATCCCTAGGCCCTGGCTTGGTTGCGTTGCCCGCCTCCCGCCCGTCCACTTCGGCCCTTGGTAAACCCAAAAAGTTGGGGGTCTTTGGGCTTGTCTCACAAGCTACGGATACACACTAGCAAAAGATTACGGGGCTGCGTCCGGTGAAATCGGGTGCAAGCCGGAGCGAACGGGGTCAGAGATAAAAAAGTGCCGACGGCGCCAAACGCTTGTGGTCGGGTCTGTTTGACCTTTTCGTTTGTTCTGCTCCTTTCTCCCTCCTGCTATTCCCTATCAATACCGTTCGTCCCCCCTTGGTGTTGAGCGATCGAATCTCTTAAGACGTCGTCTCTGAGTTGTGTGCCGACCTCTGTCGTCGATTGCGGTGTTGTTTGAGACAACGATACGATATCCCGTCCACGATCGGAACACGCTAGCCGGTGCTATTTGCTTGCCTGCTGCCAGCTGTTGAGCTTTATCAGTGCATCGCTGACACATGCACTGGGTACATCGCCAGGCAGAAGTTTGGTTGGATTTGGGGTCAACACGGCAGCTCTAGGACTTTACCAGTAGAACAGCACGAACAGAGCGACGGCGAGAAGACCGATCATTGCGACGCGACGAGCAAAGTAGTGTCCCCAGTCCCGCGATTGCGTAGACGAGAGGACGCTGCCGAATTGATCAAAAGAAACGAGTGTGGCCGAAAGATTGTAGCCGATACAAACACAAACCACATCCATGTTCCAAGAACCAACGCAGTACTTGCCGGTTTCGGGGTACGCGCTCCCGAACAGCCTGCCACAATACAATTTTGGCGACCCCCTCAGATTAAGCAATCAGCATCACTACTCCGACCACCACACAAGTCACAGTCACAGTCACGGGTCCGTAGCGGGCGTTTTACCATCAACCAGCGGCGTTGGCGTGAGCAGTGTGAGCGTGAGCAGTGCGGCAGCAAACGCAGCAGCATTGTTATACAGCGCCAATCCCATTCTTGCAGCCCCAGACAGCAGTTCAGTCAGCACTGCGGCAGCTGCACCACCACCGCCAATCGGCCCCGCACCTTCTGCAGCCCCTTCTCCACAACCACAACTGGAACCCGTTGCTGCTGCCGTTCACCAGCCTGTCTCCCAGATCCCTGTTTCTGCGCCTGCCAGCACCTTCCCTTTTGTGCCTTCGCAATCAGCGACTGCGGGAACGACGACTACCATAGTGACGACGACTGCGCCACCGCCGACGACGGCCGCTTCAGCGCATCATACTCATACTCACACTCATACCCAAGCTGGCCCATCATTAGCTTTCTCACAGATGGATCCCGATCCGCATAGTGTTGCGGCCCAGGAGGCGGCCGCGAGGGAGTACCAGCCACAACATGAGGTGTGTGAATTCCATGAGGAGTTTTTGTTGTTGTTGTTGTTGTTGTTGTTGTTGTTGTTGTTTTGTTTTTGAGTTGGATCTGACAGGACTTGTGCAGGGCCCGCTTGTGGGCGAAAAGACGCCCAGCACCAAGATCACCGAGGAGTATGCCAAGGCAGACCCTACTTATGTGCAGAAGACGATGGTGCGTCCATGGCAACAATGCTTTGAAGTATTGCCCAATGCTGATGAGACCAGGTCCTGCCCCAGACGTACTCGCACTACCGGCCTATCCGGGGTGATGGGAACTGTGGTTGGCGAGGTAAGTTAATAATTAACCCCTCTAAGGAGTCGTACGAGTAGAGTAACTGATAAATTCAGCTATCGCCTTTGGCTACTTTGAGACACTAGTAAAGAAGCGTTCCAAGGATACCATCCTGACCGAGCGGGCCCGCCTCGAGAGCCTCTACACCTACATCGAGGTCTATGGTGGCCAGCCGCGGATGGTGTTCGAGGACTTGGCCCAAACCACCCTCGACCTGCTCGACACCATGGCCCAGTTGAGCGATAACGTCCACCAAGCCCTCGCTAAGCTGCTCGAGGAATTCAATAATGAGCATATCTGCAACGCCATCATGTTCCACTTCCGTCTACTCGCCAGCTCTTACCTGAAGGAGCATCGTGACCAGTATGGTCCGTTCCTCGAAAACGCCGATGTGGACCGGTACTGCCAGACTGTCCTGGAGCCCCACGGCATCGAGATCGAGCACCTCGGTTTGATCCTGCTTACCGAGATCCTGCTAAAGCCAGCCGGCTTCGTCCTCGAGGTGGCCTATCTCGACCGCAGCCCCGGCTCGCAGGTGAACACGTACCGCTTCCCCGAGGAGGCCAACAGCAAGTTGCCGTCGCAGCTTGGCCCCACTATCTACCTGCTCTACCGTCCCGGCCACTATGACCTCCTCTACGTGCCCGAGCCCGAGCCCGTCAACATCCAGGTCCACCGCGTGTCTGGCTTCTCACAGGGCTTCCAGATCGCCGCGACGCCCGTCGCTTCCTACGGCTTCGGTCTCGGCGGCGGCGGCTTGGGCGCTCTCACCATGATCCCTGGTTTCAGTGGCTCATCAGCCTTCGGCTCCGACCTCTTCGGCGCCCCGCCCTCCTCGCCCCTCGGTACATTCACCCCCGCCCCGCCGCCCCTCTCCCTGTGGAACTCGATACCTTCCCATCCTCCATTCGCCAGCACCCTTCAGCAAGCCGCTCCCCCACCGCCGCCTCCTCAGCCCCAACCCACGCCGATACATCACATCCCCTCAGCGCCGGCCCCGACACCCGCAACGCCTGCCCCTCCCCCGCCAGCGCCGACAGCCACAACCGCGCAGACAAACAACCCGGTCCGTTTCAGCGAGTACTGCAAGCTGCAGAAGTATGTCGAAAATCCCACATGGAAGGAGCAGCAGACGCTGCAGACGAGTACATTCAAAATAGTCATTATAACACTGCGCACTTTAATAATCCGAATTTTCAGCCGGAGGAGTATAAACCGGGGGAGGAGCACGAGAGGGAGGGGAGGAGGAGACGGAGGAAGGATATTGGAGATAAGGATAAGGGGGACAGAGGGGACACATGAAGAACGGGAAGAAAGGGGAAAGATCAACAGAGAAGGAAGAAATTGTAACAACATGGCGTTTTGGCTGTCAGATGGAGGGTTTAATTGGGTTACTGCTACTATTACTACTACTACTGCGGCTGCTACTGCTACTATTTGTCTGCTTGTTTTGCCTACTACGTATGGAATGGCGAAGGGGATTTACAACATTAACACTACTTTCACTGCTATGCTTTTTGACCTTGGGGAGAGAGGGAGATGAAAGGTTTTTGCTGTAAGGCTTGCCGAAGGAGGTAAAAAGGAAAGCAATCATGCGCGTACGGAGGCACACACAGCACTCATACTCATAGTATGTATGTATGGAGAATATGGTAAAATAATGAAGCATGCACTTTATGGTTAGAATTACTTGGTTTTCGCTACTGTGGGATGCGTGATGAATGCTCTCAATCTTTTTTTTTTTTTTTTTCACAATCTAATGTAGGTTATGGGAGAACGAAATATGAGCATAGTTCTGCTTCGGCCACGACTCAACTAGGGTGAGTTTACCATTCCTGAAGTCTTCAAGAAGTAGCTTGGGTTTTGTTTTAGCTTTTTTTTCTTTCTCCTCCAAACTCGTAAATAGCATGTTTGGCACTGCTTTCTTCAAATGGACCTCAATGGGTTGGTGTGAACGTAGGAGGTTGGGTGAGAATCGGGAATTGTAAGCTGTGCTTTATTTTGTAGTATCCTTACGTACCTGCTGCTATCTTTGACTTGTTTTCTGGACTTGTCATTTCAACTTTTCCACACCCCGAAGGGATTGTCATTGTTTCGGAGCTGTTGAGGAAATTGACATTATTACTCAACGACTTGCTTGTCACGGTGTCTGGGATCAAGTGGTGACAGAAGCTCGACCAGACAAAAGCGAGTCTTGCATATGGGATACCAAAGTTTCCCTTTGGTCGTAGATGGGCTTGGTCTCAAACTAGATGTGGCAAATTCCATACGATCTGTCGGTGATTCAAGCCTGGGGGATGGTTGGTGCTGGAGATATGACAAGGTGTGGTGATGCTGTCTCTTGTCACAGTCAGGCGACACAATAGGAGCGGCCTGAGATTGTCATCTTGTACGACGGTTTTGGGGCAGAGATGGGGCTGTTGTGTCTTTTTGGACTGGATGTGTCATGCTTCTTGGGTCAGGAGATGTGTTATCCAGAGATATTTGGAGAACCAAAGGCTTCTGGTTGATGATCAGACCGAAAGTTGTAGCCAATAAAACGGATGACGTGGATTAATGGTATACATGTATTCAATGTTTGGTTTGTCCCTTGGGGTCAGCCAGCCGGGAATACAGGTCTGTTGTTCCTAGAAAAAAAGTGCGCATTCATGATTGTCACTACGTTTATATGTCGACTGAAAGGAGGTAAAATAGGTATGAACTTACTGCTTTGGCTGGCGTGTTCATCGCTTGGCAGCGACCAGGAATTAATTGACCTCCACGCCATCTGTTGATATATTGCTTTAAGTGGCAAAGAGGACACCAGTAGTAACTGCAATCCTTCCTATCAGACTGCTACGTTGCCCTTCAAAGCCCTGGCTCCGCTTGACAACCTCCGATACGACTTATGGCCTTTCTCCTCCTCCAGTGGTGTAGTGTAACACCTTCAATTTGTCATTCCTCCATCTGTAACCCCCCCAAGTGATTTGTCAAGCCGAGCACCCGTCCAGCACAACGCATTATTGTTGTGCAGCACCCTGAAACATGCGTCATGTAGGATCTGGTCGTGCAGGGTGAGAATGCTGTGTACCTCAGACAGAGATGCTTTGAAAGACAGGAGTGGCGGAGTTTGTGGAGATAGGGCCTGGCTTTAACATGTTTGGATGCAAGGCTTCTGGAGGAGGGGCAGAGGGGTGGATGGTTGGCTAAGGGGATGTTGCGTTGTGTGACCTTGGCAGGAGGGGGAAAAATGGAGAGGTTGAGGATGGGTTTTGGCTTTTGTGCATGAACAATCCCATGAATACAGGACTTCGGTATCAGGTTTTTGAAGCATAGTTAGTAGAGAGTTGAGCTGTTTGAAAGTTAAGGGCCCATCGAGCGTGCGCCCAGGTGCTGGTGAAACATACATAGAACGTGTCTATCCCAGCTGGATGGTTTGAGACTAGCAAAGCAAACCAATTCCACAGCAGCAAGTCATATCATGTACCATTTTGCTAAAGACCAATTCGGAGAAATACCACACTTAGCGTCCTAATTTTGATTTGGACATAGGATATAAGAGAGTTCTGCTAGTTGACCCTTGCCCACTTACTGCGTTCTTGGTTAGCGTTGAGGGTCCAAAATTGACCCACTGCATGGTCAAGAAAAACCGAGGGCATAAACATGGACAAATAAGAGTAAATATATATATATATACATGCGCGTCTATGTATAGATGGGAATATCAAGTCTATTTTATCCTTGGCACCCAACACCAACATTTCATATCCCACCTAAATCACGATGCCTCCCATATATGTACCGTATCCTGAGTCATGATACACATCAGATCAGCCTGCCTAGTTATACATAACTTTCGGCGTCCTAGGCGCCTCATCCGGCAGCCACCCTCTCCCTAAATAAATCCCTTCAAACCTTGTCACGTACCTCCTCTCCCGTTCAACCATCTCCTTAACTTTCTCCTCATCCCATCCCTCCTCGCCCATCCCCTCAACCGGCACAGCCCCCATCCAGTCCCCCTTCTCTAGCTTCTCCTCAGCCTCGCCCACTAAAAACCCTAACATCCGTACGACTTCTTGCATGTCGACTGTTTCCACGTTAATATCGGGCAGCCCAATCCGCATAGCGAACTCATCGCACCACGCGATAGCGACGTTGCGTTCGGCGTGGTCGGCGGCGGTGTCATAACCCCCCTTCAACAACCCGGCGCGGATGGTGTCCGGCGGGTAGAGCGTTCCCCGGAGAGAGGTGACGGCTTTGTTTTCGAGTCCGCAGGGAGTGAAGCGGGACCAGGGGTCATAAAGCAGGTTCAGGTCGACCGGTTGGTCTGACGGAGGATGCTGGTTCAGAGTGGTGCGCAAGTGCCGCGAGATATCTCGCGCCGACCAGAACCGGACGTTGAGGGCTGTACCCAGGCCGGTGACATTCCGTCGGAGGTGGACTCCTAAGGCAGCGATTTTTGCTAGTTCCGGGCGAGAACCGTCCACGCGAGGTCTGCCGGAGACGAAGCGAGGAGACTTAACCCACACCCCGGGGTCTTCGGTCGTGATGGCTTCTACATCCCACAGCTTCTTGAGCAGCCCGATCGTGGTGTTTTCTAAGAGTCGGGCGTAGCACCGCACAGTGAAGTGGCTGTGTCCAGGCCCCTTGAGATCCATCACCGGCCAGAGCACGATCTGTCCTGGTCCGTGGTACGTCATGAGCCCGCCGCGGGGCACGCGCACGATGTCTGGGACCTCCCAGGCTGGATTCCCATGCTGTTTTGGATTAACCGTCCATGGAGGGCAGAATAGGGGCTGCTTAAGTCTCTGGACTTCGTCCAAGGATAACGGCGTGTCGTGTTGTCTCCTGCCGAGTGTATACACCGGCCTTGGGGTAAAGGAAATCACCGTTGGCGGCGGGGGAGGTGGTTTGCCATGCACCTCAGGCCAAGGTTTTGGCTTTGGCTTTAGACGCTCTGCTTTCTGTTGTGCTTTTAACCGGTATTCCTCTTCGGCGGACGTGATGAGCTGCTCCCAGGCGGGAGCAGATTCGGGGGTGAGGCCGTCTGGGGGCGGGGGCAGGGAGACTTCTTCGGATTCGGGGCTAGGATCCGGAGGAGGGGCTGGTTTGGATGGGGCCACAGAGGGGATGTCTTTCCAGTCGAGGAGGGCCCGGCGCAGGTAGGATTGCACGCGGCAGGCTAGGGAGTAGGGCGGCCAGTGGGAGTAGCGAGAGGGGAGGTGGATGTGGCGGAGGCGCATTTTGAGTTGTGGGTGGGTGAGAGTGAGTGAGGATGGGAATAGGATGGGGATGAGGGGTGATGACGTCGCTGGTTACGTCGCCGGCAGTCGGCAGTTTGACCGAATGCCGCTGCGATTCAAAACAATCTTCCAAGTCACACAATGCTGTTCCTCCTGTCGTTCTTTACTTCACCTCGGGTATGTCATCCGTCATCCGTTCCCGTCTATGCTGTGTGCTGCAGCGAGTGGATAAGCCTTCACAACGGCGCTGTTTCCGTTTCAATCTGGCCACTGAGACACCAAACTCTTCTTGTCAAACGCGCACTCTCTTTTTTTGCGCGCAGTGGAGTCCTCTCTCGTCCGTCACCGGCAGCCGAGACGCATCCAGCTGCAGCCGTAGGGCAGGATAGAGCTCAAACTCAGTCGTTGCCGCGTTCTGATTTTTCGCCCCCTTCTGGCTAGGGCTCCCTGTCTAGTCCTTGTAAAGCCAGCAGCAGGATTGTGCGGCTACCGGTCAGCGTTTTTGGGTTGTGAGGCTGCAATTTTAGCGTGCCCTTTAGTGCCTCTTAGCAGTGGGACCCGCAGCGGCTTGAGCCGCTAGCTCGGGCCAGGTTAGCGTGTGGCACACTGGTCTTGGCGTGGGTAGGGGGTTCAGCCGTCAGAGGGTGGGGGCCAAGTTCAGGGCATTGCTCCGTATTCATCGATGTGTTATGGAGAGCAGGTATCCTTCATACCTAGCGTGTTATAAGCAACATCCAACAATCAAGTTTGAAATGGAGGGTCCCCGAGATAGGGATAACTAAACGGAAGAAAAAAAAGCGAACCAGACAACTATACAATAACATGAAGGTAAGTGTAGTTCGGATGCCCAACTCCTCCAACGTTCTATCTCCCGAGCCATCTTTTATTATCTCCAGGTCCGCTGCTATTAGATAGGAGTCCAGTGATACGGTTCTAAACATATACCCCGTATTACAGATACCAACACTACTGTGTAGATATTTCAAAACGACGAGTTCTTCACCGCTTTGTGACTAGTAGCTTAGTGGCGAATTCCAATCACTAAACTCTCCCCACCCGGAACCAAAACTCCGGAACCGGAAGACCGCAAGACCGTCCAAAATGAGGTTTAGCCTCGAGCGTGGAATTTTGAATACCATTAGCTATGCAATTTACCTCCCGTTGCCACAGACGGCATAGGACTGTATGTCCTACCACCATTCTGTCACGAGGATCCTCTGCGTGCGTGAGCCTAGTGCATGGGATTGTCGTATGTTTGCTGCTAGCCGGGGGCTTGGGATTATGCCGGTTGACATCAGCAGTGATAGGCAGCGGATTTCCAGTTGGAACTGTTTGATCGAGAAGCATAAGTCTTAGCTGAGTGTTGGCCTCAGGTTGACGTTCCCTCTTCTGATGGCACGCTTTTAAGATTTTGGGATTTAGTTGTCTATGTCTTGTTAGCATTGTATAAGCACCTGTTGAACACATTAAGGAGCAACTTCAGTCGGAGAGGCCCGGCTCATAGAAGCAAACTGCTTCTGCCAATTGGTAAGTGGAGACTGATAATAGTTTAACCCCGAAGATATATGTATGCCCTGTATGAGCCAGGCCGAAATCTCGAGACAGATATGATGGCTCCATGAAGTGATGTGTGAAACTGAGCCAGAGTTTTCCGTTCATCCTACAAAGGTATCAAACTAGCTGCCCATACCATCCAACATTGATACAAGTCCAGTCAACCTACTCTTACAACAAATAACCCACGTGAGATAACCATATAGTACACGCTTGCTTGCTTGCAAATGTCGACCCAACCTTCTTATCCCGGACTTACTCCTCTTCTTCCCCTTTTCCCCCCAACCCCCTACTCCTTCTTATCGATATTCAACCTCCTCGCTGCCTCCTCCAACTCCCTCAAATCCGCATCATCATCCTCCCCCATCTCCCTTCTCAACTCCTCCCTAAACTCCCTCCTGACCTCCTCCGCATCCACAACTCCCGCATCCTCATACCCGGCCTCTCCAAGCCGCTCCATCACCTCCTCAATCCGCATCTTCACCAGTTTCTTTTTCCCACCCTTCTTATCTATGTAGTCTTCAACGGCGCCCGTAGCATCCGACCCGTCGCTTGCAAACCTCGCCCCGAGCACGCCTAGCTTCGGGTGCACATTAACATGCACCGTCCTCGGGTTCTTGCGCTGCGGTTCCTGCTTATTCTTCCCCTTTCTCTCCCCCTCCACGACGCCTCTCCCGACCCGAGCAGTCCTAATCGTCCTTGTCTTGGCCCCCAAAGCCCATAAATCCCCCCACGCAGCTTTCCGCGCATCATGGTAGGCTTGTTTGCTAAACGAGCGCGGGACGACCCATCTCTCTAACGTCCCCGCGGGTGTGCACAGATCGAGGGTAACATGCCCCTTTTTCTTGATTGGCGGTAAGATATTCCGTGGTAGACTCAGCGGGTGCGGTACTGTCGTCTCCTCCTTCTCGCTCTGCTCGCGTCCGTTTCCGTACCCAACAAAGGCGCGGTTGTTGGCCTCCTGCCCTGTTAAGAGGACCGCCCCGGACGGGGCGAGGGTTTCCCCTTGTATATCACGCACGCCACGACGGATGGCTAGGTACGAAAACTCAATGTCGTCGTGGGACTTGTGCGTCGCGCCAAGGACCTTTTGCAGGAAGGGTGGACGCAGGTAGCGCTGGGTGAAGTGGCAGAAGTCCTTGCGGCCCTGCGAGAGACCAGGGGTGAGGTACATCGGGCATTTGTGGTGGTGCGTGCAGGGGGCGATAATCATTCCCGGCTCACGCGGGCGAGACTCTGACTCGTCACCGTTGGGTATGAAATCTGCCTCACGGGGGTGTTGATGCGGCGGGAGGATGTACTTGTCTAAAAGCTGGTCGCGAACGGAAGCGACGGCCTCAAAACCCCGCGGGTGGCCTTTCTCGAGTACAATGAGCACGCCCCCTTTCGGTTCGAGCATCGTCCAAAGGTTGTCGATGAACTCGCGGCGCTTGTGCTCTTTGTCAATTGGCATGAGCATGTGTGACACAATGATGATGTCGAACACCTTATGCGGCTGCGGCTTGCCGCCGGAATCAAGCTCCTCCTGGGCGCGCATGACTGAATGTAAATAGTCGGGCAGACGCGGGAGGAATGTGGTATTATCCAGGAAGCGGGAAACTCGATGACGCAGGTTTTCATTGCCGATGACGACAGTCTTCTTGCCGGGGGGGCCGTAACGACGCGGCGAGACTTTGCCCTCCTCGCGGAGGACCTCCCATTCGGCGCGGAGCACATCTTCCCAGGCGAGGAGACCGGCTCCGCCGGCGCCGGCGTCTAGAATGCGCGGGCCGTCTTTGCGGAGGAGCATGTCTCTCAGCCATTTGCTGCCTAACCGCTTACGGACTTCGACAAGAACGCTCATAATGCTGGCGTAGACAGGGGGAAGGACAGTTGCGAGGTAGGTATCTGCCTCGATGGCAGACATGCGATGGAATCCGGCCTCCAACTGCACCGGCTTCTGCGGGAGATTGCTCTTCGACTTGGGCGTCATGGGCGAGTAAGGTAGCCCAGGGCCGCCAAACACCCTCTCCGCGCACTCTCTGATGTGCACTGTATCCGTCCGCTTCAACAACTCGCTAATTGGTTCCACGAACGTCGCCTTGGGGATATGAATCGTGCTTGGGAACGTCCTGAACTTCCCCAACGAGGTGTACGGATGCAACCTCGAGTCAATATGCCCATCCTCCGGAAAAAACACTGCATCCGGGTCGCTCTCATCCTCATCAATTTCCTCCTCTTCTCTCGGCTCATCCTCCTCGATAATACTCTCCTCCTCATGAGTATCTTCCGCGGGGGGAGGCATCGTCCTCGCCCTCCTGGCCGCCTCTTCAAAATCCCTCTGTAACTTCACCAACGCCTCATACTCCCGCTCATTATTTGCCGTCGCCTGAATCCAGTCCACATGGACTGGTTCACTCGTCCCCGGCAACGAAAGCAACCCCTCTTCCAGCATACTCTTAATCTCAGCGTCCATCTCTTCCTCGCTCATCTCCACCCCTTCCTCGGCCGCCGCCTGCCGTGCAGCTTCCCTCGCCGCTTCGATAGCAACGTTCGGGTCAACGCTAACCGCATACGGCACCTCCTCGGCTAACCCTCCCGCGACATCCCTCAAAAGAAACGGTTTCTGCACCGACCCGTCTGGCTTCTGTGCGTTGGCAGTCCGAGCCGGGATGCCCACGTCTTCGGGGGTCGTTTCCCGCAGGGGTGGACCGTAGAGTCGTTCGTAAACTTTGTACTCTTCTGGAGTTAGGTAATCCGCAGGCAGGGTTAGACCAAACGTTTGTCTCGCGTGGCGGACGAAGGTCTCAATCTCTTCTTGGGTTCTAGTAGTCGCTGGCACATCTGCCGTCGACGATGACTCCTGTACAGGTTCCTGGCGCACGGGGTGAGTAGTAGAAAAAGCGCGGAGGGAATTGGACCTCCACGAACGCGCCGCAACGGAGGGTAGAGCGCGGGGAGTTGTCGAATGGGGGGTGTGCAGGCGGCGATGGAGGAGAGGTTGTGCTGAGGCCCGAGTGCTTCGTGGCAGGAGGACGTCGTAGAATGTTAGCAGCTGCGCGCGGCAGCCTGGGCAGCGATGCTGCATCTTTCCGGCTGAAAGCATGTTGGCGCGTGGTGAGGCTATCGCTAAAGTCAACGACGGGTGGGATTTGGGAGTGATGCGGCGGCAAAGAGTTTCATGAAGGGGAGTCGGGTTATCTTATCGATGTGGGATAGGTTCATTATCGATATGACGGATTATCTTATCTAAGCGTGAAGCCTATCTTATCGTTCGGACCCTGCAGCACGTGATTTTCGTCTAAGTGAGCAGCAACAGCGTCGTGAAGAGATCTATTAGGTCCTGCTATGCAGTGGTGCAGTAAAAAACCCAGAATGATGGCAAAGAAGAATCAAACCCCAAACTCCATACCAAATATTGAGGGATGCTCCCTATTCTAAATCCCAGCCGTGAACTTGTCTGCAGTCTTTCGACCAACGCTTCGATTCCCCCCGGGTTCCAATTGTGTTTTTGTGGCCAGAAGTATACCTAGCCCCTGCTTCCGATCTCCTGGACCTTCACAGTTCCCGGCATCGATGCCGATCCATCCGCTCACACCGGGATTCCTACTCTGACTTCAAATCTGCTAACGTCTTAAACGCCGGCCTTCCCGCAGGCCTCTTCGTCGCGCCCGTATTCCCTGCTTGCGTGTTTGTCTTCCTATTCACATTAAACGGCGAGTTCTCAGCTGCCTTATACGGATCAAGCTGCTCGAGTTAGCGCCATGCCTGTCCACAAGGACTCCTTCGAAGACACTCACCGAAAATAAAGTCCAAAAGTACAACCCCACGAACCTCAACACCACCTCCAACAACGCCATTAAATCCCAACTCCTTGCCCCTCCCCCTCTTCCTCCACTCCTAGGAACAATCGGACTTCCCCCCAACCTCCTCCCCTCCCCAGCAAAAGCAGCACCCTTCCCCGCCCCCGCAAGCCGAACCGCCCTCTCCACCGCAGCAGTCAGTTCTGGCGGGTTAGCCCCCTGAATTGTTTCAACCACGCCTCCCTTGTTGATAATCTTGAACGTGGGCATCGCTCGCACGCCATATTGCTGCGCAATGTCTTGGTGCGTGTCGACATTGATCTTGACAAAGGCCAGGCGCGATGGTTTGGAGTGTTGCTTTGCGAGGGAGTCGAATATGGGGGAGATGCGTTGGCACGGTCCGCACCAGTCGGCATAGACTACAAGTAGAGAAAGTTAGTTAACATTGGAAAAGGGGGAAGGCAAAGGGGGGCGCACAGTCGGCGATCACAACGGTGTGCGAGGTGAGAATGCGGGAGAATTCGTGAGAGGAGGTGATATAGGTTGCCATGATTGGTATGTGCGATCACAACTCGACCTGACTGAGTGGCGCTTTAGGTCGTGGTGATGGTGCACTGAGGTGCTGAGGTTTGATGGTTCTGGTGATGAGCGCGAGATGGAAGTTGACGCACGATAACGTCAAGTTGGCCAGATGCGAAGGGTTAGGGTTGTCAGTCTATTCGGATAGTTTAGGTTCAAGTTTAGGGTCTCAATCTTATCAATGCCCCACTTAACGTCGGCGAAGGCGGTGTAAATTTACGAATTCTGCCGATTCTCTTGCAACCTCAAAGCCGACTCTCATTCTCACTCTTACTGTTTGAATTGAGATTATACCTCTGCTTTCTTTGGCATTCACTGTGTCACATATCTACTAATTATGATGCCACCAAACGAGCGCCAGACGAAGGTGAGAAAGCTCCAGCTGAAATGGTGCCTGTTGTCCCATTTTCTTATTTCGACCACATCCCTGATTCTCCCACAACATTGCCGGCTCTTTCAATCAGTATGACTATGTTCATTATGCTAATTGTCCCAGAAACGCCGCCTCGACACCGAGGATGAGACCCAAAAGGGCTCACGCTTCAAGCCCACAGTCCCCCGTGACTGGACCGTCTCTATTGCCGTTCCAACCAGCATTCTCACCGAGTAAGCCTTCAGCCTGAGCTTTCCTCTCTTCTATACTTACACTTCCCTTCTTACCCTCCCCCTACACGAACCCCTTGCTAACCTCCTGTTAGCCGCGTCACCCGCGAACAAAAAACCACCACCGTAGGCCGTATCGCCCGCGCGGCCGCCATCTTCTCCATCGACGAGATCGTCGTCTTCGACGACTCCCCTCCGGACTCTCGTCTCCCCAGCGTCGACCCCGACGCCTACACCGGCGACACTGACCCTGGCCACTTCATGGAGCACCTGCTGAACTATCTCGAGACGCCGCCATTCATGCGCAAGGTGTTATTCCCGCTGCATCCGAACCTTAAGAGTCAGGGTCTGTTGCCGAACATGGATATGCCCCATCATCCTCACAAGGACGAGTGGATGCCGTACAGGGAAGGGATGACTATTGAGGGGAAGGGAAAGGGGTAAGTTCCATCAACTTCACCTCCTTTGAGCTATACTGACTATATCCAGCACCACCGTCGACATAGGCCTCCCCACTCCCGTCACAATCTCCGAGTCCATCCCCCCCCGCACCCGCGTGACCCTCAAAATGCCCGTCACCCCCTCCGGCACTCCCGAGCCAATTCACCCGGCTCAACCGCGCACAGAAGCCGGTTACTTCTGGGGTTTCACAGTCCGTCGCGCCCCATCTCTTTCCGCCATCTTCACCACCTCCCCCTTCCCCGACGGCTACGACATGTCCATCGGCACATCCGAGCGGGGCAAGCCGCTGAACGCGGCGTTCCCATCATACGAGCAGGCGGATTTTAAGCACCTCATCGTGGTGTTTGGCGGGCCGAGGGGATTGGAGTATGCGGCAATGAATGATCCAGAACTGGTGCAGATGGGGATTCAGGGAGGGAGGACAAGGGAGTTGTTCGATCATTGGGTCAATGTGCTACCAGGGCAAGGGACTAGGGGAATTAAGACTGAAGAGGCGGTTCTGGTCGCGTTAAGCGGGTTGAGGAGGTTGTGGGATAGTAGTTGAGATACCCGGGTTGAGAGGTTGGGGTTGGCCTGGGAGAGGTTAATGTTATTGGCATGTTCTGTTTAGCCATGGGATATATCTTTCTTCGTGCATAGGTGGGATAATGTTCTTTTACTGAGACACTGGAACTCTCTTTGAATAACAACTTCCTGGTCTGCTCGCGAATGCACATTTTTCAATGACTTAGCTGACATTGCTCTTAGAAATAGCCTATCCGTTCGTGGATGAGATTGGCGAAGGGACCACGAAGGCTTGAGCTCTACAGCTCTAGAGATGCACGGGAAGAGAATATGGGAAGAAGGGACCTAGTCTCCTGTAGAGCGCCAATGTGGGCATGGTAACCATGAGCCAGATATACTGACCCGAGCAAACGCTCTATCCTCTGCAGGACCAAACCAAGACCGGAATGTCCCAAAAGACCTAACACTGAAAGGTTTAAAATACTGCAAAGGCTTGTAAGACATGCAGTGTGCGAAGACCAGATGTCTGCTGGGCCAAGTATATGAAAGGTCTCTTCCTTTTTCTGCAACAGCCTTCGGGTCTCGCTGTTTGTCGCGCAAAATCTATGAACCAGTCCAGAGCCAAGTCCTGATCAAATTAATCTTCTGTCACTGAAAAGGACTATCGCCAGCCATCTTTTATACCTTCAGACCGTCCATCCCAGTTACTAGGTCATCTTTGTCCGTCTCCCCACTTTCCGTTCCACCCTCTCCTTTCTCCACCTGCACAATCTTCGTTCATTCTCCTCATGGTTCTCGACCCGCCTCTCGATAACTAGGGCTGCAAAAAGTATGTCAGTCAACTGTTGCCGCACTGATGCACCAACTAGCAACGATAGTCAGAGTTTCCAAAATTTACTCTTTGGACTTACTCTTCGGGGACACGAAAGGTTGTGAGATTTCCTATGCTCTGTGGTGATAGAATACGCTGGGATCGTATGCAGTGCAATATATCCCCTTCTAGCATGCTCATGTACGGGCTGGGGAACCTTCTCCCTTTCATTTTTGACGCATCAAGCAAATCGCTTATCTTGAAGATGTATACTGCTTTGCTCAACAGACCGGTTTCCGTGGTTAAGACGTCCACTTCCCCCCTTCGGCTTCAGTTGTTCACTTCATTACTTTCGCCCAGCCATGGCTCTTGCCGTGTCTAATTCATTCACTGCCTACTTCTTACTAAGGAAGAGGTTAATGAATGGAGGCTTCCACTTTGAGAATTTGATGGTAATCGTATGGAATACTTAGGTCTAAGTTAACGTTGTTCTTACTATCATGAATTAGCACAATGTCATCCCAGAGCCAACTCTCATCCCTTTCTTGCTTCCAATCAGTGAATTACCCAATATATTGACATCCACGTCCCTTCTCTAATGGACGCACACCGTGTGCGGCCCAGTCAGTTCCCAGGAACTAGCTACAAAGTTGGCTACAAATCAAGTCAAACGGAGTGTATCACCTCGGGAAGTCTGGTTGCGTGAAACTCGCATACTAGATATAACACCGAAGAGTCACTAGCCCTCATGTGAAGGGGCCTGCTACGCCATCTCGACTGGAAGATTTGGATATAATATCCAACAATATGACATGATGTCAGATAGGTAGTGCTAAATCCTGTCTTCTCAGGAAGGCAACATGAGGTTTCCGGTCTCAACCACTCAGGGGCCACGGTCGGCACACCCTGATGCTTCCCGCAGAAAATCATCAGTTTTCAGTAATGATTAGGATGTTGATTGGTCCCGGTAGCCTCCGTGTCTCCAAAACCTCTCTGTGTGATCTAGGGTTGTTTTAATTGTTAGGTTGCGTTCTGGTTCCAGCCCAAATCATATGCATAGAACAGCGTCTTTTCTGAAGCTATCCAATCGGCTCTTTAGGCCACATCTGCAGCATCTCATTGTGACTGAGGGTCTAATTAGCTTGAATGCAACTTGATGTCATTTCAGTACTGATCCGCGAACTGTATTCGGTGCATCCTCGGATACTGTCAGTCGTGTGAGAGCCTGACCTTCAGTCATCAAACGCTCACTTGTGTCATGACCAGCTCGTTTGTTGGTCAACACTACGCACTATCAACTCAAAACGTCATGCAAGAGATCTCATGGGCAGTGGAAGTAGACACGATGATGCATTGCCAGTGGCTGTGCCAAACTTATTGTAAGTAGGAAGACAGGCAGCAAAACTTACGTGTCGCCCGTCAACTAAGCAATCGACCGCCCCGAAATCTGCATATTCCCGAGATCACGCATATCGTAGAACATGCCTTGTTTTCAGACTCGATTGAAGACTCAGGTGGAAAGAAACAAGGTGGCACAGGATCCAGGCTCGAGGCTTATTGTGCCCTGGAACCACGGATAAGCTTTTCTTTTCGGCAGCATGCAATGAGTACAAATATTCATCCTTATTCTTTGTCCAATTTTACAACGCTCTTCAATGACAATCCTCTTCATTCCACACCAGCCTTTCCTACCTTCCACTAAACCCCAGCTTCTAGGTCCCATGAACGAACCCTATAAGCCCTACAAACACTGTATAAGCCCCTCACTCACCACCAACCCCTCTCCCTTCCTCCCACTTCCTCCTCTCCTCCCTCGCCAGCCTGATCATCTCATTTCCTCTCTTAACCTCCCCTGCGCCGACCAACAAACCCCCCAAGATTTCATAATGCTCCCCCATATGCGGCATCAACCCCTCCTCCTTGATAGCCTGCACAACCTCCTCGTACATCTTAGCTGCCTTTCTCATCATGTTCTTATCTGTACTCTTGGAGAGTATTTGCACAACTTCCTCGCCTAGGGAGAGGATCTTTTTGCGGCGGGTGTCAGATAAGGCGAGTTGGGAAGGGGGGAGAGTGCAGAGGGGGCAGATGCAGGTGAAGCCCCATGTTTGGAGGAGGAGTGCGCGGCGAGTGAGGGTGGGGAGGGCGAAGGGGGTGTCTAAAATGTTAGGTAGTGCACATTGGATGCATGATAGGCCAGAGAGAACGTACAGCTGATAGTAATCTCATCACCGGGGAGGATGTCGTGGAAGGCGGTGACTTTGTTGGAGAGGTCGGTAGAATTAAAGTTGGTCAGGGCGCTCCCAGTGTGTCAGTCAGGGGCCGACATGAAAGTTAAAGATAAGATGATGGGCTCACCTTGGCTTGCAGGCATGGTTGATCCTCTATAAAACGTCATAGTCAACAATGGTTTTGTTCGTGATCTCGTCAACAAAGGCACAGTTCTTCCAACTTACCGCGATCTTAGGAAATAGAGCCATATACCCCCTACCTCCAATCTCTATACTAAACGAGTTTGTCTTGACCACATCCTCCCAGACAGGTACATTTTGTAGATCAGGGCTACTTCTCGCAAGATTGAGTATCAGGTCGGCAGACGGTAACCTCTCAATAGCTTCCTTTAGCAACCTCCTCCCCTGATCTCGTTTTACTTTGTTAGGGAGCTGTATGTCAATGATGAGGGAAGCATAGTCAACCATAAAGACTTTCCCTCTGGGGATCTTCCGCGTTGCTATGAGACCTTTACCCTTGCCGGGGATATCGCGGACTTCATAGGGTGGCGAATCCTGTCTTGCCTTGGGGATCACTGATGGAAGAGGGAACGAGAGCAGGCTGGAGATTGTCTTAAGGGCCGGGGAACTTGAACGGTCCTCACCGGGGGTTGGCTGCTCGTCGATGATACTGACTCCTCTGTTTGGCCCCGGAAAGTTGGCATTCGTGAAGACACAGTAGTTTGTGTCGTTTTCGCAGTAAGGCAACTGTGTCCAAAGGGTCCATCGCTCCTTTGTGATATTAATAGATGCTGCCACGCACGTGAGGGAAGCGTCAGAAATGAGCGGGCTAGGAGGGCACTCAGAAGACGGAGGTTGTTGGAGGGAACTGTCTGCATTGACCTCATGAATCAAATGCAGGACAGACCAAATTATACAAATAAGTGAACTGAGGAGCTTGGACATCTTTTACTCTTAGTTGCATGTTTTGGATGCTGACACAGTTAACTATCCAAACTCAGCATCCCCAACTTTTAAGAAATATAACCCTATCTACACTTTTCGCTACAAAACACGTTGTCCTTCCCCATGAAACAGAGATCCTGGTATGTCTCGCCCGTTTCGGAGTTTGAGATTACAAATGCCAATGCTGTTTGACTTATTACCCGTCATGGCAGCCGAAGTAACAGACGGTTCAGCAATGGCTGCATGTTGTCACTGGTCCAGAAGTAGACACGGGATAATGCCAAGGTCTGGGCACACAATGCCGGCAAGAGGGAGATAACAACTAACCACAGATTAGATGGCAGACAAGATGGAAACTCTAGTCTGAAGTTATGGTATTGTGCTTAGCCTGTGTCTGGAAAACCAAGTCAAAGTTCCTTGTCCTCACCTACAAATGCTTTATCTCTGCCTTGGCGCATTGGCGTCCATGCTCGGTGTACAAAGGCCCAAGACCAGCCTTTGTTCACAAACTCTTGGCTATATTCTTATGTTATTCGTTCGAGTCTCGTGAGCATATGGGTAAAATTAAAGACGGTAGGTTCAAAATCAATGGGCTATCTCCCATGAGAGCCGATGCTGAAAGGACCCAGAGCTAAAGAGAAATTGTCCAATACAAACCCAAACAATGTCATTATGCCTTTGGAGTTAGATGGAACTTCAACTTCATCCAGCACTATAAGAATTTCGACAGCCATGTCCTCGTTCACACCGATCTACTTCATCAGCACTCATCCAAAAGATCTTGCTTTACAAAGCTCTCAAAACCAGAGCTTTTCAGGATAACCCCCAACAACTAGCTAAGACAAAGTTCACATCCAACATCTGACCTTTTAACAACTAACCTCACCACACAGGTCATCTACCGCAAAAGTCTTTCAAGATGCATGACATGGCTAGGTGGGGCAGCTACGGCATTTACGTCAATGGTATCGGCAACTTGATCATCATTGATGAGGGAGAAAATCCTCATACGGTTGTTCCATGGAATAGCTGGGTCTTTACTACAGTAAGCCTTAATCTCTTAACCTTTAACTTGAAAGATGGACATAAAGATGACTAACCGTGACCATCGCTATAGCTAGCTACGTGCATCAACAACGGCATCCAAGTTCTCGAAACTCCACAGGGACGCGCTGCTCTGTTCAAACTAGGCAATCTCGTTGTGCAGGAATGGGAAAAGGAAGGACGGTGGGTATTTGGCGGTTACCTAGCCAAGATGACCTACTACGTTGACCATTTCCTCACAGCCGTCAGACGAGACTTCCCTTTTGTCAAACTTCAACGGATTGACCATACCACTCTCGCGGAGACGGTCCGCTTAAATCGTAGTGAAGACAGCGACATGCTGTGGTGGGACGGCGATCTGGAGAATTATCAGCCCAAATTAGCTGCACGGATGAGCTTCCAGCGCACGGTAAGTGCAACTTACAGATACCACGAGCTCTCATAGCACCGAACTATCGTTAACCATACAATAGATAATCCTTCAACTAGCCCAAGCAGCCGATCTTGCAAACCGTCCTGCCAAAAGCGCATCCGAAGCACGCAAGGTAAGCCAACACTACAAGAGCCTTCTCTTCCGTATCTCTATGGCCGTGGCCCACGAGCTAGCCCATTTCTTCGTCGCCTATCTCGCTCAAAGAGATACCCCAGACATGGCGAATTACACGCCCACGAATGTTACCGTTCTCAACCACGGAGTCTTTGACAATGTTCAGGACTTTACCGCCAGGTCTGGCTCCTCTTCCAGCGACCATTCTGATGACTGGTGGGTATCAGGAGAATCAGGGTCCTGGATGGAAAATGAGCTCTTCGGCGGGCTGATCGAAGCGCTTTATGACCCTCAGGTTCCGGAACTTGATCCAGAACGACCAGTAAGTGTTAAATATCATCTGTTCAGTGAAACTATGGGCTAACAATCGTGATTGATTGAGATCGGCGTTCTCTATAGACTTGATACTAACGAGAACTTGCGAAAGGTCTCTTGGGATTCGATTAGAGCCTTCGTCGAAGAGCCAAAGAGTAAGTTTTCCCCCATCATTTTTGCTTTTACATTATTCCGATCTACCAACTAATACCCGGTCATAGATTTCCACTTCCCCCTCCAATGCGAAGGCCCCGTCCACTCCGTCAGCGACTTGGGCCTTCGGTTAAAAGGTCTCTCCTTCCAAACTGGCACAGGCAGAGACTCAGGGCTACCAATGATTGTCCGACCCCTAAAAAGCATCATCATGGAGAGGATGCAAGCCAGAAGGTATCGCACTGTAAAGCGGTATTCCCAGACCCCGTCAACCGGGAGCAAGATACTGTCTAGGTTTACTGGTAGCTCACTCGGTGGTAAGTCCATATCCCCGGCCAATGATCGCTCGGTCCGGAGTAAGTCCAAGAAGTCTGCCACTCGCCGGTCACTCAGAATCTGGTTGACGAAACAGGCAAGATACAAGAAGGGAAGCAATTGACCGAGGTACGATGCTTAGTAGTAAGGCGGAATGGGGTTCGTAGTCAGCGACAAAGGTCCAGGTAGGTAACTGAGTTAGGACTCGAATATCAAACAGGTAGATTGTCGTGGCTTGCCCCTTATGTTAGCTCACTCGTTATAGGTCTTGCTAAGGGCTTATAATCTTAGTTTTGAGTTCCCAGTATCACAAAGCACACTCCATGTGGCTTGAATCACACTATACGGCTGACGGAAGACGGGCACTTGCTTTTGTAATACTTGTCGCCACTCATACTTACAGGCTCAAGACGGAACTCAGTATGTCTCGCATTGTCATTATTATCAACACAGGGCAGCTACTTGTATGTTCAACTCGCTTCAATGTGAACACCATATTTTCGTTCCCGAAACTTAAAAGTACTTAGCCCCAGGTATCGTAACTATGCCGTAGCATCCGATCTTCTTTCCCCGACGTTATCGCGATTTAATAAAGCCTCAAATTGGAAGAAGGTCGAAATCCAGCCAATACACGTTGTATCTCATAGTAAGGGATTGAGCTCCACTATACTTCGTGCAACATTCTATGCAAGAAATTGTGCACTAGCAGCAGTGCCAGTGCGTCGAAAATTCGCTATCATATGTCCTGTAATAGCGGCGGAGTAACAGGCTGGGCAATCAGTCCAAAACTGCAGTTTTAACTCCGCAACTATACTGTCTCCCTACGAAGGCATACTGCTCACCACACTTGTGGCACATGTCACCTGTAGGATAGTTGTGATGCCGGTAGTGTAGCAATATTTACAGTGCACTTCCATGCGTCCAGTGATTAGCCTTCAAGTTAGTCGAACCGAAGGAAAGGGGTATCCCCGACTGCCAACACAAGGAACACCAGAGATAGAGTGATTGGGAACGACACATATACGTGGTTGATCCCGGGAGATAGATGGAGCAACACGACTGAATGAGCCAGAGGGCCTAGGCAGGAGGACGAGGCCTCTAAAAAGCTTGGAAGGCCGAGGCATTCACAAGGGCAAGAGTATTCCATAAAGGAAGCCTCCCGGATACGATGGAGGACTTCTCTTGATTCTTCCTCTTCCTAACACAAGGACACTGAGAACCAAGAAAGATCAATACACGTATTAATTGACTCGGTTGTGCACCCCACATCGTCAGTGGCCATCATCTAACCCATTTGACACATTGTCGACCCCTCGCTGCACCAGACCAAGTCACCCGTTACACGAACGGCTTATACAGAAAGTCTCTAAGCAGTGATCGCGCTAAATCCAGAGTGACAGGCACCGCAGGAATAGATACTGAGAAGACTGAAGCTGCACCAGCACCGAGCAACCATGTTGTGATCGAAATATCGCCAATTTTGTGCTCTTTTCGCGCCGAACGATCTTGCCATAGCGAGTTTTATGTGATGGCAAAAGTCGGCTAAGATTCCCTAAACAGTATGTTAGAAGATATTTCAAAGTTCATGTACTCGCTGGGTTTGGTGGTGCTATATACATATCTTAATCGAAGCCATTGGTATGCTTGCCCTGTTACTATTGCCCATTTAAGCCTTGATAGTTTTCTCGCAGTTATCACTGTTTATTGCAGTGCGAAATATACGATACCCGCGCCTTTCCTTCCGATTCGTTCGCCTATTTACGCCAAAGCTACCATAGCCTCCTCGCAACCTTAAACGTGGATTCAGATTATCCCTCAGTCCAGCCCTGTCACGACCAACAAGAGCTCATTCTGGAAAGATGGGTTCGGTGCAACCAGCTGATCGGAGGAAACGGGAGTTGTGACCCATCAAACCCAAATATCCAGACAGACTTCCGAGATAGGTTCGAGACGCTCCAGGCCGCTGGACCTGAGAGACAGGAGGTTTCACACAGTCGGAATGATCCCTGTGATCACCAGTTAAACAGACAACTGTTTGCATTGTTGACCGGGGAACTTTTGTGGCCAGATGACCCTGCCTGGAATCTACATACATCTCATATACCCTCGTTGCGTCTTTTGTTCCTCCATGCTCGATGGCACAAACTGTCGAGGGTCAACATCCTTGGATATCGAGGATCAATGCCTCTTGGCGTTTGAGGAACTACTTCCCAATGCGTGGGGTCGTTGGGGACGAATCGTCACAAACCCTGTCTACCTAGAGGTGCTACTAAACTAAGGATGGCCTTCTGCATAGGATGCCGTTTCTGCTTCAGGCAGACACAGTCCGTGTTCCATTCGGACACAGGCCCCTCCCCAACGGTCCACTTGGTCGCCAATTCTGTTCGTCCTCTACTTTGCCCATCATCACTCCTTCACAACAAGAATCGTCGTTCATGTATATGGACAGCCACGCGCAGCTCTCATGGTGTAAGGACCCAACTCAATTAGCTCACGACGCCGCTTACCGGGTTCACCCACTACGGCGGAAAGCAGACCGGCTTGAACACAGGATAGACCCCAATAGAACGGAAGTCTTGTACATCCCTCCTCGCGGGGCAGGCTCAAAGCGCCACAAGGCAAACCCAAAACGACTGGCTCTCCACTCCGAGAATCTCACGGCATCCCCCAGAAACTCGATTAAGTGGCTCGGGGTAGTCCAGGACACGAAACTGTTCCCTGGCCCAGGCCGCCGCCAAAGCTGCAACCACCGCGTCTACACCAGGCCTAATTAAAAGATTGTCAAATGCCCAAACTAGGGGTTACCCCTCCCAAGTCTGGCCCCGTCTTCTTTAACATGGCTGTGGTACCCTCACTCTTATATGGCCTGATATAGATAGACATCGGTCCCTTCAGAGCTGGAATTAAGGGACGATGATCCCGTCAAATCTAGGAGAGATCTGGGAAACCCTGGCTATGGTCGCACACGTTTTCCTGAAGACTATTTTCCCGGTGTTGCGTATCATTCGACCCCATGGTTGTAGTGGCTAGCTGGGCTCTAACCTCAGTACCTGCTGGAGCGAGAGAGAGAGAGATGGCGGGCTCAGGCTCGAACCTCACGTCTGACCACACCTTCTGGAGGAGATTCCAGTCACCCACATACAAAGTCTGGTCTCGCCTACACAACTAGCCGCCGACGCCCACCAGGGCCTATCTGGGAGCCCCGGTGACCTGAGTCTCGGGCTTGGTTAGGGCTACCCCCAAATCCTCTCAGACTGCGGAAGATCCCACCCCTTGACATAGCTTCGTGGTGGCGATTGACTGAGCCTCGGTCCAGCCTGTGTGATGGCCCCTCAGCCGAACCCTTCCTCACTCTCTTCGACAGGAAGTGTCTGGCTAGATGGGTCGCGGAGACATCTGGACACAGGGACTACCTGGAGTGCCCTCTCAGGTTCACCGCCCTCCAAGTGAGATCAAAATCTGCTCTTATGGTTTGATGGTTTCCAGAGGCCATTTCCTGAGATGCCCCCTTTCGTCCTTGGATAACCCTATGGTAGGGCGTCTGAACCCCAGAGTCTTTTGTCATTCGCACCGACTTTTTAAGAATAGGAGACTACAATTTGAATTCTACAACTCCGCCCGAGATGAACAGATAGGGCGAACTATTCCCATCCCACGCCCCCTGTCTCCTACCCTCACTCGGTACAACACCCTCTAGCGACTCATAATCAGATTCAGAACGATATAGTTTGGATATTCACATTCCTTGTATCCTCGCTACCTAACCCCATCCCCCATTTGCCTTTACGATATCCTCTCACAGCAATACACTGGCTCTTTTATTCTTTTTTCGAGTTTCTCCCGCGTGTACATAGTGTAGTCTAAGCAGCCCATAATCATTTCTTGCCCGCCGTCGTCGTGGGCACGACCAAGCACTCAGAAGGTGAAATAGGTCGAAAATACCCTACCTGAGTGCTTTCAGATACTTCGAGACTACCCAATGACCAGCATCGATATCAACCTCAAACAAGGAGAATAACTGGCCAATGACGGGCAGCACCTCATCAGTGACGTACTTGCTCCTCGTTCCGCGAACGATCAGCGAAGGCTTGACATAGCGTGTCTCATCAGTCATGTTTAGCAATGGCGTCAGGATTCGAGATCGCAGGCGTTGTGCTCGGTGCCATTCCCATTGTCATCCGGGCACTGGAGAACCTATGCAAATGGTCTTAATCTAGCCCACGTTGGACAGATGTTCTCTGCCTTACCAATTTGCCAATGCCATACGCTCAATGATATTCTGACCAGAATCGGGAGATTTTCGGTTCTGGAAAATATTCTGGCGATATCCCTTCAGATTCCAATGTACACTCCATTGGAATTGACATATTCAATTGTTAGTCATGCAATCTTGAGACAAGTTGGGAAATATGTGAGATATCTTCCTGCAAAGTGTTTGGCGAACCAAAAAAATGTTGAAAAGCTTGTTGTTGATGGTTCATCTTCAATTCACAAGGTTGGACGACTTTCAGAACGACGGAATAAACTCTCCACCCCAAATCATCAGTCGCTCATACTCATCTTCAGCTTTTAACAAGAGCAGAGCGGATGATAGAATACAAGACATCTTCTTTCCTTAGTAATGTCCTCAGTGAAGCCAGGACTAATGAGAATTTTCTGAATAACTTTCACGTAAAGCTCATTGGGGCCACTAGCAGCATCTCCAACCATTTTAGAGGTTGCAGCACGTATATCGATGGTCTTTTCAAAGCGCGAGCGTGGCTGCTCTTTTGCTTGTTCGTGATGGAGAATCTCTGCCTTACTTCTGGTCTCTCAAGAATGTTCGGACTGAAGCCTGGTTGTGCTGTCTATTGAGAAGACTGACCGCTGTCAAATACCTTACGTTGAGTTATAGGGTTGGTTGAGAGAAGCTTTACAACATTGATGGTCATGTCTTCAAGCTGATCCAAGATTTTCATGATATCACGGCGTTTTCGATGAAGCGCTAGCAGCTCAAACACTGTTTTTCAGGCAAACTAAAAGCATGTGGGATTAGATACTGTGACAGAACACGGGCAGAAAACGTTGTACATCATGAACGAAGCCCCTACTTGGCCCTTGAGTTCTTATGCTTTTAACATAATCAGCAATGTTTTTTCAAATCTATTTACTTTTTGTAAAAGAGCGAGAAGCTCTTTATCGTTAAAAGATGAACTGTTTTTAATCGAGTTCCCACGACAGAAGTTTCTAATGTACGGAAGTCTTCCTCTGGGAGCAAAACCTCCGCATTCATGTATACTTGTCTGAGAAGAGCATGATGATAAGAGACTTAGTAATTCATCGCTTTGATGAGAGATCTTGTACTTGTCCGGAATTCTAAGATGATACAGGACTTTGTAGAGTCCCAGAGCCTGAGACAAGTGGTAGCACACCGAGAAGACTTGGAACTTCCATGGCATATGAAAAGTTCCCCGCAAAGGAGGGTAGTACCGACAGATAAGGATTGCAGTCGTAGAATTACAAGCCAAATATTAAGTCTGTTGGATGTGGGCCATGTGGTGCAAGATTTCTGCGTTGGAGCAAAACGGTTAGGTCGTCTGGCTCGGCTGCGTACGTGAAGTTAGTTCACATCAGCAACCCCGCACAAGGAAGTCAAGCTACCCCATGATATGTGTCCTGAGCGCCCAATGCTGAAGCATGTGATAGGAAACCCTCTCAAGAAAAAAAGGCCCAATGACGAGAGCGGCCCCGTTCCCTCGCCAAAGAGGCTGTATCTCATGGCTGATGACAGCTGAGGTCTATATTGCAAGCGAGACTTGCTGACCAGATTCATTAAATGAGCTGCATAGAGCTTTGGGAGAAAGCTTGTGCCATGACTAGCATTTTTTAATGGCACACTGATTCAATATTAGCAACGCCTTGGGTGTTACATGTTAACAATGGGTAGCATACAAGATGGGCAATCACGCATCTAACAACAGGGTGATGTAAATGCACGATCCCTCCATTAAAGCAAATGTTTTTTCCAAATCGTGTCGGTCGATGTAGAACCATTCATCTAGATCGTCCTCAATGTTGGCGGGTGACTTGTCCTCATCAGGGGGCAGCTCTACATTTCTTGGATCAAGATAACCAGGACTACCCCTAAGGGTTGTGTTCTCTCTGCGATTTGTCAGATTCCACTTGACGTTACATTGCTTTCTACTGAAGAAACGAATCGGGCAAACTTTGACTCACATCGAGATATTCCCCCGTTCAGCATGCCCTCTAATCAGCTTCCTCCATGACTGCCAACACCACTTGATCACCTTGTCTGCATATCTATTACCACACATATCGCGTCAGCATATCACACCTCATGTCTCCAACATTCCCGTCTGCACACTGCTCCATCGAGGACTTCTTACCTCGGCCCCCTCCACACCCCCCCAAAAGCGAACTCCCCTTGTCCCTCTCCATCCGGCAGACCATAAATTCGGAACCAATCCCTTGACGCGTCCAGCAAGCCAGGGAAGTGCTTGCTCACATCGTCGAGATCGTTCACTTGGTCTGCGAGCGGGTCATGTATGTCGATGACAAGGACTTTCCAGTCGGCCTTGCCGTTGTCAATCAGCCCTAGCACGCCGAGGACCTTGACGTGCTTCACGTCGCCGACTTGGGCAACGGCACGACCGATTTCGCATGCGTCAAGGGGGTCGTTGTCTCCAGGTTTGTAGATGTCGCGGTGGACCTGATGGGGGTCTTCCCAGGTCTGGAGACGGGGAGTTAGGGGTAAGTGGCAGTCCGGAGGGACAGGTAGCGAAGTTGAGAAAGCTGACCTGAGGAAAGGCACCATAATTCCACATATAACCTTTATAAGGGAAACAGTTCTTGGTGAAGCGGGGTTTGCCATTCAGGGTGTCCTGGCCGATGGGATTTAGGCGCTCGCTACGATTGATCTGTTCATGTGTCACTACTCACTTCGCCATCGAGATCAAGAACACTGTTTGACATGCCTCAAACTTGGCATTGGACCACCGCGGCACCTCAACCACCATGTTTAGAATCCCCTTTTCCTGGTCATGGTACAGGGGAATGTCATGGTAAGGTGAGATGGGCACGTGGTCCCTGGTGCGTTCGAAGTAGACGCGGTACTCTTTGGAGTAGCAATGCCCGACCCGGTGTAATGTGTACTCCAAGTTGGCAGGCTTTTTGCCTTTTTCATCGGTTGCTTTTGCAGTCATTGGGCTCGATGATCTGCAATATTAGGTTTTTAGCCGGAATCATCTGTTGCATTTTGAGGGGAGAAGAGGACAAGGGATTGCTTAAGAGTTTCCCTGATGACGTCATAGCTTGAGGAGTTTCGGGGGCTGCTTGTAAGTCATCTCTACGTCTTTGACTGAGACTTGGTCCGTCTGTACAACTGCACCACCGTTAGTGCGGTTTACTTAACGACCTGCTGCTGATATTTACCGGGCATCTGTCTGTTTGGTGGGCATCAACTGGATTCGTTCGAGGAAGCCGATATATACTAGGTGGTAGCTCGAGATCTAAACACTTAGGAATCTCTTTCGCGACCACACCCCTGAGGTTCCGAGGTTGATGAGATCCCCGATCAGAGCGATTGGGAACGGGAAAGAGCCGGATAGAACGTTAAAATTCATGGTAAATACTCTTGTAAAGTACCAGAGTGTCTAAACTTGGGCACAATACCATAGGAACTCGGTAGTCTGTGGATAGAGCCGACGGCAATGTCAAAACTGTGAATGAAGGCACTGGAAATATCTTCACTCTTTTGGTGCTATCTATTTCTCTTTCTCGTTTGTACCCAGAAGATTAATGTCAGGATATCTCAATGTTCATCGGCGTTGCCGGCAAAATGTCTCTATTCCCCTCACTATCATCATATAATCATCATCTCAGATTCGACAATATTACGGGTAAAATCCAGGTTTCTGGACGACGCAAGAGGACAAACCTGGCTCGGTTTACACAACCCGAAGTTGTAGACCAAAACGAATGATCCCTTTTACAAGCGCGCCAAATGTCCTCGATAACCTAAGAACAAAGCAGTATCGACCTCTTGCTCCACGACCCAGGAAAGAAGAGGTGTTTATGCGGATATTACCCCCAAATGACGCCCCTGTATCATAAATAGTGCCAACACGTTGTCTTATTGAGCAACTAAATGACCTACTCGTCCGCTTCACCCCTGAATGCCTAACATCTTCAATGTCTTCAAACCTCATGACCCCTTTTGTCTACAAACATACTCACGTCAGCAGCCCTGTCCCCCTATCCCGCTCCAATGACGTTAATCCCCACAGTCGCCGAGCCGGGGTGCGGCATGCGGCATGCCGGCTGATATGGCGCGTTTTCGGGGATAAATAGCACGGGTCGGCTGCTGGGCCGCTCGGCCTTCATATGGAAAAAACAATCTCAGGCTGTGGGGCGGCTTCACTTTATCCCCGGCATTGGACATAATCTGGGGTATGCGGACCGGATGTTTCGGATGAGATCGTCTGCAGTGGCGCTGTCGGCTCTCAGGGCCTGGCGGTTATGTCGGTAGAGAGGAGGACGATGCGGGGTGCAGCCTGTATGTCGGGGGCGGCAAAACGTGGGGACCTACTACAGAGAGAGGAATTGCCGGATTGGGTAGGATAGAGGAATCGATGGACGAAGAGAAGGAGTTGGGCATTGAAGGGCAGTAGAGTGGGATGGGTATAAAGGGAGGTGATGAAGACCATCATCTCGATCTCGAGAAGACTCCCTTACCACACGCCAACATTATCATCCAACTCTCTCATCTTCCAGAGTAATGGTCTCCTTCACACTCCTCCTGACCGCCCTCACGGCGACGGTGACCCAAGTGGCCGCCAGCCCGCTGGAACTGCTCAAGCGCGGCATCCAGCCAGGCCAAGGCACGCACGATGGCTTCTTCTATTCCTTCTGGAAGGACAACCCGGGCACAGTCGACTTCAACCCAGGCCCGCGCGGCTCGTATCGCGTAAGCTGGTACAACGTGAACAATTGGGTTGGCGGCAAGGGATGGAACCCCGGCCCGCCGCGTAAGGTTGCGTATAACGGTACTTGGAACAACTACAATGTCAACAGCTGTGAGTATCACCTTCCTATATCTTGGCCGACTTGATGAGAGACTGACAAAACAGACCTTGCGCTCTACGGATGGACCACCAACCCTCTGGTCGAGTACTACATCGTCGAAGCCTACGGCACATACAACCCGTCGACAGGTGCCTCCCGCCTCGGCACGATCGAGGACGATGGCGGCGTGTACGACATCTACCGCACACGGCGCATCAACCAGCCGTCGATTGTCGGCACGGCGACCTTCGACCAGTATTGGTCGGTCAGGCGCACCAAGCGTGTCGGCGGCACCATCGACACGGGCAAGCACTTTGATGAGTGGAGGCGCCAGGGCAACTTGCAGCTTGGTCAGTGGAACTATATGATTATGGCCACTGAGGGCTATCAGAGCAGCGGGTCGGCAGAGATTGAGGTTTGGGAGGTTCGGTAAGAGCTTATAGGGCGTCAGGAACTTCCTAGCTCCTGTCAGACTGGTTTTCAGAGTCGGATACAAAAGGGGGTTGTTGCTCGAGAAGCCAAGCCTGTAAATAGGGGAAGAGGACGGCAAGTATGTGTATTCAGGGATGACCTCGGTCTTCCCCTGAAGAGTAAATACCGCTCGTTAGTCCATGTAACACAGAAGGGATCCCTTCATCCAACACGGAGCAGACGCTCTAAGCTCTCCAAGCAAGGGATTCCAACACTCAGGCAGTGTCTTGCTCCTTTATGACCATCAACACATCCAATATCTACCAAACTTTACTGGAGATACTAACTGCCTTCCTCCATCGCCAATTCTGGATCAATCTCCGTGCCCAAATCCCTATCCTCGAGGAACTTCCGTCCCAACAACTCAGGAGGCAGATAATCCTGCTTAACCTTCCCATCTTTATAATTCGGCGGGTACTTGTACTCCTTGCCATAACCCATCTCTCTCATCAACCTTGTCGGGGCATTCCTAAGATGTATCGGCACTGGCAACGATGCCACGCCCGGCTCCTGAAGCGCTGACAGGGCATTGTTTAGCCCCCGATAGGCACGGGTACTCTTCTTCGCAAGCGCGAGTGCCACAGCACAGTGTGCCAGCGGGATCCTCGCCTCCGGCATGCCAATTTGTTGCGTAGCCGTGTACGTTGCCGTCGCCAAAGGCAACATGGAATTATCTGCCAACCCAACGTCCTCTGACGCAATAACGACCATCCGCCGGGCAATGAATAAAGGATCCTCCCCCGACTGAAGCATCCTCGCAAGATAGTAAAGCGCCGCATCGGGGTCATTCCCCCGAATCGATTTATGAAACGCCGAAATCGTATCATAATGCTGGTCCCCAGCACGATCATAAATCATCGTCTTCGTCAAGCTGGCCTTGATCGCCTCCTTCGTAATGGGCTCGCCCTCCGGTTCCCCGGGTCTCGTCGTCAAACTCAGCGCCAGCTCCAACAAGTTCAGCGCCGTCCTCGCATCCCCATCGGCAAACGCCGCCAGGTAATTCAACAGATCCTCGTCCAACAACGGGCTCAACTCCACGCCTGTCTCCCTCACCTCCTGCTCCAACGCCCTCTCCATGATACGTATCAAATCTTCCCTACTCAAAGGCTGCAGCGTAAACGTCCGACACCGACTCAGCAATGCAGACTGCACTCTAAAACTAGGGTTCTCCGTCGTCGCGCCAATAAGCACAATCGTCCCTGCCTCCACAGGACGCAAAAACACATCCTGCTGGGCCTTGCTGAAGCGGTGGATCTCGTCACAGAAAATAATCGTCTTCCGTCCCGTCAAGGCAAGTTCGTTCGCTGCTTCAGCGAATAATTTTTTGCACTCTGCCACTCCTGTGCTGGCAGCATTCAGCTCGATGAAACGGGCGCCAGAACGCCGGGCGATGCAGCGCGCGATGGTTGTCTTACCCGTGCCGGAGCTGCCCCAAAGGATCATGCTTGGGATTCGGTCGGTTTCGATGAGGGAGCGGAGTACGCCGTTAGGGCCGACAAGTTCTTGTCCGAAGATGTCGTCTAGACTTTCGGGGCGCATTCGTTCTGCTAAAGGCGCAGTGCGATGGGACTTGGACCGCTTTGGTAGCGGTCCGGATGTAGCTGAGCCTTCCGTTCCATTGTTGGTGCTGTCTCCCTGACATTGTTCCCCCTTGGACTCTTCATCTTTTGGCGCTGCCCTCCCCTCCTGAGGTGAACCACTCCCTGGGCCGTCATCATATCGTCTCTTAACTCCTACTTTAAGGCCTCCATTGCCAAAGTCATTCCCCTGTGCCGGTGTCGGTGCGGTCTTCGCCTGGGCAATCGCTTGTCTTTTAGCAGGGGTCTGGAAGAAAAAGTTGGCAGCGGATCTCTTTTTCTGCGTCGAGCTCGGTGGCTGTTGGTTCTGGGTCTGTGTACCACTACTCGGCTGGGTCGAAGATGTAGCTGAGGTATCGTCAATCAGGTGTGTCGCACACCCGGAATCGATATGCTCATTGATGGCTGAGCCTTTCACACCTCGGTTGCAGATGGGGCAGGTCACCATGGTTGCTGGTCGTGAAATATAAAGTCTATAGCAGATCTATGTGAGACAATGGAGATTCCAGATAAAGGAGAAAATACAACAACTCCAAAAAAGCAAGCAAAAAATGCTATGTTCAGTAACGGCGCATGTTGAGAGAAGTTGCTGAGGGTAAGGTGGTGGAGGACACGGCGCGACGCGGCGCCTAATGTTAATTGCTTGATTCCTTGTCTCGAGAGGACGCGTTTGTGGAGCCCCTGACGCTGGCGTGGGGCTGACCGCCGGCGGGGATGACTCGGCACTGTGGTTCTAGAAAAGTCGCACTGGGCAAGGGCTCATGAGAAGCCTGACAGAGTTTTGGCGGAGTCCATTGCAAGTGTCACTAAGGCGAGACTGCTTTGAACGTCAAGCTGAGGTGATCACGAGTTTAAAAGAGCATGATCCTCGAGATCCAGCACAAAACGTTATAATTTGTAGGCTAATAGTGCAAAAGTCCCTGGTAGAAGCCCTTCCCATACTGTCTAAAGCAACGCATCGTGAACCAGAATCCGAACAAATCCAAGCCGTCTAGTAAAACAAGGTGCCTCGAGGCAGGCCAACGTCCACTTCTGAGTGTTGAATGCAGCGGGGCAATGAAAAGAAGCCACCAAACGCCGTGTAGTGCAGTGACAATTAAGTTCACAGTAGCAAAATTCATCAGTTAGATATGCACCGTAGCACCCAGTCTATCCTCCAAACCCCTCAATTCAACTGATCCATTAAACCATGAACGATTCGCCACATCCACACTGCTCCTCTGTGAACAATTAGCCTCAACTCTTCAATATCTCACATGAAAAGAGAAAGAGAGAGAGGGGGGGGGGGAACTCACTTATATTTGGGTTCCGAAATACAAACCTCTGACTGAGCTCGTTCTCCACCCAGTCCATCTCGCTCCCGATAATGCTGAACAGCGCCTTGCTGTCAATCAGCACCTTGACACCGTCCTGCTCCACCAGCTCATCGAACGGGCCCGGCTTGTCGACATACTCCAAGTGGTAGGCGAGCCCGGAGCATCCCCTGTTGCGCACGCCGACCTTAATGAGCTTTGGCTCCGGCTGGTTAAGGAGTTCTCTGAGGTGGGCGACAGCTGCGGGAGTCAGGGTCATCGCCGCCTTGCGGGGTGTCCGTAGCCTGGAGCGAGGCCGGGCAGAGGGTTGTTGTTGGGTTGTGGACGGGGCGGATTGTTGTATTGAGGCGGTCGTTTGTGTCTTCTCTGTCGAAACTGATGAGCTCTGGCTTTGAAATTGTGATTGATGTTGTTGAGCGGCTGTCGATTGGGCTATGGTATCCTGCTTCGCGGTTGTCGGGATCTCCTTCGGCTGATGGAGCTCCGGGCCCAGGCCTCTCGGCGGCCGTGTCTCGTGGACCCTAGGCAGCGGCGTCTGGATGGGCGTGATGGTCTCAGTGACACCGCTGCGCGGCGGCGGAGGATGTGAAGGCAAGGTGTAGGCCTGGAAGGCTGTGACCATGGACGCAGGGGAGGTCGAGAACTGGCGATGAAGCATGGAGCGACGGCAGGCCAGGCACACGGAGGCCGAGCGTCTGGAGAAGACAGACGGAGCGTTCATGGCTGCTGTACGTGTGACTCTCAATAGCACAGTCGGTATAGCTTTGTAGGTAGCAGTTGGAATTGAGGCTCGAAAGCAGGATGCGATTCTTGTAGGTTGATGTCAAAGCAGGGCCGCTGCGGAAATTCGACGGCAACGGGAACGGCGAAAGCTGGTCAACAGGACCAACAGCGCCAAGACTTTATGGTGGCACGGTTTGAGTCGAGCCAATCATAGATCGAGCATTAGGAATCGAGCACAGGCCAGGGGCCAAGACGACTGGGGGTGTTCGGGTGACAGGCAACAAAGCGCCTGTTCTGAGTGGTCAATTTGGCACTGAGTTCTCCCGAACACCGAGACCCGTCGCGCGAATCGGCCGAAACAAGCATGGGCAATAGCCCATCATGACCACGCCATGGGAAATATTATCTGGGGAAATACGGGAAAGGCACCCACGCATCTCAGATTATGTCAATGCAATTGGATTAGATCCATTGCCGATTCAAGATGGTATCTCCACAGCGCCCATTACGTCACTGTGCCTGCCATCTTCCCATCCTTAACCCAAGCAGAGAACTACACATTACAGTTACCTATCTCTTAATCCTTCTCAGCAACCATGGCCCTCACATCCGCGACCGCTGCCCTCGCCATCTTCTTCAACAGCGTCCTTTCATCCGCCTCGCGATACTTCTCCCAACTATCCAGCCCCTCCTTCGCCTGAATACTCAGCGTCTCATACCCCTGCTTAATAACCTCAAACACTTGCAGACTCGTCAACTGCGACGCCTTTTTAGGCCCTCCCCCTCCCGCTTTCCCATCCACCAACATCTCCTTATAATGCTGGCTAACCTGCACCAGTGTCTCAATCGAATTACTATTCCTCTTGGCCAGCCCATACGTGTCCCTAAACTTAACCAACACTTCCCCGCTCTCGACAACCTTATAAAACAAATCATCATACGCCACCGGAGTCGGCAAGAATGTTTCCCCCGCCGATAGGCCCAGGGCAATCAGATTGACGACATGATCCAGTAGCGTATCAATGTGCGGCAGGTTCTTCAGGTCCGCCGCGTATGACGTCAGGAACCGGATCAAGGACAACAGACTCCGGAAGAGCTCATGCCAATGGTACTGCAGCCTGGTTCGCGTCCGGGACATGTAGCTTATGATCCGGAGCAAAATTCCCACGCACAGGGTATACAACCCCACATCAAGTCTTCGGCGCAGGTTGTGTGTCAGCGCATCGACCATCGTATCCATCACGGCTGTGGCGAGCACCCTGTCTCCACGGATGAGTGGAAGGTAAGGAGACCGTTGCCGGCAGAGACGCACGGAAACTTTGTGACCGTCGTCCGAGGAGCAAATACGTTTGCAGATGACTGGGTCTTCGATCAGTAATCGAAAGACCATTAGGTTCAGGTGGGTGTAGAGTGTTGTGCGCTGGGAGAGGTGTGCGTGTTGCACGAGATAGGAGGTGAGGGAAATGAAGGAGGAGAAAGGAGCTTCGTCGCTGGAGTTTGGGCTGCTTTTTGCGTCTTTGTCGGCTGCCGGGCAGGTGACGAACTCGAGGCTAAAGAGCTTGTTGGCGTGAGTGAAGTCGTAGGTGGCAAGGAGGACCGCGGCTTCGTGTCCTGGTCTGTGATATGTCAGCCCAATGCTTCCCCTAACTGTCTCCAAAAGACTTACAGCGTAGCAAACATCTTCTTCACCGTCTCGGCATCATACACCGGCTTCGGCGTAGGCTTTCTCCCCGGCGCAATTGCCCCCAAGCCGATCTTGTTGAGCGTTCCAGCAAACGACCACCCTTCGGGTAGATCATCTTGAATATCGATGTATTGTGCTCTCAGATTCTGACATGTCTGCCCCACACTGCGAACAATCCCCCTTATTACGCGCTCGTTGACAAAATCGGCCAGGCGCATCTGGTATGGGTTCTGGAACTCGAACTTGTTGTAATTGGCTAGTAGGCCCAGCAGCATGAAAGCCGGGGATATCCTTGGCCCGCTGGGTGAAGGGGAGAAAAGGATATGGGATTGGATACACTATTCCCATCCGTCAGCATAGCTCGCTTGCCATAAAGTGTTGGAAATATGGGGCACCAACGTTTATTATCGCCTGAAACAGATCCCTCTGAATAAAATAACTCAGCAGGCTTGTCTGATACGCCCCGGACGTAACCGCCAGCGCGACCTCGATCGCGCGATGTTGGAGGTCGGCCGTATACGTGCATGTCGATCTGCTGCTCACCACCCTCTGTCCCTCCTGTTGCTGCTGGTTGATATGTCCAATCCGGTTAGGACAACACTCCTGCGGCGCGCTGATCCGGCCGTTCCGGATGATCGCCTCGAGCGCGCCGATGAAGTCGGAGAAGATTGCGTCAACGTGGTCCAGGCCAGCAAGCAGCTCGATGATGTCGGAGCTTGGATTCGTGTACTTTTTGGAGAGAATGGAAGTTAAGAAGGTGCTTAGGGTCTGCGCGCATCAATATTGTTAGCTCCTATCCCCTGATGTGGTGTCGTGGTATGCCTGGGGTGCTCACCTCCAGCGCATGCAGATCAGCCACGCCATATGGACTCCTGAGCGCCGCAACGGCTTGCGCGAAGAACTGGCGTGTCTGGGAAAGACGCAGGTGCAACAGGTCGGCTGGAGCGATTTCGTCGAGCAAGGTGCGCAGGCGTTGGCGCTCAGGGCGCAGCAGGAAGAATTCCTTCCAGAAGCCTTCGCTGCGGTCGCTGTCATCTGGGTCGTCCTATTTACATTGGAAAAGGGGTGATTAGCCGGATCCTTCATCGTTTAGATCGGGCGCATGCGACAGGTAAGACAAACCTATCAGTAATCAAACAGTCAGTTCTCCAGACATCCAAGAACCAAGTAGAGGAAACAGCGAAGCCCTCACACCTTGAACAAGCTCTCATACAAATTTACAATCTTAGGCTGAAACACCTCCGGCCGAGGTTGGTGTGTAAGAGGAGACTGCTCCATCATCACTGGGGACAGCGGCGCTCCTCGGGGATTTGGAGTATTGCTAGGATGACGGGGGAGCAGGAACATTGAGCTGGATCAGGGCGGCTGGCGGATCATGGATGGGACCGGTTCAACCGGGACGAAGGTGTGGCTGTCTTGGTTGTCGCGTGCTCACAAGTGGGTGTGATTACGTATCGTTGTGGTGGAGAGGTTGCCGTTGAATTGGGCACGGCCAGGCCAACCGCTGTCGCCGGCACTTTGTGATAGCAAAAGTGATACGAACGGCTCGGGACGTTAGCGTAGCCCGCTCACTCGGCGAAAGCGAACTACTTCTTGCCTGGTTGCTTGGATCGAGATCCTGGGCGCCAACAACGGCAGCCAAGCGAGGCGCAAAAACAGCCCTGCAGCAGAACGCCAAGATCTCCCGACCAATTTAACACAGTGTAACGAACACTGTCTTACCCGAGTTCTCGGAGACGAACTTCACGAAAGCCGATGGAAAAGTGACAACTCAGCAAGTCAGCTCCTGTCATTGGGTTGCGCAAAACCTGGAGGAATCGAACTATACCTCGTGGGCATGAGTGGAGTGGAAGATGACAGAATATTTCTGGGATGAAAAAAAAATGCAATGCTACCTGTTGATTACGTACAGATCTGGCGTCGGGCAGCGATGATGGGGCTGGTATTTGACATGGCGATGACAAATTCTAGGGAGAAAGACCCATTACTAAAAGGCAGTTTCGGGCAGGATTGACAAATTCAGATGCAATTGGTATGTCAAAAAGAGGTTGGGGAGGCTTCGAAGGTATGCTAAGGTTGCAAGTGAATTATGTTTGCTATCATTTCTCGGCCAAGTCATGACCCTGAGCCTCACAGCTAACAATGGCGCCAGGATGTCAGCACAAGTATACCATGGTATGTAAGTAGTTGATAGTGATGTAGGCAAGCTTGCAAGCAGTTCAATGTCCGTCCATTTCCAGTGTGACGAAGAGTCTCTCCCAAGCAAAGCAATCGATCTGTGAGATCGAATTACTCGTCCCTAATAAAACTCTTTAAATGATCAGCTCCGAATCTAGGTCTCTACCCGGTGTTAAAATCCAGTCAGAGAATCCCAAATGCTTCTCGTGCCCATCCCCAATGGTTTTCTTTTCCTTTTTTCACCCATTCGTCAGAATAAGCCCTTGAAATGTGCGTTAGGAGTCCCCGAGGTAAATCAGATTAAAGGTTGTACACGAGAAAAAGACGATGTCAGAAAGGAGTCGTAACTAGTCCAGCAATGCCATGACCTTCGCCAAGAATATGTGCGACGATAGTAGCAAGAAAAAGGAAGACAAGCAAAAAAAGACCGAAGCTCAACCCGCTAGGTAGCAGAATGCAAAGGGAACCTTCATCCCATCAGCCGAAGAGAAAAACAACCCTGTGGAACAAGAGAACCGAAATGCCCGCTGAAATCGACCCAAAATGACTGCTTCTCAGAGTCCCCAACTGCCCTTCCTTTCTTGCACACCCCATGCCAGCGGGCTGACAGCATTCAGATCCGGGTGCTGTCTCGCCCACTCCCAGATATACTTCTTGAGCGCCTTCCACCGGGGACACCTATCCTCTTCCTTAACGCCATCCATCTCGGCATCCAGAATGATATGTCCCCTCGCCTGCTTCCCGTTCCCCTCACCATCGCCCCACAAACTGTTCATAATCTCCTCGTCGTCCCGCTCCAGCTCTGCAATATCAATCCTGCTGATCTTGCTCAACTCCTCGTCATAGAGCCGTGCCGTTGCAGGATACCCGAGCGAGAGGTAGTTATATACCTGCGTGACGAAGCGATCATCAAACTCGGCCGCAATCTTCTCCTCCAACTCCGCCGCCTCCTTCTCCTTCCTCAGCTTCTCGTCCAAACTATGTAAATTCTGCAGCATATGAAGTCCCTTTGGCTCATTATTCTTCGTCCGATGCTCCGGGTGTGGCGGGTGTCCACTCATCCCATTCGCCGAAGAAGGCCTATTCAACGTCGTCGCCCTTGTCGCGCCATCCCCTGAGGAAGTCGTACTGCTAGCTTCATCTTCACTCAACGTTGGCGCCGACATGCCAAACTCCCTAGCAAACGGATCCGTCGGACTACCCAACGGCTGCGGTGTGCTGATCAGGGCTGGCCGCTCCGCGGGCGCCACATGCTTACTGGGGTCCTCGCTGTAGCAGTAGCCGTGCCAGAGGCCATGTTTCTCCGTCGGGTCGCGGTTCTGTTCTTCCTGGGCGCCCGTATCCCACAACGGGCGGGGGTCGAGTTTCGTCTGCTTAGGTGAGGGACACCGCGGGAAGACGAGGTCCTCACCCAACAGGGGAGGCGACTTCTTGAGCCGTCTGCGATGCTGCTCGCGGGCGCGTTCCAAAGACATGTCGCGCTCTTGAGGAGGGTAGTATGGGTTGTATGGGGCGTGGTTGCGGAAGCCTGTCTCGGGCGGGATGCGCGAGGCCGGCACGACATAGGGCATGTCGCCTGCACGGCCGGCGGGGGCCGCGGGGATGTAGGGCATATGGCTTTCACCGACGGGGCGGATGGGGGGCAGCTCGGGGGGAGGGATGTACGGCATGGGAGACTCACCAATCGGCCGGATGCCAGTGATGGGCGAGTCGGAACGCAGGAGGGGCATGTGCGACTCCCCGATTGGACCTAGGCCTATACCGGCAGCTGCTGACGAGGGCGGCCGGGTTGAAAACCAACCGTCTGAGGAGCTGGCGATTGACGTCCGTTCTCGGCTGGTCAGGTGGATGGCGTCGCTGGGGGGCGTCCCCAGCGACATCTTGTCTAGTTCCAGGGAGTCGATGCGGTCAAGAGACCGGAAGCGACTGCTGTCCCGAGTCCGCTGGCGCTGGACCTTGAGGGCATGCTCCTGCATCTCCTTGAATGCCCAGCTGAGATCCTCCTCGGACGAGTTTCTCCTCGAATGGAGGTTGTTCCTCGTCCGGGGCCTTCCCCTGGGGGGAATGTCATCGTCGGAGGAACCTTCTCGCATAAAGAAGTGTTCTGCTCCGCCAGCTCGCTGGCCAGCGTTGGGGAACGCCGCTAGTGCAACTTCATGGAGCTTCCTCTGAGCCTCCCTGGCCGCGACGTCAAACACGCCGCCGGCAATCTCATCATCACAGGACTCGCGACGGGCAGGCCTATCGTCTTGTAATGCACTATCTGAACCATCGTTGTCTGTGGTCGTGGTAGCAGCAAACCTCTTTCTCGCCTTAGGTGCATAGATGTGGTTTGTGTAAGGGGTAATGTCGGTCTTGTCGGTAGGCCTGGTCGCGGGCCCTTCATCACCTGCACGATGCGAACGTCGGACCGAGGACTCGACGAGCTGGGGGGCGAAGCGGCGCTTCTCGCGCGCTGGGGGCGGTGAAGGAGAGCGAGGGGAAGGGCTCGGGGTAAGTTCGCAGGTCGGAATGGTCTTGCGGTAACGTTCAAAGGTCGTCTCAATTGGGATGGGAGCAAACCGCGCCCGCGGCCGCTCCTTTGCATTGGCCATCGAGGAAGTCACTTGATGTCTAGGGGAGGTGTTATGGGGCTGTTACACCATGCGATGGCGAACGAGTCGATGTGTCGACGATTGCTCGTTTGGGCGCGCCGAGACGATGTTGGTTGGTTGACTGCTATTATACTTGGTAATGGAATAATCCTTTGTGCACACAGAGGTCAGAAGGTATGTAGGGTCGCGTCAGAAGGTCAGTTCGTGTGCTGTTGGTGGGATGAGAGCCTGGTAGAATGCAGAATGTCGGAAGTCGTTGCTTTCGGCCTGTCGATATCGAGGGAGATGGAGGTCTTGAGTTGGATGGATGTGAATGGTGACAATTCAGGATCGTCAGGGTGCAGACAGACCGGAAGAGGGAAGTCTCGTCGTCAGATGGAATGCTTTGATTTCTTGGAATGCTACTCGTCTAGACCAGAGCGATCAAGAATCAGCTTGAACAGCTGCCAGATCTCGGTGCAGCATGGCACACTAGGGCTGGGTGATTGTGTGAAGTTTGACAGCTTGGTTTTGTAAGTCGACTTATTTAATGTAACCTGGACCCGACCGACACCAAACAGTGCCGCCAGGAACGATACCCTAGTAACCCTACCACGCTACAACGCAGCACGCAGGAGCTTAGCGTGGCTGCTTGGTACCCTGACAATGGGCAGCCAGTGGGCATAGGACAGTGGGAGAGTGGGGGGTCGGGTGCCAGCCGAAGGCGGTCACAAGTTACCGAGCTCTTCGCACGGTGTACAATAGCCTGGGTACTTCTGTCATTGACACCAGCCAGAGCAGCCCTCGACATGCAGACGCAGTGCTGCAGACATGCAGAAGCGCTGAAAGCGCGCGCACGATAGTCTCTTATTTTTGTGTGGGTCAAATGACAAACTTCAGCAGAGCTGACAGAGCCCAACGTCTTGAAGACTATCTCGCTGCGACGCCGCAAGTTATCACCAAGGTCGCTGCTGCGGGATGGCAGGGAGGGGTACCGCTAAGGTCACGGCACAGTGCCACCTCGTGTTGGAGAGTAGCCGGCCGCGTGCCTCGTGACCCCACAGTCAGTGACGTGCGGGAGGCTTGAACAATGGCACAGCACGCTTTCATTTGCCGTGTTCTGGAAGGAGGTTGGCGGCTTGTGCCTGGCCCATAAAGGAACCATCTGACAGCACTGTGCGAGCAGGTGGTTACACACGCAGCAACGCTTTTTGTAGCTTTTTTCTGCAAGTTTTGCCATCGTCTGTCTTCTCCAACACATACGATCTTGATGGAGCACATTGGGCTTCTGTCAGCTGTTGTCGCTGCTGTTACTCTGCAGCTCAGGTTCCTGGCAGCTCTCTACAGGCATATGCCCAGCTGTTTGTACTCCTTGATAGCTCTGTCAGTTTCTAGATCGCATGGCTGTAAGATACAGTACTTTAGACAGGTTCTTACTGATAGCTGCTTCGTATCCGGTGCCGGCCACAGAGCTGTCTTGTCAGGGGCAGAGAAATGTCAAATAGACAGGATGACAGCAGGATTCGACTCATCCTTGGCTGCTATGTATGGAAGCAAATAGCGCTGTGCTAGCCGTAAATCGTTCTTCGGTTCTCCTTCGCTCACCTCAAATTCTGAATTTAAACTCCATGTCATCGATATTGAAGAGGCTTAGGAGAAAGAAGAGAGTCAAAGTCTGTGATGACGCATCTAACTGGCCGCCATTCAACAAATCGTAAGCATCGATTCGATAGCAACACCAGCGCTTCAGGCCCGCAACAACCCAACCGGATATTTCCAAAATTGTCTTCGGCCCGCCACCAATGCATGTGCGGGCACAACCCCAACGATGGCGCGCACGAACACACAATCTGTTGCAATCACCATTTCTCCACTGATCAAGTGACTGCTGGCATTGTTACGGTTTACCGTCCATGGTCCCTAAACCTCAAAATGAATGGCGATGACAGGGCGACAGACATGCCACGCAGTTAACTCCGCAGTCCTTATAAATGGGACAGTTACAGTATGGAATGAGTTTCGCAACTCGGCTGCAGTTTCTGGCTTGGTTTAGTTATGACTTGCTCTGCGAGAGACCGAATTGCCGGATCCGACCAGACGGCTCCTGTCTTTGTCTCGCCACCACTTGCGTCTTCCGTTTCATCTCGCTGACTCCGATCGGGCACCAGCCGAGGCTAACGAGCCTATGGCCACGAGGACGAGGCTGTCAAAGCCCGACATTCTGGCTGCTTGCCATTCTCAGTGTGGTCTGCGCTTGCAGGGAAAGGTTTGTCGGGCATTGCCCTATTATCCATCGCGCAATGACAGCCCTGGCGGCGAGGACTGCTGACCTTGAGGCTCCTGACCCAAATTTCGGCCATGGCCATAACCCCCAAGTGGCTTTGCTGAAGCTCGCGTTCCCTCCCCCCCCCCCCCCGGTGGCGTCGACCTGAAGATCCAGCACCCCACGCGGGATCCGGGAGAAGCTCCCGAAGTGCAACAGAACAGAAGTAGGCGTTGCTAGTTGCTGTTGCAATGCGATGACTGAGAGGTTCACCCGCCGACACAAGCGACAAACAGCGGGCAGCTCCCCCGCTCTACCATCCCACACCGCTCACCTGCATCTCTCCTTGCCCTGCTGCCCGCCGCCTGCCTCATTGGCAAGTTCTGCTATCAGAGGGGCTTTTATCAAAAGTTTTACTCTGCTGTTACACACTGGAGATGTCGCAATATCTGCTCCCGCTTTGCGCATGTAGGGTTCGGGCTTTACATGCAGCACATAGTCCACATCCGTTTCCGTAGGCCGCCGTTACTCTATTCACTTGCGACATCCCCTTGTCCACTGCGAAAGTGAGGTGTGTCCGGGACGGAGTACAACTTCTTACATAACCTCTCACCGACCCATTTCAGCTCTTCACCCGGAAACCGACTGCTCACTCCTGAACTGCGGCACCGCTTCTCTAAATGACAGGCTCTCCCTTACACCGTACCTACCCTATAGCAGGAAATCTTGCGAATCGCCGACCGTTCCGCCAACTGCCCTCTGCACGCCATGCAGCATGAGACGCGATCCCCCCTAAACTTTTCTATTCTCGTGATACCAGCGGGTTTATGTTTATGTGATACTAAAACGCAGGAACTGTGAACCGACGGGATCCCATTGGATCTATGACAAAGATGCTCGGTTGACCCTCCAGCGCTGGCTGGCATGCGCCATGCGCTGTCCCACACATGCTTCAAGGCGCTTGCAGACTTGCCCTGCGATGGTGGATAATTGTCATTGACCGCCTTTCGGGGTTCGGCATTTGCCTTACACTACTTGTAACTTTGCTAGTTCGTAGGCTTGCGGTGTTGAGAAGCGCAAGGCTGGTAGCGCGGGGCTATCATGCAAGGGGATACAAGGCCTTGCCCTGCATCGCGTATCTTTACTGCGTTCGCTTGCTCGCCGTTTCTTCGCACATACTTGCCCTTGATGAGTTCATGCCTCAGAACCTGAGTGATGCTTTCTGGTGGCGTGGTATAGCGCCGTGCTTAAGGTCGGCGCATTCCGACTTCCACCCTTCTGTACCCTACTCTTTGGATACAGAGAAAAAGTACCTCTCTCAGTACACTTCCTCTGAGCGGGCGCGATTGAAACGGTCAGCACACCACCTGCAGTTTCTTGCAGTCATAATGGTGGGTAGCACTTTTTCAGGGGTTTTGCAGTGGTGAGTAAAAAGTCGATCGGGTCACCTGAGCCCCAAACATGGAGTGATTCTTGCTTAGAGACTTTTAGGATTCAAAAACCGTCAAGTTGTTTTTTCCCACTCACACACCAAATAGCTTCCCCGAGCAGACAGAACATCCCACATCCCTCCCCCCCCCTCCCCGGGGCCTCTTCCATTAAGCTTATCCCGCTCTCGTTGCCCAGCCCCAACGGCGCCTCTTCTGCGGAGGGAACATTCCTGGGGCAAATAAAACCCGCAACAAACCCGCAAAACCGTTTCGGATTACCAATTTGCTTCTCCCAACTGAACCCAACAAAGCTTACCCCAGATCTTGGGGTCTTGGCTCGTCGGTTGCGCCCGACACCCCGCGGGGATTCTGGAGATCATCCAAACGTATGGGGTCGGATGTGGAAGAAGTCGCTGAATGGACTCGAGGTCTTGGCTTGGCGTGCAAAGATGACTCTATTAGCTAACCAGCATTCTACCGCTCAGCTCGGCCAGCGCCAACACGGAGGAGCCGAGCCACATCTTATATATGTGAGTGGTACGTGATTGATCCAATGACCACAGTTAGGTGCCATTGCACATGAACATCTCCACAGGAGATCCAGGGACAGTTATAGATGCGGCTATGTCCCCGAGGCGGCTCGCTCGCTTACCGAGAAATCTTGCTCGCTCGCGAGTCGCTCGCTTTGAGTACTCGGTACGTAGTGTTCTGAGGGAGCCAAGGACGAATTGTGGCTAGAGTAGAGATCGAAGCAGCGAGAATGCCCTGGTAAGAGATTTGGTGGCGTGATACTCCGCAACCAGCTTGGAGCTTGGTAGCGAGCCCAAGCATGTGTGGGTACAAGATGCATTCTAGTATCAACACTGCCTAATGCCATGGCAAAGCTGAAGTACCCAATATATGGAATGTGACGTCTACCTGTTATTGTGATATAGGTCCAACCAGCTGATATAATGGCGTCAAACATGTCCACATTATCTAAGAAGCATATCTACACATCTCGTTGGGCATCAAGAGATCGTTTCCCAGCCCCATATCTTTGGACTTAAGTGCATGGAACACAATCTGGTTGCGAATTGACCAGGTACTTGCCGTTCCAACGGCTCATCTGATGTCAAAGATATGTCAGTTTACTTAGACCCGAAGCTGCGATGTCTCAGTTAACCACCGGAATTGTTGAGCACCGTGTCATATGCAAAATGCCTTCGGGGAGAGGGATAGGGTACCCGGTGAGCAGCGGACAAAACTCACTCTGACCGAACAGAGCTCGAGCATCGGAATATGATAAGGGGCAGTAAAAGAAAATCACCATATATCTCCCGATCTGATTCGGATAACCACCTTACACTCCTCCTCCCGTCGGAACGCTTCCAATTCGTCTCAAGCTGGGAAAGGCGCTCAACAGTTTCGGGTGACGGCAGAACCGCTGGGCTCTCATCAAACTGGCCGATGTCTTAAATGTAGATACCCAAGATAAGATATGGGTTACAGAAGGCACAGCTACGTCAGTGTCTTACTCAGACCGGTATCGGACTCTGACTACCAGCTGAAAGCGGATAACGGCTGATCCTAGAAGTTCGAACTCGTATCTGAGACCCGTCATCAATTCCTAGCCCCTGGATACCTAAGTCTTTGGCTACAACTTACAGTCTTTCATTATGGATCTAAGGGGGGGGGGGGGAGCCACACATGGGAGTTTATGGAGCTTATCAAACGTCAAGAAGAGCCCTCCGCGGTGCACTCGAATCTAGAGATAGAGCATAGGCTCGATGATCACCATACCTATCGGTCATCTATTACGAAGCTTGATAGCGCAGCTCAAGTTCCCAGATCGCAGTTGGATCCATGAAAGCACCTGATACGTGCAAGCGGGTTAGGTGTCGAGAAGCCTATAGTGTCTACCTTGGATGCCTATGAGCTCCTGGTGTTGAATTGAAGGGCCCCATCTCTCCGATGAATGCTGAAAAGCGATTACCAACGACCACGGCCTGGGCTCTCTCGCCGGGCAAGATTCCTGGGAGTTCCAGAATACCATTCTCAGTTTTCACCTTCTAGCCATCTATTACACTCAGCTAATACCAATCATAACTGAACTCAGAGAATTCATTGCGAACAAGACATATCACAGGGCGCAAGAAAAGAGACCAAGAATGTATACAGATGCAATATATACCTTTCCTTTCAGTCAGAATGCAGCTCAGAAAAACTATGCACACGAATTCAAACGCATCTATAATATATACACAGAATCCAAAACTCAACCATCACCCCCGGGTATCACTTCTTTTACCCCTCAAGGAATGCACTGGCTATACCACTCATTCTGCACCTTGCAGGTACCCTGCGCGCAAGTCGTCGGCCCGGTATACCCACGACCACCGCACTGGCCCCAGAGCGGCACGCTGTCCGAACCACCGCCGTTCGTGGGCGTGGGCTGGCTGGGTTGCGCCGTCGTAGTTGGCTGCTGAGGCTGGGGGTTGCTGGGCGCATTCGCGCAGGAAATGGGTCTCGGGCCAGGGATCTCATACGGGCGACCGCCATTCGTCGGCTGGCCGAAGTTGTCATAGATGTTGATGGTGATGCCGGGGTGGGTAGCGCTGTACGCGCCGGGGAAGGAGACGAAGTCGCTGCCGGTGTGCGTGCCGGAGCCGGTGACCTCGATCTGGGCGCACTCCATGTAGAACTGGGAGCCGCCAGGGGCGAAGGCGTTGTGCAGGGCAAGGAGCTCGACGCGCATGAGGTAATGACCAGGGGCGATGCATTGTGGCATGTCGAAGTAGTGCCAGCCGTTGTTGGCAATCATCTCGTCGACGGCCCAGACGCCGTTGTTGAGGCCGCGCTCGGCAATCTTGAACCATTGAAGGTTCTTATCGGAGGCCGTGGCGGCGTTGTCGACCTTGGCGAGGTAGACTTGGATAGGACCTGCAAAAGTGTTAAAAAATAAGCAGGCTTTGTGATATTCTCGAAAAGGGAGACATACCCTTGTGTGACTTGGCAATAGGATGATCCGGGTCATTGGGCCCAGCAGCGCCGCCGATCTCGTGACCCCACCAGGCACCAACGCGGGCGCCAGCCGGGATCTTGATAACGTTGTTGTCCTTGAAGACGATATTGGTGTTGCAGGCGAAGTCAGGGTGGTTAACGTTCTCGATGGGGAAGTTGCTGGAGGGGGCACGGATGCCAACGAGCTGGCCCTGGTCAACGCCGTTGACCGAGACGCGCTGGAAGATGGCGTGGGCGCTGGCCGAGGTGGCCAGGGCGACGAGGCTGAAGGGCTTCATGGTGATGGGAGTTGTCTGAGGATCGGCTCAAGAAGTGACTTTCTTCGGGCTGCTGAACACCGCGGTGGTGAAAATGGTGCGAACATGACATAACAGCGGGCAAAGAGCTCTTCATATACACCATCTCCCTCCTTCCTATCCTCGCCATCTCATCCACAACTCCGGGTCTCTCTCTGGAGACTAACGGCTCGTCTCCGAACATCACAACTACCTTTTCCAGTAACGGAGTTAAGCCCTCCAGGCCGAAACGGTCAATACCGGTCTTGGCGCGGACCCTACGAGCCGCCGATGCAAGGGTGTGGACCTGGTTTCCCCAGATCTTGAGTGCGGCAGCGGCACGAATGCGCCCTCGCAACCCGGATCTGAGAAAATCACAGGGTCGCGCGACCCCACAAGGATGGCACAGAAGCGTGGTACTGGGAATTTCGCTGGCCTGCTTTGAGAACGATGACTGGGCCGCTAGAAGTCAGCGCCGGACCGGATTCCGGTAGAGCGGCTAACTCTCAGGATCTGTTTCAGGAGGGTGCGGGCTCTTGGCGGTAGCCAGTTCCTGGAATTGGAGAATTCGGCTCGGAAGGCAACAAGATCGCCACCTGAATGCTATATTGTGCCCCGTGATGGAGGAGGACAAATACCGGTGGTGGGGAGGTTAGTTTTGGTTCTGTCAGCGACGATGGGGTTCGACGGTCGCTTGACCTATGCGAGGAGCATTGAGATGCAAGGCAGTGCCCAACCGCGCTTGGACCTTGGGTGTCGATCGTCAAGCATGACGACGGCTGATTTTAGCATCGCTAGTGTGACTGGTATAGGATTGGTGGGAAATTTGCTATGCTGAGGAAACAGCATCCGAACCGAGATCATGAGGAGGGGACATCGTAGTAGTCGATGTACTTGTGCATCTTAGATAGCAATGGTCACTGAAGTTAGGACCAGCACTTGTCAAGATCATGATGACAGCCATAATTGAAGCGATAAAGAAGGAGGAGAGGGAAGAGTAAATCGAAATGAAAGATTCTTGAGAGCGTGTAGGATCGTCAAAACAAGTCGGTCTTAAACACCGATCGCGAAACTTTTCCCCTGCCTGTCAAGATCGTCTTTGACTATGCCGTACCCTAACACGGCATCTTTGTAGGATCGAGTCAGCACGTGATTCCATCTGGAGCTGGCATCTCAGCGAGCTCGGCGAGTGTGGAGTGCATTCACCTGGAAGCCGACCGTAGGCCAAAAGAAAGCTGGCTCGGAATTCGGAATAGAACAACCCAACTTTGGTAAGCACACCACATGCCACACGCATTCCGAAAGCGACTCAGTGCTCGGTAGGAGAACTCCAAATGGAGGAGGGTACGAAGTGAAGACACCTCCCGGAGAGACTGCCCCGGACAAGAAAGCCAAGCCCATCCAGAGGGCAGATTTGCCTTTGCACACGACAGGAGGGGTGAGCATAACCCAAGCTAAGCAGGGCATATTCTTCATGGGGAGGCCAGCGTGTGATGACGCTTCACCCTCCAACCCTCCATTAAGGCCGTAAAAGTGTCCCGTTGGTTAGATCGGGCTGTTAGTGCCGGAGGCAGGCCATGCATGGGGAGTTGAAGTGTGATAAGGAGCGTGGGATTCGTGTGACAGGAGGAGAAACAGGGCTGAGTCGTTAAGCACTGAATTTAAGAAGGGCCGAGCTGACATATATCTAGGTGTTAATGATAAGTAGCTGGAGGGATAACGACTGGGCGATAAGAAGGCTGACTGCGACACAGGCAGAGGCACAGATATAGTATAAATGGATATAGTTGAGATATAGCTGACGCATGGGGCGATATGAATGCGACAGACTTATCGTGCATCTCAACACCAGGTATCAACCTCAGTGTCGGATAATGCCCCGACTCTTTAAGCCTGAAACATGTCATTGGGACAAGTCATGGGAATGTACCGCCCACACCGGACCGGCATGCGTCACGCCCTTGGGCCGCAGCCGGTGACTTCAAATGAGCGGCAGCTTGAGTGCTCGCTGTCAAGGCATGTTTGTGTTTGCTGCAGGACCAGCACCTGAGGTCCTGAGTGCTAGTAAATCGTTCCAGTGCAGGAGTGAACAAACCGCCCAGCTTGTGTTGAGTCAAAAATCGACTTTGCTCTAAAGGAAAACGAAGAAACGAGATGAGGAGAGATAAAAGCATGCGAAGCTGAAAGATGGGTCGTGGACCCCAGCACAAGCTAAAAATGGGCCCCTCGAATTAGTAGCATACTGTGTTAACACTGTGTTTGTCCCAGACATGGCCTAGTGTCATCTGTATGAATGTATGCATATTATTCGACCACTATCTACCCTATCTAGGTCCTCGGGTCGTGCCCACAGCGACGGCAGGCAGCAGCTTGCTAAGTACATTGTGCGGAAAAACCGTGTGTAGCTTGTGCCTGCTGGTCAAAGACCAGGGGAGTGCCAGGTGGAGGGAGCCGGATCCAAACTGACGACCTGCCAGGCCATAGCAGGCTTTTCCGGGAGCAGCATCATCCAATTGCGCCATCCCCAGCTGGCCTGGTTAACATCGAGTGCAGACACTGAGCAAGAACCACATATATTATGCAGATAACCACTTATAGAGGTAGGGACACAGCGATTAAAATCTGACTAACTGCTTGATGGACCTGCAAATTCCCGCTCTTGGCACTAATTCATCCCAAGTTGTGTGAGGTGGTACAGGTAACGGTTCCATGTGTTATCAGCCAATGGGCACGGTTCTTGTCGATATGGTTGAGTGCAAGGGCACATTGTGTTCGCGGCAGAGTCTCATATCCATCACCAGTCTCATTCTGTGCCAGTGTGGTTAACACTGTGTTGTTGATCCTCATCAGCAGCGTCCAGCTCTGCGATGAAGCCCAAGTCAGAGTGACAATTAAAAAGATGAGACTGAATAGAGCTTGTCACGGGGAGATGAGATTGCTACCAATTTAAGCTCAGGAACCTTCCCAGGCCGGGTTCCGGGAGGAGCAGATGGATGACTGTGGGATGGTGATTGTGGATCGCGGCGTCGATGCGCTGCAGGGTAAAGTGAATCTTAACCAGTTTCCGGCTTCGCCATTCTTTCTCTCTGCATCTCACTGCCGTTGCCGCTGAGTGTGCATGAGATTCTTTGTAATTTTAAAACGCTTGCTTGTTGAAACGGGCTGTCTGGAAGAGTTACTCAGCGACGGGATCGATGGGATGATTGCACTCTCCAGGCTTTTCGTGGATGAATCCTTTTGACTCCATTACCCTGCGGATTACCCCTGAACGAGAACAAACGCGAGGCAGCTTGTGTCTTTTTTGACTCTTCTGCCTCTCCCAATATCTCGCTGCCAACAATTCTCCAATTTCTCCATCAATCGCCCCGCTACCCCTGAGTTTGGCGCGGCGGAAACTAGCGAATCCTTGCCGTGGCTCGGCTCCTGGATCGCTTGGAGAGTCGTGATTTTTGCTATTTCCAGCATTTTACTGCCGTCACCGGGCCCCACCGCACAGCCGTGTCAGCGCCCTAGCACTCGGGCTCATTCCTGATCAATATCTGAGGCTGTCTTGGTCTTGGTCTTGCTCCTGACAGTCTGTTGATGCCTCGTTGCCTCGAGTAGCCGCCATTCCTTCGTTCTTCCCCCTTCCCCCCTTTTTTTTCTCTTTTTGCCTCTTTCATCATGCCAACGGCACGGTACAACGCCGTCGCGCAGCACGATAGCGACGACGACGAGGCCACGCCGCCTGGGTACACCGAGTCCGGCGTCATGCTGCCCCGTACCGACGCCGACAGCCCCGGGTTGCAGGACCCGGAGCAACCACTTCAAGTTGCAAAAGGAAAGCCAGTACCGGGCCCGAGCAACGTTCCATCGACGATGACGATAGGATCGAACCTACCATACCTTGCCCTCGACGAGCAGGCCTTTACGCCTTTATCTATGGAAAGCAGCGAGTTTGCTCTCGAGAGTCAATCACAATCCCTGACAAAGAATCAACAACAAGATGCCCTCCAACCAACACCCTCCCGCACAAAATCCCGATCCGCGCGTCGCCCTCCCTCTCCCCCCAAAAAATCTCCCGGCGCCCTCGAAGCTGAGCGTCTCGTGCGCACCGCCAAATCCCTAGAACGTCTCCGAACAGCCCGCAGTATGGAGCGTCTCCGACGCCAGGCTAATGCCAGCGCGGCCAGCAGCAGCAAAGAGAGCAACAGCAGCGCTAATGCTGCGGGGAGAGGTACCTCGCCGGCCCCTGGGACCCAAATACACGTCGAAGAGGTTGTGCAGTCCTTCGAGAAGCTGCACAAGGCTGCTGTGTCAGATGCGGAGAAGTTGGTGAGGAGTAAGAGTCAGGGACATAGGGAACGGCCACCAGTTCCTCCGGTGCCGTCGACTTTGAGCCTGAATCTGGGTTCAAAACAAGAACAGGACGAGCGCGGGGAAGGACAGAGGACACAAGATCCCGACGAATCCGCCACTGCAGATGCAGGACCTGCAGCAGCCAGCGCTGATCAGCAGCTCCAGAGCACAGTGGGTGAGGGCAGCCACCAAGGTGCTACGCCGCTGCTGACTGGCGGCATCAGCAACAGCAGCGGCAGCGGCAACGCCGTTGGTGCCCGAGCGGCGGACGACAACCACGAAAACGAAACTGATTTCCGCTCTCGAGAGGCTGTGCCACGCGCCAGCAATGCAGCGCTTCCCGATCCTTCTAAGGACACATCAGCCACAGCGAACGGCGATCGGTACTCAAAGCTTTTATCTTCAGAAGAGCCAGACCCAGTCCCACAAACAATTATTGCCCAAACAACACTCATCCGCCCAACCCCCTCCGCACCCCAATCCCCCGTGCGCACACGCACCCGAGACAGAGCGCCCTCCAGCCCGAAAGCTATCCGTCCTCCTCTCGTTCGGACGGCATCGACTGCCAGCGTCACGCTCAGCCATCCCGTGCCCGACTCGAACAAGTTGTCACAGGCTGGCGGGTTCTTGGGAAATATCGCTGCCCTGGAAGCGACCGCAGAGAGGTTGGCTTCGTGTGGTGACTCGACGCTTGAGGACGCGATTAGGGAGGAGCATAACGAATTGAAGAGGAGTGAGAGTCGGAGGTCCAGGGCGAGTACGTATCGCAGGACAAGGGGAGAGAGTATATCGGAGGATCAACAGCAGGTTGGTACGGGGGTTGGGGTGAGTCGGCAGAGCTCGGTCAGGAGTACGCATGCTGTGACGAGGTCGAATATGGCCGCGTCGGGGTACATGATGAGTCCGAAGCGGTTGAGGTCGGGAAGCAAGGCTAGTTCGACGGGGTTCTCAGGGCAGATTCCCGAGACTGAGATCACGACGGGTGCTGGGCAGGAAAATGAGGATGGTTCGCATCCGCCGCCGGCGAGATCAAGTTTTCTTTCTCGCCACGGACCTGGCAAGGCGTCAGTCCGCAGTGTCGCCAGCAGTCGGATCTCCTTAACCCAAATCGCCGAGCTGGAGCCTCCGTCAGCCATCACCCAAGAAGCCCTGGACGCAGCCGACCGCGCCGCCGCCACCGGCCAACACGACGACGACGACGATGAAGACGTCCTGCGTGCCCGTGCCCACCAATACATTGAGGACGAGTTCGCCGAGATGCTCAAGGACGTGCCCGACCAACCTCTCGGTGTGAGCCTTGGCCTCAGCGATTTCTCTCTCCCGCCACCCGCTACCTCCTCAGCACCAACACAAATCCCAGGCGCCGAAACAGGTGGTCTCAACTTCCAAGAATACCGCGACGAGCCCTTCCCTCGTCTTCAGCTCCACCAACCGGATAACTACCAGCCCTATGGCGCTTCTCAGCCTCTTGAGCATCACCTCCGGCCTGCTACAACTGCGTCCACGTATGATACTGAGGCTGCGGCAGCTCAGGCGGCGTTTGATGACTTTGATGGCGTGCACTGCGACCCGGACGCCCCGGATCCAAGGCATTCTCTCCCTCCATCCTCTGCTGAGCACGGCTCGGTTCGTCCTTTGCCGACATACACAGCCTATGGTCCCGCGCCTCCAAGACCACAACCGCGTCTTGGCTCACAGCAGCGTCCGACATCGTATATTGACCCGATCACAGGGCAGCAAATGATTTATTACCCTGCCCCAGTGCCGGCTATGTTGAACCTCCCGCCGAAGCTGAGTAAGAAGCCAAAGGCTGCGCAGCGGAATGCACGGAGGTCACAGATTGTGAGCCACATGCCGCAGGCGGCGAGGGAAAGCAGAACTTGGTTGCCGGATCCGACGGAGGGGTTGAGGGAGACCAGCGATTTTAGTATGGATGTGCTTGGCAGGGAGAGCGAGGAAGGACCTGTGAGGATGTCTGGGGATGGACAGACCCAATCGGATGGGCCAGGGGTGAGACATTCCGTCAGTTTTAGTGTTGACAGCACGGGTCAACAACCCTCATGTTATGGACCCCGGCAAGAGCAACCTGTTCCTGGTCCGGTCCCGGGCGTTGAACCGCAAAATCTTCGCGTCCCGCAAAGCCTCAAGGAGAACCGCAAGTCCTCCATCAACCCTCACCTCCGCGCCAGCGCCTTCTTTGACCTCCCCTCAACCACGCTTCCTAAGCTCGAAGTCAAGAACGGCTCGGCTATGGATACCCTCGATAGCATCCTCGACGCGTCGGCGACTGCGCCAGTCAATGCCTTCACGGATCATGTCTTTGCAGGAAAGCTGGGTGCGGAGGTGTACGGCCCAGAGAAGAGGAAGAAGAGAGTTAAAAAGAGCACTACCGGTCAAACACAGGAAGATAAGAAGGATGATGAGGCCAAGGACAAGGACAGTGACGAAAAGAAGCCCAAGAAACTTGTCAAGAGCAACTCAGCCGGCAACCTCCTCGACCCAAATCAAGCACAAGAAAAGGACAAGAAACGCGCCAGCCGCTTCTCCCTTTTCACCCACAAACGCTCTCCCTCCTCTTCCAGCACTTCCCCGTCCGACGACGAAGATGCCCACCCCCATCCCCAAAAACAGGACTCCGAATCGGAGTACACCACCGAAACCGAGGAAGAGCCGGAACCCATTTACCAAGGCCCGCCTACAACCCTCCTTGCGGAGTTGCAAATCCGGAAGCAGCAGGTCAAGAATCGGACTCGGTTACCAGCTCATGCCCGTACAAATGGCATGCATACTACTCTCTTGGAACTAGACGCGGTAGCAGAGATGGAGCGCAAAGCTCGTCTAGGCAAGCGCGTTACCCTCGCGTGGGAGGACCCTGCCGCGTCCAAGCAGGATGAGGAATCGGATGAGGACGTCCCGCTTGGCATGTTATATGCCGCTAAGGTAGCCGGAGGGGCGAAGCGGTCCTCTACGATGGATATATCTATCCTCATGAGTGAAGTGTCACGCCCGTTGGGGCTGATGGAGAAGAGAGAGCTGGAGGATAATGAGCCTCTTAGTCGACGACGAGAACGACTCCTGGCAGGCAAGGACCCTTCGCCAGCGGCGAACCAGGGCTTATCGCTGGAGATGCTGCAGAAGAGGTTGACGCTTGTACCTGGGGCTGCGCCGACCGGACTTCAATTGCGACGGGAGTCGAGGTTAGCCATTCCTGGGCAGGGGGCGTCATCGGGTAGTAACCCCAGGACGAGCTTAAGTCGACCCGGGTCGAGGGCGCAGAGTTTAGTTGGCGTTGCTGGTGTTGCTCCTGTTGGTCTTGGAGGTAAGGAGAGTGAGGAGAGTGAGCATGAAGAGGAGACGCTGGCTGCAAGGAAGGAGAGGCTTAAGAAGGCGAACTTACCTGAGCCGCGGCCCGTCAGTGGGGCGTTTTCGGCCGAGGTGTTGAGTCAATTCGCGCCAGAGGACAAGGGCGAAAAAGAGAAGGATCCGCCGGCTCACAGTCGGAATGTTTCTTCCGTCTCTGCCACGGCTGCTGCTCAGCCCCAAACCCAAGACGTCCCAGAAGAGGAAGAAACCCTCGCCCAACGGCGCGCTCGTCTCCAACGTGAAAGGGAAATGGCTGGAGCGGGCGGTAGCCTCCCACGTTCAACAACCCCCCTACCCAGCCTCAACCTCAACCTCCCTGTCCCCTCTCTCAACCTTCCGACCAACACCAACAACCGCCATACCCTAGCCCCAGGTGCAATCTCAGCCTCAAGCGGCGGCCTCAGCACCTTCCTAACCCGCCCCCCCTCCGCATTCGTGATGAACGACCCCCGCGAAGCAGAACGCCTCCGCAAGGAGGCCGACGCAGCGAGGTACCAGCGCGAGCAAGCTGCTAAATTGGCTGCACTAAGGGCACAGATGCCCCAGTCACTCACAACTCCGACAATAGGGGCACGGAGTGGGGGTTTCATGGGGGGGTGTTTAATGATGGCTTTGCCGGGGCTGGATCAGTGGGGAGTATAAATGGGAGACCGGTGACGTCGTATTATGGGACAAGTGCGGGAGGGGGAATGACGTTGTTGCAGCAGAGGGAAATGCTGGACTATCAACAACAGCAGCAGCAGCAATTTAGGCCTGGGACTGGGACATTGTTGGGGCAAATTCATCCTCAGCAAGGGATAGGGATGAACATGGGGTATGCTGGCGGGATGGGACTGCAAAGCGGCTTTGGCGCGTCGACACCCAACTTGGCTATGGGGACGGGCACGGGTATAGGAGGTGCAGGGTACGCGGGTAATGTTGGTGGGGGAGGATTGGTGGGCGGTACGCTTGGGATGCCTGGGACTGGAACATATGGAGGGATGATGGTGCAGCCGCATGGAACGGAGATGGTTGAGAGGTGGAGGCAGAGCGTTTTGCCTTGAGCGTGTAAGACCAGTTGGATAGACGGAGAGGTTTTGCATATTAGCGAGAGCCACTGGAAGTAGCATTGAGGGTGGTGAGGGGTGTTTGTTGTTCTTTCGAGAGCAAGTCCGTATTTTAATAGTATAGTACCGTTGGTAATAGCATCGGCATACGCAAGCATTTATGAATACAAATCCCAAACACGATGTGCTGGCTGGTGGCTTCATTGTCCGTTTTGAATATTTCTCGTCAGTTCATAACTTACTCGAACCTTATCTGGAAGAAGGTTAAGGGACCAACCAGGCTGCTGCCGAACTGCTCTTCGGTGCCAAGTATGCCAAAATTTTCGCCATTTGGCGGTTTGTTCAATTTCCTGTACTATTCGTACCAGCTTGCTCACAGCGGCTGTTGATCTTAATCCGGATGTTTTCACTTACACGTCGCCGCGACCCTAGCCCTGGCTTAAACGCGGCCCAGTCCTCACCCAGAGATGTCAGCATTCAATGAGTAACTTCAAATGCGCATGTCACAGGTTTCCGTAAAATAGGTCAGTCTTGGAATAAGTCTCGGAGTATGTGTCCAAGATGTGGCCAGGCTCGCAACGCGCATCAGGATGAACAAACACCGGGTTAGGGTTGTAACAAACACCTTTGAAAGAGCCATAAGGGTTAGGGTGACTCCCCTCAAGCTTATCAACTAGGACAACGCCGTCACGCCCTCTTTGATCCTGCCATCGCCAACTTCACCCATTACCTCCAACGCCGTCACATGACGGCATCTGCATTCCCACGCGATGCATTCGACAACAAAACCCGATCAATAGCAATTCCATCCGATACATATCATTTCCTCAAATGCCAGCGATGTCCCGATCGCCGTCGGCCTCAGCGCTCCTCCCCTTACCCGGTGCTCCATCCTCATCATGGGCCATCTTTTGCGCGAGGGTGAAGCAAGTCTTTCAAAGTGCTGAAGCTCCAGTCCTCGTCGCGTTCTGGATATTTGGTGCGTTTCTCCCTTCCATATCGAGACAAAACCACGATACCACAAACCCCAAACAAAAGCATCCCCCACCGTACAATCTGCTAACTGTACATCCAGGCCTAATCAACAACGTCCTTTACGTGATCCTCCTCTCCGCGGCCCAAGATCTAGTCGGCTTAGCCACTCCCAAAGCTCTAGTCCTTCTTGCCGACGTCGCCCCCTCCTTCTTGACAAAACTCATCGCGCCGTACTTCATTCATCGCGTCCCCTATTCCGTGCGCATCGCCATCTTTGTGTCGTTCTCCCTAGCCGGTATGCTTGTCGTCGCGTCTGCGCCTGTCAAAGGCTCCGTCCCGAGGAAATTGTTTGGTATTGTTCTCGCCAGTTTGTCTTCTGGTGGTGGGGAACTGAGTTTCCTGGGATTGACGCATTACTACGGACATATGTCGTTAGCCGCATGGGGGAGTGGCACCGGAGCAGCAGGGCTGGCCGGCGCAGGGTTGTATGTCTTGTTAACAGGGTGGCTGCAGCTGGGTGTGAGGAAGAGTCTGTATATGTGTGCAGTGCTGCCGTTTGGGATGGTGGTCGCTTTTTGGGGAATTCTTCCTCGCGCAAAGTTGAAGGCCGCTGGTACGGCAGTGGTTTACGAGAGGTTGGCGGATGAGGATGGTGAGGATTTTGGGGATGTACCACCCGCGGCAGCGTCTTCGTCTCTGTTGTCCCCTGGTCCGGCGGCCGCTTCGACGGCGTTCCATACCCCCTCTGCAACTCTAACCACAGCCAAATCCTCGGAGTCGTTCACCTCCAAACTCCGCCGCGCTCGGTCATTATTCATACCATACATGTTCCCCCTCTTATTAGTCTACATCGCCGAGTACACCATCAACCAAGGTGTCGCGCCTACTCTCCTCTTTCCCCTCGACAAATCCCCCTTCACCGAATACCGTGCCTTTTACCCCTTCTACGGCTTCCTCTACCAACTGGGCGTCTTCATCTCCCGTTCTTCAACACCCTTTATCCGCATCCACAACCTTTACACCCCTTCTCTACTTCAAGTCGCTAATTTGATGCTTTTGATATTCCACGCAATGTGGGATTTTATTCCCTCCGTGTACATTATCTTCATAATTATCTTCTGGGAGGGGTTACTGGGGGGCGCAGTGTATGTGAATACTTTTGCGGAGATCATGGAGAGTGTTCCGGCGGAGGAGAGGGAGTTTAGTCTTGGTGCAACATCAGTTAGTGATTCGGGGGGTATTTGCATCGCCAGCTTTTTGGGGATGGTGTTAGAGGTTTGGCTGTGTCAGTGGCAGGTTAGCCAGGGGAGGGATTATTGCCGGAGGATCGAGAGGGGTTGATGCAATGAGACTTCTTGGGAGATGGTTTGGCGTTATGTCGATGCTTTTCTCCTGTCGTTTTCTGAGTCTTCTTGGTTGTCCCTGGCTGTTTTCCAGAGATTTGAGGGGAAGGCGTTTCTGTGCGTGGTGTCGGCGCGTGACCAGCTTAACAGAATGGTTCTCTCCCATAATCGACAGTAATCTTCTTATGGGGGCTTCAGTCACTACCATTAGGAGATCGTCGTTCCCGAATGTCAACCCTTCAAGTCTCCGCCATTGCAGATTCTAGATATCACTTCCCAGAAACTTATCCCCCTAGTTAAGGCTACTCCATCTTATCTGCGAAATGTCCTTTTAGTCGCATATCACGATAGAGCCACCAATCAGAAGAGAAGGAACAAGGGGTAAATGGGAATGCATTGGTGCGTCTGCATAATATAGCATGTACGATCTCTTCATACTGTCGACAAACTTACCATGAAATAGATGCCTGTTTCAACATAGGTCTGCCAAATACATTGATCTCTAATGGACATTACTTTCTCATCTTTGTGTTTCCGTAAGCTTTCTTAGCACCTTCCCTTTGTGGTGCTTTCCTGATCGTCAAGCCCATTGTCTCAAGTCCGGGGCAAGAGCCGGCTATTTTTGACATGCTCGCTTCCTGCAGCAGGGACACTCGCCAGCTGTGCCGCAGCCACCAGCCCTACCGGCATGAAGTCGATCTCCCGGATATTGAGCCCTGTTGTACCGGACTTCAGCATGTCTGGTCTGGTCTGTTCACCGAATTCCCCGACTTCACTCGAAACAGCGGCATCAAAAGTTCGCCAACACTAACTCATAGCTCATAAGCACAATGAGAACTGGTTGTCATCACAGACTCTCATTCATCAATACACATTAACCTCTTACTCATAAACTCTATATACACAGCATTTACTCAAAAAATGGGTATACAAAATTTCTAAAATCTCTCCCCCTTAAAGCAGATCACCGCCGCCGCAAGGACCAGAGTGGGTATGCGGGCCATGGCCATGCACACCACCGCTCCTTTTCAGCAGTTGCGCCATATCGGCATCATATCGGCGCCGAACCGCGCTTGGCTTGGGAAACCCAGCCCAGCTGGCAGCATACTTAGCCACCGAGTTGGCAATAGCCTTGGTGTTGAGCAGGAAGGCGTCCTTGGCGAGGTTGTCAACAGTGTCGCCCGCCTTGTGGTAATTCACATCGTAGGCAACCCCAGCCTTGCCACCAAAGAGCTTGGCCTCCTCCTCGGTCTTGAGGACCTCAGCACCGGTGAACAAACCTCCAGACGGAATGCCGTTCTCGATAAAGGCGGCGTAGTCAGAGCGGCCCGAAAATTCAGTCGGGACGGAGGGGGTCTTCTTCTTCTTGAAGAAGTCCTCAAAGTCCTTCTCAATGATGTCAGAACCCGCCGGGCCGGTCAGGTTGAAGGCGTTGCCGTCACCGTCGTAAATGCCGTAGATATAGTTGGGGGAAGCGATCATGTCGAAGTTGAGGTAGGCGCGGATCTTGGCGACTTCGGCCTCGGACTCGTTCAGGGACTTCATGTAGGCGTAGGAGCCGAGTAAACCAAACTCCTCGGCCGACCAGAAAGCGAAGCGCACCGCGTTCTTGATACGCACGTTGGCCTTGGCCAGAGCCTTGGCAACAGTGAGAATACCAATGGTGCCAGAGCCGTCATCGTTGATGCCGGGACCGGCGGCAACGGAATCAGAGTGACCGCCGACGATCAGAACGTTGTTGTGGTCACCCTCCTTGGTCTCGGCGATGACGTTGTAGGTGGTGCGCTCCTCCACGATGGCATCGATGTTGAGGGTAGCGGTGACCGGCCCGGCAGCAAGCTTCTCGAGGATGACCTGGCCGTCCTCCTGGCTGATACCGACGATGGGGGCATAGTCAAGGAAGGGAGTGCCCAGGGTGCCCGAGAGCTCGCCAGGGACGTTGTTGTAGACGATAGCGCCGACGGCACCGGCGGCCTTGGCCTTCAGGGACTTGGAGCTGAAGGTGCAGGAACCACGGGAGATAAGGGCAATGTTGCCGGCAACCTCGGCAGGGTAGTCCTCGTCCTCGCAGCCCAGGTTGGCGACTTGGACGAGGTTGGCGGTGGCGCTGCCGCCAGGGGTGTAGGTCATAATGCCGGCGTCAATTCCCTGGCCGTCGACGATCAGGGAGCCGGAGCCGGAGGAGAAGATCTCCTTGAAGGGCTGCTTCTTGACAGTGTAGTAGCCGCCCAGGGAGGTCAGGGTCTTGTAGAGGTAGTCGACTGTGGCGTTGTGGCCGGCACCACCGAAGGCACGGTTGCCGCCGTTCTTAGTAGCGATGTCCTGGAGCTTCTTTGCGCCGTCCATCAGGTCCTTGAGAGTGATCATGGACTGGAGACGGTTCGACGAGACCATAGGACGAAGGTCGATCTTAGGCAGGCCGAAGCCGTGCGGGCCGCCGGCCGCAGCCAGGGCGGGAAGGGCGAGAAGAATGGCAGACTTCATGGCGTCAAACTAGAGATGCTGTTATTGTCTTCCGGTCTCTCTGAGGGGCGATGAGCGTGAGGATTGACCTTGAAAGGGCATCATCTTGGCTTATATATGCCGTGACACCGTCTATCTCTTCGCTTTCATCACTTAGCCAAGTCCACAAATCTCGGCGTCGGACGACTTGGCCATCAAGTTCTCTCCACAGTCGCTCCTCGGGCGTAAGCAGCATCACAGAATGAGGGCATCACCACCGTACCTGCTTTTCCGTAAACACTCGCCATCCCAGCAGCTGCAACCCTTTCAGGCGCGCCTTCTGGAAACGCCATCAGCTGCATCGATCGCGCTTGTCCAGGCGATCTCCTTGCGGAAGCTGCTGCAACCTCTCCCTTCCCCAGCTTCCTTGTCCAGTTAAGTCCACTTAAGCAGCTGCCCCGCCCTGTGGCGCCGTCTCTTCCGGCTGCCTGCCCGCCGCTAAGTCCGCTACGGCAGGTCTCAACGGCGCCTGGCCTTGGCGTGCATGCCCACTACCGGGGTTCGGCGCTCCACTGATGAGCTAAAACGGGGGGTGGCCAGTGAAAATCCGTGCCTGGCGTGGGGTGACCCGCTGCGACAGAAGTGGTGGATCCGATAAGTCGAACGCCGGGAGTTGAGCCTGCCCGGTGAATCATGGTGCAGATGTGCATCTTTCCCACCAATGCGACCCTGCGATTTCTCATGCTCTGATGCGCTCTGGCAAGCTGCGATTTCGCCCATGGCGCGCATGCCATGCTTGGTGCTGTGCGCCGATGCCACCCACCCACCTTCTCATCCGGGCGAGTGTGCGGTGCAATCGCCGTCTGGGCATCGACCTTGATACTCGTCTCGCTCGACGTCGGCCCGCCACTCCCAGATTGATTTGAGGACTGATTGCCTTGTACATGGTGAGTTGTCGTCCTGTTGGAACTCGCGACTCTTTTCGTGCTATTTCTGGCTGGTTTGTTGCTTAGCTGTGTTGCAATTGCTATGCTGATCATCCGGATTCTTACAACAGACTCAATCCCGTCCGTCCGCCTACGCCACGTGCCTTCCATTTTGTAAGACTGCAACCGCTTCGTTGACATCTAGCACGCACCAAATCACCAAATCTCAACCCGGCGTTAGCCCGGAATCTCCCCGAGCTGATGGGCGCTGGTCTGGGCCAAGACATTGTTGCCTCGGCTCCCAAAGTTGCACGCGTACCTTGTGCAGCAGCTCTCGGGACCATGTCCAGATACGGGATACTAGTAAGTTGTTTTTAGCAAGGTTAGGCCCAGCGTGATGACGTTTACGATGAGATATAATGACCTAAGTAGGCAGCACCTTATGAGTGCGCATCATCGTGAGAGGTTCTATTGAAAACTGGTACGATGAGAGTAACGACTCGCCTTTTCGGGTAGCGAGTCCTCTGCATCGTGAGATAAGTGCAGATCCGGTCTACCTGGTGATGAGAGAAAGCAGGCTAGAAGTGTTCTAGAAAGTGTTCTAGAAGGAGTTCTCTGTGACGTCATGCCATATGTAGGAGATGATGTGGGTAGAACCAGCGATAGCTTTCTCTTCTTAGTGCTGGTCCCAATTGCGCCTACCCTACGCTAAGACTGCCAATCCTGAACCTTCTCAAATTTATTGTTGATCAATTTTGCTATTCACCCAATTCTATATGCAAGCTATTTAAACTTTGTTTCTTGGCTTGTTGTAGTGAACATACACAGCGCGCTTTTCCTGAAACTTTTTATTTGGGCCCGAATCTATCCAATCGAACTTAAGCGCGGACTGTCTGACATGATGTTTCCAATTTCGTTAATCTCCAGCATGTTTTTTGATCCTCCCAGCTGCGATCATTCCAGGCTTTATATGTAACGATTCAGACAGACCTCCTGAGATGGGTTTGAGATGACAGGCTGCTGGACTGAGAGACAGGAATTCTCACACAACAAAAGTGGCCGTTGTGGTCACCAGTTGGTAAGAAACTGTTTGTATTGCTTCCTGGAGAGCTTCTTGGGCCAGATGGCCCTGCCTGGAAATCTATATACATCAATCACATTTACCCTTGTAGCTTCCCTTGCTCCTTCCTCCTCAATGGCACAGACCGTTGAGTGTCAACATCTTTTGGTTTTGAGGGTCAATGCCTCTTGACTTTGAGGAGCGCCTTCCAATGCTTGATTGTTAGGGGCGAATATCTGGGTTTGATGGGTCGCAGCTCCCTCTTGCCCTGATCAGTTGGCTGCGCGGGACCCACTCTTCCAGATAAAGCCTTGGTCGTGACATTTTACCTATATTTGAGGCCCCAGCTTTGTCAGCGTCTCACTAATTGTGAATGATAAGTATGGAACCCAGTGAATGATGGCACTTTCCTTAGTCTTTCTCTTGTCCATACGGAACTGTCATAAAATAAGGGTTGAGATACCCACTAAAGCCACTCCGTTCCTAGGATTTTTAGGGAAGTGCATTCTGGAACGCTGTTTCTGGGACTCAGTGAGCTTTGGTTTTGCATCCTCTTGGTGAAGTTCAGGTGCTTAAGTAAGATGCTTAACGTTCAATTGAGTGTGCTGAAAGCCACTGAAATACCGGAGTACAGTTTTATAGCAGGGTTGTCATAAAATATGTACTACACCAACTGGAGGAGCATAGGTTCAGTAAGACAACTCTTCATGCACCCATGATCGATGGACATGTGCTTTGTTTCGCTTCTCCTCAGTTTCGGAGCTAACCCGAGTGCTGTCAAAAATTCAGAAAAGAGAAATAAGCATTTCAGGCCGTTATCCTATACACAATTTAGGTGACATGCTCTGGTTTCACTGCAAGCAAAACTCTACTGCGGGTTACTGTTGTTGGATCGGTATAAAGAACATGAAAACGAATGGGGAGGGAAATGAAAGCGGTCAGAACTTATGGGCAGTAATGAGGAAAGGACCAAAAGCCAGCATTTCCCTTCCGTTTCCCTTAATCCTTTGCCACAAGGTCACTTGTTTGTCGACACATGGTAAAAATGTCCACATGGGCGAAGAAAAAGAAGCACGCTTTGTGATGTGACCAGCAAGCAGAATTTTCAACAAGTTCTGCAGTCCAGCATTAATTAATGTCTATGATGACACGGTTGACAATAAGCAGGTGTTGCAACCATCATCAGGGTTTTTCTAAAGTCTTCACACAGATAGCCTGAGAAATACACAATATGATACTCCACCTGCATGATATCTCGCATCTGAGGATTTACTGTGTCATACATGTCTTCATCATGAGCGTCCTATGTCACTATTGCTTGGAGTGCATTGTCCATGACAATTTGGCACACGGCCATTCTAAGCCGATACAAGAAGACAATACTGATATGATCAGTTATAGGAAAACTTCTTGGTTGATTATGAGCCAAAATCCTTACTCTATAAAGAGTTGCTTCTGTGGAAGTGTGAATTGGTCCGGCACAATTTGCAATATGCGTTTGGTAGAGCTAATGCCAACCAATATTCGAGCAAAAGTCTGTGAATAATTCCGCGAATAGATCATCAAGACATATGTTGCCCAATCGAGAGGCTCTTCGACTCTGTCAGCTCTAAACCCTATGATCTTATTGACATCAAGTGGATCATGAGGAGTAAGAACAGCCTGCTCTAGGTATTGTTGAAGGCCAACCCGTTCTCTACTCCATTGTCACCTTAATAACATTCTTGTTGAACTGCTTCCTAAGGGTGGTACCTTTCAGGGCCTTGCGGGCCTGTCTGTGCAAAGAGCTTGCAGGGAGACACTAAGGCATAAAGCATACCAGCCGATAGCTAAAGAACACTGGATACAGCAAATGCTCGATCTTGCTTAAGATGTGAGAACATATCATCTGTGCTGTTTCCTCGACTATTTGAAATAGCTGCACAAATTATGTTCATTATCCTTAACCAGCTGCGGGAAAAACCAGCAATACTTAAAGAATGATTATGTCACATGAACACGGCAGTCCAAAGGGAAGAAATATCCTCGACAGTCGACATATAGAACACCAGTGACACAAGAGCTGAGAAGGGCAAAGGCATATCTGATTGGTAGAGCCCGGAAGATATGAGGGGGTGGCAAGAATGTGTTAGATAACCTTACCACGCTGAGGAGAACCCCTGAAGATTGCAGGAGACCGCGAGGTACTCGCAAGGGCAAAGGGATTTTATAAGGGGAGCTACTTGTACACGATGAAGAATTTCTCTTGGGTTATCCTCTCCCCAACACAAGGACACTGAGGACCAAGAAAGATTATTACACGCAGTAATTGACTTCGCTGTGCACCTCACATCGTCAGTGGCCATCATCTAACCCATTTGACCCATTGTCGATCCTTGTCTGTACCAGACGAAGTCATTCGTTACAGATTAACATACACTATCAAAACTTCACCAGGGGGAAATATGCTATGAACCTTCAGCGGCTTATTCCCAGGCTTTCTATATTTTGGGCCTGGTAGGGCACAAGAGGAAGCCCGTATTATATCTCTTTTGGGGGTAAGGATGTGCACAAAAGGAAGACTGTTTTGTAATAGAGGACTTAGTCTGGTGCTGGTAGGGATTGGCAATGGGTTAGATAGATTAAATGATAGCCACTAACGATGTGGGGTGCAAAATGAAGTCAACTGATGCGAGTAATAGTCTGTCTCGGTTCTCAGTGTCCTTGTGTTAGCGAGAGGAAAACCAAGAGAAGTACTCGTGTCCGGCTAGCTTTCTTTATAGAATCCTCTCGGCTATCTGGCTCGTTCTCTTTGGTCATGCCACTCCAGATATCTCTTGGAGTCAACCACAGGTTTGTGTCGCTCACAATCATTCTATCTTCGGTATCCCTTGTGTTAACAGTCAGGGTTATTCCTTTTCCTTGCACTGCCGTCTCCGAGTGACACTCTTGTCGAAACCCTCCCTACTGTTTCCACACAAAAAATTTCCAGTAATTGCAAGTGTTTTTTGAACTGCTTGAACTGGTCGTTAATATATTGATTGTATTTCTGTTGAAACGGTCTTTTCATGCTCTACCATCGACGTACCAAGTGTTTGTAGGTGTCCATCAGCCTCCATATTTTTTTCACATCTGTCTTGATTGCCAAACCAAGAAAGACGAGAATTGATGTAGGTCTTGGGCAAACTGATCTTCACGGATGGACGAATACATTCCCAATTTGTCGGATCATAGTGTATCAATACTAAAGCACTGAAGGCTGAATCATCCATTCTCATTGGGGAGGTGTTGGCAAAGTCTTTGAATCCACCGGGTCTTCCCCTACTGTCTTGTCATCGACCTTTCAAATACAAGTTACAAAGTTGGAGAGTCTGTGGTAGTATGATCGTCTTTTGGCTTTGGATAATAATACTTTGAGCCTATGTAATCAGTATTGAACCATGCATACAAGCATTGTTGGGAATATATATATATATATACATAGTTTTTATCTATGATATTGACAAACTGAGGGCTTATCGGGTCCTTGTCTCCACCGGTTTCATCATCCCTGAGTGCTGCCCATGCACTCAGGATGTGAATTTGGTTCATCGTATAAAGCAGCTTCACTTGGGATTTACTCCGAGATAGTCAACCGGGCATGCGTTATTCAGAACAACCTGACGCGCAGCATGTTAGGTTTGAAACAAGAATAATAGCCTTATTTGCAATTTCCAGAAAGTCATTTAAGTATGATGTGAGCTAAGACCCAGTTTCTTTAAGTACTAGGAGCTGAGGAAGCTCATGTTATTATTCAAATACCTGCAAATGCTGTTGATATTCCTCCGTTAAGGATCAGTCCCTCAAAGACAGCATCGAAAGGTATGATGCCCAAACTAATTTCATTCTAATCGAGAGAGACTGATATTGGACTGTAAAGACTCTCACCTCTAAAAGTATATATAAGAGTTGTTTTACTGGAAGTTTGAACTGCGATTGGCACCTGGGGCTGCATTGCAGATTCTTATAGTTAAGTGGGTGGTAAAGAGACTGCATCATGGAGCGGAGAAAGATCCTGTTATCTAACATGATGTGAATGCCGGGAAACAAGTCCAAAATATCCCTTTCAGCGCAAGGCCTGGATAACTTTCTGTGATATTGGGTCTTTGTATGGAACAGGATTACCGTTCACGTGCGGCAACACAAAGAACTGTCACTAGAATGTTAGATGGAAAGCAAGAGCTCATGATGCCCACCTATGTCCTCAGCTGCTGCCACTAAATACATGCATATTGTAGAAGTAGGCACTCGAGAACATCCATCAACCTTCAAATTCCTGACCTCCTAGCTAAAGTGAAGTTAGAGAGCTTGGATGTTTCTGGGGATTGTTGTACAGTGTTAATGGAAATTGTGTCATCCGCCTTTTTGCAAGCTGTGCTAGTAGTAGCGACATCTCAACTTCGGTAACATGCTGATCTCCAAGCTCAAGCCAATATACGTTGTCACATGGACACGGTAGTCCAAGGAAAGGGATGTCCCCGACTGCCAACACAAGGGACACCAAAGACATGATGATTGTGAGCGGCACAAATACGTGGTTGATCCCGGGTGATGTCTAGAGCCGGATGACCGAAGAGAATGAGCCATAAGGCCGAGGCATGATGAGGATTCTATAGAAGAAGCTGCCCGGTCATGATAGACTTCTCTTGTGAACAACACAAATACATCGTTGATCCCGGAAGATATATGGATCAACACGACCGAATGAGCCAGATGGCCGAGGCAGGAGGAGGAGACCCCTAAAAAGCCTGGGAGGGCGAGTGACTCACAAGGGCAAGAGGATTCCATAAAGGAAGCTACCCAGACATGATGAAGGACTTCTCTTGGTTCTTCCTCACCTTAACACAAGGACACCGAGGACCAAGAAAGATTATTACACGTATCAATTGACTTCGTTGTGCACCTCATATCGTCAGTGACTATCATCTAACCCATTTGACCCGTTGTCAATCCCTGCCTGCATCAGACCAAATATCCCGTTACAGCTTATGTATGAGGCGAGCCTTGGTTGGTCCCAGAAGAACGACGGCTTCGGTTTGGTTGTGCTGTGGTGATGAAATAGGTATGAGACATTCTCTGAAGACTGTCAGTTTGCTCTGACATTAGCACAACAATCAATTGCTCTCCAAAGTAGAGATACACTGTAGCGTGACAGTTACTGACTTTGCTTGGCTCAACTGGGCACTGCATCAAGGTATCCATTGAGGAGGATCGGACATCCCAGTTCTGAGGAGGGAATCTCGGAAAATATCCACAAGCAAAAGTTGAAGAGAACGTTGGCTTTTAAAACACGAGTGGAAAAGGCTATCTTCAATGGGAGCACACCATGTTTGGACAACAGCTCCTGAAGCTATTTCGGCGTCGTTCGCAGCCGTTAAGAATTGAGTTGTTGCGACATTCGAGCTTGTCTGATGCCTGTACGGATACGCAGCGCGCTTTATCTAGCGCTGAGTCTGACCCGGCAGTGTTGACCTTTCAAGTCTCCGAGAAATTACGGAAAACTAAAAAGGATTTAACTATATTTGTACTGAAACCTATATAAACTCTCAACAACAATGTCACCATGGTTGGGGTCATACTTGGAGTCCCCGTTTTTTTACTTTTAAATCCCCTATAACAGCAATATTTAAAGCATTTCCCGCGGATATGATAGCCCATTTATAGCGCTTTTTCCGCACCAGTTCTTAGTGAGCTTAACTGTACTGTAATCATAGTGTTTAGAACCCTCGACTGTATCGTAAACCTCCTGAGGCAGTCACGTGTGCCAAGGAAAGGAATAAAACCACCAGAACTTATGAAATTCTGAAATGAACGAAAAATATCATAAATTTCAGGAAAATTCCATGATGAGACTTAAGTGAGGAGTCAGATGCAAAGTCATGCGCCTCGCTAGAGATGTGGGGCTTATCGTGAAAGCTTCAGGGTGGTCCATTTATCCGTTGAAATAGATGTGTATAGCTTTTTCTTTTTTTCTCAATAAGCAACATGACTCCGAAGGCTTTGTGATCACACATAATTCAATAAGGAAGCCTCGAAAAACAAATCAGAAAGGCAAACTAATACTGCTCGAAGAATTCCTTCAAACAGATTAGGTATGTGTACTTAAAGGTCTGCCACAGTGCAGATATGCCAGCATCCTGCGCATCAACATCAATCTCTCGGCCATCCAATAAGCCCACAAACCTTCCACTCTGTTGCTGCAAACGCAACCCTTACACCCTTTACCACACCCAGCCCCGGCAGTACATCATCTGTCTTCTGCTCAACATGCCCAAGCTTAACCCAAACATCTAACACGATTCTCGGCTGTCCAACACAACTCGATGCCCCGCGGTTTGGCCGATTCGGGCGTCCGTTGGCATCCCTTGGAGGTAACACGTTCATCGTGATATTGAACACGCCGTTGTAAGCCTCCCCTTGTTTACCATAGGGCAGGGTACTCGTGCCGACGTCGGTTACTGGCAAACCTGATAGGGGTCTCTGGTCGGTGGTGTTAGTCCTCCTCCCCGATGTAGAGGGCTGGGGTTGTACGTACCTGCACGTAGTGAACCGACATTCCAACCTCCTCTACAAAATACCCCCCTTCCAGACTCAACTGTCCATCGAACTTGGCGGCGAGAATCGAAAACTGTAATCTCGATGGAACAAGGTTGAACAGCAGCTCCTTCTGACAATGCAGTGTGTTTAAATTCGGATCTGTGGCGTTTAAAACGGCGTTGGGGAAGACAAGGTAGCCGTCTGAGAAGAGGACTGCACAGCGGTCGGAGGGGAGAGATGATGGGGATGTGTGAATGTCGCTGGCTGTGAGGTTGAGGTAGGTGAAAGGTTCGGGGGTTGGTTGGCGGGGAGTTAAGGGGATGGAGTAGATGGGGGTTGCGAAGATTAAGGAGATGAAAGGGAGGATGTGAGGAAGCATTGTTTGGGGTGTTTTAGGTGTTGAACAGTTGTTCAGAGTCTATTGAAGATGTCTGGTTACGATGACTGCCAAGTGGAGGTTGAGATTGGTTGAGTGAGGCTTTATGATTCTAACAAAGACCTCGTCCTCGGAGGCTCGATCCGAAGTAACGTCGCGTTGGGTATATGTAGGAATTGGACAAACTCGGCTAAACTGCACTGTCACCAAACCACTCGCATCGAGAGTAAGCAATCTTCTGCTTGGGCAGAATCGGACAAATATACACCTCACTCTGCTGGAATTAGTGCTCTTCTGCGGTTTTCCTTGCCTTCTAGCTTCTGCTTACCGATCCACAACCTGCCTAACCGGCAAAACCCCCAGTTCCTCTTCTAGCTCAGCCTCATTCAGATCTTTCACTTCTTTCTGCTTTTGTTGCTGCTCCCCCTCTTCTTGCTCATCAATACTAAGCTTCTCCAACTCCTTCAACACAGTGCCCATCCCCTTACACTTATCATCCACCCACCTAAACACAGGCCACTGCATCTCAATATCCTTGACCACATCCCCAAGCTTAGCCTTATCTTGCGCTCTCTTCTCTACTGGATCATACGTATAACTCAACTTGATATTGTCTAAGTCCTTGCACAGATTGGGTTTGATCTTTTTGGCGAGATTGTACAAGATGTTGAACATCATCATACCTAGGTAATTGTTCTGTCCCTGGTCGCGCAGGCCCTGAGCGCAGAGGAGGAATGTTGTAGTTGGTGGTGGCGGGCTGTTTTCACTCGAGAGACCCTCGGTCTGGGAATTGGGTGAGCGTTTCGACTGGTCTTGAGTCACTGTTGTTGAAGGGCTGCTGTGTCTGCTACTACCCGGGCTGGTTGAAGAGCTAGGGGCATCGGTAAGAGCCAGCAAGTTACTCGGGTATGGAGAAGAGGAACGACGAGGAGCGATCAGACGAAGGGAAATCGATCCGAGGAGCAAGAGGTACAAGACAAGAATGCTATCGAGATGGGTGAAGCTGTGGCGGAGGTAATAGATTCGGATGAGGGTTTCGAGACGGGCACGCGCGATCAGGGCGATGTCTTGAGCCGTGCGACCGTTGAAGATGGCTGCTGGATTGCTGGTCCAGGACTCAAAGAGCTGGATTAAGACTGTGTAATACTGCATGCTGATTGGATAAGTTAGGACGAATTTGTTGACATTATTCAGACATTCACGTACTGAAGATGTAGTTGATGTGGCATCACAATATTATGGGGCTGAAGCTCCTCGGGAAGTTCCTGGAACCACTTATCAAGCCGGGTGTAAAACCCGACAGCACTCTGTAGAGCGGGCGGACTGTTTCCGAGAACGCCGGCCCTGCGGCACTCAACGTTTATGTCCTGCATGATACAATGTAGTTCGGTTTCTGCCTTGACACTTGAACCAAGATATGATTGTATCATCGCCCCCTGACCTGGATATCTCAGATATATGTCTCCCGTAAGGCCGCTGATCGTATTGAGATCTGGACTGGCAAATGAGGGCGGCTCGGAGACATATGGAGCTTTCATATTATGATAGCAGGCCACTCTGTGATGAACCAGGTTCAATCAGTACCGACTAAGCTGGTAAGGGGAAGGGGAGCACGAACGCTTGCCAGCTAAAAAGAGACCATGCAGTGAAAGCGCGGACTTTGCTCAACACCGGATCTTTCGAGTCATATCGGGTAAAGAGCTCCATGTGCTCTGCAATCGCTACTGCTTGCTGGAGGAGAGGATCTCCCAGTTTATCGTTACCGTCTGCCCCGTAGCGCAAACTAAGAACCATTGCTGCTTGAATGGTAGGCAGTGAAGGTTCCCGCTGGCACTCTGTGTCCCAGAGACTCTTCGCTTCCGCAAGGAAAAGATACGACAAGGATTGAGGAGTCCAGTATGCCACGCGCTGAGTGTCATCTTGCAGTCCATGCTGGAAACAATCTCGGGGTTAGCAACGACCCTCAATATTTCACACGGAAGACTTACAGCGGCATTTGCGAGTATAGCGTTGACCAGCAAAGGAGAACAAAATCTCATCTCGCCGTTGGCCAAGTCGTCTAAGAAAGGTTCCTTTGCGAAGAATCGATTCCTCGGGTACTCAAACTGGAAGTAAATACCCAAGAGCTTCCTCACAAGGTCGTCGTCACTGGTCACGCTTGTCCACATAGACGCTTTGACACAAGAGATGCGAGGATCATGGACCGCGGCAGCATGATAAGGAACCTCGTAAACAAATTCTGGGTAAACTTTTCGAATAGTTGCCCCTCGCAGAGTAGGAGTGCTTTCAGCAGACGCGAATCCTCGAGGGTCAGGAAGTGTTGGTCTGGTCCGAGGTAGCGAGATATCGAAAATCTGAGCCTTTAGGTAAGGATCATCGGGGTCATGAAAGAGCGTCGGCCAGTTGGCGAAGTCAGGGAAGGCGTAGCGAAATCTCGTCTCCGGGGAAACACGCGTTTGTTTGATCAGGTCGCCGCCACGGACGTATCGGACAATCCATTCGGCATCTTTTTTCTCGCGGATGAGACGCACAATCTCTTGGATATCTTGATCATTTCTGGTCTGTAAAAGGGTCCAAAGTTCCTCGTACTGAGAGAGTCGAGAGGCGACCTCGTCGTACTTGCGCTTGGTAGCTGAGGTTCTGGTCTCCTCGGGGTTTTCACTGAGATAAGTGCATTTGACGCTGGCGCCGTCGCAGGGAGAGCAGGCTGGTCGCTTGCCATCGCACTATGGCCGAAAAGATGTCAGTTAGGCATGACCGGAAGATGTTGGCGTAGCCTCCTTAAAGGAGCCGCTGCCTTAAGTGCCGACATGGGGTCAAGGCCACAGAAGGCTGGAAGGGGCCAAGAAGGCTGAGGGGCCAGGTTTGCTGAATATATGGAAAGAGCAAAATATCATGATAAGAAACGGGGCAACATCCAACCGACCTTGACCTTACGACGCCTACATTGCTCGCAAGCTGCGCGAGTATACGACCTCCGCGAGCCCTGCGGCTGGGATGATTCAGTACCTCCGGCACCTCCCCTGTGAAAAGGCTGGGGACGCGGCAGAATGGGGCGGAGCGGAGCCGTTGAGGAGCTTTGACACGGACTTCCTGACATGTGGATGACGGCAATCAAAGGTGCTCAGACACTCGAACGCCCGTTACCTGGAGACCTGGAGCTGGTAAAGCATTGTCCCGGTTTTCTGGGCTTTAATTTCATTGTCAAACTGGGTCTCGGGCACCACAGAAAATGCGAGCACGCTGCAGTAAGGCCGATCGATGTTGGGAACCCAGTGAACTCCGAAAAAAGCCAGACTGTCAGCGATCTGATCCAGCCTCGAGGACTCGCTGGAGTCGCTTCCCGTTGGTCCACCGGGCTCCGGGAAATCGCCCTAGGGTAACAATGAGGAGCAGCTTCCAGCTGCCAGCAGCTATCAAGCAGGAGCGTCCTGCTCGGAAAATCTCCCGAGCGAATCAGAGAAGGTCAGCGGACTGTTTGTACCCCCGAGGGATATGGATGGTTCCGGATGCTTAGCGTGAGCGCAACTCAACGACGCGCAGGGATATGTGATGTTGTATGTTGTACTTGTCCCCCACCCCGCCGGCGCTGGTAGAGATGATCGGCCTCTGGCCTCTGCTGACCTTCAAGCCCTTCCTCCTGACCCCTGAACCCCTGGCGTGGCTTTTCGCCTGCCCTTTGGGGACTATTTGTTGAGGATGTTAAGATACCAAACACACATGTGCTGGGGACAGAAAATAGGCTGTTATCCCGCAAGCTGTCGCTGCGTGCTTATTATGTCCGGGCGAGTCCGCAAAACCCATGATCCTCACGAGCCAGCCCCAGACCACAACGGCGTCCGTGATTGTCCGGCTATGAGCCGTGGAGCATATGCGGGGTGAGATCAGGCTTCGAAAGTCTGATGCCACTGAGGCTACAGATGCCCCAATCCACACTTCCCCTCGCATTCGATTCTTCGCTAGTATTATCTTTGTTGGTGTTGTTGGTTCGCTACATGGCGTTTTATTGGTCCGCTAACTGCAGTGGAATGTCTCCAGCCATGGAGCTATGCTACTCCAGGCCTCTAGGCGCATAGCTGAGTTTCTCTTGGCGCAGCCCAGTCAATAGAGGAAGATGCTGGATGCTGTATGTCAGCAAGATCGTCTCTTAGTACCAACAAGCTCCAAGCCTGTGGGTTCTCATGCTGATGTAGCGCATGCAGCGGAGTGAATTGTTTTGCCTTCCCTGTTAGCCAGAAAAACAAGCTCTCTGATCCTTTTGCTCTTACTGGCCTCATTGGGCCATTCAGGCTGCGGGCAAGGCGCCGACACCCGAGGGACTTCCTGCTGGCACGAGCGATGAGGGGGCGATGAGGGGATGAATTCGGGGTTTTGGGAATCAGCGAGAAACTTTTTGTTCTTTCCGCGCTGAGACTCGTTAATGGTTAACGGTTCGGCAATTGTTCCGCGGATATGATGCTACGCTGTTCAGCAGCCTCTAATCAGATTGCCAATGGTGCTTCACGAGCTGCCTAGAGTCTAGACCGTCTCCTTATGGGTCATCTAATTGTTGAATCTGTCGTGCGGCTATCCTCAAGCCAGCCTGCATACGCGACAGCTTCGTGTTGCAAGCTGGAGATGGGATCAAGTTACAACTGCCAGAGACAGCTGAAAGACCAGGGCCTTCAGTCCGACCGAGGAAGTTGGATGATTTTGGTGCATGGAAATAATTCCCAAACACTACGCTGAAATCAAAGCCATCATTGATAGGGCTAAAGTGAACCTGAGGTGATTCTAGGGTTTGTTGAGTCGTGGCAAGAATAGCTGCTCTGTTCAAGTCTCTGGTGTTCTCGTGATGTTTGGGATAATAGTTCCCCTAAAGCCTCCTTACTCAATGTATTAACCTCCTCGTCGGTCTTAAAACACAGAGTATGATGTTCAAATGGCATCTGGCCACGGCACCAGTAAACCATCAAAAGTATTTGTAGACCCTCGTAGGCTTTCGGTGCGCGATATCAAGGCCTTGCATTACCCCATTTAGGATTCATGTCACGAGAGCATTCCATCGAAGCCACAGAAGGCCAGAAAGAGACACGTCATATTTCGACATGCCCTCTAGTACTCTAGTCGTGCACAGCCACTGCAGTGATGAAGCCCCTAAGCTGGATAGTACCTGATAATCGCTCTGCTATTGGATTTTACTGGGCATTATACGGATCCTAAAACGTCGACTGTGTCCTTGCTCAGCTAAGCATCTTGCTGTCTATTGGGGGTGAGGTAGAAGCAATCAGCGGGATATGCTTGCCGGTGACTTCGGAGGACTAGGAACTGTTCAACCCACCCCATGGCCACTAATGGGGTGAAACCGTTCCCTTATCTAAGACGATCGTCTCCGAACATTCACTTTAAACACCGAATAAGCCTGTTGGAATCTTTGCCATCTGCAGTTTGCATTGTTCCATGCAAGTCTGTCTCACCGAGTGTCCATAGAGGCACATGAGCCATGAATTTCTAAAAAAGGCGCGCACCTGCCGACTCTCTGTCAGCGGGTCTAGCACAATGAGAAACCTCCTCTATTCATATCAGAACTGCCAAGGAAGCCCTCAAGCCCATGTAGTCCCCCGAGATTCGCTCTGGAAGAAAGTCAATGCCAACTCCCTGCTATGCAGTTGGTCGGGCTCTCCAGATCGTGTCCGTGGACCTCCTCAACGGTTTCGAAGCCGGCTGGTGCCAGAGATATTGCAGAACACCTGGAATAGGCAATTTGAAGTGAGGGAACTGAGGGATTGGCGTAAGAACAAACTCTCCACCGGCAAGAACTCTCTATCCCTCCCTCAGATAATCCGAAGAATCAGGTCCATGGGCACCAGAGGGCTGCGCAGAGAGGCTGACCTGGAGTTGCTTCCAATTTCAGGAAGCTTCTATAGTTTCAATGGACTCTTGTTATAGTCATTTCTCATGAGGTAGCACTGAGGCAGGTTACCCAGCCAAGTCTCGAACAGTGAGGTAAACAAACATCTTGAAGCTACGGGATGGATGGCATTGATAGCAAGGTGCTCGGTTGTAAAATCGGGAACTAAGGGACCCAAAACATGGCCTATAGAGATTCAAGCTGAAGACGCCTTACTCCGGCTATTAGCATCCCTACCGGTTGATATGCTGATCTTGATGCCTTGCAATATGCTTGGCTCACTAGAGATTCTGTTGACAAGCGTTGACAATGGAGATGTTGAGTTCATGAGGATAACAAGTTCCAACAATCTTTGACGTATTTGGTGTTTATAACCATTGCTTCAGATAAGCGGATCACTGACAGTGTATTTTAGACTCAATTCAAAGAAGCCCTGATAGTAGGACTGTAATCGGTCTTTCGCTTCCGCATCATCTACCGTAGTCTATCATGGCCACTAATGAGCTCCTTTTCTATATAGCCGTCCTGCGGTAATGTTATAATACCTGGTTTCTTATTATCCCATGAAATTGAGCTTGCAAGCCCTCATAAGGTGAACAGCCCATTCTCGGCCCCCAAGGGAAATCTTAACACGCTACATCGTCGGGAAACGGTTAGACTGCAGATTTACACACATACCACCCAGTTAAGGTATTCGAAGGTGCGGAATCTGCCGATCTACCCGCACGTATGAAGCACTGCAAGTCTTCGGAGATCCTGAGGGCCCTGCATTAGTGCTTTTGCGCACCCGGCAAGCGTTCTTAAGCTTTCTATTAACGGCAGTGATCTACAAGGTAAGCACCTCGAGGGAAGCCGGAGCTTTGCACTCATATCATGATGCTACAATGAGACTGCTTGAAGGCGTCCAGCAGACCCTCAACAGTCTCTCCGGAACAGAGGCTCATATGTAAAGACTCGACAGGTCCAGAACAAGACCCCTACATAAGAAGGGGACAGCACATCTACTCAAAACGAAAAATCCCCGTACTCCGTACAAACCTATACATTTCCTGTTTACATAGTTACGGCAACCATCATGCCAGGTGCCGTCTATTTGCTACCGTAAATTGCACCAACTAATGCCTTAAGAGTCCCCATGCTGTAATCTACCGAGCCGATCCCCATTCCATCCTGTTGCTGTGTTATTACTTTCGTTTCGTTGAAAGCCTGGCCGAGGTCCTCCGAACCTTGGCTGGCGGAGCGTCTTCAGCTTCGCTGTCCTCCTCCTCTTCTTCCTCGTCCTCCTCCACATCGTCATGATCGACCTCATCCTCGTCGTCGATGGACTCGATCTCCTCAATATCATCCTCCGCCTCAGGGTCGATATCGTCCTCTGAGTCCTCTTCAGAATCAGAGATCATGTCGCCGATTTGGACCTGCTTATCCTCATCTTCATCCTCGTGTCGTGCGCTTCTGCCGTTAGGCAGGGCATTGCCGAGGCTCTCCTGCCCCTCCACATAGACAACAGCAGGCTCGTCGGCGTTGTCCTCCTCTCCAGCACTGGACTCATCGTCGTCGCTAGGCCGGTTCCGGCTGGACCCAGCCATCTTGAGTGCCTTCCGGTACTTGAGCTGCGCATCCAGCATGTCGAGCTTACCCTTTAGAGCCAACAAACTAGACAAACCCCGAGAGCGCTCCTCCAGGACTCGGCTGAGCTCAGTTAAGCGGTTGATGAGATCAGGCTGCGTGACAAGCGCACCGCCGTGAGCGACCAGCGTCCATTGGATCCACCGCATCAACCCAAAGGCGCGACCAGGACGGCGATGCATGCGTGCAGCGAGCTTAGAGAGAAGTGTGCCGGCAAGAGAAGAGTCCATCCGGTTAATGGTATTTTGTATGATTAGCAGGTCGTTCGTCTGAAGGCATGACTCAAGTAGGTCGGAGTCGTCGGTCCGGAGGGCCTGGTTGAGCACAGTGCCCAGGGATGTCGCGCTGATCGGGGCAGTGGATCTCTGTACTTCGTGCCGGGTTGTTTGCGCAGCAAGAGATGCGGATACGTCGACAGTCGTGGTACCGCGAACAAGGTCGCCAAAGGTGGGCGACGTGGGCTCCCCATCGGAAGCTTCCCCGTTATCTTGCATCACAGCGTCACCGTCTGCCTCGCTGGCAGCAGGTTTTTGCTTCCCAGAGTCTGCCTCTGTCTCCTTCTCCTCGCTTTGGCCCTCATCACCGCTGACTTCCTCGTCATCGGACGCGCTGTGACGGCTCTCGGAGTCGCTTTCGATGGGTTCTTCGATGTGCTTCGAGACGGGTTTCAAGGCTAACCCAGTAGACACTGCTGTCCTGCTCTCATCGATTCTTGTCTTAGTAGGCGCCTTCGCGTTCTGCTTCACAACAGGCTTGGCAATGGCCGTCGCCGCTTTCCTTTTAGTCGACATGTTCAAAATCTGGGTTGGCGCGGGGATGTCGCCTGGCGGTTGCTTCCACGACTCGCGATCTAGTCGCGGAGATGAAAACGCTGCTTTTTTATGCTTGGCCGAATGCCAATTGCGAGACTTGCCGACCCTAAATATTAACAAACAAGATTCCGGCAAAAGGAAGTTGCGCCGGGTAGAAATAACGAGGAATTGGATTGAGGTTGCGGCTTTGGTTGTGCTTGGAGGTTGAAAGCAGCAAAAATTTCGGGGACAGCGCCAGACTTTTTTTCCATCTGGTCTGGGCTTGGCAAAGCTGCTTTCTTATCGTCTTATCGTCACTTGACCCACATTGTCGTGAGCAACTCGCTCACACAGCCACAAATGGTACACGTGGCTTCCATGTGTGGCGGGCGGCCAAAACTACCACGTGCAGTACCACGTGACTTGTGCATGTTGTGGGGAGGGAATGAGTCATCTTCCTTCGGATGGACCTTGTTAAAACACGTGACATGGGTGGAACAGTTTGAGTGGCCATGCGTTGCCGGTGGCCAAAACTGGATTTTTGGCTTGTGACTGGACACCCGATGACGTTGGCGAACGACCTTGACCTCTTGCTTCCTGAAAATAGGTCCTAGCTCAATACTCGAGAATTCCATTGCTGGATCTTTGGAGCCAAGCATGTTGAGATACGTGCTAGGCAGACGAAACCAACCTTTCTCAAGTCAATTCTGGATCGAGGCTTAGCTTCGACTTTTCCGTTGTTTGCGTCTTTTTGCGCTTCTCATCCGGATGGATGGCTTACAACAAACGGCGAAAACCCTGTAGCAGTACCAAAGCCAGCAAGGCCATCATAGTCGCATCCTGCTGCTTAGTAGCTGATGGTGATCAACGATCTCGACTAGGGCATTTTTGGTAAGACTTAACGCCATGCCTGATATACCGTGATTGAATATGATGCCCCCGAATTTTTAAACTGGACGCGTCCAAACCAAACATTCCCGATCGAAGACCCTGGACCCTGGAGGTCGCGTCATTCCCGCGAGTCCTTGTTGTCTTGGCGTGTTTGCTGCGGCTGTTTTCAGGGTTTGAGGGTGCCAACAACCGCAACGACATTTCAGAGCTCAATATCTGAGTGATCCGGATTTGGACTGTAACATGACGCACATCCTTGGTGTCGAGCTCCGAATCCAGTGTCAAAGCCGGGTGTTCCGCAGGCCAGTTGAGCGTCTGGAGCCTGGTCTATGCCTTTTGAAATTACTGATGCGGATCAAGAAGTCCCTCGTGCCTGAGAAGCTTCCCTGCCGGCAATACTCCGTACCGGCAATACTGTGTAATGTACCGGTGGCTGTCCTCTTTGAAGGTCGCGCATCAGGCATTGCACGCGCATATCATCGTGTCGGGCGCCCGATGGTCTCCTTCTTCTTCACGGGCCCTTTGAAAGCCTTACTTCAGTCCAGCAACGCGCATTATGGGAGCAGAACACGCGGCTGTTGCGATGCGTGGTGGTCGAGCAGCGGCGGGAAGCTGGATGGAAGGTGGAATTTAAGTAAAACGAAAGCAAAGCTTGGGGGTACGGACGAGGGTTTTGTGCCTCTCCGTGTTACGTGCGCACGGTCCACTCGGACTGGGTGTGGCCAACCAGAGCCCGTCGAAGCCGAATCGATAAGACTGAACAGGGCGGAGCCACTGCCAGCGCGCTGCATCAAGGCAGCGACGTGATAAATAGCCCCGAGCTTCCGACTGGGACCGACGTAGCTTTTCAACCCAGATTTTTCAAATGGTCTCGGTACCACAACACGGTCGCCCCTCCTTCCCCCACACCAGCCAACCAGAGGTCGTTCCCACGTGCAGGCGTTTGGCGCGACTTCCCTGGACTGATTGGACTGATCCATTTGGATCCATTTGAGGCCAAGCACCGGGCCTTTATTTTTTGTGACAGCTCGTCCTTTGTTTCGCTCTTCTTTCGAGTGCTCTCAGCCTTCCAGCCACCACAGTTCCTGGCCACGCCAGAGCACTCGATTTCAGCGCACAATCCACAGCCCACACTTACCTCGCAACCCGCACACAAGTTTTTCCTTTTCCGTCCAGCCCTTCTGCAGGATCCCAACCCCGCTGTCGCGAAGCTGGCAACCAGAGCTCTGTGATCTATTCGTTTTGGTACGGATTACAGAGTGATTTAATTCAATTTGCAGCATCGACCTCGCGTGCTACCGTACTTTTTGAGTGAGCAAACCTGTGAGTGGCTGCCTTTTCCGTTTATTCTCGTTTTTCGCAGCGCATCCCCAAGCTTTCCCACATCTCGCGAATCATACGCGTTGCGCACGTCCCCGCGGCCGCCTTCCATCCTTTCCCCGCCACGCATCGCCTTGCCTCACCACCACAACCGCATCGACGCAGCCATCTCCAAAACAGCGCATTGGCTGTCGCCGCCGCATTGCGACTAGTGCACGCAATTTTTCTTGACCATTACCGTCACCTATCCCTGCTTGTCTTTGGCGACGCTGCAGAATTGCCTTTCAAAGTTGAAAGCGCTGTCATCGCGTCGGCTGCTCGAGACTTGCAACTCGATAGTTATTTGTGACCTTCGCATCGTGAGTTTTGCGCCGCGCTGTTGCCGTCCAGTACTTGCTTCCGTGTTTTCAGCAATGACCTGAATCGCTAACGCGACTAAGCGCAGCTCTCAACGCTTTAATGTCGCATCGAGCTTAAGCTCATTACCTACAACATTATTCCTCTCGAATGGCAGTCATCATGACCACCCCTCAGTCGGAAGGCGTGCTTCTCAACGAGAAGCCCCTCCAAGCCACGATCCCCTCCGAGAAACAAAACGGCGTCCCTGAAGTCAACGGGTATGTTCCCTGGACTCGCATTTCTGTCACGACCCAAGCCATCGACATCCCACATGCTGAACGCTTACCTTTCAGGCATCCTCCGCCAGCTGCGAAACAAGCTGCATCAGAATCCGAAGTCGCGCGCGACTCCAGCAAGATGCCGCAACAAGCCGCAGATGAGGTTAGCAAAAACAAGAATGCTTTCTCCGCAAACCAGGCTTTGCCCAGCAGCGACTCCGCTAGCAAGGATCAGCAAGTAAGCGAACCGAAAGTCGAGCTTAAGGCCAGAGACGAGGGAGTCTCGCCGACAGACACAGAGATGCCCGATGTGCCCGCGACTGACAAGGCGGAGGATTCAACTGCACAGCCCGCAGGCCAACCAGACTTGACGACCGATTCAGCTCCGGATCCGTCGAAGCCCGAGCCGACCGAGAGCAAGCCGGATGTGGAAATGGCAGATGTGGGAGAGAGTCCAAGGGCAGACACAAACGCCTTGGAAGAGGCGCCGGCTGGGTCAACTGACCAGGCTAAGGGTACACCAGCTGCGACCGGCACTGCCGATGTTAGCGGATCTGAAGCGAATAAAAGCTCTCAGGCGTCGGCTAAGGTTCCCCGGGAGCGGGATGTCGATAGCGAAGACGAGCCTGTGGCGAAGAGGACCAAAGTTGAGCATGGAGAGCAGGGAGGGCAAGGAGAGGCGGTCAAGGATGCCATGGAGGTTGACCGGCAGGCCGCATCCGGCCAAACTGCTGCGCAGCCAGAGCAGCCAGAGGACGGGGAGCCGAAGCCTAAGAATCTTGCGGACGACCTCCTAAATGATCAGCCTATTTCTGAGTGGCAAGCGAAGCAGATCCGTGCTGTTCTGGCCGGTGTCAAGAAGACAAAGGTTGGGTTCAACTTCCGGCTGCCTGTCAAAGATCTATGGCCTATGCTTTGGACTGAATACTCTGCGAGAATTCCTAATCCAGTCGACATCAGCTTAATGGAGAAGCGTCTTCGTGGTGACGGCCCCCCCTATGCCACAATGGGTGATTTCAAGAAAGACCTCGATCTCCTCGTTCAGAACTCGATCACCTTTAACGGCGACGCTCACGAGGTGACAGCATCTGCGCGCGCTTGCCGCGAGTCCATCCTCAGCCGCATGGCTCTTCACCCGCCGCACGAGCCGCCGAAGCCCGAGAAGAAGGAGACCAAGGCGCACACCCGCGAGCCCCGTGCTGCCTCCACGTCCAAGAGCATGGCTTCTACTGCTGCCGCTAAACCCGTCACAGAGTCGCCCGTGTTCGCGATCCCGCGCGAAAGCAACGGCGTGCCACCCGTCCGGCGCAACCCGACCGATCCCGAGAGCCGCATGAAGCGGCCTGTCAAGCCTACCCATCCCAAAGATCTTGTGTATGAGACCAAGCGGAAAAAGAAGCTGCCGCTGGAGCTGCGCTTCGCCGATGAGGTGCTCACGGAGCTCAGGAAGGCGAAGTATTACGAATTTAACACTGCTTTTCTGCAGCCCGTGGACCCCGTTGCCCTCAACATCCCTTCTTATCATAAGATCATCAAGAAGCCGATGGACCTGGGGACCATGGCTAATAAGCTTGCGGCCGGCGAGTACAGCAACATCAAGGAGTTTGAGAAGGACTTCGAACTGATAATCAAGAATTGCCGTACTTTCAATGGTGAAGATCACATCGTTTATCACCAGGCGCTCAAGCTCCAGGACCTGTACCGGGCCGAGATGTCTAAGAAGGATGTGTGGATGGCCAAGCACGCCCCGCCCGTTCAGCAAAATCAGGCTCGGACGAGCCCACACCGCGACGACTCAGATTCGGATGACGCCGACTCGGAGCCGGACGTCGAGGATGAAGAGCTGAAGCAGTCTCGGCATCGCTTGGCTACTATCCAAAAGCGTCTCGAAGAGGAGCAGAAGAAGATCAACGAGATGGTCAATTCTGGCACCGCAGAGATCGCCGATGTTGAGATTACCCAAGCTGTCGTCGCCATGCTGCAGAAGCAACTTATGGCTGAGCGTGCCAAGATTGCCGCTCTCGAGGCTAAGAAACCTGCGAAGAGCAAGTCCAAGTCCAAGAAGTCTGGCGGTTCTGGCTCCTCTCACAAGAAGGGCTCCGTCTCGGGCGGCGGTGCCACTGGTGGCGCCAAAAAGAGTGCGCCCAAGAAGGTCACCCCCAAGCGTAGGGTCACTCAAGCTGAGAAGGAAGTTATTGTCGACTCGCTCGGCAACCTGCAGAGCCCGTGGCTTGATAAGGCTATCGATCTTATCAAGAAGGACACCGGCCAGGGCGAAAACGACTCAGGCGAGCTGGAGCTGGACATCGACTCGCTGTCGGAAGACGCGTTGGCCAAATTGTACGACATCGTCATCAAGGCTTTCCCGCACCTTAAGGTCGAGCGGCAGCAACAGCAACAGACCAGCGCGGCGGCCGATCCGCCCAAGAAGCCCAACAAAACCAAAAAGAACAAGCCTATGAGCAAGACGGAACAAGAGCGGAGGATCCAGCAGCTCAACGAGCTACGAGCGCAGGCCGTCCGCGGCGCCTCGGCCAGTCAGGAGCCGATCGAGTCGATCGAGGGCAACGGCATTGATGCGGTGGCTCAGCACCACGACGAGCACGAGAGTGACGAGTCGGTCGACTCCGAAGAAGAGTAAATTGGTGCAGGAGCTTGCAATCACCGCGCAGCGCTCTAACTTACCACTTGGCTCGTTCTGCGCTGCTGCTCCTCCTGCTTTAATTCTACGCTCTTTCTCTACTGGAGAAAAAGCATGTGTCGAGAGTCATGTGTTCCTGTTCCACAGACGACTCCCTTCACCACGCCATCACCCCCTTCATCCAAGGTTGTCTGACTCGTTGCCCAGCTCACGATCCGCAGTGACAGTCCCCTCTGACGGGGCAACTTGCTCTCCGTCCTGACCAAGACAGCTTCTGTGGACTTCCGGTTTATAATTGACCGGCATCGCCATCAACTCAAGTCGAGTCGCTCAACCTTAGAAGAAGCTCCCGAGACAGGCACGGCACTTGCCGCTTAAACTTTAGTTCTTTGACCCCAAAACCAGACATTGTAGGAATATCGAGCGTGTACGATAACAAATCACCTCATCTTCAGGTGCTTTTCTCTCCCAGCCCTTCTCCCTCTTCCTTAAGGCGAACCCCAGAGACCGGTGACTTTGCTCAGGGGCCTGATTCTCTCTGTCTTCTCTTTTCACCATCGCGGTTTGGGGGGATTTTTTTCTGAACAGCCAGCAAAAAAGGATCAGGTAAAGGAAAGGGAGCAGGGTTGATTTGGACGGAATGGGACAAGAAGACAAGGACTGACCTTGGAGCAAACGCCACCATCGCCATTATCATTGTTCACGCATTTCCAACTCTGAGCTTTTCGGATCCATTCGCGTCATGCGTTTGGAGATCGGCTTGGAGGACTGAGGAGATTGCTGCTCTCTTGGTTGGGTTCACCAGAGAACCAGATAGCAAGGCTCTCTGCTCCGGCAGTTGCTGTGTTAGACAGGAAGGGCCACGCAACAACAGTAGCTTCGTAGATGGACGATGGATGATGGATGGGATTGGGTTGGGACACTTGCTGGGAGTTTTTGACTGGGTCAGCCGTCGAGTCATACATAATAACTGGCGTCGTCATTTTCTTTATTCTATTCGCGCTGTTATTTGTTATTAAACGCCCATCTTACCTGCTGCTCCGCAAACATGGAATGGTCCAGGTCATTACTGGTGTTGCTTCCTGCCAGTCGTTACCTTGCTGCTGCTGTGTTGGGTCGCTACCTCCTTGCCCGTTTTCATGGATGAAGAGTTCGATGGATGGGTGCTCGGTGGATTCAGGTCATGCTTAAGCCTTTCTTTTTTTGCCTTTTGCTGCTGATGCTTTTTTGATGGTTGTCGTCGTGCCCGTTCTCTCTTTGAGCCACCTGGGTGATTTTTTCCTGAGAGGAGTCTTGGGTTCATCATCTAGGCGCACACTTTGCCCTCCCCTTTGTCTCGCGGGCGCAGAGGCAAAAGGGAAAGGTTGATGACGCATTGATACCACAAGTCTCTATGCTCTCTAGTCGCGTGGTTTGGTGGATGGGAGGTGTTTGTTGGAAGTAGGCTAGAGCCATAGTAGGTAACATTGGGGTTTTAGGTAGTGGAAAAGAGAAAAAGTCATGGGGGCATAGGAAACAGGAGTATTGCTTCCCATGTGTTGGTGGCATACCTTGTGATGTAATCCTTGTGCTTAATCGTTGGTGATAGTGGTGATGTGAGACGCTGTTTCTGCAATAGTCCCAGGCCAACAACGTTGAGCTCATGCCCAATTTTTGCCCTCAAATTACCCTGCGTGGGCTTAACTTAGTGACGAAAGAATGTGACTAAACATGTCTGCCACCTTAAAAGCTCATTTCGGAATTTTTGTGGCTTTTTCCCACATCATTTGTGTGCAAATGAGCTTGATATTTGAACTCGACCGTTGGTCGTCACTGTCCCGTCACCCGTTGATGTGGTGGTGGGTGTGAGGAACTCTGCCCTGGGTTCTTGGTTGTGGTGGGGGCTTTGTGGGCGGTTTTTCTGAGGCAAAATCCGCTGACTGGCTGCTTGGGGTTACTGATGTGGCTCCACTCACTACAGCCCACAGGAACCTACTCGGAAACTGGGCAGCGTGGGTTCTGGAAGCTGGCAACAAGCTGATAGTGAGGCTGCTGCCGCATCAGCCACGGGATGGACTTGAGGCTGAGACGAGTCATTGGGATAGTTGAGCTGCTGTGACAATATCAGCAGAGATATCATTAAAGAGCGGGGCGGAAATGACTGACCTGGCTTTCTAGGGCTTTCTCATGGGAAATGAAGCGAAAATCAAATGTGAACTCCGCGAAAGGCTTTGTCTACCTGTGCAGTGTGCACGCATCACGGACGTCCCGTATCTCTAACACCAGCTTCACATCTTAACTGAGGGCAGTGTGACATTCCAATGGCGACATAAGAGATGTTTACCTCGACACGTCAGAGTAATGCTGTCTTCAAATGGACTGAACAGGGTGCGGAACTCAGGCAGATACTCTGCGAAGTAGAGGTCAGCATCCAAGAACTATCGATGAGTTAAGGGAGGGCCGCAGCTATGAGAGTTGAGCTGGAGGCAAGTTCGCAAGCTTTCAGGGTTATCCAGTCATCCTTCAGACCTCTGGGCAAGAAGCAAGCCGGTTTCAAGATGACATGTCGACGTTACGAAGCTTGCAAAGCTTTATGATCACTTCAGCTAGTAGGACTAGTCTGCCCAAGGTCAAAGGTAAAATGCAATGATTCCAGGCAGAGATTAGGGGGAGATAAGGGAGAGATGTTCACCGGAGAATTCCGTCCTCTCCATCCACACCATACTACTTAAGAACTCCCAACTTACCGGTTACGAAACAGCAAAAGTTTTTTCATGAAATTTCTAAGAAAATGCCTGAAATTTATCCATCATTCAGGCACGAAGTTGTAGGCAAAGTCTGAACCCAGAGCTTGCTGGATGGGAAAATGTTGAGGTCAGCGTGGGGATCGCGGGAGCCTCCGATGCCAATGCTTTTCACATGAACCTTGCCGGCGGCATCGCCCCTAGTTAGTTGGCTATTTGGCTGAATTAGTCGCACTAATTGCTCCTGGACCACAATCTGCTCAGCTGCAAACTATGTCATATCGCAGGCAGCTTTGATGACGAGCAGTGAGTTGACCAGTTTCAAGATAATGATATGGAGATTGGAGAGCAGCGGCTCTCCTCGAGGGACAGGACAAAAAGACAAGCAAGGAGCAGACAAAGACGGTCATTTATTGAGACCACAGCCCTCATTGAGCTGATGTTACTCCCAATCGCGGTCTGAAGTCTTGACCACTGGCCAGATCAACAAGCCTTCCATCCAAACCTCCATGCCAAACCAGACAGTTGGAGCCCATATGCCATTAAGATGGTAAACCCGTTGATCCATGAATGGCCAACCAGGAAGGCACATTCGGTGAAAATCGAAGCTTCACGATGTGGAATGGCCTGGCCAGATCATTCAGCTGCAAACTCTAGGTATCAATCATCAAACACGACCAGGTCTTGGAGGATGAAATGGACCGCCCGTTGACCGCAAGCACAGGAGCAAGAACAGCAGACTACCGAGGTCACAGTTGGGTCAGTGGAAAGGTTACCGGGTTTTGTTTAGCTCTAACCATTGGAAAAGACCTGCAGAGGTTCTATGGGCTTGGGATGGATGCGTCGATGATCAACAGCAGTGATACAATAACCAGGGGAGTGTCGAAACTCAAAGATCTGCAAGATCGCCCTCTGCTAACATGCATGTAGAATACTATCAAAGAGAAGCATGGTTTAGGATGATACGGATTGTCAGAAGGAGGAGTCTTGCATGAGACATCAACCACAAGAGATCTACATTATGAAGTTGGAAGGTTATAACTTAACTTCCGCTTTTGAACAAACACCAAAGCCACTCCTCTATAAGTCAACCAGCAAGTAAACCTAACGCCACCAGGTATCCATAGTTATAGTAGTATAATCTAAAACAAGTACACCAAATCAACATCCGACACGGATACAGATATCGATCATCACATACTCTTCTCTCCACCGAGCGGTTCGGCCCATTGGGCTTACCCCTGACTAACCTCCGGCTTGTCCTTTTGTTTCTCGATTTCAGAGAGAGGGTCTGGCTTCAGTTGAGCATCCACTGTCTCAGCTGGGCCCTCCTTAGCGGGGACAGCTTCCTCTTTCTTCTCCTCATCCTTCTCAGTCAGCTGAGCAGCAGACTGTGCACATTCCCTATCCTCGCCCTTTTCCTTCTCCGAACCCTCACCCTGGCCGTTAACCCGGCTATTTTCTTGCTCCCTCTCCTTCCCCTTCTGACCCTCGGCTTGCATCCTCTCTAAACTCTGCTCACTCTCCCTTCCCACAGGCCGATTCTCCTTATCCCCCTCACTAGGCGCCTTACTCCCACTCTGACTAACCGCCTGTTTCCACCAACCAATACCTCCTTCCGAAGTATCGGTGCTGGCCTTGCTACTAGTGGACCCGCCGCCGTCAGCGCTGGCCGCCTCATCTTCACTTCTCCGGCCGCTAATCCACGCCGGCGCAGCAGCAATCTCAGCGAGTGTCTTGCGAATACGTTCACGCCGAGCCTTGCCGCGCAGCCGGTCGTTGTTGGAGGGTCCGCCGCTGCCGTTCATCACCCAACGAATGCCGATGATCATGAAGCTGATACCATCATGCACGGCACGACGGCGTGGTTCGCCAGGCTCGAAACTGTCATCTTCGATGATGCCACCGAACTCGCGGCTTTTAATGCCGAAACGTGTGGTTGAGGCGTACTTCTCGAGGCGAGGGAGGATGAGCAGAGTGACGTGCAGATCACGGTTCTCAGGAACCGGCATGGGGCCATTCTTGGGAGGCTCCGTCAAAACGATTTCGCCGTTAGTACTTGGCGCGTCTTTCTTGGCACCATTTTTCAGAATGTTGATGCCGCGGACGTCAGACATAGCGTAGCCTTCGTCCAAGCCAAGCATGCTAACATCCACATCCTCGGGCCACTCGCCACGGATCCAGCCGGCATGGATACAGCATGCAATAACATCCGAGTCGTCGGTGTACACGTCGGTGCCCCAGAGAGCCCGACGAGCAGTAATCTCCTCGCGAGCTTCCGGTGTGAGATGCTGCTTGCCAATCTTCACAGTAAGTGTGCAGTTCTCTTTGCCCTCAATCAAATCCCATGGCAATGGCTTGGGCGTCGACGAGTAACCAATGCGAGGAGGGCGCCCCGTGCGTGGATCCTGCATGCGCGCCTTCTTGAGAATCGGCTCGTACACAACATCGCCAAGGTGCATTCGTGGGCGGTCGGCAACACTCTCTAATACCGCCTTTGATGACACGATAAGTCTGGGCTTCTGCAAAACAACCGGCGACGGACTCCTAGGCTGCTGGGTGGTGCGGATGCTCGACATCGGGGCGAAGCCATTAGCAGCGGGACGAGGCCCAACATGGTGATGATGATGGTGGTGATGGTGATGAACGCTTGGCATCTCTTTGCCCACGGGAGCCCCTGGAGCCGGAGCTGGAGTTGATCCCTTGATACCTCTAAATTGGGCATTGCCTGCAAGGCCCGGCTGAAGCTGCTCCAAATTATGGTGATGGTGGTGATGGTGATGACTAGAAGTGTTAGACGTTTCCAAGCTTTGTTCAGAGACAGGAAGTAAGACATACTGATGATGGTGATGCGTGTGACTCTTGACCTTCTTGGTGCGACTTCCAACAGATGTGAGCCCTCCGCTGCTCGCCTCGTCCTCCTTGCCCTCGTCTTCTTTCAGCCTTCTGCGCTTGCCACGAGCCGCCCCAGCCTTGGCAGGATCAACCTCCTCAACCCCAGCATCCATTTCGTCCCGGCGAACCAAGCTCGAGGGCCCATAGCCATGAGATCCAGTGGGCAATGGGCCTGTGAGCGCACTCAAGCCTGACCCAATGCCCGAGAACATGCGACCAAATTCGCTCTTGATACCCGGCTCACCTGCAGGGCCCGGCAGCTGTGGCTGCGCGCCCTGGACAGCTTGTGGCAAAGGCGAAATACGTCCTCTGCTTCGGTTCATCTCCTGAATGGCCAGCAGCGTGTTCCGGCCATGATTATGAGAAGGTGGGGGGTTCAACTCCTCCATCGGTCGATTCCGAGAAGAATCATACACGGAATGACTGACACCGCCGTAAGCAACAGACGGAGGAGGAATGACGGCTTCTTCGCGTGTTCGAGGAGGGGGCTGCTGCGGCTGAGGTCTCTCCAGCTGCATCATCCCTGGACGCTGACGCTCGGGAGACTCATAAGGCTGGGGATGCGGCGGGCCCGGGGGAGGGAGAGTGTGCTGATGGTGCTGGGGATGCGAAGGCGGAGGGGGATGATGGCGATCGGGAGGAGCTGTAGCGTAAGGATGAGGATTGTAGTGCGGGGCCGTCGTCGCCGGCGGGTAGTCTTGAGGCCTCGGAATGCGTATGCCGGCCGGATCATAGGCGGCCCGGGCTGGCTCGTAGCTCTGTCTTTGCCAGTGACCCGGATCGCGCAACTCGGGAGGTCGGCCATACGGCGGCGGCGGCTGAGCTCTCTGGTCGACCTGGCGGGCGTAGTCCTGAGGATGCAGCCCATGAGGACGGCCCTGGTCAACTCCAGCCATGGCCATCTCCCGACGCTCCCTCTCACGGTAATCCATTTCACGCTCCTGACGCTCCCGTTGTTCCCGTTCTCGTTCTTGAAACTCGCGTTCCTGGCGCTCCCGCTCCTGTCTCTCACGCTCAGTTATGTATCTCGGCTCCTCGATTTTCATGAGTCGGATGGGGCGCTCAGGATTGTATTCTTCAGACGGACGGAGCTCGTCTCGGCGACCGTACATATCGGTCGGGGGCCTCGACGGCTCGACCGGGCGGGGCGGTCCAACTGGCTGGTACTGCTTCTGCGGACTCATAGTCCGGGGAGGGGGCACGCCTGGACCTCCAGACAGCCGGTTGGGGTCCCTAGGATCCCTACCCTGGTCAGGAGCCGGCAGAGGGCCTCGCTGAGCATACGTCTGGGGAGTGCCGTAGCGCTGAACTTCGGGCGTGGAGCTATAGGCCTGGGGAGACGCAACAGCGCCTGGTCTCTGGTTCCTCGAGTCGTACATCCTGTGATGCTCCGGAGGGGTCTGTGGTCGGCGGAATGGAACATAGTCGGAGCTCGTTGCCGGTTGCGTGCGGGGCGAAGCGTGAATAGACTGGCTATACGGCGGCCCTGGAACGGCAGACGGAGCAGCAGGAGAGTACTGCGGAGGCGCGGGGGGTGGTTCCCGTGCTGGCTGCGGACCGCCAAGCATGGACGAGATGGACATGCTGCTGCCGGAACTTCCGGTCCTGGGCAACGACTCGAGTGGGGGCAGCTCTCGGCTGGTGCGCGGGAACGTGTTGGGAGGCCCCACCGAGACGGGCGGCGGGCGTGGTTGCGGCAAGCTGTAGGGCGCGGGCAAGGTATGGGAGTTCGGCGGGGCCTGAGGCTGCTGCGGCTGCTGCTGTTGTTGTGGCGGTGAGGCCGGTGGCGGCATCGCGCGACTCAATGTGGGCCCCGAAGATATCGAGGACGTGCTCTGGTGTCGAGAATGCGTCGTCGACGGCAGCTGGCCGGGTCCGGGCTCGGGGCCATACTGGCGGGAGGGTGGGTAGAAGGGCGGCGGGTCGGAGGGTTTCCGCATGTGGACATCGGCGTATGGGGCCGCAATGGGCTGCGAGGGATGTGGATGTGTAGACGCAGGTGGATACGGCGGCTGCGATGTCGCTGACGCGGTGGTCGGGGGGAAAGACGGACGGGTGAATGGCGACGCGGCGTTGCGCGAGAAGGGATGTTGTTGTGGCGGCTGCCGGGGATCCATGGCGCGCCTAGGAGCCCGACGCAGGCCGTTGGGAGCGTGCTGTGTGTGGCTGCTACTGCTCTGTCACTATTGCTTGTGCCGCACTTGGGCTGAGGTTGCGGTAGCTGTCGCTGTCGTGGTCGCGATCGCTATCGTGGTTATCGTAGTCGTTGTCGTCGTTATTTGTGGCTCTTGTCGCGGTCCAGTTTCGGGCGTCGGCTTGTGGGACTCGGGCTCACTCGCGTGCTTATGTTCGTGCTGGATGCTAGACGGTGCCTGCTAGCTGCTAAGTGGTGCTTCCGCTCCCGCTTCTGCTCCTGTTCCTGCCCCTACTCCTGCTTCTGCTTCTGCTGCGTATGCGTCTGCGTCTGATGATGCTGCGGCTCGTCCTCCTGCGGTGTCTGCGGCCAACGCTCTCGTCGTCGTCGTCGTCGTCGTTGCGGCGCGTCGCAACAAAACTGTTAGACCGGGCTGCGGGCGGCGAAAATTGAAGGACGATGACAGAAAGACCCGCGGGCGACGTATGTGATCAAAGGACGATGGAGAATTGGGATCCCGGTGTCGTGGCTCGAAAAGCGGGAAGAGCGTAATAAAATTTGCGCCCTGATCTCGTTCTCGCTCGTCTGGGGAAAGTCCTGGGAGGGCGGTTGGATCACCCGACGTACAGATTTGATTCCGCAAACCGAAGCACCTGCCCACCGCCCAGTGCCTGTTGCCCGCCTGCCACTTGCCTGCCTCTGACCTGCCAGTGGCTCCCCCAGGTGGGCTCCCCTATGTGGCTCCCGGTGGCCCACCCGTGGATCTGTCAGTGGGTTGTCCGTGGCCGGGCTTGCTTTGCCAACAACACTGTCCCTGACTTCTGATTGGTCAGTTCGCCGCTGAAGAGATCGGCGGCCAGGCGCAGGGTGAAGCGCGTAAAAAAAAACTAAAACACGAGAGCCTGGCAGGGATGAAAAAGAGCTCCGGATGGGCGCTAGCGCGGTTCGACAGCGGGGAAGCTGAAGGCGCGGTGCCAGCAAGCAGCAGAGATAGAGGCAACACGCCGCGGCAAGCAAAAACAGCAGGACAGAGAGGTGTGATGAGACACAGACGACGGAGCTCCCAAAGGTCGGGTTAGGCCGCAAGTCAGGTACCTCAACTTCTCAGGAAACAACACTCGCGAGAGCCAGCAGCGCAACACTGTTTTTGTTGGGCGTGGTGCATCACTTTTCTATTCGGTGTCGCTCCAGTTTGCAGATTGCAAGCAGATCGCTCGCCCTGCAATCACCGCAATTGCTCCGCAGTCCTACCACATGCTTTCCCAACCAAGATGCACGCATGCACTCATCCACCAGACAGACGGGCTGTCATCCGCTGCACCAATCGCGCGATACGCGAACCCTGAGCCGGAGAAGGACAGAAGGACAAGAGGACGACAAGACAGCTGCATTGCCTTGAACTCGAACGACTACAGTATCTGCGGCGACTCGAGCTCGGCGTTGATGAACGCGGCGCGACCTGCCTTTCAAGACTGTCTACCGGCGAGTGGCGACGTGGCGCAGACAACGGATAAGCCAGCCCGACAACATCAGAACCCGAAGACCGATCTCTGCAGTGGCTGATGGTAGATGGAAAAGGACAGAGCGTTGCAACCAATGCAGGATCCGAGACGCGGGCTGCGTGGGTCGATGCAAGCAATCCAACTGGGCGTGTAACCCCCCGACGGGAGCTAATCTCAAGCAAACCTGCAGCTCTGACGCCTCTCTGCTGATGAGAGTGCTCACGCCGTTGGGCATGTGATGAGATGACCTCCTGGGAAATGTCTCTTCCCATTTAGCTGACATATTTTCCCGTTGTTTCCCGCCTTGATCGCATCTTACCTGACGAGAACGGATCGACTGCCGATCTTGACAGGCCCCAGGAAAACAAAGCAAAAACCAGCAGCATCATTCGTCTTTCCCCCACTGCAAGCAAACCTCCATCTGCCTATCGGCATCCCTCGTCCAGCCCATTGTCTCACCCGGCCACGGTCCGGCTCACTGCTGGTGGATGCTCCACGAACTAAGTAACGCCACGTAGATGATGCCTCTCCGAAGCACCAGGTTAACTTGTCTGGCTGTTCATGTGCCCCTCTTGTCTCCCAGCTGCATGTCTTGCCTGCCGCGGAACGTGCACCCGCTCTGTGGCTTCGAGACCGACCCAAGAACGCAGCTCTGAGATCTCAGCCATTGCCTCAACTCGGCAGATGCTTGCTGCATAAGCTTCCCTTGGTGATGGGAAGAGGCGCGCGTTGAAGAGGCTTAGATCTATCCAGACTAGGCTATCTGGTTCCATTTGCTCTGGAGCTTGCGTGCTCAATGGTGAAACTTGCCATCCACTCGCATAAACTGGCACTCAAAATGATCCTTTGAGGTCATATGAATGGAAAGTTCGATATCCATGGAGGTTCCAGATGTTTCTGGTTAAGGCTCCATGTTTCCCAAAAAACAGTTTGAGGACGTTCGTGTTGGAGGTTGATAGTAGAACTGCGACACCGTCTCAGATCGCTGTCGCCCTCATCTAAGTATCTTACTTAATTGCACTTCTTTTGCTTGGCTCCCCTCTCAAAGTATCCAGCGGGCTGTACGGATGAGTCGGCTACTTGCTGCAAGGGCACAATATGTCCTACTGAACTTCAGCCAGTTGCCACAGCAGAACTTTGACGAATCATCGGTTACACACTGGCAGCTTGCCGAAACAATCAGACTAGGGGAACCTCCTGCTTGTAACCTGTCGCACGTTGCCATCCTCAAGAAGTTTGATAGTTGTTCAAGCGACACTGCAGTATTCACATGACTCTTGTTCGCAGACTGGATCGCTGGGTTTAAGTCCTTACCTCTTGCTGCAGGTTGAATTGCCAATATATTAGCATGGTTTTAGACATGGTAGACATTTTTCCTGATCAAATGCTATTATGTGGGAATAGTGTCAGTTCAAGTGGTCAGATGCACCGTGCGGGAGAGAAAACAGACCAGCGCTCAGGACTTGGGTAGTTTCCTCGCCGGCAACCAACATTGTAACCATCGCACACCTTCCCGATGGGTTAACATGAAATGCTCCTACTCAAAGCCACAGGTAGTCAGCATCAGGTTTCAGGAAGAAGCAAGCCCCTTAGGAAGGTCACAAGGGCTCAGTCCTTCGGGAGCCACTGAAAGGTGGAAGCGGACGCAAAAGAGTCACAAAAGTCTGGAATTTCCCTCTTCCTGAGCCTCCGGTGTTATCCTTGACCTCATTCTACAACGCATTGGCACAAGAGTTGGCCACAATGCTCCTCTTCAAACTCGCGGCTTTAGCTGCGCTGGTGTCTGCCCGCAGGATCATGGACACCCTCATCACCGTCCCAAGAGGATGGAAAGAGATACGCAAAGCAAGCCCTGATGAGCCTATTTTTCTCCGGATCGCTCTTAAACAGCCTCGCAGCGCTGCCTTAGACCAGGCCGTTCTGGACATCTCGACGCCTGGTCACCCCAACTACGGCATGCATATGACCCGCAAACAACTAAGAGCTTACACCGCGCCCTCTGAGGCTTCCGTCGCTGCTGCCATGGAGTGGCTTGCTAGCCATGGCATCAAGGCCTCCGTGGACCATGACTGGATCTCCTTTACCACCACTGTTTCAACTGCGAATCGTTTACTCGACACCCAATTTTCTTGGTACCAGCCCATTGCCGGCGGACTTCCTCAGCTTCGGACCCTTTCGTACAGTGTCCCCGACCACGTTGGTGTCCATATTGACCTAATCCAGCCGACCACCCGCTTCGGTTATCCTGGGACCCGGAAGTCCGCCATCTTGAAAGCATACCCCATTGAAGCCTTTCCCCATCCTCCGAGTTCGAACAGTCATCTTGGAGAGAAGTTGCCGAACGAATGTATCGGCTACATCTCTCCCACCTGCCTGAAAGAGATGTACAATGTCCACTACAGGCCTAATATGGACAGTGGCTATGACAACTCGTCCATCACCAAGGTGGCTTTTGCCTCCTTTCTGCATCAGTACGCCAGGTACAGTGACCTCAAGCTTTTCGAGCACGCTTATATCACCAAATCTTCCTCTATTGGTAACCACACTTTCTCTGTTGAACTTATCAACGGTGGCTTGAATGACCAGGAGAGCCCAATGAACAGCAGTAAGAGCATTCCCTTCCATTGTTTGGGCGTGAAGTAACATCGACCTAGTGGAGGCAAACCTCGATGCACAATATCTCATGGCTCTGAGCTATCCGCTCCCAATGATCGAGTACAGCACTGGCGGGCTCGGTCCCCTTGTTCCCACGCCTAATCAGCCTGAAGTCCCGGGAAGCAATGAGCCATATCTGGAGTGGCTGCTCTACCTTTTGAACAAGTCGGATTTAGCTCTTCCGCAGACAATTTCGGTCTCATACGGAGAAGAGGAACAGTCTGTTCCACGCGAGTATGCTCTCAAAGTGTGCTCGCTATTCCGGGACCTAGGTGCTCGGGGTGTCAGTGTCCTTTTCGCCTCTGGCGACTCGGGCCCGGGAGACGCATGCACGGATATCAACGGCAATAGCACATTCTTCGAACCTACTTTTCCCGGGGCCTGCCCGTGGGTGACATCTGTTGGCGGCACTGTTGGAGGGACCGGGCCAGGGGATGAGGAAAAGGCCGCCGGCTTCTCGTCTGGTGGGTTCAGCACGATATATGAGCAGCCACCATGGCAACGGGAGGTTGTTCAGAAGTATCTCGCCTCTCTGGGCAAAAATCATTCATACCTCGGTTACTTCAACAGAACTGGACGCGCATTCCCAGATATTTCCGCACAATCACAGAGGTTCGTCATTTACGACAAGGGCGTTGCAACACTGGTTGCAGGAACCAGCGCCTCAACGCCCGTAGTTGCCGGGATGGTTGGATTGCTGAATGCTGCGCGGAAAGCCCGGGGGAAACCGCCACTAGGGTTTTTGAATCCTTGGCTGTACAACGTCTCTGTAACCATGGACGCGTTCATGGACATTAAGTCAGGATATGGCATCGGTTGTCGGGGGAAGAGGGAGTTTGGCTACTGGGGAGCACAGTGGAACGCCACTGAGGGCTGGGATCCAGTGACAGGGCTGGGAACGCCGCTGTTTGATAAGTTGTTGGAGGCTGCTGCGCCTGGGACGAAGAATGCCTGAGTGATTTGTCAAGCATCGTGTGCTAGGTGTTGTAAGTTGTGTGGCGAGGAAGTGTTGCGTTGATGGCTTCAAGGTTAGCAGATGGACTTAGATGCATATGGTTAGGTATCTCAACATTTATTTTGCGTCTCTCATTCCCCCTTGACCAAGCATAGAGCGCAACAAGGATCTCAAACTAGACCAGGTTCGACTGCCCTTCTGTTGAAGTTAAGGTTACAAGATATTATACACGACTGAGGCTGATATGTCCAGCCCAGACAGTCCAATAGAAACCTGCGAAGGATGACAAGGCTGAATTGGAACATTTCCAAATGTCCACCAAACAGTCAGCTTAGCTAGTATCGCTTTATGCTGGCTGTTCCCGTTCGAGGCGAGCTTCGGCACAGAGTTCCCAACTGGGACCGAGAAACAGAGCAAGAGCAGGCTGAGAGAAAGCGTGAAGGATACACGTCCATACTCCAACAAATCTTGTGACATGGGAATCTCGGCTTATGGTCGCTTCAGCCTTGCTAAGTCTGTGTGCCAGTGTTTCGTTGACCCGGTGGGTGGTAGATCGTCACCTCTCAATCGAAATGACGAAATGAATCCTCGTGGTTCCTAACGCATCCATAATCTACCATTACCAATCCTGTTTGTCCTTCTCCTACACCTGGGTCCGTATTTCGTACCTGACACCTCCTCTTCAACCTGACCCACCCCTAATCTCTCCATCTAGCTTGGTGTTAACCCCAGCATCACTTTCCCATCCATGATCGTCACTCCAGCTCCTCAAAAATCCGTCACACGCCCATTAAAGCTCCAATCCCCCTCTGGACCCCACCGCAAAGGCTCGTTCTTCGGTCCGCCGATCTCCCCTGTCTTGGGATTCTTGTCCCCCTCGAATTCGGGCGGCGCACCGCCGCGAATGCCCCCGCTGAATGTTCCCGCGGTCACGAAATCCACTGGCGAAGGAGCTCTGTGCAGCGTAGGCGGTTCTTGCACTTGCGCCTGAGGATTGGACCCTGGCGAAGGGGTGGTGACGTGTCGGGAGGTGGCGAGCGGATCAATGGAGATTGACGAGGGGATGGAGGTGTGAGAGTTGAGAGTGGCGGCGGCGGCACGCTGGAGGCGCTCGAATTCAGCTTGTTGATCGGCCGGGAGACGGGGGGGGGCGGGTGAGTTTTGGAGGAAGCTTGAAGAGTAGGGGCGAATGGGTGTGAGAGCTGGGCGCGGGGCACGGAGGGGTCGGAGGGGAAGGAAACGAGACATTTTGGTGTAGAGATTTTGATGGGTTTGTTTTGTTTTGTTGTTGATTGGAAGATTGTAGGCTGGTTGAAGAAAATGACGTAAACAAAGCAGCGGTGGTTGAGGAAGTTTCAGTGTCACAGTTGTTATATGGGCGCCGATACTCCTTGAGAGGCAATGGAGGTTCGAGGTGTTGTACCGCGCATCGCCGAGCAGCGCCGCAGCGGAATCCCTCGGGTTACGATACGGATTACTGCGGGCAGCTTGCCCCACAAGGCAAACAAGGGTCCATTGTTTGATGCTGGAATGTGGATCTTCCCAGACCCACCTAAACGCGATAGCAGATCCACTGTGTTACAGAAGCTTATCATGAATCGATGATTGCTTTCGATGTCTCACTCCATCAAAGGTGATATAAAGTTTGATGAGGGTGTTCATATTGTGGTGAAGTGTTTTAGTGCTCTTCAGCTGACATAATTTTACCGAGTCAAACTTGAGAACTAACCGATCAAGAACAAAAATGTCTCGGTGCCTCTCGGCTGGGCGGACGCCAAAATACTGTCGAATCCAAACACTGACCTTTCTAACATCATGGCTGCCTTTTTCATGCATAGCTATGAATATGGGTGTCCAACATCATCGCGCGACAAACAACGATGGGTCTCCCCGGATAATATTAGCGTGACCTTGGCCATGCATGGCGGCATGTGGAGGACCCCGGAGCAGGCGGGCAGTTTGCTTGCTGCCGCCCACCAGGCTCTGAGGTGTTGTTCCGTTAAGCTCCCACACAACCCACACGCCATCTTTGCCATCTCGCCGTCCAACCAGCTTCGTCTCAGTCACGCAGTATCGTCTCGACGAATCGCCATTGAGGACATGGTGTGTATCTGTCGTATGCCCGCATTCCCATTACCCTGCGGTACATATCGCCCATGCTACGTCAGTCAGCACATGACTTCTGATTGAGGCTCCAGACTCCCCCGCGTTTGGCCTTGGGCTCGGAGGGACCTTTTGAGAACAGCACCTCCCAGGTCTCGTGGCATGAGAGCTTTGTTGTTCCACGCACTACACCTAATAACTTCGACAGCCACCAACCTCCCTTATCCTCTTCGTCTTCGGCTTGTCATGGCTTTGTTGGTTTTGTGACCACAAACTCTCTTTCCTCAAGGCACCGCCCCTGAATCCCCGAGAAGTTGGGATAGGAGATCCGATATTTCCCTCACCTTTGGGGTTTACGCTTCTAAGATTTCTCCCCTTGCTGACCCCGCGCATCGACCTCTGGGCTCTCTGCCCAGGTCCTGGACTTCATCGACCATTCATGGATTTCTCAACCTACGCCAACAACTATGGTCTCGCCAATCCTGGTGAGGCGCAGGCGCCTCCTCAGATACAGCTACAACAGACACGTCCTCGCTTCCTCCTGGTTCCCCTCAACTCCGACACAATGAACTTTGTAGTGAATTTGGAAAGCAACGCTCGCCTGCGCTACTCACATCCCTTGGATCCTGCTACTAACCGTCCACTCGTTGCACTTGACATCACCTTCTCGAACCCAGAAAAGAGTGCTTATACACTTGGATGTGGAGATAGCGTTGATATTTTCTTGCCAGATGAGGTGCCTTCACATCGCTCTACCTCTAGAATCAGCAGTTTGCATGCGGTGTTCTCTTTCGTGGAAGCAACTGGCGCTGTGTTACTGGAGGATCACTCCCGAAGTCGTACTGTTGAGCTGCTTGATTGTGACGGCTGCACCAGAATCGATTTCAAACCAAACTCCATCCCCAGGTCCGTTCTCGTGGCCCGAAGTATCAACACCCGCATCGCATTTGGTAGAGACCGGCGATATATTTTTGAGATCCGGTGGTGGTCAGATGGTCTCAATGATGACGACTTTCCAAAAAATCGAAATAATACTTACACTGTTGGTCCAAACGATGCAAGCCATCCTCCGTTGTATGTAGAGGGCAGAAGAATGGGCTCGGGAGCATACGGCAGTGTTTGGATGGCACTTGACGTCTTCACCGGTGAGGTCATGGCCGTGAAGAAATTTGACAACTTGACTGGAAAGCACCGCGACTTTGCAAGGCGTGAAGTGCGAAACCTTCAGCGCATCAAGGAAAGAAATCACGTGAGTCGCAGTTCCTGTCTTCTCTTCCCTTTCGTCTATGCTAACCTCCTTCGGACTGCAACATTAGAATCATATTCTTCAGATCCTTGGTCATGCGACGAGCCAAAGAGGAGATTGGGTTGATCTCTTCATGCCGCTTATGCGTGGCAGTGTCGCTTCCTTGGTTGAGGCTCCATTGCCCGATACGCCGGCGCTTGTTGATCTCTCCGTTCTCATATTATACCAAATGTTGCAAGCCCTTGACTGCCTTGCTTCCCTCAAACTCATTCATCGGGATGTCAAACCTGGCAATATCTTGTGGGAATACGATGAGCAAGATAATTACCGCTTTCGCCTGGGGGATTTTGGTCTTTCCAATGATCTATCTAAAGCAAGAACTGCTGCCGGCACGGAGCCGTTTATGGCTCCAGAGGTGTATTACCGGCAAAAGCAGACAACTAAGGTTGACATATGGTCCCTGTTTGCGACTATCGTCTGGATACGGGATTCGGACTTTAGAAATGGATGTGCAAGTTCCCATTTCCGCCCTCCTGAGGTCTTTGATGTCCTTAGTGCCATATCACAAAGGGAGGAGTATGCCAGATTTTCCGGAATGGCAAGCATGGACGCAGCAAAGAGGCCATCGGCGCGCAGACAGCTCATGATGCTCAATGATGAAACAGACGACGCAGCCGACGAGGATGATACCCAGAGCGTTAATCCCGATTACACCGAGGAGCTTGCCAGTCAATTCAATGATGTTAACCTGGAGGATACTCCGCGCTCTGCCAGTGGCTCGGGAAGTTCTCATGCCTTTCCTATACCATGGTACGAAAGCTATGGTGATCTTGCTGTCATTGGATACATGGAAGCTAAGGCCGGGCCCAGCACAAACACGTTTCAGCCTTGCACGCCACTGAGGGAGTGTGATATGGGCGGAGTAAGTGATATTACCATTTCTCATCCTTAGACATTTCTAAATATTGCAACTTGAAGTGTCTTCAGACAGTACTGACGGCTGCTTTGCAGCCTTATGTTACGCCCATGCAAAGTCCTTGCCAACCGATTGATAATCAATATGACGAGCATGAAACGGTGGTTCCCGGGAAGGGGAAGATCAGTTTTCAGATTGCGTCCCCTCCATCGCCGGATTGGGAGCTTGTCAATCGGGACGAAGACCATGACGAAACGGAGAGGAGGTTGTCGAAAAAGAGGAAGGGGAAAGGCAGACGCTAAGCCCTACCGCTATATTGCATATCGAACGTCAGTTACCAACGTTTGACTTTACGTTTCAAGGGTATGGGGGTTACAATGGCCTTAGAAACAACATCTTTTACGTTCTAGGTGAGCTTCGTCTTGGTATATCTTTCTCCCGTCAGCATCATTGAATGCAGGATGGGCCACGGTCACAACAGAGAAGCATTACGTTTGTCGGCTGAGACAGCTGGACATGATCTCTTTGAGTTATATCAATCACTCATTTCACTGATGCATATGGAATGGGGTAGCAAATATTCTTTTATTGAATTCATCACGGATTGCATGGATGAATGAGCTTGAATGGCTAGCTCTTTTCCACTATGCTATGTCAAAAGTTCTTTCTGCGGAACCCTTAGCTTGCACAGAAGCTCTGCCGACCCAGTCACCAACTTTTGGCTGTAATGCACATGCTTTCTTTCAGCGCCTCATCGGCTGCAAGCCACAAGGAAGCTTGAGCTGTCTGTAAAGGTAGCGTGTCATTCGTTGAAAAAGTCTGTAGTGGGCCAAAAAAGCTGATCTTATCATTCGGACGAGTAGCTCAGGGGTAGAGCAACCGGCTGCAGTCCGGTAGGTCACGCGTTCAAATCGCGTCTCGTCCTAACTGAGGGTAGCCCCTTGAGATTATTTTTTTTTCATGGTTTTTGGGTCGAGCATTGCTGCGTTGTTCTTGCTCCAAGACATACTTTGAACACAGTGGCAAAATACACAAAAGCAACTGGCACACAGTATCTCAACTTCTCCTGCTTCTTCATCTCCAAAATGACATCTCATGGCCCTTGCTACGTTGATTCTATTTAGGACGACTCATCCTCTTCGTCTTTATGCAGCTTGATGTTAATAAACATCGCAAACAACCCAACGTCATATGCCAACCTTAATGCTCCAGCAACGACAAACGCGGCCCAGAAATTTCCTCCCTCGGCCAATACGCCAGTGATAATTGGCCCTGTCGTCGATGCCAGCGTCCGCAGCATGCCCGTAATCCCCATCACAGCCGTCCGCTCGTCAGGCCTTACCGTCGCCGCAATCAGAGCTGCTCTAGGCGCCTGATCCATGTTATTCAGCCCCATACGGACAAGCAACAACGCAAACGTGATCACAACCCCGCGTGGCAGAGGAAAGAGTAACACAGCAGCCGACGAAGGGATGTGCGTGAAGACCATGGTGTTGACAAGGCCGAGGGCTCGCGACAGGGGGCTGGCAAAGATGGTGGCGACTGCGGCGAGTAAGTAGCTTGTTGAGACGATATTGCCCAAGACGGACTTGAGGAGGGAGAATTTCTGGTCGAGGTAGTAGCTCGTCAGGGACATGTTGGCCATGCCGTCGGCGAGGGAGTCGACCATAAGCAGGAACCAGAGGATGGACATGATGGAGAGGGTTTCCCTGGAAATGCGGGAGATCCAGCTCTTGTAATGCTTACCACTGCTGGAAGAATCGTCGTTTTGGGATTCGTTTAGCAGTGGGCGTCTCTCCTCGTCACCTTCGCTTGTACCGGCCGGCTTCAACTCGCACCTATCCGACAGCAACGAGGCACATACTAAATTGACCGCGCCCATCGCCGCATACCCCCAAAAAACAGACGTGATACGCATCCAGCAGTCTCCAGCCCTCCTTCGCGCTCAGTACCTCGACCAACCATCCCGCAATCCCCGTCCCCGCAGCACTCCCAAAGCTAGCCATCATCACATACCAGACCAGCACATCTGTCCTCTCTTCCTTCTTTGCCAAGCCAGACACAACACTTTCCTCAATCGCCCGAAACGGCCCAAAATCCCCTCCCGTGGCACTAATCACTCCCAGGATAGCCGCCCCAAGCAAAACCCAGTAGTTCTCACACAGCGCGAAGACTACCCCGCTTAGGATCATCAACACACTTCCCGTCTTCAAGATTCGTCTTCTCCCGACCCGATCAGCAATGAGTGCCAGACCAAGTGAGAGTGCGACATCTCCAGCCAGGGTAAGTGTCATGAACAGGCCGATACGGGCATCAGGGACATGTAGAGAGGAAAAGAACAAGGCTAGGATGAGGGAGCTGCCGCCATAGGCGAGCATGCGGGATGAACGGGAGAGGATGATGAGGTGGGCATCGAGCCCAATCTGATAAAGGGCTTGTAGCCCTGTTGAGCTGAGCAGGCGGCAGAGAAGGGAGGGTTGTGGCTCAGAGGACATCTTTGTGAGATGCAATTTGATATGAAGGTGGGCCAACAGTGATGAGAGCTGGAAGAATGAAGAGTGATGACCAGAGGTAAGATTTGACAGTCAAGTGATGAACTTGCTAAGAACCCCAAATCCAGCGCGAAGGAAATGTGAAACTCTTAGGTTTGTCGCTGTAAACCAAACTTGTCTTATAAAAGAATATGAGATGAACCGGTTCACACATAATAATGGAGAAAATCTTCGTGTCTCCGCCTTCGGAAGCGATATCCGGGGAAGTGGATTCCGGTTTTTGTGCTATGATGTGATAGCAGGGGTCATGATGCGATTGCTTGTGGGTGCCAAGTATTGTATCTGCAATATCTCCGCCTGGAATTGGTTGGGAGTTGAGAGATGTGTAGCTGATTGGCTCAGCTGTGGTTGTACGTCAATCCCGAGAGTGATTTGGATGAGAGAATATTGGCTTGAGCAAAATAATTGAGTTTGCCTTTGCAATAACGAGACCAAATATCACAAGCTTACAACAGATGTGGCATTATCAAATATCTGGCTGGAGTCAACAGTATGCATTCTGATGTTTGCGATACCCAAAAGTACCTATGTGCGCACAACTTGAAGTATGAACATGCAATCTGTATGTAAAAGACTTTTCCACTGCAATGTGTCCTCTCGAAAAGTAGTTTGGCATCTAATCCAAAAAAAAAAAGCCCAATCAACCATTCTTAATGCAATCACCCTGATCACGCTGTTTGATACTAACACAACAAACCCGTCCCTCTTCATGCTAGCTCGAAACCAAACCATCCTCAGATGCCCATGACCTTGATGCGCTCTTTCCATCTATGCATTTCTCTTATCCCTCATGAACTCCTGTCCAACAAAACATGCCCAAAACACAAGACCACCCCTATAAATCCGCTGTAGCTTTTCCTTTATCTTCTAATCTATCCCAAATATTTCTCATCACTACTCCACAATCTCTATTCCAAAATTTAACGTAATCCTTTCTTCCTCGACCCCTAAAAAGCAGGCTGATTGAAGACCTCCCGGCCAATATCAGCTCTATCTCCTTTATCCCATATAACGTAACCCCGACACACATGCCAATAATCCAATTCCCTATGCCAGAGAATTACTGGACTGTGGCAGACTTTGGTGCCGGGTAAAGGCAGCATTCGCTGCTGTGTTGTTTGTTATATGACGCAAAGACTAATTAAGGCAAAGTAAGCCCAGTAAAAACACACAGCAGCACAAAGCAAAGTACAAAGCAGATTGACGCCCACTTGGGTGTAGGTGGCAAGTGAAAGAGCCTAATTAAGCACCATAGACAGTCTTATAAAAGGAAAAGGAATAAAGTCCAAAAGGGTTGTGCTTTGTTTGTCTGTTCTTCAAGCGAAGTTTCTCGTTCGAAAGGCTCCCGACAGACGTGATGGCAAAGTCGGTCACTGATGAATGGAGTTCAGATGACTCCCAATGGAAGACTTAAATCCAACGGCAATGAAGTTCGATGGGAGACGAGACCGGACGAAGATAAAACCGGACAGAGATAGGGTCGGACGAGACGAGTGTCTTTAAGAGCAATGCCCAGACGGAAAATTTCCATTGGTTATCCCATCTCCGAATGAGTCAGAGTCACATGATGTGAAGCCCGACCGATTCTTGATGAAGACGACGACCGCCAGATGGTATCGAGTAACGGAAGCCGACCGAGTTTCACGTCTGTATGGAAGATAGCCAACCGGCGAGGAAACGACCAGCCCTCTTCCATTGAAACTCAGACGAGTCCCGACATCTAACTGAGGTGAGAACCAACTTCTTGAAGATAAGTTTCTCAAACAGTCGGCCAAGCAGTCGTTCAAGAAGTCGACTAGGTCGTTCGTTCGCTTGAGAAATCGTTTAGCCAGTCGGCTGAGGTGCCGGATGGAGACCCGAAAATTGACACAAATGTCCCAAGAAATTTCCGACAAGATTCCATGTCCGGACGGCAGTTGAACCCGTCGACCACGAGAAACTCCAGAAGCTCAGACGAAACCTTCCATCGGGAGGGCTAAACACCTCTTTAAAAAGCAAACCCCTGGACTCCCGCTTAACGAGGAAAGTGTGAGGAGCTGAGACGAATTGAACGATAACAGACGAAGAGACGCAGACAACGAAACGAAGCGACGAACGGCCAAGCGGCGGATAGCAAAAAGAAGAGCAAGCAGCATTGCATATGATAGATAGCCTGGGGAGCAAAAGTAAATCCTCCGTCCGAGACCATGATGTAACAAAATCGGATGCTGGGAAGCTAAAATGAAATCATCGTGCTCGTCAAATCACCCACGAACATAAAGCGATCCCTGTCCGTCCGAACTCCCGACACCCCTTACATTGTGCTACCCGTGAGACCATAACCCATAACCTGAGACACCCTCCTATAAGAGAAATAACCTCGTTGATGTTGGCATTCTTCGTCTCAGTCTCTCCATTCCTCATCACTTCAATGTCAGATAAAGGCCCTTAATTTCCATTCAGATCCCCAAAAGTGAGCTCAAAATCCATATCTCCTAGGTCGCCCTGAAGCATACCAAGCCGCTGGTTGGTGCTGCCCATCACAGGCAGCATGGCAGTTGCACCCTGGGTGGTCGAAAAGGCATCTGTGAAGCCAGAAGTGCCATCAAGTTGGGACTTAGTCATGCCCATCGTGCCAGCGGTAGTAGTCGTCGAAGTAGTCATGAACGGGTTCTGCTGGCCCATCCCGTTCGCGAGGTGAGTGCTCTCAGGCGAAGACGCACCCGACAGCGACATCGTTAGGGCCGGAGTAGCCGGGCTGAGCCTTGGCTGGCACTGTGGCTGGGCGTCGACTCCGGCAGGGGTGACAGGAGAAGAAGCGAATGACATCGCAATCCCATTCACGGGGCTAACAGGAGGTGAGAGCATGTCGTTCTGGCTGTTGGCGGCCCTGATATCCTGCCCAGTGCTCAGGACCGCTGTGGCAGCATTGCCGAGCTCATGCTCCAGGTCGTACAGCCCGGTGTTAGTATCGATCGCCAGGGGGTTCCAGTCTTGACTGCTGAAGACATCACCAACGCCAAATACAGCAATCTGGTCAAGCTGCGCACCATTACCGCCGGCATCAGCAGTGGGCAAAACAAGCGCATCTTCACCCGCAATCGAAGCAGGAGCGCGGCCATCGACCCCCGGCTGCGAGTCCCAATCGCCGGGAAAGAGCTCGCTCTCCTCGTCACCATCACCATCCTCATCGACTTGAGCCAGCTCAGCAGCCCTCTGGTCCAGATAAACAATGACCTTCTTCATCCAGTGCTTGAGCTCACTCATAGGGGGTTGATCACCGCCGCCCCTGCCCCCCCTCTTCTCCTCAGGCTGATCTCCTGCCTGGCCACGCGCACGCCTACCCTGTCTCACATTAAAGTGCTTCCTCCGCAAATGTGCAGCAGCATTGTAGTCCTTGTTATACTGTTTTTTCGTAGAACACTGCTTGCACTTTTCAAGAGGGATAACAGGCTTTGCGCGCAGGTGCATCTCGTCTGCCGGGGGCTTGATGCACATCCATTTCTCGAGCTTGACGCTGTGCTTGACCTGGGTGTGCCGGCGCAGTTCGTGGTCTCCACGAAAGGTGGGCTTGTCGGGGCATATGGAGCAGACGGCCTTCTGCCTGTTAGGGCGCTCAGGCCGGACACGGGTAATCGCAGTCCGTGGGCGCGGTGGGCTGCTGCTGTGGGCACCAGCAGTGGGCGGAGCACCGTTGCTGTCACAGTAGGTGGTGCCATCAGGCTGGTTCGGACGGGGTTGGATCACTCGCTGGCGGGCGGCGTTACTGTTCTGCCGAGCTAGGCTGTTCTGGATCGATGACGCCGACCTGGCGCTCTGGGAGGAGATTGAGCGCTCCATCGCCGCCGAGCCCAGGCCCTGGCTGCTGGGGGTAGTGTCAGCGGGCACGAAGCCCATTGCAGCGGGCACTGATTGTGACAGCTGGGTGGTTGGAGGCCGCTGTGAGATGGGAGAAGCAACTGAAAAGGTCGGGTAGCTCAGCAGAGACGCGTCGGACCGGCGCTTGTCCGGTACGGCGGGGGCCATAAATGCTTGGACTCCATTATCTTGGGGCAGACTATGGAATGACTGCCGCGAGCAGATGCGCAGCATTTCAGAGCCACCGATAGGCATGTTGCTCATGTTGGTGCTGGATTGGGTCATGGGCGCTGTATCCACAGTCGGAGCAGTTGTCATGGACTCCATGGATCGGAAGCTCGAGGCTATGGTCTGGTCTAATGCCACATCGGATGACAGGAATGAATGAGGTTGGGAGATATCGATAGGTGGGGCTGTACTGCTCAGCAAATCTGCTTTGATAAGAAATTCCGCTGGATCCATCTCGATCCCCATGATGCTGGAAGGCTGCTGCTGGACCGGAAAGATGGCCGGAGCAGTCGACAAAAAGTTGCGTATCGGTCGTTGCTGGCTCAAGGACTGAGAGAGAAGACTGGTAGCTTGAACCGAACTCCGGATAGCGTTGTTCATTGGATATGTAAAAGTAGGTGTTTCCGACATGGACATCGAGGATATGCTCGTTTGGGATCGTGTCATGGATGGGACTCCTGGCACCACCAGTCTCGTCGGTTGTGGGGGGTGAACTGTCTTGGAACGCTTCATTGACCGACTCTGCGCCGATCTTGTCAGGACCGCGATCGACGGTTCTCGTTTATCCATGACGACTTACCTGCTGTTGAGCAGTGATCGGCTGGGTAACTATTGTCGGCACAGGGCCACGAGATGAGCCATTGCTCGACTGCGGGTTAGATGCCGAGGCCATCATGGAAGGCTGGTAGCTGGCCAGGTTAAAGGCCGACCCAGGCACCGACTGCATAGTGTTGCTGAGTTGCGTCTGAAGCTTAGCGATCTGTTGCTCCTTTTGATCTAGTTGCCGTCGAAGTTCGATTTCAACGTGCTGTTGATGAATCGTGGACTCAGAAGAACCGAACTGACTTATTTATCGATCGGTCGGCGATCGATCCCAGCAACACAGATGAAGACAGTGAAGATCGAAAGAAATAAAGAGTGGATGTTGAGATCCCCAGAGTGCAGATCCTGAGATGCGTTAGGGTTCTCAGTTTGATGGGAGATGGAAAACCGAATAGTTTGGGAATAAATAATCGATGGGAGGATAGAAGGACAGAAAGAATAAGAGGAAGAAATTGATGGCATGCGTGGAAGATTGAGATGTTCTAAATAGCCAATGTGTGCAGCCTTGCCTGGGCAATGGAAGAGTCATGGGATTCGATCAGGAAGTTGGGGACGAATGCCGCAAGTCCCCCCCCACACACACCTTTACACACAAGCTGGGCGCAGGATGGTGACCAGGGCGGGGGATGGGAATGGGAATTGGCAAACGGTATCTGCTGAAGCCACAGCAGCTAGAGTCGCCAGAGCCGCGCAGGCAGTGTTGTGCCTAGCTCCTGGCTCGAGCTGACCGACCGATTGGGCTGGCACACTCTCTGCACAGTGAGGACGCCACAAAAAGCAGTCTCTGCCATCATCTTATCCCTACCACACTGCTGTGGCACACTGGAAGTAAGCACCAAAGCTTCCGATTAGTGGGCGACCAGGGATTGGGGTGGCATCAATACAGCTGGCAGATGGGAGTTGGAAAGTGGTTAGATGATGGCTGATGATGGATGACCGTCAATCTGAGATTTTTTGCTCTTGTTGAGGTTTGTCTGGTCTTCAGACATCAAGCAGCCGGCTGTGACCGCTCATCCCCTTCGATTCGAAAGCATCTGCTTAGATGCTGGGGCCAAGAACCGTCGATGGGGGATAATGGCTGTGCATGGCCAAGCAGTGCTTAACGGAATTTTGACTAGCCAGTGAGAGCCTCAAGTTCGGCAATGAGTCAATCAAACACCTGGAATTTCAGGATTGCATGTAGAATCGAATGACTGCTGGTTGTAAGTGCTGAGACCTACGGTGCTCGAGACCCGTGTGTGTGTAATTCTCGCACCAAAGCCAAGGCCTGCCATGAACAGACCAAGACACACACACCTTGGACAGACCTGGGTTCACTCGATGGGAGTCGGGCACCGTCTGGAACGTGTGTCATGGAGTCGTTATGGGTGACAGCTTGTCAACCTGGGCATAAGGCGGACGGGGAAGTTGAGTATCGAGATGCCGACATGTTGGGTGCCTGAACATGTCGTGTTGGACACGATGACAGCACTTGCAACGGGGCTAGGGATCGAATGACCCCTCATTCTTGCTTCCCAACGTACTGAGAGACGTCCATAGCCACTCGACCAGAGAGACGCAACTCAGTCACCAGAGACCCAGATAATGTTCAGCAAGATCTTGTGACTTGGCGATGGATCTTACTTCGAGACGTGCGAAGAGACGAAACGGTACCTACATGAAGGGGCAGGACCTGCGTGTCGGCAGTCTTCCGGCACGAAACTCAAGACTTCGAGGGCTGGCGAAGAGCGGACAGAGGTACGTCACCGATGTCCAGGTGTGCTGACAGGCTGTGATTGGCGGGGTAGTGGCCCAAAAAGTGAGGCGGCCAAGCAGACGTCGTCTCTGGACGCTTGTCCACGGCACAACTCCAATCCCATGACGCCAGATGGCACCAGTTGGGCCTGTTCCGAGCTCCTGAGTTTTCAACGGCTTCCGGTCAGTTACACCAATGCACACAGCCACGCCATTGGGCCATTGGGACTATGGTTCTCCCACTCAATCGCTCGGAGCTTTTCGCTTTTGCATTTCGATCACTCTTGGATCGCCAACGTTAACCCCAGATAAACGTGATTCGAGTTGGTCCCGAAGCCAGGAACGGATGGAGACGCGGAGGAAGACTTACACCGGTGCTCGCCGGGGTCGGCCAACGCATCAAGAGTGGCAGTGATGAGTTGGCACTCGAGTTCAACAGCAAAGATTGCTCCTCGATACCCCCAAGACTCTCATTGGCCAATCCCTCACCGAGGACCGAAGCTTTGATGAACAACGCAGTTAAACGACCTTTGTTTAAAAACGACGCTAAAGTGGACGCGCACATACTCCGTATCCATGATGGACATGGGTTGTAATCATAACATTTGATGATGCCTGACACACCTACATCCGATTACTTGCTTTAACGGGTCTTTTGTTTCTCACGCTGCAAACTTCTGTATCGCTTGCAGTCAGCGCGGCTGCTGACACTTCGGGCATGCGGACCGGGATTCGTAAGGTAAGCTGTCAGGACTCCAGGATCAAAAGCCGAAGACCTCAATGTCAAGGTGTAGAGTGGAACATTCGAAGCATTCAGTTTTGCTTCTCCAGTTCTTGGCAAGTTTTGCCCGGCTGATAGGGCAAGCAAATTCCAAGATCCAAATCGGGGAGCCTGTGACGAAGCCCCGCCCAAGAATCGACACCCCACAGACGCACGGATTATATACTTGAACCCCACCGTGGGGTCTTGGCGTGCGATAAGGGGCCTTATCGGTGCTTATCGGCTTCCAAGACCATAGCCAACAGGTGTCATTAACGTCATCAGCAGGCGTCGGAACTTCGATCGGCGTCCGGACGAAACAGACAGCGACAGAAACAGGTCACAGGACCTCTCGCCTAGGGGAAGCGTCCACGGAGACCGACAACACATATCACGAATACCTGTGCCCGCGATGCCTGGCACACCACAATGCACTGTCGCAACCTGGTCCTGTTAGCGTCGCTTCAGCTTGCGACTCTCGCGGATGCGCGCCAACGCAGCTTCAGCATTCACGAAGACCTGCTGGCACATCCCCAGGTAAGCTTTCACATGTTTTCAACAATCATACGAAGCACGATCGTCTAACTCGGCTGATACAGTTTGAAATTGAGCTCTCCAACACCCCGATCCCCGAGGCCCAAGCTCTCGCCCTGCTCGAGTCATCGCGCTCCCCCAATCCCCCATCTTCCAAAAGTGGCCTCGCCGGGCAAGTACAGCAATCTGATGCACCCGGAAAGACATCATCAAGTACCAGCAATGCGGCTGGCAGCAGCGAGACCGAAGATGAGGATTCGACTCCCATCTCCATAACCTACGAACTCATCAACAACGACCCAGACAGGTACCTCTGCTTTGTACCCGTCGTTGCCCCTCCCCCAGCCCGTAACCGCACAGTCAACGAGCTGTCCAAGGCTGAAGAGGCCCGCGAGCTCAGTCGTGCCCAGGCAAAAGGCTGGGAGCTGATGAAGGGCCTCGAAGGCCATTGCATGTACTTTATGTCGGGCTGGTGGAGTTACAGCTTCTGCTACGGCAAGCGTGTTGTCCAGTATCATGCTGTGCCCAACCCGCAGGGCGGGCCGCCTCTTCCAGACGCCAACACACAAGAGTACATCCTAGGTCGAGTGCGGGAGTTGCCCGCTTCCCAGGAAGCCGAGACAGCTGGCGACGCAGGGGGTAGTACTTCCAAGACGATTGTACCACCGAACTCAGCGCTGCAAGTAAAGGGCGACCAGCGCTATCTGACGCAGCGCCTTGATGACGGCACGGTTTGCGATCTCACTGGCCGTCCACGCACGATTGAGATCCAGTACCACTGCAGCCCGAACTCGAGCATCGACCGCATCGGTTGGGTTAAGGAAGTCACTACATGCAACTACGTCATGCTCGTCTACACGCCCCGTCTCTGCGCCGATGTAGCATTCCTCCCGCCAAAAGAGACCCGTACCCATCCCATTCGCTGCCATCGTGTCATTACCAACCCCGACGACACCTCGCTTAACCCCCCTCGCGAGAAGATTGACACTACACCTGCCGCAGAAGCCCAAGCGGAATCCGGACCCCTCTTCGCCAACGCCCAACCTCAAACTCTCCACAAATACAGTGGAATGACCATCGGCGGCATTGTCATCGGCGGCCGCAAACTGCTCGGTCCGAACATCCCCAAGACTGTTCTCCCCCCTCTTCCCCCCCCCCAGCAAAATGGCCAACAAGCCGCCGCCAACATCCTCAGTTCGGTCTTTGGCAACACGGGGCAATCAGCTTCTTTGTCTCAAGGCAAAGTCCTAGCTAGCAAGAAGAAAGCGGGTGATAGTAGTGGTAACGGAGGAAAGGTGGAGGCGTTGAGTGATGAGGAGCTTAAGAAGCTTGGGTTAGAACCGAAACAGATTGCTGAGTTGAGGAAGGAGCTGCAGAAGTTAGCTGGGGAGAGGGGGTGGGTGTTGAAGCTTGTTGAAATGCCGGGCGGGACAGTGGAGTTGATTGGGGATGTGGATGGGGATGAGGAGGGGGAGAGCCAACAAGAAGACGGGAAGGGGGCGAAGGAGAAGCTGAAGGGGAAGGGGAAAGTTATGGGGAATAGGAAGGGGGCTGCTGTTAAGGGAAGTGATACGGGGAGAGAGAACTTGAAGAAAGAGAGGGAGAAGGAAGAGGAGGAGGAGGAGGAGCTAAAGGGGTCGAAGGAGATATTCTTTCATGAGGAGTTGTAAATTATCTGCATAGGTTATGGGGATTATGTAAATATTTCGTTTATTGTGCGTGCTTACAAAGCAAAGCGACAGGATGAAAAGGGGGCCAGGAATTGCTACGCAGATTTTCAGAGTTATTGAGGTAACCTCCTCTTTTGAAAGAGGAGATGCTGAGACGCAAACAACGGAACGTGGAGAGGAACTTGCCGGAGGAGTGGGATGGATGTTTGCAAGCATCTGGGCTCTCATGCACCACTGACACCTGGGGGCCAGCCAGGATTTCGGCCATGAGCTCTATTAGTTCCGGCATATCGACGATTCCCAATAGAGAGCGCTGTTTGACGATAGGCCAACATTGCAGGTTATTTTAGAGCGGAATGGTGTTCCAATGAGCTTTCAATGAACTTCCAGTGACACTTCTAGAGCCCTGCAAGGGAGAAACATGTCACAACCTGGTTTCCATAAGTACATGCGTGCCTAGGCACACATGCAACCCAGCCCTCTAGCTCGCCGCAGGTCCACTAAGTTCCAGCCAGCAGGTATTTGGCCGCCACTGTACACCGGCGGTGTCAGTCTGTACTTAAAAAATCTGCGAAGAATCATTCGTAACTCTTTCTAGTCTCACTGGCATAAATCCAGTCTAAAGTTGAGGAGAACGAATCTAGTCTTAAACTGCATGATCACGCCACCAGGCAGGGTGCTTGTGAATTGTGCAGTTTATTGATGAGAGCCTTCCAAAGATTTTGATCTTGATCCTCAAACATTAAGTTTGGGATCTCACTTGAGGTGTTAGGTATCACCAACCCACTTGATATACACGATGGCTCAAAGCAAACACCTGGCAAGGATCGTTCATGACGTTTGCAACGGTCGAATACCATGTCCTGCTTTCAGACTCATAGAAAGCATTACTATGCATATCCAACTACTAAGTACAATAATAGTAAGATTCCTCAACAATAGTAGATGGACAACATATCAATCAGGGAAAAATAGACAGAGCCACCGGAAGTGGGGAGTTGAAAACTGACTTTGTACCAGCTTGATGGTTCTGAGGAGCTGCATTCCTTTGAGATAGTCGGCTTCTGCCTAGTGATGGAGAGTGAAGATCCCAGCCAAGTTCATCAGCCAACACACTAAACTGGTATACAAGTGTATTGTTAACAGGTTATAATGCCACCATAAGAAAAAGACTATTATTGTATTCCTCCCTGGTTGACACGGCAAGTTAGTGCTATCTTTATTACTACCTCCATTATCTCAAAGTAGCTAGGACACAGATATTGTGCGCTATAAATGACGCAAATGATAAGCAAAGTTAACATACTTCTGTCATCCTGTAACGGGCGACTTGGTCTGGTGCAGGCAGGGGTCGACAATGGGTCAAATGGGTTAGATGATGGCCACTGACGATGTGGGGTGCACAGCGTAGTCAATTGCTACGTGTAATAATGTTTCTTTGTCCTCAGTGTCCTTGTGTTGGGGAGAGGAAAATCAAGAGAAATCCTTCATCGCGTCCGGGTAGCTCCCTTTATGAAATCCATTTGCCTTGTGAGCACCTCGCGGTCTCCTGGGATCTTCAGGGGTTTTCCTCAGCGTGGCAAGGTTAGCTGGCTCATTCTTAGCCCTACCTTATATTTCCCGAGCTCTACGAATCAGATATGCCTTTGCCCTTCTCAGCTCCTGTGTCACCGGTGTTTTATATGTTGGCTGTCAAGGATATTTCTTCTCCTTGGACTGCCGTGTCCATGTGACACTACCCTCCTCCCAGGCCTGAGTTCGCCTCGAACTCCTCTGTCCTATGTCTTGCTCCTTAGGCTCCGGTGATGATCAGAGCCTGACCGCCCATGGCTCTAGCGTCCCTAGGTTTCTCGGATTTAGGCCGATGGAAATCCCGTACAGCTTCCTTCGCCTCTTCTCCGAAGAAATGCTCCCAGTGTTTCCACGTCCAATCCCTTCGGTGGGGATAACCTACCCATCTAACGAGGTACCGCACTTTACCCTCACTGATCTGGGAATCGAGCACACGTTCCACGGCGCAAGTGTTGACCACCCGACCTGCTTCTCCCTGGAGGACCTCCTCAGAGTCCACGGTATGTTGGTTATCAGACGTGCGGAATGGTTCAACCAGTGACATGTGGAAAACGTTGTGAATTCTCCCGTCTTGGGGAATATTAAGCCGGACGACAGTAGGGAAGATCACCTTTTCAATCACGAAAGGGCCGTACATCCGGTAGTCCAGTTTTTTGCTGGGCCTCTTGGTTGTGAGATTCTTTCCATTGAGCATGACGAGTTGGCCTTCTTCGTAGACGGGTGCAGGACTCCGGCGAGTGTCGGCGTACTGTGCTATTCGCTCGCGGGCACGCCTTAGGTGCTTAGCTGCCTCTTTTTAAATAGCACCAAGCTGGTGCTCGTACATATTGCTGTACGGGTTGCTCGGTTCATCTGCTATAGGATTAGTGGCAGCGGGATGATAGCCTAAGTTGAGGAAGAATGGAGTTTTGTTTGTTGAGGAGTGTTTCGAGTTATTCCAGGCAAATTCTGCGATCGTTAAGAGCTTTTTCCAGTTGCTCATTTCGTAGTTGCAGAAAGGCTCGAAGGTAGGTCTCGAGGACTTGGTTCAGCCGTTCTGTCTGACCGTCGGTCTGGGGGTAAAAGGCTGTGCTCATGCGCTGCTTGATATTGGCATAGGCACAAAATTCTTTCCATGTTTCGGAATTGAACCGTGAATCGCGGTCGGAGATGATATTGAGGGGCGTTCCGTGTAGCCTCCAGTATCCGCGGGTGTAGATCGGGATGAGATCGGATGAGGTCTTTCGGTCGTCGTCCAGCGGAATGAAGTGAGCTGCCTTAGTGAAGGGATCGACCATGGCCCAGATCTGAGTGCTCCCGTCCGTGGGTGGAAGATCCGTAAATAAAGTCCATGGCTACTGTCTTCCACGGGGTCCAGTGAAGTTCGAGGGGCTGAAGGAGTCCGAAAGGACGATGACGCGGAGTCTTATTTCGCTGACACTCGAGACAGGCGCGAACATAAGACCGTACATACCTCTCCATTCCTGGCCACCAGAAATTCCTCCGCACTAGGTCCAACGTTCTCTCTACTCCCCAATGGCCAGCTGCGGGTATGTCATGTTCGGAGTGCATGATTTCCCGCTCAAGTTCGACATTGTCGGGGATCCACAGGCGGTTATTTCAGTACAAAAGTCCGTCGTTGACTGTGTACTTGCCGCCAGGGTTCCGCAGTGTCTGCGCATAGGCTTGGTCGCCGAGACCTGCCTGTCTGACCTTGGTCTTGAACTCGTCCGTCCATCGAGGGATGGTGAGTGTAGCAAGCTTGGCGGGGGTGTTGAACTAGAACGAAAGTCAAAAAGAAGTGGGCGAAGCCCGGAAGAGGCTCTCATCAGCCTTTCCGCGGGCCACAAGGGCCGAGACAGTCGCGATCGACTGGTCCTCACTCCCCCCCTTTTCAGGGCGATCTTGTTCGCGTCTTGAGAGAGTGTCTGCGGGGATGTTTTTCTTCCCGGGGATGTAATTGATGACAAAGTTGTATCCGGCGAGTTCCTGTGCCCATCGGGTCTGGCGTCGGTTGAGAACTTTGGAGGTGAGGAAGTACCGAAGGTTGTTGTGGTCTGAGTAAACCTGAGCCGTGTGGGGCGCGCCTTCAAGATAACGGCGCCATTTCTTGAACGCATCAACGATGGCAAGCAGTTCCTTGTCGTGGATCACGTAGTTGATCTCAGCTGGTGCCATCTTGCGGGAGTGGTACCCGACAGGATGAAGTCGGCCATCGTCGCCCTCTTGGTTAAGCACGGCGCCCAGAGCGTAGTCGGAAGCGTCGGTAAAAAGGTGAAAGGGCTTTGTTGGGTCGGCGTGGATGAGGACGGGCGCTTCACAAGAGACTGCTTTCAGTTTGTCGAAGGCTCTCTGCATCTCGGGAGTCCAAGACCACTGGTTCTTGGGTAATGAGTGGCTGGCTGTAATTGGTTTAGCGATGCGAGAGAAGTCCCGAATGAAGCGACGGTAAAAGTTTGCAAACCCAATGAAGCTCTGACTATCCCGTAAGTTCCTCGGGGGGTTCCACTCCTGCACACACCGAACCTTCTCTTCGGACATCCTAATCCTTTCTCACTGATGATGTACCCAAGGAACTCGACTTCACCAACGTTCCAAACAGAATTTTCAGCGTTGACGGCTAGTTTGTGTTTCTGGAGACGGGTGAGAACCTCGCGAACGAGACGGTCGTGTTCCGGCATGGTTCGGGAGTAGATAAGGATGTCGTCAACATAGACGAGAACACCTTCGTCCAATAGGACATCGAAGATGTGGTTCATCATGCGTTGGAAGGTAGCTGGTGCATTAGTCAATCCAAAGGGCATCACGTTATATTGATACTGACCATAGCGAGTGTTGAACGCTGTCTTCCACTCGTGGCACTTTGCCATGCGATTGAGGTACAAAACCCCACCGCAAGTCGATTTTTGTGAAAAGGCATGAGTTGCCAATTCGATCTTGAAGTTCTTCAACCAGGGGTAAAGGATAACGGTCCTTCTGAGCGATGGCATTCAGAGGCCGATAATCCACCACTACTCGGTATTTTGGTGTTCGACCCTTCTTTTCTTTTGATGCATTTTTATCGACCAGGAATACGCTAAAACTAATGGGCGAAGAAGCAGGGGAGATTTTCCCACATTCAAGCATTTCATCAGTCCACTTCTTGAGAAAGGCGAGTTCTTGCTGATTCATCGGGTAGAGGGGCGCCTTTTTAGGCAGTTCTTTATCCTTCATGAGCACGATCTTGTGGTCATAAGGGCGATGATCAGGGAGTTCCCGGGATAACTCCTCCGAAAGAATCGGAAATAACTCCCTGTACTTCTCCGGAACGGCGCCAGGTACAGTACCCCTGGGGGCGTAACCAGATGGACTCGAAAGAATCGACTCGCTTTTTAAATATGCTACTCTTTTTCAAGATTCAAAAACTGCGTTTGGAGCGCTCTGTCTGAGAGCGGCCATTTCACCTCGTTCTGCATCCTGCTGACTCAAGTACGTAGACCTGACGCAGTTCTGGCGGCAGTACGCCGAGCCGAAGGTCAAAGAATCTCCGCCAAAGAAGTTGGAAGGGGTGTGCTCTTTGAGCCACCAGTAAGTAAGGATAACATCGTGGTCTGCAACGAGAGAAGAGATTTCGAACTTTACTTGAGTGAAGTGTCCTTCATCACGCTTTAGCGTCACTAGATCAGTGAAGTGCGTCAACTGGTGATCATCCTCCATAGCGGTGAGAATTGGTTGTGCGACTTTCCTTTTGAAGCATCTGATCTTATATTAGGCCACTAGGTCCCTCCGGATGAAGGGCTTCAAGGCTCCTGGGTCGAGGCGTCCAGAACGATCGTCATCGGTACGATCGGTCGCTCTCCATGGTAGGGAGGAATGGTGCTCCGTTGCGTTCATTTCGGATTCTGCTTGTCCGGGCGGTCGTCGGCCGGTCGCTTGGCCTGCCTAAGACCTGCACACTTGGGCATACCGATGGGTCCGCCATGTGCAAAGCGGTCGGTCACCGAAAAACCGAGTCGGTGTCCGTCGATTCGTCTTCAGAATTGGAGGGTGTCCAGTCTAGTCCAGGCATCAGATGATCATATTCAGAAGCGAGAATTGCCGCCACCTTGGCCCGTTTGCGTTCCCGTTTTTCCTCGCGATCCTCATCGTCAACTTCCGCCGGATCATTTCGTCCACGTCTAACCCCAGCCACTCCGGGCTTAGTTTCCTTAGCTGGGGCTTTGGAAGCGGGTTCCCATTTTCATCCTTGATTGCACAGCACTCGTAATACTTGTGACCAGAACGACCACAACGGATGCAATCTGCTTTTCCTTTTTGAACCTGTCGATGCTGTCCTTGTTCACTCCTTCCATCGCGGCTCGGTAATGAGCCCATTTCCGCTCCCTCTGGACGCCGGACTACTTTTGCTGGTTATTCCATTCTCCTGTGTTGCCGCCGCGGTTTCTTGATGTCAGTTTTGAAGATTGACCGAAGGGGGAACTGGCGCGTTCCTGGCGCGTGCGTCGGCTGTCCGGTGTCATCCGCTCCCTCGATGAACCGTACCCGACTTTTCCTGACCTTCGCTGAAGTTCGAATTTCAAAAGGGTGTCCTCGTGAGCTTCACCCGCGGTCCTCACTGCTTCGTCGAACTCATCGTCTGTAGGGTTTGTATGCCGTTTCAATTCGTGGTGAATTTTCCGAGTGATCTCAGCAGGCATGGCGGCGTATACTAGACGCCGGTACATCTCACCCGTGAGATGGACCGTGAGGTTGAGATCGTGGAGGCGAGTGAGGTACGTGGCTATGTTACCCTCGTACTTTGAGAGCCCACATGGCAGCAGCATCACGAGCTCCTTGCTTTGGGTCTGAGAACCGTCTGACAACGGCGTCGCAGACGCCTGCCAGTTGTCCTCGAGATTTTGATTCTCAAGACGCTCCTTTCTCCCGTGGTACCATTCGTAGGCAACTCCTGTCATCTTTGAGCCGACAGTGCGGATCTTTGGGAGTCGAGGTTCGCAGCAGCAGGGAAACCAGCGAGATAATCCCGCATGGCCATCCGCGAAACGCTCTCGGGTCACCGCCCTTGAACTTGGGTGGCTCAGAGATTTTGGGTAGTTCGAGGTTGACAACGGTTGTGGTCTGTCCGTTTGGAAAGATTGAGAGGGAACGTCCTGTCATTAGGGGCTCCCGCGGGGGAAGTGAAGCAGGGACGTTCGATCGATGATGGGGTTGGCTGTCGATGCTGTCGTCGCTACTACCATCGTCCCCCGGATCACAGGCACCGGTCACCCGCGAGGACCCTCGTGGGGGGCCGCGTGGAGGGGCTGGTCCGTCTCCTCTGACAGGTGCAGAGAGTCGCGGGTTAGGGTCTCCGCGATCTTTAATAGGGTCCGGGAGTGGTGTGGTTTCCGGATAGAGGTCTCTGGCCCATCGGACCTCCAATTCATGCTGCTGGCGCTCACAAGTACGCCGGTTCTCGGCACGTTCAAACTCTTCGTCCGTGAGGCCGGGGTTTGGGGCGTCCGGAGTACGGGGTCTGATGCAGCCACCGGGGCGAGCACCCCGCGTGTGGATCCGGAAGACCGCGACTTGACTGTCGTGCTTCCGCGTCGCGAAGCAATCCGGGATATAATTCCCTGGTAGGTAAGGTCCTGTGCTGCCATCGCCTCGGCCACAGCCTGAGAGATGTCGGCCTTGGTTTGGGTCATTATCGATGCAGTAACATCGCTCAGGATTCGCTCCAGGTGTGGGGCAGTAACCAATCCAGCACTATAGACGTGGTCAAGGCGCTGGGAGTGCTCCTGTGTAACCCGGGCAAGGTCCTGGATATCGTCCTCATGTCGTTGTATTGTCTCCTTGTATGCATCCATGGAATTCGCCCAGCGCTCTAGGACAATATCCGCTCATTTGTCTCAGTGACTCGGTTGGCAACTCCTTTCCAAGTATGCTGCTGAAAGTCGAGCAGGTGCCATTGGAGGGCCTCTTGGTTAGTGGAAATGAGGGCTTCGACTCGAGATCGTGACGCCTGGAGTTCCCGAACTACGCGGTTGTAGTCCCGATTGACTTTGTTGTGGAGTTCTTGAAGACGCGCCGTCATGCCAGTGTCCAGCTTGGCGACTTGGTCGAGAAAATGCTGGATGTCCCCATAAGCTCGCGCGATTCGGTTGTGATAGGCGCGAAATGCGGGCGGAATACGGTGAATACGTTTCTGGGACCGACTCAGAACGTGCCCATTCTCAATAAAGTCTTCATAGGCGACCATCTGGTAAGTCCGCATGTCCGCAGCGTCCTCCATGACCACATCGACTTGGTCGTGGAAACGGATGAGTCCGCGCGGGTTGTCGGAGTTGGTTTGAGCAGGGGACGTTGAGGGCGGAGCAGGATTTCCCTGACCGTCTTCCGGGAGGACCGGTACCTCCATTGCGACAGGCAAAGAAGGGATGATCTCAGGGGCATTAGGTGCCATGGCTTCGTTTAACAAGATGGATGGGGAAGTGTCGATGACAAAACGAGTCGAAGTAATAGGGGTTCTTCTGTCGCGAACTAGAAGTGTTGCACCAAGGGGAAGAAAGATTATAGTGTAACGGGTGACTTGGTCTGGTGCAGACAGGGATCGACAATGGGTCAAATGGGTTAGATGATAACCACTGACGATGTGGGGTGCACAACAAAGTCAAATAATATGTGTAATAGTCTTTCTTGGTCCTCAGTGTCCTTGTGTTGAGGAGAAGAGAAACCAAGAGAAGTCCTTCATTGTGTCAGGCTAGCTTCCTTTATAGAATCCTCTTGCTCTTGTGAGTGCCTTGGCCTTCTGGGCTTTTAGGGGTCTCGTCTTCCTGCCCGGCCATCTGGCTCATTCGATCTTGTGGCTCCATATATCTGCCGGGACTAACCACATATTTGTGTCGTTCCATATCATTCTATCTCCGGTGTCCCTTGTGTTGGCAGTCGGGGTACGCCTTTTCTTGGACTGCCATGTCCGTGTGATAAGCTTTTGCCGGAGACAAGGACTTCCACATACTGACTAGCCAGCTGCTGGATGCATAAGGCATCCAGGAAGTTCTGCGCGTCTTAAATCTTGCTCACCTGACGCTAGCCTGAGAGTACTTTGTGGAAAAGTCCTTCAGTCGGGCGGTTCAATGGGAGAGGTTTGAAGATATCTTCAGGTTACAGTCTTTGAAGACACAAATCGAGGTAGCAACTTTGAAAGCTGAAAGCAAGAAGGTTAGGGAGTGAATAAAGAATGTCGTAATAACAGTTAAAATTTAAATTTCCAGGTTGGAGCACAAAATAAATTGATTGTTATGCATTCCAATCAAGTAACTTGTGGAAAGAAAGGTGGATAGGCAGAAAGCCTGCTGTATGCCTATCAAGGCATCCAAGAACATTGGTTAACAACAAACGCTTAATTCATTCTACAAATCACATCGTAGCAGGCCTCAGTGCGTCGAATGCAACAGTGAACTCTGGCCAATATGATACGATCACAACTATGCAACTTTCCGTGATCGCATGCAGCCTCTTTATACCAACAACCACAGCCATCTCAACAACAACCAATAGGAACCCTTCGGTTAACAGTCAGCTTTTAGTTGCGCAGCTGGAGTTGTACAAGGACACCAAGATGACCTGTTTCAGGACGTTGCTGTGTCCAACTCCGTTAATAAAGCTTCTGGAGCCTTGTCGTTGGCCGTCCACATTGTAAGCTGCGCACAGAGGGATGGCTGACAAGTATTGTGAAGGCATACAATTGCTCACCTTGTGCATAAATATCCAGGAACTCCAAGCATCAGATTTTGACCGTGTAACAGTCATTCTCGCTACACTAAGTCCCGCATCCTAAATCTGACCAGAATTGTCTCCCACACAAAACAACATGTCCTTGAATTGGCCTCGGAATAACTCAAGGTGGTCAACTGATTGGCCACCAAAGTCGCGCACCTGCTCCGCAACTCCTCTGCCACTCTTCGGCAGTCTCCTCAAAACGCTTGAGCTCGAGACTCTTGACGACAATACTGCCTTACATCCTGACAACACTGACCCGATCAGGATCGAGAATGCCCGATTCGTCTCGTCGTACAGCTGGATGGACACACGCGGTAAAGGGCCAACCATCCTCGTTCCGGGTACAGAGTTCCCTTCAACTCTGTCTTGCCCTCCGCGCTGACATTATCACAGGGAAGCCCCCACTGTGGACTCCCCAAAAGGGCCCTCAACAACTCAAACAGGACAGCGGAACCTATTATCGTGACAAGAACGCCGCCCGCTATCCAGCACATCCGCTGGAACCAGCGATCATTGTTGCCCTTGAGGCAGACCCTGAGCTTCCCTCAAATTTAGACATCTTCTGCTGTGCGAGCACACTCGGCAACTTGCTGCGCTTTGTTCGCGGTGAGAACAAGCAGTTTCGCATGGTGGTGTATAAGCTTGGACGGACCTTTTTCTTCGTGAGAAGGGAGAACTCCCCTACTGAGGTGATCCCAGATGTGAAGGGTTACGGCCATACATTCCCTGAGGCAAATACTACGTGGGAGGAGGATGTCAAAGGGAGTGGGAGTCACCAACGACTGGTGAGCTATCGCTTTAGTGGGATGAAGCTGTGTGTGAGAAGTGAGGCAGATGGGTACATCAAGAAAGAGGAGGACAAAGAAATGTCAACCTCCGGGAAGGCAACCACAAACATCACTGGGCCTCCTGCCCCTCCTTGGCCTAGTCCTACCCTTGAGTCCCTTGCCACCGCCCTCGACATTCTGGAAGTTACTCCGCCTTCTCAATCCCCAAGGCCCTCCGACATCCCCACATCCCCCACTGCCCAATCCCCACTCCCCGCAGGTCTCAAAATCCTCCGCTCATATACCCCGCCAATCCCTCAGTCCCACATCTTTGACCTCAAAACTCGTTCCATGAAGAAAAGACCACTCGAAAACGTTCTCCTAGATGAGGAAATCCCACGTCTCTGGATCCGACAGCTCCAATATTTTATCCTGGCATATCATGATAGAGGCCTCTTCCGACTGACGGATGTCGAAGTTAGAGTTGTCAAAGATGATGTGAGAAAGTGGGAACTGGATCACCAGAGGGAGTTAGGAAAGTTCGCAAGGGTGTTGCGATGGGTTATAGATGTAGCAGAGGAATATGCTGCCAATGAGGATCATGGCATTGAAATTTGCTTGAGGGAGAGCAAGAAGTTGGAGGCTAGGAAGGTAGTAGGGTTAAAGTATGGGGTGGCATCTAAGGGGGTGAGAGAGTGGTGGGAAGGATTGGTGAAAGAAAAGGATCCGGAGACAAACTCAGGCGAAGAGGAGGGAAGTGAGGAAACTGAATCGACTTATGCCAATGATTGGATGGTTTGAAGCTGACGTACAGTGATGAGGCCCGCGAGGACTTCACTGCTTGTAGTGAAACCTGTGGATATTATGGGCGATGCACATACTAAGTGTTTAGGTCTGATCGAATTTGCGTTCATCCAACAAAATATTTGCATTTTTATTCGTGAACGCCAGATATCCAATAGTATCGTCTACCTGGATCATCAGCACCAAGTTAGCTCACTCTGGTTCTACGAGGACTGCTAGCGAGTTGAGAATTCATCCATATCAGAGGAGTTGGACTGAGACTCCATTACGAGTTGAGGATTGGCCCATATCAGAGAGCTCTCGGTTGGCGTTGGCATTTCTGGTGTTCACCGTGTTCTCAAGGATGAGACAAATGACGAGGTTCTTATCAGGGCTTGATAGTGTATTCACGTTAATCATCAAGAGGTAAAGAGTTTGTAATAAGCACAGAATGAGTTTAGGTCAAGAATAGTTGGTGAGAAACTTAGACTCCGATGAGAATTTTCCTGGTTATTAAGCTACTCTGCTGCACTGTATTCTCAGTCATCGCATCATGACGAATGCCAACAAGTGTTGGATGTAAAGGATAATGGTGGATGTGGATGGGAGTATTTACTTGGCCGTTGCCCTGCAGAACACATGGTTCCGAGGGAATCTATCAAGCACAATAGGTGCCGCATATCAACAATGCTCTACCTTCTAAACTGCACACGCGTGAAGGTGGATGAGCATAGCTCTTATATAAGGTCAAGTGTGCCCATGACCTCAGTGGAGCCTGGGCTGACCGAAGTAGGTCAACGGTGACCACACCGTGGTCACTTGCGGCTAACAAGGCTTATTATGTGTGTTAAGTTGCCGCGCACCATATACCAATACTTGATGCAAGCTCCATGACTGGCAGAGAAATGTATGTGGATAGTTCATCTCATCAATGGACACGTCAAGTCGCTTCATTCTATCATCACGGTGCATCACCCGATGTTATAGCTTCACTTCGTAAATATTGCATCAATACTGCCTTCAATATTTAGTCACATGCTTGCTTCAACCACCATGTGACACACCTTCATCTCGTTGATAATCACATCATACTTACTGTTATCTTCATGTTCCTACTCTCCACAAACTCCCACCACTTCCATCCATCACTGCACAGACGCCTTCTCCCTCGTGAAACCATCAGCAGCAGCAGCCTTCCTCTCAATCCTCATTAGTTCCCTAATTCTCTCATGCTCACAACTCAAAACCTCATACACTCTCGCAACATCCATATCCCCATTGAACGTGAACCCCTCCCCGCTGCGCCTCGCCACCTCAGCCAGCCGTGCGTGGCTGCTCTCCGTCAGATCGGTGTCAATTACCCAGCTCTCTTTTCCTCTGACGGGGAAATGATAGATCGCATGTTTCCATTCCGAGCGACGGAGCTCCATCTCGAGAGCGCGGTCATATGCTGAGGATGGGATGGAGCAGGCCTGCTTCTGGGATATGCGTTCAAGCGGGGAGAGAGGTAGTGCTAAGTGAGGGGAGGAATGTGGCTGCCTGAGGGAGTTTGGCGGGTTGAGGTGGGATTGGAATGACTTTATGGGAAGCTTGAGGGCCAGTCCTAGGTTTGGTGGGGCTTGTGAAGCTTCCCGGATGACGATGCTTGGTTGTGGACGTGGCGAAGTGCTACATTGCCTGCTGGGAAATCTACTTCCATTGCTGCCAGAAGGAACAGCACAGTCGTAGAGCAACGACGGCTGTGTCGATCCAAAGGCCTTCTCTGCTGAAGAGTCGGATATATCGGTAGTCGTCTTTCCAATCGTGTTGACATCCTGGCTCACAGGGCCCATCTCTTGAAACCTATCTGGCGATGAACCAACCTTTGTCCATGGCTGAGAGATATCTGGACTCAGGTAGGACAATTGCCCCGGGCTTCCTTCCGTAGGCGGAGCTGTTTGGTTCCGATGATCAAGGGCATCAATACATATACCGTTCGTTACATCCGGAGATATTGTAGAGGAGACAATTATTTGCGCCAATTTTTGTTTCGCGATTGGTTCAGTGTCTGCTGGGCTCATGGAAATGCTCGAATCATGTAGAACAAGGACCGATCTGAGCTGGTATCCGTTGTTTTGTGAAGAGGGTTCTGGCTGATTTTGTGACAATGCCCTTAGCTCAGAGATTCTGTTTTCTGTTTTAAACATGTGGCCGAGTGCTCTGAAACACAACTTTTGGTTTTTTTGTGTCAATATATTGATATTTCGAGTGAACAGACTTGCTATCAAAGATGGTTGCAATCCTGAGGTGTAAGTGAGAAAGTGGGATGCCACTCGGATTAAAGCCACTCCAGTCTGGTTTATAGCACGCAGATCACAAGGAACAAACGTTTTGCCATGAATTCAAGCTTACATAGTCTTTTAAGAATGGGACAAAACAGATTTGAACATGCATCGAGTAAAGTATCGTTGTGTCGTGTGAAACAAGGCGGCCATCGTTTCGGCCTTGACTCCCGATCGTCCGACGGGACTACGATGCTGACGTTTCGAGCCACCATCACGGACAGGAAACCGAAGTCGCACATCGGAATTTTGTGTATCTTCATGTCACGATCGTAAAAGAATAAGAATCTGGAACCTGGAGTCTGGATGATTCAGTTACCTGTATGTCAGGGAGACTTGAAGTCTTCCATCGTCCATGCCCTTTTTGCATCAGTATGTCTGTTTGTGACCTATGTCTTTTGGCCTGAAAAAACCGATTCTATATTCGAGACAAGACCAAATATTCCAGTTTCATTCAAGTCTAAGACCCGTTTTGAGATCACTTGGTTTGGCCCATGTCGAAGCTGGTCAACAGCGAACCGGCCAGGCCAGTCAAGCCTTCCATCACAGTTCAAGGGTTAGGGTTGGAATATGCCAACTTGGCGAAAGCCCACCAGCTGGCCCCGAGATACGGATAAAATATTGCCCCTTATCCCTTTTCGGTCAACTGAGGAGGGAGTTGGGATGTCCTGGTATATTTTCAAGTCAGAGTAATGTAGGGTAATGAGAATGAAGGCTAGAATCAAGATAACTTGATAGTGGGTTTCAAAATTGATCTTGATCCATCTAATTGCTTTTGCTTTTCCTATCAACCAATGCATTCTTTACTATATCGATGAACCAAAGACTTGGAGATTGAATTAAATTGAATTGAATTACATTTCCGACCCGTATCATCCATGAGGATGCTTGGTCGTGCCCACGATGCCGGCGGGCAAAAGGTACATATATGCACTCGCTAGTCTAAGCTATGTACACGCGGGAAAAACCCGAGAGGGAAAAACCGGTGCGTATCCGTGGAACAGATGAGTGGTCTTGGAAAAGGGAGAGAAGTATAAAAAAGAAAGGAACAAGAAGAAAATATAGGTTAGGAGGTGCGAGTGTGAGGTATGTGGATGTCCAAACTAGACCGTTCCGATTCTGATCTTCGTTGTTAGGGGTATGTAGCGGGTGACTTGGTCTGGTGCAGGCAGGGATTGACAATAGGTCAAATGGGTTAGATTATGGCCACTGACGATGTGGGGTGCACAGCGAAGTCAATTACTACGTGTAATAACCTTTCTTAGTCCTCAGTGTCCTTGTGTCAGGGAGAGGAGGAACCAAGGGAAGTCTACCATGACCGGGCAGCTTCCTTTATAGAATCCTCATCATGCCTCGGTCATATGGCTCATTCTCTTCGGTTATCCGGCTCTAGACATCTTCCGGGAATAACCACGTATTTGTGCCGCTCACAATCATCCTGTCTCCGGTGTCCCTTGTGTTGGCAGTCGGGGATATCCTTTTCCTTGGACTGCCATGTCCATGTAAAAGCACCAAACAAAATCCCCCATTACAGTCCTTGTTAGCCACAAGTGACCACGGTGTGGTCACCATTGACCTACTTCGGTCAGCCCGGGCTCCACTGAGGTCAGGTGCACACTTGACCTTATATAAGAGCCATTCTCATTCACATTCACGCGTGTGTAGTTTAGAAGGTAGAGCATTGTTACTCTGCGGCACCCATTGTGCTTGACAGATTCCCTCAGGGCCATGTGTTCTGCAGGGCAACGGCCAAGTAAATACTCCCATCCACATCCACCATTTTCCTTTACATCCAACAGTCCTTGTTAGGGAGAGAGAAAACCAAGTCCCTCATCGTGTCCGGCTAGCTTCCTTTATAGAATCCTCTCGGTCATTTGGTTCATTCATCTCGATCTTCCGGCTCCAGTTATCTCCTGAGGTTAACCACAGATTTGCGCCACTCATAATCATTTTATCTCCGGTGTTCCTTGTGTTGAAAATTAGAGGTACCCCTTGTCCTTGGACTGTCGTGTCCGTGTGACTCTTCCTGATGTTAGGTGGCTGGGCGAGACTTTTTTCCTATTCTTTCCCACAGTGTGGCATTTTGGAGTAGCCCAGACCTTGACGAGGATGTACTCGCATCCTGCAATGTTTCGAAGTTTTCTAATCAAGATATTTACAGGCCACATCAAAAGGATCGAGAATACTAGCTGTAGCTGAACAAACCGCCAGAACCCAACCTTCCAAGGGACGATGTAGATAACTTAGCTGGACTCTGACCATAGACGCTACACTAAAGATTGTTTCTGATAAAACAAGCTTTGCATCTCGATCGACGCGTACCCTGTCACACGGACACGGCAGTTCAAGGAAAGGGAGGTCTCCGACTGCCAACACAAGGGACACCAGAGACAGGATGATTGTGAGCGGCACAAATACGTGGTTATTCCCGGAAGATGTCTAGAGCCGGATAACCGAAGAGAATGAGCCATATGACCGAGGCATGATGAGGATTCTATAAAGGAAGCTGCCCGGTCATGGTAGACTTCCCTTGGTTCCTCCTCTCCCTGACACAAGGACACTGAGGACTAAGAAAGGTTATTACACGTAGTAATTGACTTCGCTGTGCACCCCACATCGTCAGTGGCCATAATCTAACCCATTTGACCTATTGTCGATCCCTGCCTGCACCAAACCAAGTCACCCGTTACAAAAACGGCCTACCTCAGGCAAGGAGGCAGTGATCTCCCGAGCTCAGCAGGCGTCGTGATGTTCAGAGAGACCATAACATTTCCAAAGCCATTTGGGAACAGCTGCAGCGGAAAAAAGAGGCTCAAGAAAAGCGCGAGAAAGAATATCAATAGCTGAAGCAGCATGCAACAATAACAAGGGATGCGGCAAGGGAGAGGATTTTGAAGAAAGTGCTCGAGGGAGATGGGAGCGAAAGAAAATGCTATGAAGAAGCTAGCAAAAATGGGGCTGTGCCCCGCGGGTTATGAATGGATTCATCAGGTAGGAGGTTGGAGGTGTGCAGGTGGCAGTCATTGGGTCAACGAGGAATGGCTGGGTATGTAAACTTGTCTAGGTGAGATTTCCTTTGGCACATGGGGTGTTTTGGATGGCCTGATTGGCCTCTAGAATGGAAAACATACACAGCAATAGCTGAGGGGCTTTACCTAATGCCAACAAGGCTGAAGGAATCTGAAAAAAAAAACTGTCTAATAAATCCATCTCACGGCTATATTCTGCAATTAACAATGCCCATGCCTTACCTGACTCAATAAGATCAGCTTTGTGAAAACTTACGTGAACATAAGATTAACATCCCTCGAGAAGACATCTAAAGAGTTGTAGGACCCAAGCAAGGTGTTTTAGAGATGAGACGAACAAAAGAGAAATATCTCATCGATTCAACGTGTTAAGCCACTGTTGAAGGGAATAGCTGTCAGTGTTCATAAAATGAGCTGACCTTGAAGAGGCAGTCATCACGAGCAAGGTCGTAGGCTGAGCTCATTTATTAGGTGATAACTGCGCATGAAGATTTTGGCTGAACCTTTTTAGCAACCTGAATAGATATGTAAATATGGTCCAAAGCTTAAACCCTCCTCTTCCACATCCGAAGCCATCTCCATCTCCACTTTGTATATCCATCATCCCCGTCATTTTTCTTGTCCTGACAATCTCCCAAAACACGAACCCCTGCATCTTCATCACCATAATCCTCGACCTCTTCTGTGGCTCCATGTTGTTGTTTTCCCCTCAAAGTAGGCGGCGTTGCGCTTCCCTTGGCACGACTTTGACTGTGACCTGGCCTATCATGTTGTGAAAAATGTCTTGAAAGCGGCGGATGGAAAGCTTGTTGTGCATGCGGGGTACTAGCTGGGGGGACTGGGATATCTGCAGTCGGTAGGCTTGGTCTCGCTGAGGCTGAACACCGGAACAGGCTCGTAATGCGGTGTGGGCGACGGGGGTGGGGGGGATAGCGCTGAAGACGATTGTCACTCTGAGGTTTGGGGACTTGCTGTGGCTCAGGAGAAGCAATGGAATCAGTATTGGCATCTTGGCGACAGCTTTCGTCTAGCCAGAAGTCGATAGATGATCTAGGTGCTGAGCTGTGCGATACTGGGGTGTCTGTAGGGTTAGGAGCATGGGGGACCTGCTGCCGAGTCCTGGTGTCGGTGCTACTGGGTCCTAGGAAGGGACGCGGCGAATACGTTACAATTTCGCCTGAGATATCATCAGGTCTCACCAATCCCCTGGAAGGTGGCAATCCAGCAGGAATATCAGTGTCGATGCATCCCAGATGCGATCCTTGCTCGTCTAATGAGGCCTGCTCTCCCGAATCTTGTATTCCTTTTCCACAACACGGACACTGAAGCACCACAATCCAACGTATGGCCTCATTGAAATGCCTTCGCCACTTTTCTCTCTCCTCTCTGGCAAAGTATAAATCCAATTTTAGGGAGAATATCTGCTTATGTAATGAATCAAGCGTTCGGGAAGTCTCCTGAACACCACTGACAGTCCTTGGAGGCTGTGTGTAGAGCTGTTCACAGAGTTCGGCCTTCTGGCGGGCTGATAATCCACCAGTGGATGCCGAGGACGTGTTTTGTAATGAAATGCAAGATAATGTGGCAAGGCCTGCTTGGCTTCGAGGCTCTAAGTTCTGGATTGAGGAGCTGGCTTGTGGATCCTTCCACTGTTTTGAATGTTGAGAAGTTTTTCTAACTTCTTCGACGTGCTGCTGAAGAAATGGTGATGGGCTGAAGTCACTGTCATGAAAATGCCCGGAGCAGTGACAGGCACCGCTGTTAAGATGGTGGCTCATGTTGACGAAGGTCTTGGGTTTGGAGATGATCTGGAGTGCGTGGTCTCGTGGATGTAGACTATTAAAAGTTTGAAAGGAGACTCCGATCCCACTTACATTATTGTTTGTCCCATTCTGTCCTGCAAACGGAGGGAATATTGACAGTGTTTCTGTTCTCAACATTTCCATATGCGTAAGAGTACATTAAATCAGCTAAGGCGGCACCATTCCGTAGCCCCACATTCCATATAAGGAAAGCCCATTACAACCGTGCACAGGAGTCCTGCACGTCGGGCCTGGCTGAAAGACGGGGCCGTCTGATTCTGGGCCAGAGTGTTAACGTGCCTGACTGCATCTTGCCGAATGAGCCTTGACCGCAAGATGAGAATGAAGACATGGATGGTTAACCTGCTGATAGTCTGGATGAGCTGAAGAACGAGTGGGCCGAAGGGGTTGAACTTTGCTACTCCTCTTCGCCACCACCACACTCCTTAGCTTGCAGTGGGAAAGTCCGAAGGTCAAGACTGCAAAGTTTCTCCTTTGATGACACTGTTACCATCTAGAGGCCCAGAAAGGCTAACTGAGTGTTGAAGAACGCAATATGCCGGTGTTGAAGATGAGACCAGGCACAAATCAACTTTGACCCTTCGGCAAACAAAGAAGTATGTAGTCCAGAGGATGAGATTTGAGTGAGCACCTATCATCTTCAACTGTCATTAGATATGGTTCCTCTATTGGCTGACAAGGGAAATCAGTTTCGGAGATATGGTGATACTTAACCTGGCACGCTGTCCTGCGTTGGTTGTCTCAGGTACGGTACTGGTCGTAACATTTCAGGAGGTGTTCTGCGCGATTGGCCTCGTTCTTTGTGCATCTCCAAAAGGTTGACCTTACATGTGTTTTATCTGGTAACGGTGTAAGACAGCGAACTCAGCACTAGTGCAACTTACCAGATTAGGTTGGGCGTAATGTTGGATTGCCGGTTGGTAATTTTCGACTCCCAAGTGGGGCACTTGTGGCTAGCGTCTCTCCTTGTCCCTTGGCACAGGCACAATCGATCTGTGGCGCAAAACAGCTTTAATTAGGTGCAGGTCGCGACGCGTCGACGCGCCTTGCGCTGACTGCAGATTGCATTGTTCACAACCTGCTAACATCGCTCCATTCAGTTGTGTATCCATCCCCAACTGTCTGGTCTGCAAAGCAAACAATTACCAGAACGGTTCTTTCTGGTTCCTATTAGAGTTTGAATCACGATAATCGGCATCCAAAATCTGCGACATGTCAGACTACGAGGACGAGATGGACATCGATATCTCATCCAAGAGCATCATCTTTTCTGCGAACAACACGGCCAAGGGGAAGCGAAGTGTTGGAAATTTGCCAGTTGAGGCAGAAGACAGTCTACCATGGTTAGTGGATATGTTCTCTGTTGGTATGATGCCGTGACTAATTACTCCATTACAGGGTTGAGAAATACCGCCCAGCAACGCTCTCGGATGTGTCGGGTCACCAAGACATTCTGGCGACCATCAACAAGTTTATCGAATCAAACCGACTTCCCCATCTCCTTTTCTACGGCCCTCCTGGTACAGGAAAGACCTCTACTATTCTTGCCCTCGCTCGTCGAATCTATGGCGCGGAAAACATGCGCCAAATGGTGCTGGAGCTCAACGCTTCGGATGATCGTGGTATCGAAGTGGTGCGGGAACAGATCAAGACTTTTGCCTCAACAAAACAGATCTTTACAATGGGATCGTCAGCAGGCCGGGCGGGTATTGCGGCGTTCAAGCTCATCATCCTCGACGAAGCGGACGCCATGACCAACACAGCCCAGATGGCGCTGCGCCGAATCATGGAGAAGTACACCGCTAACACGCGGTTCTGCATCATTGCCAACTACTCCCACAAGCTCAGCCCCGCGCTGCTTTCACGGTGTACCCGTTTCCGCTTCAGTCCCTTAAAGGAACAAGATATCCGCAGCTTGGTGGATAAGGTGATTGAGGAGGAGAACGTTAAGATTACGCCCGATGCTGTGGAATCGCTGGTGAAGTTGAGCAGAGGTGACATGCGTAGGGCGCTGAACGTGCTTCAGGCCTGCCATGCATCAAGTAAGTTTTGTTGTTATTATTCACATTCATCGCAGCCCCCAACCTAACGCGATGCAGGCACACCCCTCCAACTACGCGATGGCCCCAAGATCCCCGGAGACCAGATCGTGCGCGATACCATCACAACAGAAACTATCTACAACTGCGTCGCTGCTCCTCCGCCAGATGCGATCAAGAAGATCCTCAATACGCTGTTGAGCACGAGCGACGTTACCGCGTGTCTGACAATAATCAACATGCTCAAAATCTCACAGGGCTTGGCCCTAGCCGATATCATAACCTCCCTGTCAGAAGAACTGGTGAAGCTGGAGGTTAAGCCCCAGGTGATGATCACTTGGCTGGATGCGTTAGCAGAGATTGAGTACAGAGTCGCGAGCGGCGCTAACGAGGCGATACAGACCGCCGCTGTGGTGGGAGCAGTTCGGAACGGCGTCGAGTTAATGGGCTGACTGCAATCACAGCATCAATGAATGGGCGTGTCCTCCTTGCAGATATATTCGCCAGCGCTAGCTATAGATCTTGTCCAAATTGACGCCCAACAGGCATGGTGGTGATACCCATTAATCCTTTTTCGCCCCCAGCACACAAAAGCCTTGTTTACCTGCTCCCTTGCGCTCCCATTTGCTACTCTCCACAAGAGCGGGCGTCCTGGCAGGTGACAGGTAAGCAAATGGTCGAGTCTGTCACCGACGTAGTATTCAAGCAGCGATATAGCAGAACGCACCACCCCAATCGACTGTTTGCAAAACTCCCAAAAGCGAACACCGCTCAGCATTAACCTAAAGTGCCGATAACAGTTGCCGATAGGTGCGGCTCCGCAAGTGTATGCATGTTCCAGCTGGCCAATTGGCTGGCTCAGTGCAATGTAACCCTTGGCTGTTACCACAAACTCCAGCTCAGGAAGGTTGTTCGAGCTTTGCCACTGATGTTGCTGTAGGATTTCGGCCTGGGGGCTCAATGTTCTCCGGAGCGTCAAGATGGAGAAACAGTCATTGGAATCTCCAGTTTTTGACAGGGTTCCCAGTGCAACAGAAACAGAGTTCACTTGAGAGATCTTGTCTACTGGGAGATCCAAATCTCGATGGAGAAGGTCACAAATCCGTAGGTAATATCCACAATTGCATCTTTTGGCCACAATCCAATGTACCCCAGAAGCCTCTCCGCAGCTAAGAGCGGAACTGCTCCGATTCCGTCCCCGCTTTTGATCTTTTATCCAGCCAACATGGTTTGTGACGCGGTGGCGGCCAGCCGCCCTCCCCAACTTCTTTGTATCCAACACCATCATGCATGCTTTTTTTCTCCGCATTCCCATTCCCTGTCTTGTCCATGCTTTCCGTCATCATCTCTGGCTTGGCCTTCTAAGGTACTTGGCCTCATGTCTCCCCCGCATTTCCAGTGTTCCCAACGCTTCAACGCTCCGTGACGGCGTCTTGGCACGTGTCAACCGCAACGTCTTACAGATCTGGCCCGCTTCTGCTTCTTTTGTCTCGTTATCTTGCCCATTGATTTGAAGCAGGAACGGGCACAAAACTATGACCCGAAAGCGGAAAACGATGCCGAAGTCAAAGACATCAGGCATTGGACAAGGTTAATGCAGCTACACCTCGTCTAGTTGTGTCATGTGTCCACGCGAAATCTAGTATAGCTCCCTGGCTAGATCTTGACTGTCGGTTGTTTGTTCCTCGCCATGCATTGTTTGCAGTCTGGTCCTCTATCACAATGCTCAGGCTGGATGTGACCAGCCCTTGCCGTCCCGGTTATTATTCTCAACCAGCCAACGAGGGTGTGGAGAGTGCAATGGCTTGGGGGGTGGACACGCCTAACACCATTGCGAATGTTGCACCGACCCAAACAACCGACGGAGAGAGAGGACCGAAGTCTGGGTCTGGGCAAGCCATTGCCACGACGCACGCACGCGGTGAGGGACTCGGCGCGGTAACGGTTACATTCGAGAGACAGACGGTTAGGGATGGGTATGTTAAACAGGCTGTTATAAGACCTGCGTCTGGACGCCGCGGGACAGGCCTGTAATGCTTTCCCTTCCGGCAGACTGAGTTCAGTCTCGTTTCTGCTGCCACGAGCCTCTCAGGCCCAGAACAGGAGTTAAAAGGACTCAAGCAAACCTGAGTTGAGACATCATTGACCACCATGCCCACAACAGAGAAGGAAATCGGTACGGCCTCCTCCTCCCCCCCTAATTCATGAACGCAGCTTACACACAATCCCAACCATCAGCAGCTCCCCCGGTGCGGCAAGAAAAGGCCCCTGCTGGCTCCATCAAAGATGCCTCCTCAAGCGACGGCGGCGTCACCAGCGGTCCTGACTCCGAACTCGAATGGACCGAAGCCGAAGAGACTGCCATCCGCCACAAGATTGACTGGCACCTCGTCCCTTGGGTCACACTCCTCTACATGCTCTGCTTCCTGGACCGCATCAACATCGGCAACGCGCGCATCCAGGGTCTGGCCAAGGACCTCGACCTCGACCGTAACATGCGGTTTAACTGGGCACTGTCCGTTTTTTACATCGTCTATTTACTCGTCGAGGTGCCAAGCAACGTCATCTTGAAGCGTGTGGGCGGTAGATGGTATCTTCCCTTCCTGGTGTGCGGATTCGGGCTTGTCTCGCTGTGCACTGCGTTCGTGAAGGACTTTGCAGGCTTGATGACGGCACGCGCGTTCCTGGGTGTGTTTGAGGGCGGCGCCATGCCGGGTATGGCATTTTTCCTGAGCTGCTTTTACAAACGCAACGAGCTGCTCTTCCGCATGGGTATATACGTCTCTGCTGCGTCCATTGCAGGAGCGTTTGGTGGATTGTTGGCCACTGCGCTTTCACGTATTCCCGCTTGGGGAGCGGCAGCTGCGAAGATCCATACGTGGAGGAATATCTTCTTCTTTGAGGGGCTCGTCACCATCATCGTCGGGCTAATTGCCCCGATCTGGATGCCTGCTAGCCCGCACTCGGCGTGGTTCCTGACTGAACGTGAGAGAAAGATTGCAGCCGAACGTTTGGTACGTGAGCACAAGGCTGATCCGGCAGAAAAGGTTACCTGGACAGACCTGAGGCGGGCGATTTTCTGCATTCACAACTACACGTGTGCGTTTGGCTTCTTCCTTATCAACATCACTGTCCAGGGGTTGTCGGTCTTCATGCCGACGATTTTGAACGATCTTGGCTGGTCTAGTACCAAAGCACAGCTGATGTCTGTCCCTCCGTACGTGGCTGCGTGCTTGGTCGCCATTGCGGTTGCGTATGCCAGTGACAAGACACATCAGCGTGGTATTTGGCTAGCCTCGTTCTCGTGCCTCGCAATTATTGGGTTTGCCATTCTTCGCTGGGAGACAAAGCCGAATATTCGGTACATGGCTGTTTATTTTGTCACGGTTGGGGCTTTCCCAGGCGGACCAGGCTTCCTCAGCTGGGCTATGAACAGTAAGTCATCTTCTCCCTCTGCTGCGCATAAACGCTTACACTTTTCAGACTCTGCAGGCCCCGCCGTCCGAGCCGTCACATCCGGTTACGTCGTCACTCTGGGCACGATTGGTGGCATTGTGGCAACGTAAGAACTCCTTTTTCCTTTCCTTGAGATGAACCCCCGCTAACCTCCTTCACAAACAACAGCTGGACCTACACTCGTTCCGATGCCCCCAAGTACTTCACCGGCCACACCATCAACCTGGCTGGGCAGATTGCCACCGTGTGCCTGGCCATCTTTGGCATCTTGTACTGCGCCTACGAGAACAGGGCTCGTGCCGCCGGGAAGCGCGATCACCGGTTGGAGGGACTCACGGAGGAGGAAGCACAGAAGTTAGGGAGCAGGCATCCTAGGTATCGGTATTGGACTTGAGAGTGACACCGTCATGGATACTCTGACATATTAAGCACTTATTAGCTGAACGACATGGGAAACTGAATCTGTACATTTTGAAACGGGAATCTTCATTTGGGTTTTGGGATCGGTTAATGTTTGATCCGTGGTGTAATGACAAGGGCAAGAATTGCTAACTTAATCGTAGTTCAGGTAACTTCTCATATACTCACGAAGAAATCTCTTCAGGGTCACATCTCCATAGCAGTCTTAATAACGTCCCTTGGATGTTCCTCGCGTAGACAAGAAACTTTAGGTCTCTATTGAGTTCCTATCATTAGTGCGTCATCCATCTTACTTAGCTGTATCCAGGGTTGCCTGTAGCGTCTATTGACCATTACGGTGGCTTGCCATTTTTAAAAAGGGAGAGAGAAGGGGGTGCAGCGGCTTCTCCCTCAGCGCCATCAGAGGTGTGCTCAGCATCCAGTTCCGCTTTCTGCATTGAACTTGTGAACCTCGCCAGCTTTATAGAGGGCTCTGCTCCCCCTGCTTTTGTGTGAGTCTTCCGCGTCCAACCTCTTCGTGACAGGTCGAAGCATGTGCGGTGGGAATACGATCGAGCCACGCTCTGATATTGGGTATGGCGACTAAGTCGTGTCCCTTCGGTGAAATTAATGGTGGCCGTCCATTTAACCTTCAGTGCCACCACAGATAAGTTTTCCCCCAAAGGCTTGCATGACTCGAAGTCGATAAGGATCGATTCTCTATTCTCCTCAAGTCACAATATTGGCAGGGTTGAGGTTGTCATGTGCGAGACAACGAAATGGAAATGGGGGATAACCGCCTGGATATCAGCTATGACAGCTGTTCGGTCAAGATCTTAAAGCGAAGCCCGTACATCTTCATTTTTTTTTCAGAGAGTTCAGAACAGGATGGTCTTACCACGAGCAAGCCAGTTACCCGTCCGCGACGGACGCGGCATTTGTGGTATCTAATAATATTTCGGCATGGGTGTTTGGAAAGGATCTCCATGATACGAATCTTGTCCGCAAATGCTTCTGGTATCAAGGTTTGTCATTCTTATATCCGGGGTCTTGTGACAGGTCAGGACGCTTGATGAAACATGGCAAACTGATTGAGATCATCCTCATCAACCGTTAACGCGGGGCTTACTTTTGGGAGTACTATATCGTCTGGTACCTATGTCAGACCCACTTGAAACTCGAGAGTGCAATCTTGTCTTTGCGAACTTCCCTGCATCCTTGCTGTGACCACTCCTGATCATCTAGAACGAACCAGCTCGTCAGAAGAACTTCGTGTTCGCCATCTTCTTCCTTAATCTCATAGATATCGGTGACATAATGCAGTTGTGAAATTTTGGAACCATTTTGATGACCATGCAGCAGGGAAGAGGGGTGAGGCTCAGACGGGCGACTCCTGTCAACTCAGAAGGCTTGGTGAATGACGATAAATTTGAAAGCACTTCAAACTACGAAATCGTGAGCTCCAATTGCATGACAGCACCATTCTCTAGTCACGGGTACAGAACAGAGACGCTATTGGGAAGAGCCTAAACTTGGGCACCCAGTTGGATGTAAATGGGGGTTACGGAGGACAAGCATGAGAGAGAGAGGGTATCGTGACTGTTAGCTGCAAGTGACCACAGTGTGGTCACCGTTGCCTTACCTCGATCAGCCCAGGCTCCACTGAGGTCAGGTGCACACTTGACCTTATATAAGAGCCATACTCATCCACCTTCATGCGTGTGCAGTTTAGAAGGTAGAGCGTTGTTATTCTGCGGCATCCATTGTGCTTGACAGATTCCCTCAGGTCCGTGTGTTCTGCAGGGCAACGGCCAAGTAAATACTCCCATCCACATTCACCATTTTCTTTTACATCCAACAGTGACGGTTGGTTTAGCAGAGGGGATACTGCTTTTTGTCTGGTTCTCATCAACCAGCCAGCCGTAAGTTCGAAACCACAACAGTTTCACAAGGTCCACAATGACTCGCGTATACGTCCAGCAGTCTACTTTCGCAAAGTTTGGGTGAGCAAAATTGCTACCTGCAGGTACCCCAGGTAATGTGTGCGCTGGTTGTATCCCGTCGCTGAGTGTGAAAGGGGAGGAGCCTTGAAGCAAAGCGGATCTTAAATACATAGACTAAATTAGTGGGTAATCATGCCATAATGAGATATTGAACCAACCATCGAACAGCCCTGCGTCCGTATAAACAAGCGATGCGGTACAAACCACAGAGACGGATTGACCGCGGCAAGGCTCCAAACCTCTTCACCCTGCCTGAGCAGGATGTCCCAATTCCAAATTATCACACCTTCGGATATTCAGAAAATATGTCAGTGGCAAATCATTATTTTTTGCAGCTTTGATACAGTATGGTTCAAACCACAGGCCATGAAGTTATCTGTCCAAAGAACCGATCCATAATCGGCAGTATTTTCACTCTCCATAAACTCTTGTCTGCTAGCAACATGAGAGTCTGTCCAAGAAGTCCTCGATCGTGCTTGATGCCGCCGTATCAACGCGTCATGTATGTCTCACTTTCTGCTTACTGTAAACTTGTCCTTAGATACCAAGGCAATCTTGGCGTTAGCTGGTCATAGATTGTCAGTAAGGGTCTTACCATGACTCAGGGTGTAGAACTGGCTAGCATACCCGTCTGCCAACTATCCGATATGGTCAGACCCGAGTGGTAAGTCCATCAAACATGCTCTACAGCCGTCATCATCGCCCTCTGATGACAAATAGAACACTGCGGTAACAGTTTCTTACACCCACGATTATGCAACCTCTTTCGTGAAAGCTTTGGATAACGATTACTTGACCATAGCTTGTGGGTATTGCAGGGCTATATGGAGAGGACTGCTTTTAACTGATTCTAATAACCTCGGAAGAACCTGGAGACAAGAAGACCGAATACGACTGTAGAGGGAACATTTGAATTCCATCGGCTCTGACCGAGATTGTCATCCTCTTGTTCAGCAGCAGATAAAATAACCCCTGACTAGCCAGAGAGTGAAACTGTTTGTCAGCTGCCTTAAGACCAAGTCAGAAAGCCATAATCATGACGCTTCTCGCACATTGCCAGCCGTTAACACCTCTGTCGATGAGAGGCTTGGGTGGATATGGGGGTAGTGATTGATAATCTATGTAAGCACGGAAGTTAAGGATGCGCATTCACAACTTGATATCGCCACCAGGGTTAGGCAAACATTGAACCATGCCAGCGTGTTATATATGTTGGACAGAACTCAAGATCTGTCAAGAAGCATACAGCACATACTGTTCATCATCCCCCCAGAAAAGAGGGAAGCTGGATGTATATAAGTAATGGATCGACGCTGCTCAGTCGCCACCATTGCCGCTTATCGCAGCTATGGGCGACAAAGCCTGCGAGTCAGCAGTTACCAAAGCCGCACATTTGATCGGAGGTGCTGAATAGCCAGGATTACCGACTAGAAACAAAGTGGCTTGAACATCATTTGCATCGAAGTAGTGCTTACACCGCAAGTAGCATCTAAAGCGGGATGACGAGATGCCCAAGTTGTAATCACAGTTGCTGAATACCAAGGTGAGCAGAAGGGCAAGAGTTAATCTGCGAGAAGGCAGAAGGAAGCACCCCTCATAAGATGCAGTCAGAATTTCCTCCTAAAATGGCAAGGTGAATCACCATCGGACACATAGTGTGCGTTAGTTGCTTTTGAGACACATTGGGCTTGCAGAGACTGTTTTCTGGTAAGGCACTGACAAGAAAGCCGCCTCAATGCACGCAGAAGAAGGGGGAAGTTAGTGGAGGATCGCGTGGGATGGGCGGTCCGTCTTGGTAAAGGTTTGTGCCAATCAGAAAAGTGGGTCTTGGGCCCACCAACCACTTCTTAATTAGGAAAAAGCGATTGCGGGGTCGCATCCAACGGTTCTCGAGCGCCTGGTGTGGGTGAAGTCACCCAGCAGGCAGTGGTCTTAACATCTGCCATCGAACAGATCGAACAGCTCACACCAATATCAGAACAGGTGTTTCCAGAAGAAAGATTAAGCATGTATTGATTGACAAACAGGGTTGCATATGCTGCTGCATGTCAGGTCGACACGATTCTGAGATGTGATGACTTGCTGGTGCCGTCGCTTGTTTTTGTGCATGGTGCGAGACGCAATGTAGCCAGGGCCCCGGGGCGCTCATCAAGCCCTCCAATTCGCCAACCGGAAGCCTCTGTGAGCGCAGAAGCGTCCCAACCATCCACAGAAGGGGCACCAAGAGACGCACACTGCACGCACAGGACACGCACTGGACCAACGAGGGCTAGCGACAACCTAGAACACCTCCCGCTAATGCAAGATGCCTCGATATCGTAGTCTAGCATCATCGCGCATCGTCCATCGTGGCTCATTGTCTGCCCAGATTGCGATTGTGTTCCAATCAGCGCGAAGAAGGGTTGTGTTGATATGGCGCTTGGGATTCCTTCATAGGGTTCCTGGGGCCAAGCTTCAGTGGACTGTCGGGTGTCTCGAACCCCATCTGATCCATTTGATGGACCCGGCGATGGCGCGAAGGGAGCATTCCGCCACTGGCCCCGCTCTCTGCCTCCCGCTGTCAACCACAGTTTCCCTATGGTTCTGAGGAGCAACGAGGTTGGTTTGGGTCTTCGCAAGGGAAGGAGTCCGAGAGGAAGGTTCACAAGCGCCCACATTACCCAACACTACTGCTCCAGGAATTCTCCTTGGCCCCGACGACACCACGCCCATTGACATGCCTTCCTCGAACGATCCACACTTATGATCGCATGCCCCGGGCAGCACGGCACCACAGCAACCAGCCCAGAAGCGATCTGCTCCCAAAGCCCTGACGCCGGCGACTTCTCGTCAGTTTAAGACATTTGACACGCTTTGTGGAGGCCCCCACGGCTTGTCCACCAGCACCACCCAGCAAAGAGCCAGCAAAACGGCGGAGTGCACCGGCACGTCCACACTATACAGACGCCGACGCAGGAGAAAAGCCACCCAGACAAACAGCACAGGTCCGCGGACGTGTAAGTCTGGTCCAGAATGTCGTTGCCCGACTCATCTCCACTAGGCAGTCTACATTCTCCATGACCTGAGCGAAGTCCGGACAGGCCTGCATTATTCGCACAAAATGGGGGTTATGAGCATGGTCTGTGATCGCAGTTGGGCCGGGGCTGGACGAAGGGTCACAAAAGCACATGCCACTTGTTCCCCTATCCCACATCTAGCCATGCACAGCCGACATTCCGGCATCCCGGCCATGATCCAGGGACAGCAAGCTGACTTTTACTTACTAGTCCTGTCTTTGCTTTCCATCACAACAGCCACAGTCCTCGCTCGAGTTTGACGACAATCGCGCTGCTGGCCCCAGATCGGGGAATCCAACGGTCCTGCCCCCTAAGTAATCTGGCTCTTTGTGAAGCCCCTCCTTTGACCCCTCACGCTCGTACCCCAAGTCCCCCGAACCACCCTCCTCTCCAAAGCCGATCTTCCAAGGCGCCAGACCGACCCCATGTGCCGCAAAGTCGTATTCTCGGGCAAATGCCCACGTTGCTTCGACCGCTTTATCTGGCATGAGTTGACGCAAGAGCTGAGCTGCCTCGAGGCAAAGAACAACGGCGTGTTCGGCATGTGCAGTGAGGGGACAGCGATCGATGAGAAGCCGCACGACCAAGAGTGCGAAGCTTGCCTGGCCGAGCTGGAGGCTGACGAAGGCTACGACGGCGGTATGGATGAGATTACTGAGGGCGCCGTCTGGCTGGATAATAACAAGGTGGCCGCTGACCAAGACGAAGGAAGCGGCAAGCATAAGAACAAGAAGCAACGAACGTCATGAGGATACCCTTTTCCGATTGTGCGAACGGGAGGTTTCGCGGTCCACAAACCGTCGATGATGATTCCGAGGACAGAGCCTTGTTTTGGTCTTCGTAGCCGAACGGTATTCATCCCGCGATATGACCCCTGAAGCTGATCACAGGGCAAGCCTCAAAGTGTTGTGTATTGGTAAAGATTTCGGCATACCAAGTAACGACGACGAAGTCCCAGTTTCCCCTCCAATCTCACGGGAATCGAATGGTGACATTCCACAATATATCTGCTACGCGCGCCGAGACATGGAGTAACGAGACCACGACCAAGACAGAACGCGACGTTGTGACATGAAGGGCAGGGTGCTTTGCGGAAAGCGGATTGGGCATTTGGCGGTAAACATGACCAGGCGTGCTCGACTATACAGCTCATACCCAAGATTTTGAAGTACATGGCGTAGGGATACAGGCGGGAGTTCTGGAACTGATGCTGGTGTACAGGCGGGGATACGGGGAGGTATTTTTTGGCACAGGTATCTTTATCATCATCACACACTATTTCACATAACCGTACCGTTTGTCTCTAGTACCCCATGATCGCACTCAAACCAATACCGGTCAGCATTCCCCCTCCCAAGTCTCTTTCACAACCCTCCAGTACCTCGTCGCGTCCCTTCTCAGATGCGCAACATGCTCGCTTCCATCAAACTTTTCTCTCCGCACCACAAATCCCTTCCTCTCTGCCTCAACCGCATGGGCCTCCACATCCTGCCAGTGCACCAATTTGTCCCCCTCACTATACACATATGTCCTCCGGACCTCACTCCACGAAGACAACAACCTTTCATCATTCAACCCCTTCCTCACCGCCGCCAACGGCCCGGTCTTCCCCCGTCCCAGAATCTCGTGTCGCAGCCAGTAGTGCAGGCAGATGGCGTGCATCAGTGGAGCCAGGAGCCAGTAGACGATGCCCGACAGGCCGGTCGTGAAGGCGCGGAAGGCGGCCCAGTACCGGAAGGCTCCGGGCGTAGAGTCGAGGACGAGGGTGTATCGGGGCAGGTCACAGCGCGGGTCGAGTGAGGGTGTCGAGGTGGTTGTGGATGCGAGCAGCAGCCGGAGGACATGAAGGGAGTTCGTCCCGCCGTTGGACCAGGCGTGGATGAGGAGTTGCGGAGGATTTGCTTTCAATATCGCTGCTGAGTTCGAAGAGGAGGCCTTGCCTGGAGCAGCCAGCTCAGGGAAGACCGAGTGTAGCACAGGCAGAGCGGGGGCAAGCTCGCGTGGCGCGCCGCGCGGCCGGGTAAAGTGGCGTGGTTCCGAGCGAACGAGGAGGATTGGTGTGGTTGGGAAGAAGGCTCGGTACTGCAACAGGTATTTTGCGATGTGTGGATCACGAGCGCCCATCCATGTTGCCAGAAGGATCAGCTTAGGTACTGGTTTCGATGAGGAGGTTGGGAGTTCTTCGATGGTGCCTGTAGTAGATGGTTCTGGACGGTAGACGTAAACACATGGAGACAGCCTTGTCATAAAGGCCAGTAGGCTTGCGCCCGAATCTGTTGCTCTGTTCGTTGATGTCATTGACAAATACTGGGCTCGATGTGATCTTTGTCACTTGGTACAGGTCAGAATGTCTCAGACGAGATGAACGGCGTCGGGAAGTTCCTGGAATATATACTATTCCTCGGACCCCTGTCCTGGTTCACTACATCTTTTCCAAGTGTCGCTTCGCGCCGTAACAGTGCGTTGGCGCTAAAGATCCGAGCGGTTTTCAGGATTAGTGTCATTCCCCACCTGGGAGGATCGGAGAGATCTATGTAACACAATCACATGCTTCTTTTTCCTCATAATCTCTTGAAACACTATTTTCAAAAGCAGTTCCTGTTGCCTGTAGACCGTCTCTTATCCTCCCGAAAAGTTGGGAAGCTGAGGCTGTTCTCATCCTCATACGGGAACGCCCGCTTGCGAAGAGTGTTTGACCTTACATGTTAGCCGGGGAACTTTCCGACTGAGGACATTGCTCAAAAGGTGGGCAATGGAGCCGAAGAATGGGACAGCGGATCTAAGCCCAAGCTTCATGCCAGCCTTAAGTGTGATTCAGCAGGCAGAACAGGGAACTATAAGTTGTAGCAGAATGGCAAACTATCACATGTTGGTAACCCAAGCAGAATATTTTCTACACGATGTCATCCCATTCCCAAGGCTTTTGGTGCTTACGCTAGTGTACATCAACCTGATTAACTCAGTAACCACCAGGCTGTTCTCCGTATCCCTGATAATGCTGGTGTGCCTTTGCTAGATCACCCATCTATCGACTCTAGAAATAATGCACCGGGTGGAACGTAATCAGTCAATCACTGGTTCAGTGCCAAATCATGGGCATGCGAATGACAAGCTGGGCATCAAGATAACCACTAGATGCGCATGTCCACATTAGTTTTTGGCCGTAACGTTGGAGGCCAAAAGAAATCTCTGGGTAGGTAACCCGGTTGGTCAAGCTTGCGCTGGTCAACTAAGGCCGGCCTGCGACATGGAAACACTCGAAGCCTCAAGGTCTCAAGTGCAAAGCAGATGCATGCACCAGTCATCACTTTAAAGCGAGTCTGGCGAAGCATGGTGTTAGAAGGTCCACCTTCATGCCCACAGTGCAATGTTCAAGGATGCAAACAAGACCTAGGTGCATCATTGTCTCAATGAAAGTCTGGGGGAATGGTGTATCGATAGTGCAGTCCTGGCGCAAGTCAAGTGTTGCAAGGAGGGGACCATTAAGGCTTTGTCTGGACCCAGGCATCAAATATGCATCAAGAATGCTCCAACCTTGAGATGTGAGTTCGTGCGGTATCGCAGATTGCATCAAGCAACCAGAGCACATATGTGCCAGCTTCATGGCAAACGCTGATAGGTGATCAAAGGCAAAAGGCAGGACAAGATCTAAATCCGTGGAAGATCCATGGGCCAGCTTTTTCTCGTGCATTCAACGATTAAGGGCCGAGCAGGTGTCGCAATTTTCGTCGGGGAAGAGCCGTAAGAGAAAGAAAAAGGTCGTAAAAAGCGTGTACTGTACAGTCATGGAACAGGCCGGATCGTGCTGGGCGGTTGCAAAACCGTAGAAATCCGGACAGATTTCAAAAATCCTTTCATGCCCTGGTATCATCATTGGGCCACCATGCAGGGGATGCAAGGCGTAAGGTCAAGATGAGCATCGAGGCAGATGGCGGCAATGTCAAGGCGCATCGGTGAGTTGAGTGGGCGGGTCAACATCAAGCGCAACAACAAGCCCAAAATCATGGCGACTTTACGAGGACCCAGGCGCCTGGGATGTGGCACCCTGAGCCTGTGCCTGTGCCGCTTGAGCAGCAAGTTGCGATTGCCACCAAAGCGCGATATAATTCTCATAACCGCCGTCTGGTGTAGTCGGTTAGCATTGGGTCAACGACGGTAATATCAACAGAGGCGATGACGGAGTCAATCTCTTACATGGCGCATAGGGATCAGCCGGATTGGCAGTGGAGCTGCCAGCGCTAGACTGAGTGGCAGCTCCAGCAGCAGTGGTAGAAGGGGTGCTGTTAGTGTTAGACGACTGGCCATAGTTGGGGTTATCATAATCGCGGTGCTGTCCACGGCCACGACCAGAACCAGACTTTTGCCTCTGTAGAGACGTGTTAGACATTACAAAATAAACAGCAGGGTAGGAAGCAGCAACACATACCACGACCTCAACTTTGTCCTCGATGGCACGTTTGGCTCGCGCAATAGCTTCACGAGTACCGACCAAACCAATCTCACGTTCAACCTCACCCGGACCTGAGGGCTGCGACACGTTGATCTTGCAGCCAGTCATGTTCTGCATCTCGCGGATAGTCTCACCACCTTTTCCAATGATCATGCCAACGGCATCAGAAGGAACAAAGATTGAATCATTGACCTTCTCCTGGCCGTTTCCACCAAAATTGTCATTGCGACCGCCTCGGGGGTTGGGCAGGTTCCCGTTCCGGCTATCACTGTCCACAATTTCCAAAATCAACTCCTTAGCGATACGCGTGGCCGCGGGAGGGCCAATGAGATTCACAGGACGAAGTCCGTTGACGCTCTTATTCTCACCCACGATATTGATGTGGCAACCACTCCTCTCTTGCAAATCACGGATGGTTTCGCCACCGCGACCAATGATCAAGCCCACGGTCCTATCCGGGACCATGATTTGCACAGTGTCTTCCCCTTCTTTAGGGGCCGGAGGACCACGGCCGCCATCACGACCGCGTTCGCCTGGACCACGCATGCCACTGTCACGAATGATGCGGTTGATCATCTCTTTAGCCTCCTCACGTTGGGGACGAGGACCTTGGATCTTGCAAAGTCGCATTTGGTCGTTGGGACCTTGAGGAGGAATGAACTGAACACGGCAACGAGTCTCGCCTTCGACACGACGGAGGTTTTCTCCCTGGCGACCTATGATCAAACCAACCAAGCTGGCCTCAATCTCAATGACTTCCACGTCATCCTTGTTGCGCAGAGGGGACCGCTCACGGCCACCGTGTGAGCCACGAGGAGAGAATGCGCGACCACGCCCAGGGGAATATGAGCGTTCGCGACCATAATCGCGACCATGGTCGGCGCGTCGCTCATCGCGGTACGGGTTGTAATTGTCACGGTAGGGATCGCGTCCACGGGGACTCTTAGATCTCGAACGGGAATACTGCCTCGAATCATTCGCACGCGAGTCGGAATATGAACCACTCTGGCGATCGTATGGGGTAAAGCCCTGTTCAGTTGCGTATGCCTTTGCTTTAGCAATCGCGTCAGCGAGAGGAACAGTACCCGAGTTGACAGGACGGATTGAGCTCAGATCAATGCTGCCACTAGAGGCTGGTTGAGGATACTGATAAGCCACTGGAGGTTGGTAGGTACCCGTCTGAGACGGATAGGGGTTTGGGACTGATGTTGCATAGGGATTTGAAGGTAAAGGTGCCGAAGCAGTAGCAGGCGCAGGAACCCCAGGCTGGGTTTGTGCAGGAGCAGAGCTAGCTGGGCGCTGAGTGGCATCTGGAAGCAAACCAGTCAGTACACTGTTTGCTGAAGCAGAAAATGGGAGAGATTGCCCTTACCAAGCAAGCGCAAGATCGAACTGATGTCTGGAGTTGAGTTTGCCATGTTGACGTTGCCAGAGGGCAAGCAAAGCTTAACACAGTCTGGAAGGTTTTGCAGTGGTAAAGTGTCGATCGACAACCTTTGGTCTTTCGCTGCTCAACCTCAATCCTAATGTTCCCCCAAAGCAGGTCGCACTGATAAAAAGGTAGAGAAGTGGAAGAACGCAGATGAAATAAACTTAAGGACCACGAGGAAATCCTCAGATCACAGAGCAAACACGTAGAAAGGTGACGGCGCTTCGAGTCAGAGTAATTCCAGCGCGCGAAAGGCGGGACGAAAGGGATCGCCGAGGTATTGGAATCAAATCGCTGCGTTATGTCAGTCAATGAGCAAATTGACACCAATTGTCGGTCGCGGTGAAGTGCGGTAGGAATGGCTGGTCGTGCACAAACCGGCCAACTCCCAGATGTGGGACGGAGAGACCGCAAAAAACTTACCTGACAAGGATCGAATGTCGGCGCAGAAAGCGTACACGATGCACTCAGCAGCGGTCGCTTTTTTTCACGGAGATGCGCCGACGCAGCGATGACCAGTCGGAGGGCAGAAAAGCTGGATAACAAAGAAGGAAATAAGCGGGTTGTGGTAAAGTCCTAACTCCTCAACTTCCCAATGGGCAGGAAAGTTTTCAACAGCTGTAGCTGGGCTTGGCAATTTGCTGCATAGAGCAAGCCAACGGTGCGGCGGTGCGATGTGGAGGGAAAAGTGGCTTCCTCGGGCCCATGCTTTGGCGCTCTGAGCCCCGCTGAATGAGCCGCTGACGTGCACGGACTCTAAGACCTCTACCTGGCCAGGTCAAATCACGTGATCCTGCAGCTAGTCTTGCACATGGGATTCTGCCAACATCAGAGTTCACCCTCACATGGAGAATCACAGTTCTCTAATAGTGCTGCATTTCCAGCAATGTTTGTTCTATTGGCAATTCGGATGATTTTGGGCAAATGAATCGAAGCTTCCTACCGATCAAAGTATCAACAAGAGCATCATGGAATTTGAACCATGTGTACGGTTTTGCGACTGATGGAGTGTTCAGTCAAACTCTGTAGGTAAAGTTCTGCTTTCAACACTGTGGTAAATTTAATCTTTTTTAGTGAGATCATATAGGGAGAAGTGTCGATCTGGTGAGTCTCCTATGTAAGAAAGCTGATCCAAAATCACGCCTCTGTTTGGCCTACCCACTCCCGGCATTGGTTGATGCCAACTGCCTTAGCAGTGACGTTTCGCAGAATGCTAAAGTTTTGCCTTCGGTCCACGTTACACCGAAGGAGAAAACCCGTTTGTTACATCTTCCCTGTTTCACTCGGTATCTTCGAGGTTTCCTTTTGCTGAGTTTCGAATTACTTCCGAGTCCTCGGAGTCCTCGAGATTCCTACCAGCTGGATGCCTTGTCAAGGGGAAGGAAGCTTACGGCAGGCTACATTGTCCACAAAATGAAGAGGCCGGAAATAAAAGTGTCAAAGTCCATGTGCCATAGTCATGCCAACTAGCAGTACACAGAGCGGATCAGACATCTTGAATCGTGCGGCGTGAGAGTGTAGGATGCTTACAGAGCTAATCGCGGTGTAACGAGGCTGCCAACGGCTGAGGAAGGGCCTTTGCACGAATGTTTTTGTGTCACTCAACTCTCAGGGGCTCAAGAAGGATGCACAACAGGTTGTCAGTGGTTGTCAACCGAGTGACATAAACGAGCCCCACGGACTTTTGAAGGGGATGGCTTGAAAGTCAATACAGGATGTCATCCGAACTTTCGTGCTAAAAGACATTGCTTGCTAATTTTTGATGCAACATGATGCCTTAATAAGCCTTTTTTAAAGTTAGGCTGTTTTCTTGATGTCATATTTGGAAGACATCTTGGCACTTAGTGGCTTCTCCTGTGGACAATCGAGAAAAAAACTTCTACGTTTATCATTCTCAGTCGATGCTCCAAGGCAAGCAAGCTTCACGCACCGTTGGGAACAACCAGCTTTGAGCCGTAATTACCTACAATTCACAAGAGTCTCAATTTGGCAGTGGTCATTTCATTTTCATTGAAACTGGACCATTTGCGCCGCTCAGCAGCCTTACATCGTGATCAGGTTTAGGACGGTTTCCGCAATGATCGTGGGTTAAATCCTGTTGGACACCACTGGAAACACTCGCATCAAAAATGCAAAGACTTAGCTGAATTTCCGACCCGCCGAAGTACTCCTCGAAGCTCTTAACAAATGGTTGATTGAAAGGTGAGAGAGATTGGAGTCCGGCTCAAGTTGGAAGCTCTTTGGCGCTGTTCCATCTAGTACACTGCCAAGACCCGGACAACTCAGTCGTTGTCCAACCCGAAGTTGTCTTCAAGTCATGATGGCAAGACTGAGCCGATTGTCGTGATTCCCGTGACGCAAGCCTTTCCCGGGGTTCCCTCGTACTTTCCTTGGTGAGACATTACCTGACAGCACCCAGCTGTTGCTTGTTTACGGCGCCTTTGCCGCATCCTAGTCGACACAGATATCAAGGCAGTCGCTCACTTGGCCTTTCCTTCCCGAGGTTCTTTCCTTTGAATGAAGCACCAAGGCTGCGGGACAAAAACTTCGTGACCTGGGCCAAACCCGAGAGTGTTCCCTCCTTCCACCGGTCAATATTCCCGTCAGATTCCGTCGGTAAAGGTCGCTTCTCCTCCGGCAACATCAAGCAACAGCAAAACTTGCAGCACTCTGATAATCGAGTCCTCGAAATGACAAGAGTCGCCTGGATTGTCCTCTTTGGAGGGCTTGCTGGAGCTAAACTGCACGCAGAAGTGCTGAAGCATGCTCCTCCCGGAATCAGCTACCATGTTCCCAAGGGTATTCTCCCGACGTATTCGTCCAAGGTCGTTTCAGTCAACCATCATGTCCACCAACTGCGCCCGGTCTCCACCCGTCATGGCTTTGCCATGAATCTCAATAGCAAGTCTGCAGCTTCTGTGTTGGGCATCCACCAACGTCATGCCGGTGGTTTTGGCTACGAGAACATCACGACTACCTCGGCTTACGGCACCCAGTATGCCATTGAGGCCACCTGGGACGGCCATCCCTTGTCGCTGCTCATTGACACTGGCAGCTCCGACACGTGGGCAGTTAGCAAAGACTTCCACTGCATTGACTACACCGGCCAGTTTCTCCCCCAATCTTCCTGCGGCTTTGGAGAGGCCTACCCTGATGCCTTTCAGTACGGTCGCACCGATCCGCCTACCCACATGTTTATCCAGTATGGAGACGGCGAGATTGTCACTGGTCCCATGGGCTTCTCCGACATTACTATCGGAAATATCACCGTTAAGAAGCAACAGGTTTGCCTCGCGAACACCACGTATTGGTTTGGAAACAATTACACCAGCGGTCTATTGGGTTTGGCATTCCCGTCTCTGACCAATGCCTATTATGGAGACTCTGGCACCGACCACGACTATGGCAGCCAAGTTCAGTACTCACCCCTGTTCACCAGCATGGTGAGCCAGGGCTTGGTTGATCCCCTGTTCAGCATCGCCATTGACCGGAATGCTTCGTCTGGCATGATCTCCTTTGGCGGAATTGCCCCGGCAGTCGGCGCAGACTTCAGCAGGAGTGCCACTCTGGACATGATAATCGTAAGCCACTGTCCCAGGCTCTCAGTTCAACCAACTTTTGTCAGGCGACTGCTGACCCTTCCCAGACGAATATTATCGGTGTTCCCGCAACCGCATTTCAGTACTCTTTCTACACCGTCATCCCCGATGGCTGGTACTTTGACTCGACTATGAATACCAAGAAGTACCCATACATCGTCGACAGTGGCACGACGCTGAACTATTTGCCACCGAGTAAGTCTACAGTGCTTTTGGCTGCCTGCTCCTCCGCTGAGTGTCAGTGCTAACTTACATCCCCCTATTTAGGTCTCGCCGACGCCATCAACGCTGCCTTCACTCCTCCGGCCGTTTACATGTGGATGTACGGAGCTTATTTCACCTCATGTGATGCTATTGCTCCTCAAGTCGCCGTGGTCCTCGATGGTGAGAAGTTCTACATCAACCCGGTCGACCTCATCTACCGCACCATGGTTGACCCTCTGACGGGCTTGTGCATGACGGCAATTGCAAGCGGTGGATCAGGCCCATACATTCTTGGGGATGTTTTCATGCAGAATGCGTTGGTGGTATTTGATGTGGGTGAAGCAAAGATGCGCTTCATCCCTCGTCCTCACTACTGAGGAGGTTGTGCCTGTGTATTTGGTATCTGTGGCATCCATTTCCCCTTTGCTTGGCAGCATTTAACCTTATGTGTAGGATTGGCATGATATTTAGGGGAAATTCAGACTTTCTATCCCAGTCAGAGTCTGCAACCTGCGTAGGCATGAGTGACGAAATGGTCCAGCTGTCAATGCTCTTAGTCAGCTATCCTCTATATGTTGCAATGAATGGATGCCTTATCGACATTGGAATAGTCTCCTTCAGGGAATTTCTGCAGGAGCACGTTTCATCACATGGGGATTCTTCCTGTCTTGTCGTGTCAACTTCAACGTGTTAGTCGAGCTCGCATTCCATCGGTAGAGAGCTTTGATCACAAGACTATATGCCAAACTGAGTGCAAACCCACATGATCAGGACTCCAGGACGCGATACTATGATGAACCTTCTAATCCATGCATCTTAGATACATAGCATTCAGAGTCGTGGTCCTAAATAGACACTCCGTGAAGAACTGCATAACACTCAACAGATCTGGTTAACCCTATGCAGGCTCGTAAAGCTGCGCGTCACTTGGTTTCCGTCTAAACAGTTACCTAACCCCCTGGAAAATGCGTAGTTACCGTGACCGTGAGCCTGGGAAGGAAGTTTATGTTCCAACAAGTACACTACCAGACAAACCAACCAACCATCCATCCATCGCCAAACCTGAACGCCATGCCGAGAGCCATCCATCCCATTCCATATAAGTTCCATCCCAGTTTGCAAGGCCGGACAAATTGGAAAGTTATAAGCTTTTAACGCATATCAAGTGCGGTAGACAAAGTAAAAAAACCAAACATCATCAACAGCTTAGATGCATGCCAAGTAACAAGTGCCCAGTATGTTCGGAGGGCACTAAGGCAAGACATTAGGGCAAGAGACATCTTAGATGCCGCCGTCGGGGGCAGGGTCTTCATGCTTCGCCGTGCTCCCCTTGCCGCGCCAGGTGCTGACCGCTTTGATGTTAGCTTTGTAAGTCTGCACCTCGGTGCCGTATGCACGAGGGGTAAGCTTGATGAGGGTATGCAGCGGGACGGGGACCCAGGGGCTTTCTTCCTGCGACTTCTGCATGAAGTAGGCGTAGATGCAGCGAATGACAGCTTGGTGTGAGATGATGAGGATGTCCTCGCTGCGCTCAAGTTCCATAATAATGGGCTCCAGGCGGATTACAACGTCGCGGTAGCTCTCCCCGCCGCGGTAACGGTAGTTGTACTTATCCTCGTCGCGCGCCTGAAAGTCCTCGGGATAGCGGTCAGCGATCTCCTGGTAGGTCATGCCGTCACAGACGCCGGCATCGAGCTCGTCGAGCGCCTTCCACTGCAGCTGGTTGTAATGCTTCGGGAGGTAGCGAGCTGTGGCGATGGTGCGTTTAAGGGTGGACGTCCAGACCGTCAGAGGACGATCATCCTGCTCATCAAGAGCATGTTAATTGCGAACGTTACAATAATGGGGCTGCGGTAAGACACTTACACCGACAGACTCACGGACCAGCTCGGGAAGCTTGCGAGCGTACTCTTCACCACGATGGGATAGCTCGGAGTCCCCGCCAATACGGCCCTCGAGGTTGAGGACGGATTCGCCATGCTGGTAAAGAGATGGGTTAGTTGGTCAGTTGCACAGAGGCTAGTACATGGAGAACCTTACGCGAGACAGCCAAACAGAGCGCGGGCGGATGTGCAGGTTCATGAGGAAGTAAACGATGCGGCTTTGCAGGTAGTCCTGGATACGGTTGATGAAAACCTTTCGACCAACGTTCATGATCTTGAGGTAGGTAAGATCGTCCTCATCACCATCCTCATTGATGGACTTGTAGACCTTTTCGTAATGACGAATCCGCTCTCGGAAATCCTGCGCGGCTTTCTCCGGATCCTGGCCAACATAATCGGGGCTGCTGGTCTTAACGTCGCGGATGTTGGCCATGATCAATTCTTCGTCGTCGCACTTGGATTCCACAAACAAGACTTCAATCCCCTCGCGGCCAACCTTGTCGAGCACCCATTTGCGGCGCTCTTTTGTGCTGTTTGTAGCGTCGAGGATGCCCACGACGCCGCCCTCCTCTTTGAACCACTTGAGCATGTCTGACACAGCTGCCTCGGCAGCAGCACGGCGCTTGCGCTCGCCTTCAGGGTTATTGGTATCGAAGAAGTCGGCCGACGGATGAGGGGCATCATTCCGTCGGTAGTTGCCAACATTGAAGGTCTTTGCAGGAATGGAAAGCCATTTCAGGTACCGCTGGGCTGGAAAATGAAAGCCAAGTTAGCAACGACATGCCTAGTGGCGAGTAAATGGGCCGACAAAGCCGGGGTATCTCACCCTTTTGCGCAATGTAGCTCTTCCCTCGGGCGGGTAAGCCAACCATGACAACACAGATACGAGTGTCCTCGGGCATGATGCCCACGCCATTCATCCTGGGCGCCATGGCTGCGAAAGGGCAACCTGAGCGGCGGTGATCTGGGAATTAAGGGAGGAAATGAAAGCAGGTGGGTTACTAGGGAAAAGAGTGTGCAGCTGAGTACAAGAGACGACCTAGATGTTGTCCTGTTGGCCGAGGCAACAGTTTTGTAGCAACAGCCAGGAGATGGCGTGAGGTGTCGTGGGGCAAAAGGCGGCAAGTCCCCTTGTTTTAAGTGGTACAAAATCCTAGCACCAGACCACCGACAGGGTTAGGTAGGTAGACGTCACTCCTACCGCTCCTGCTACAAGATGCTGCTGCAAGTTAGGGCTGCAAAGTGTGCTAGCATTGAACTGGCGAACAGGAAAGCACAGAGAGAGAGATAGCAAAAAAAATCAAAGTGCAAAAGTGTGCAGAAAACCTGGGGGAGACGCGGTCATCCAAAATCAGAAACGCTGTGACGGGACGTTGGGTCGGCTGTCATTGATGAGCTTCCAGAGCATCGGAATTCCCAGGATGCCATTTCGGGTGGTCCAAGGGGCAAGATCCTGATCTCCTGGCCGTCTTGCCCCACACAGTCGGCGGGTCTGCAGAGAGGCTCAAAGCTGCGCTGGCCAATCCAACCAGGAGTCAACCATCAGGGTGCCCCACCGTGCAGAACCGTCCGGAGATCGAGTGGGTTGGCTCTTCCAAGAAAGCGGGGTCGCAGTTGTGTGATATGCTAGTTTTCCTTTTCAGATCACCTGTCCTTGCTCTTTGTGAATCAGCAAACTTGGATCTGCCCATTGCAACCAATTCAGCCTGTTCTAGCTACTTGTTCCCAGAAGCAACGGAAGCTGAGATATGCTGTTCCCAGGATCCCTTTGATGCGGCAGGCTTCCTTGACAGTCAAACCCCACATTACCACAGCCGGCAGAAACCGGAACCAGGTGGGCATTGATGTGTGGCTGAACTCTCAGGAATATTCAGGTCGTTTTTCTGGACGCTGCCCAGCCCCAAGTAGGTTGTCAATTAGTGTCAACCCACCAATTGGACTTTCTGCCGGAGAATTGTGTCAATCTTTGTCGTTCTTTACGTCTTTCCAGCACAAATGCCAAGCAAAAAGCCTAGCATTCAGCTGTACCAGCTGACCAGCAAAGCCCAGTGCAATACCCCTGGCTACGCGCGTGTCACGCAAATCATGGGCTTTCTGCTTCTTGGCTCTCTGTTTCTCCTGCTAGACTGATAGGGAATGTGGGGGGGGGGGAACTTCGGCACTATCAAACTTGTTCAGCGTTGCGGTTTTAACCTCTACTGGACTGGTGATCACGACCTGCACAGTATTTGAAGTCGGCCTCACGTGACACATACACCAGCCACTGAACAGTGAACCATGCAAGTACTTTCCCAGGATTCAGAGCGGATCATTGGCTAGCAATTACGCTTGTTCACTAAATCTACAACTCGCAAGTGCAATAGACGGGCCGCGCCGCATCTGTGATGTGTCAGTAGCGATTGGTTCACATGACCAGCAACTGTCAAGTGAGGCTGGCGATGGATGTCAGGTATAGGTGGCCTAAGGTGGCTAGGAAGTCATAATGGGCAGTCCGCTGGTTTCATCAAATGTATGTGGTTGCTTAGAGGGAACGTAGAAAAGTGGGTGGCACATCGGCTTGCTTGACAATGATGAGCCAGAACAAAGCATGCTGTGAGTTGTCAGCCATGTACAGAAACATTCAGCTATCCTGTAATGACAGATTCTATGGCCTAGTGGCCAAACTGCTGAAAACTGATCCAGATAGGGGTTGTATGCTAACAGTGCTTGACAAGTCCAACGTGCCAGGCAAGTTAAGATGCATCAATCAGCTGGGATATTAGGTAAGCTGGGTGAGGAAGTGTGGCTCCTGACCCTCATCTAGCTGCATATGGCATCAGGAACAGACGCCAAGCCATCAGACCCCGCCGGAACCGGGAGAATAATTGTACCGAGAGGCCTTGGCCCACCTGCTATCAATCCACTGATAACGATGGGTGGGTAAAAAAAATCAACATCGCAGCGTCGTGGCATCCAGCATCGAACTTTTGCGCCGTGCAACCATCAACATGGCGTCCGAATCCAGCAAAAAGAGAAAATTCAAGGATTCGAAGGGGCCGAAGCCTGATGAGGCTGTTGCCAAGCCCTCAAAGTTCAAAAAGCTGAAGCGGGATCCTACTCCTGAGGAGAGAGAGACGAGCGATTCAGAGAGCGGCAACAGCGACGGCCAACATGAACCTGATCAGGTTGATAGCGATGGCGAGGACGCTGTCTCTGATGATGGCAGCTTTGATGAGAAGGTCGCTCATCAGGATGAAGACGGTTCCAGGCCCGAGAACGGCACCGATTTGGAGGATGTCCCCAAGAACGACAACCTTCTCCCACCTCCTACAAATGCTCAAGAGTTCTCAGAGCTGAACCTTTCCGAGAAGACAACGAAGGCAATCGCCGAGATGGGATTCACTAAGATGACTGAAATTCAACGGCGAGCCATTCCTCCTGCGCTTGCCGGCAAGGACGTCCTGGGCGCGGCAAAGACAGGTTCCGGCAAGACTCTTGCCTTCCTCATTCCGGCTGTTGAAATGCTTAGCTCACTGCGTTTCAAGCCCAGAAACGGTACTGGCGCTATCGTGGTGACACCTACCCGCGAGCTAGCCCTTCAGATCTTCGGCGTTGCGCGCGAGCTGATGAAGTATCATTCGCAAACCTGTACGCAGTGTGCCCCCTCGTAAAGTTGACACACTGCTGACTTCAATTGCACAGATGGTGTTGTCATTGGTGGGGCCAACCGTCGCGCTGAGGCAGAGAAGCTGGGGAAAGGCGTCAACCTCCTCATTGCCACTCCTGGTCGCCTACTCGATCGTGAGTGATCACAACAACCCTTCTTACCATTCCTATATGTTGACCTTGTCGGTTACAGACTTGCAAAATACCCCTTTCGTCTTCAAGAACCTCAAGTCGCTGATCATCGACGAGGCAGACCGCATTTTGGAAATAGGTTTCGAGGATGAAATGCGCCAGATTGTCAAGATTCTGCCCAAGGAGGACCGTCAAACCATGCTCTTTTCTGCTACTCAGACAACCAAGGTCGAGGACTTGGCGCGCATCTCACTGCGCCCCGGGCCCCTCTACATCAATGTCGACGAAGAAAAGAAGTACAGCACAGTTGAGGGTCTGGAGCAGGGTTATGTTGTGGTCGAGGCTGACAAGCGCTTCCTCCTGCTTTTCTCGTTCCTTAAGAAAATGGCTAAGAAGAAGATCATTGTCTTCTTCTCGTCATGCAACTCGGTTAAGTATTACAGTGAGCTACTGCAGTACATCGACTTGCCGGTTCTTGACCTTCATGGCAAGCAGAAGCAGCAGAAGAGAACCAACACATTCTTCGAGTTCTGCAACGCCAAGTCTGGAACTCTCATTTGCACGGACGTCGCAGCCCGTGGTCTCGATATTCCTCAAGTTGATTGGATTGTTCAGTTCGACCCTCCGGATGATCCGCGCGACTATATCCACCGCGTCGGTCGGACAGCCCGTGGCAACAATGGTAAAGGTCGTTCGCTTCTTTTCCTGCAGCCTTGTGAGCTCGGTTTTCTGGCGCACCTTAAGGCTGCGAAGGTGCCTGTCGTCGAATACGACTTCCCCAAGAACAAGATCCTCAATGTGCAGTCCCAGCTTGAGAAGCTCATCAGCACCAACTATTATCTGAATCAGAGCGCCAAAGAGGGCTACCGGTCGTACATCCACGCCTACGCTTCCCACAGTCTGCGCAGTGTCTTCGATGTCCACAAGCTGGATTTAGTTAAAGTTGCGAAGGTCGGTGACATCCCGGATCCTCAGCCCAACACATTTGGCTAACTGCTTGATCAGAGCTTCGGCTTTTCTACCCCTCCTAGAGTTGATATCACGCTCTCCGCAAGCTTGAGTCGTGACAAAAAACCCCAAGGGAGGAGAGCCTATGGCAGTCAACCACGTCAAGGTGGTCGGTATAAGAAATAGGATGTTTGGGCCTACAGGGTGTAGCAGGGGTGTTGGTCTCTTGCACTTATCACAGTTGGGAGTTACGGCGTCAAAAGAATAGTGTGGATTTCATACCCGTCTAGTTCTAATCAGCAACGTCGGTTGCTGCCAGTATATCTCCTCCCCGTTTGCATGGCGCGTCTTAGACCAAGGCCATCATGCTATGTAATCGTGATTATGTAATTGATAACTTTCAAGATCTCGGCCTTCCAGCACCCAATTGTTAAACCCTGTTACCTTCGAAATTTGTAAGTAACCCCCATAGAATTGGCACTCAGGTCCAGAGCATCAAAGGTTTGGCAGCTATCAAGAGGTGTGGGACAAGAGATCCGGCAAACTAGCAAAGAGGTCCCCATGACAATTGCAAAATACCATCAACTACAAACCAAGCAATTGGCTTGTGAATTTACCGGCCAGGATGTTTCACCACAGGCGAGAGAAGATCGGGGGGTTTTGGATCACCAAGAAGCAGTGGGACGATTGCGGCCGGTGAGATATTGGGTATATAAGGATTTGATCAATAGCCGTGACGGGAAGCTTTGAAGGCAAACCAAGTGATGCATGAACTACAATTCATATAAAGACACATGCCTTAGTTCAATGGCCTTCATGCCAGCCACACAGAAAGCTTACTTTCTCGTCCATCAGCCTGCCGCTGCACAGGTTGTTGATCCAGTTTCGGGTCATAATTCTTATTCATGGGAACCGACAACATGGCACCTTCTCTTCATCCCCTGATGGACAATGGTATCACCAAGGGTGATGCTGCCTCTGCTGGAGGCAAACCCTACTGTTTATCCGATAATGACTGAGTGGAGGTGACACTAACAGCAATGTCGCCCACAACCACGCATGTGGGCATTCCAAATGCTGGAAGCCCGAGAGCATACTTTTGTCCATCGTAGGTGTGGTCACCCGGAACAAACTCTCGGTCACGGCCAATGCTGAAAAGCTACATTGTTGATTTGTCAACCCTAATCCAGCGCTACACCTGCAAAGAGCGTGGAGCACACATATATGGACGCATTGAGCAGGAGCACGTCTTTTATGGTTCGGTTTTGTCCATATCAAGCTCTCTGATATAAAAGGTGACAAGAGCCACCATTTACAGCGTTGTGCCGTCTATATTAAACAAGGGTTCAACTCGTTTGGGATGGATGAGGTAAGAAGTAGACTGAGGAACGTTGGGTTGAAGATGTACGATGCGCTGTCACAACCGCTGATGGATTCAATTGCTACATGGACAGCAAAGAAGTCGGGAAAGTTGTCGGCATGATGGCATGAGATTTGGACAGGAGCAACAACAAATTTGTTCGGATCGTAACGGCTTGGGATAAATGCCAACCTCTGATTAAGCTTGGGACTCTAGCGAGGAGAACTAATGGTGTTGACTGTTTGGGGCGTGTGTAGTATTAATTCTCAGTTGAAGTGCAGAATCGTTAGTTGCTATGGCAGATTTGAATGTCAGTATCATGGACCACGGGATCGACTGAGACGCGCAAATGTGGATTAATGGACTGGAGAGGAAGCTGGTTGGAGATAGGGCGCTACGGTTCTCTCTCGGAAGCCCAGGATCGCAGCAACTATGGGAGCCGCCAGCATTGTAGAGCCAATCAGCGTCGCCAAACCCCTGAACTTCAACTCCCGAGGGAGGGGGCCAGGCTTGGCATTTTGGCGTTTCAACGCTGGGCCAGCAAGAGCGCATCATCTGGAGTTCTCCCACCGACAAACCAAACCCGCTGCCGATGAACTGGTGACCGCAGTGTTAACCTTGCCATTCTCCATCCAGCGTTGCCCCACTAGATGATTGCCCCATTGAAAACTCGTACTGTTATGGTTTCCGCATGCCACGATGGTGCTGCCCAGAGCATATTGTTCCCTGCGGGTCCTGCCACTTCAAGCAGGTTGACCTACCCATGTGCTTCATCTGATGCTCGCTTGACCGACTTGCGATGCCTGCAATGCATGGCCGACAAATGCATCATCCACAGATCGAGATAAGGGAGCCAGAAAGTGTCCGATCGGATTCCCCTTGTGGCAATTTGTTTCCTGCCATCAGTACTACGCGACTGACAGCTTTGGCGTTTGGGTAACCGCGCAGTCATTCACAGACCCCGGCGTGGCACAACGACTGGCTGCGAGGCAGTCGGCGCTAAGCAACAAGCGCCCACCAACGACCCATGACCTGTCAACGCAGCTGTGCCCTTGAAGCACCAAGACAAAGAATGAGCATGCTTCTATCTTTGTCCTCCAATATTTAGCCCAAGTCATGTGCTGCTTGCTTATTACGGCGGTGTTTGATGCTTTTGTTATGGCTGCCTCTCGGTCTCCCACAGTATTTCACCTCTATTGTTCCATCCTTTTCCTATTGACCCTGCTATTCTCTTTATACCCCCCACCTTTCGCTTGTCTTTGATGCACAGCTTCATTGAATAACCATGAATCAATTGTGAAACGGCTTTGTTCATTATTCTCTCTTTTTTCTTACAACGCCTCGTTCTCTGTTGTTTGCTCCTAATACTCTTCCGGCGGCATCATCAGTAGCTGGTCTACTTTCTGTTATCGCCAACATTTTCGATAATCCATAGCAGTTTGTTCTTTACCCAACAAGTCAGTTAAACGCTTCTCATCAAGCCTTATTATCATGGTTTTCCACGAAAAGTTGGGGGCCGTGCCCCCAGTTCCGTCAAGCTTGAATCCAAATGACTGGCGGACAATTCCGATCCATAGCGACCCTTCCAGTAGCTCCAGCGTCCAGCTTCCCGATCATGTGAATACGGCTCCGTCGATTACCCCTTATCTTGGCCTTCGGGCGCGGCTTTCCCAGCTCTGGTTCAACCGCTGGACGGTTTTGCTGATCCTGGTTCTCGTCCGCGTCTTGCTCCTCTCTGGCAGCCTCGACGACAACATCGCAGATGCTAAAGTGAAAGCTCTTTCGGCATGCAGCAAGGTGGAAGATATCGGTAGTGCCATGGCTTCTATGCCACACTACCTTTCAGTCGGTGTCAACTCTCTCGCTTCTGAGGGCATCACCAAAGCTGTCTCTGGCTTGGTTAAAGTCCTCATCATGATCTTGACAGGTGTCGAAAACCTCCTCTTCTTCATCATCAACATGTATGTTGGCACGTTTGTTTGCGTGGTTACCGCCCTGATTCACGGAGGTCTGGATGTCGCAGTCAAGGTTGTTGAAGGTGCTACCAAGCTCATGAACAATGCTGTCAGCGGCCTCACCAGTCAGATTGAGAAGATCATAGATCCTGCTGAGAACTTCTTGGAGAGTATTGAAAGCACGAAAGTTCTAGGCAAGAGCGTTAAGGACTGGCTTGATCTCGACATGCCCGACCTCTCCACCGTCAAAAAGCCACTAGCCGACCTTAAGAACATTAAGATCAGCAGTGACGATCTTGTCAAAGACATCAAGACGTTGAACCAGAAGATTCCCACTTTTGACCAGATCGAAAATCTCACAAAAGATGCTATCGCAATTCCCTTCGACACTCTGAAGAAGCAGATAAACAGCACATTTGGAAACTACAAGTTTGACGACTCTGTTTTCCCCGTAGCTCAGAAGAAGGCCCTGTCTTTTTGCTCCGACAACACCTTCCTCAATGACTTCTTCGATTCTCTTGCCGAGATTGTTGCGAAGGCCAAGATTGCTTTCTTAGTCATCGTTCCTTTGCTGGCTGTTGCGGCAATTGTGGCGATGGGATGGCTCGAGATTCGCCGCTGGCGCAGACAAATGGAGCGCGCCAAAGGTCTCAGCGAGCATGTCTACGACCCAATGGATGCAGTTTACATGATTTCTCGACCCATGACGTCCCGGTTTGGCATTCGGATTGCTTCCTTCATCACTTCTAAGCGCAAGTACATCATCTTGATCCGGTGGGCATGGGCTTACACAACCTCGTTACCGGCCCTTTTCGTTCTTTCCCTCGCTCTGGCGGGGTTCTTCTCTTGTTTCTGTCAATATATCATCCTCCAGCTGCTCCAGAAAGAAGTGCCAGCCCTTTCCACCAAGGTTGGCGATTTTACCGGCCAGGTCGTCACAACACTTCAACGAGTCTCCACGGATTGGTCAAACGAAGCCAACGGTGTTATCCTCAAGCTCCAGGACGACATCAACAATGATCTGTTTGGCTGGGTTCAGGAGGCGACATCGGCGGTCAACAACACTCTAACCACTTTCGACAACGAGATTGACAAGGGCCTCAATTCTGCGTTCAAAGATACGGTACTGCTGCAGACAGCCAAGGATCTCGTGGGATGCTTGATTGGGAGGAAGATCGACGCTGTTCAGAAGGGTCTCACATGGGTGCATGATCACGCCCATGTAACACTCCCACTGTTCGCGGAAGATGTCTTCTCGCGAGGCGCCAATGATAGTGTTAGTGGCGATAGCGACCTCACAAGTTTCCTCGCCTCTCCCTCTACCGTTACAACGGACGAGATCACCGCAGCGGTTAACAGAGTTATCGACAAGCTCCGCCAGAGCATTGTGGAGGAGGCACTTATCTCGACAGCTCTCTTGCTTGTTTACATCATTGTTGTGCTCATTGGCATCCTCTGGGCCATGGCAAACGCAGTTAAGAGGGACAAAACACGGGGTGAAGGCGGACAAGAATATGGCCTGAAGGATGTCGGTGCTAGCGACTCTGACGGGAACTCGATGTCCACCAGTGGTTGGACACCAGGAGCTGGGTACTATGCCCACACAGGCAGTGTGAAGAGTGGTCGGTCGGAGTCGGCGAGATGGCTGTCTCTTGCCCAAAAGAACGGCCACCCGGAGGTCCAAGACTCAGATCGCTAGAGGCCTTCTGATCGTCAATACCAGCGACGGGACTCATCCGAAAACTACGGCTTCGCAGTCTCACCCCCGAGTTACACGCCGATCTGAGTTGGAGGATGGAATGAAACAAGTTTCAAATCAGATCCCTTCTTTTCTGCTTTTATTTTCGTTTCTCTTTAGCAGAATATACCCATCAATCGGCTGGCCTGGTTTGGGCTGGGCGCATCGCGTGTGTTCGAAGTCGTCGCATTTTCAGGTTCTCGTAGACGGCAGCATCTCGCTAGACTAGAGCGTCTGCATCATACGGATTACAACAGATCGTTCAGACCCTGCAGGAATCGTGTAATAACCTGTATATAATTGATATTTAAAGAAAATATGCATCCAGTAAATATTTTGCTTGTTTATTCTTTCAGCGTACCAAGTACGCATGGAAGTGATTGACAGTTGTGACTTTTTATGCAAGTTGCCAACAGTGCGAGCTGTGTCAAACCACGTCAAGAAGTTTTTTCTGGCTTCCCCACAACCACCATTCGCTTCTCAGGTCCGGTCCCGCAGTCTGGGCCTGCAGGTTCCATCCGCAGCCGCATTGGGCAGGTGGGCCCGCCGCGATCGGTGTTTCCGCTTGCCCCTGCTGTTGAGGCGACGAATCCAAAACAAAAGTGGGATCCGCTGACTCATGGTGGGCGTGCCCCTCGCCTGCTCAGTCCGGAACAGTGAGCTCCCTTGGAGTAGTTCATCCAACATCAAAAAGGTCTGGAGCCAACCTCAACTTGGCCGCTTGCATCCTCTCTTTTGTGCTTACAGTCGCTGGAAAAGACCAAGCTCGGACTGACCCAATTGACCTGAACCAGCCATTATGGAGGCCATCAAGCGGACTTTCCAGCGCTGCAAGGCCGAGGGCCGGGTAAGCATTCTGTGTGCCCCGCATTCGCCTGAGTTCAATACTGTCGATTCTGTCCCTAGTGTGGGAGCGCACAATGGCTGATAAAGACCCTCATTGCAGGCTGCGCTCGTTACCTATGTCACTGCCGGCTTCCCGAAGATTGAGGACACTCCTCATGTTCTCCTTGCTATGGAAAAGGGCGGTGCCGATGTAATTGAGCTCGGTGTTCCCTTCACTGATCCCATTGCCGATGGCCCGACCATCCAGACTGCCAACACCGTTAGTCACTCTACCTCATATACCACTGCCCTATAACAGGGTGCTAACACCAGGTTCTCTGGCTCCAGGTCGCTCTTCAAAATGGTGTTACTATTCAAACTACCCTCCAGATGGTGCGGAACGCCCGCAAGCTGGGCCTTCGCGCCCCCATCCTGATGATGGGCTACTACAACCCTCTGCTAAACTACGGCGAGGAGCGCCTGATCAATGACTGCAAGGAAGCTGGAGTTAACGGCTTTATCATCGTTGACTTGCCGCCCGAAGAGGCAGTCTCTTTCCGCCGTCTGTGCACCAAGGGAGGGTATGTCCGGAATCACGCCAACCTAATACCTGGGTGTGTGTGCTTTTCTAGCTAACCATTGGTTTTTGTCCAGCCTGTCCTATGTTCCTCTCATTGCTCCGGCTACATCGGATGCCCGTATGCGCATTCTCTGTCAGCTGGCTGATTCGTTCATCTACGTCGTCTCGCGCCAGGGTGTCACCGGCGCCCTTGGAACCCTCAATGCTCACCTTCCCGACCTTCTTGCCCGCGTCAAGAAGTACAGTGGCGACAAGCCTGCCGCTGTCGGATTCGGTGTCAGCACTCATGATCATTTCCTCTCTGTCTCCAACATTGCCGATGGCGTCGTCGTTGGCAGCATGATTGTCACAACCCTCCAGAAGGCCGCTGAAAACGAAAAGTACAAGGCTGTTCAGGAGTTCTGCTCTTACCTCTGTGGCCGCAACCCTGCTGCTGAGGAGAGCGCGTCTGGTGCGGATCAGAACAGCGCTGATGCCTCTGTTGATGGCGTCGCTGGCGATGGTGAAGCCGAAGATCTTGTCGCGCAGCTTGCTTCTATGCATGGCAGGCTTCCAGAGCGTTTTGGCGAGTTTGGCGGACAGTATGTCCCTGAGTCGTTGATGGATTGCCTTTCAGAGCTTGAAGAAGGTTTCAACAAAATCAAGGATGATCCAAACTTCTGGGAAGAGTACCGTTCCTACTACCACTGGATGGGTCGCCCCGGCCATCTGCATAAGGCTGAGCGCTTGTCAGAGTACGCTGGTGGCGCCACGATCTGGCTGAAGCGTGAGGACCTGAACCATACAGGTTCTCATAAGATCAACAACGCTTTGGGCCAGCTGCTTCTTGCTCGCCGTCTCGGCAAGACCAAGATCATTGCCGAGACTGGCGCTGGCCAGCACGGTGTCGCGACAGCTACAGTCTGTGCTAAGTTCGGTATGGAGTGTACCATCTATATGGGCGCAGAGGATGTTCGTAGGCAAGCCCTCAATGTCTTCCGCATGAGGCTTCTGGGTGCCAAGGTTGTTCCCGTTGAGGCTGGCAGCCGCACTCTTCGTGATGCCGTCAATGAGGCCCTTCGTGCCTGGGTCGTCAACCTCGAGGACACTCACTATATCATCGGTTCGGCCATCGGCCCGCATCCTTTCCCGACTATCGTCCGCACATTCCAGTCTGTCATTGGTAACGAGACCAAGGCTCAAATGCTTGAGCAGTGCGGCAAACTGCCAGATGCGGTGGTGGCATGTGTTGGCGGCGGTAGCAATGCGGTGGGCATGTTCTATCCCTTCAGCAGCGAGCCCAGCGTCAAGCTGCTCGGTGTGGAGGCTGGCGGTGACGGCATCGAGACGAACCGCCACAGTGCCACGCTCACAGCTGGCTCTAAGGGCGTTCTTCATGGTGTCCGTACCTATGTCCTGCAAAACGAGCATGGGCAGATCGACGAGACACACTCCGTCTCAGCTGGTCTTGACTATCCAGGTGTTGGTCCCGAGCTGTCCCACTGGAAGGATACTGGGCGTGCTCAGTTCATTGCCGCCACTGATGCCCAAGCCTTCATTGGCTTCCGCCTGATGAGCCAGCTTGAAGGTATCATTCCCGCCCTGGAGTCGTCTCACGGTATCTATGGTGCCATTGAGCTGGCCAAGACCATGCGCAAGGACCAAAACATCGTTGTCTGTCTCAGTGGACGTGGTGATAAGGATGTGCAGCACGTCGCCGAGGAGTTACCCAAGATTGGCCCGCAGATCGGCTGGGATCTCCGATTCTAAACTTGTCCGTCGAATCTGTACAGATACGTGCATTTCGCATTTAGCTTGACGGTTTTTCCTGTTTTTCGATTCTGATCTGCCATGGGCTTTGTTGTGGTATGACGGAGTACTCTTTTGGCGAAGACGTGAGCAGTTACTTGATCCGGGGCAGCATGTATCTGGAATTTGGACCAGATCTCTATCACATTATTATCGACATATCAGCGAATAGATTTCGTAAAATAGAGCATAAAGCTGCCTACTTTTGGCTGCCATTTCGTACCCACTGCTTTGTGATTAAAGCGTAGGATGGCAGACACGGCAAGAGATAATGTACCGTTTTGCAAGCAAGCTAACCGATGCGGCCAATTCGCCTAGCCGTTCTGAAGTGGCGCATAATCTTCACAAGACCGGAGCAAACAGAAATCTTTATCCATTGACACCAGCTCTAACAAATGACACAGCGCGCATCAAAATATACATATATGGTACAAGAATTCATGTCCCATCCCCCCATTACTGTGTCCGAGGTTTCTGCTCCTTCATAAAGATGTCTTGTTCGCTCGGGCCTGCCGAAGCCTCGTTAGAGAGCTCAAACACACCATCCTCCTGTAGCTTTTTATCGACCTCGGCAATGAGAGCATCCCGAGCGACCTGACTACCCTCAACCTTAATCCACTCCCCGACGTCCTCCTTTGGTGGCAGCCCCAGTGCCGCACGCTCCTTGGCCAACCGCTCGCGGATCGCAGGCGTTTGCATGATGCGCCAGCGCAGGCGCCATCCCCAGGGGCCAAGGTCCTTGATGCGCTGCGCCTTGTGGCCCAACAAGTAGTTGTCGAGACCACCAACCTTGTCGATGGTGCGCAACACCCGCGTCGTTACGCGCGTGCGCACAAATACACCCAGGGAATCGGACCACAACCGCTTGTGCTGTACGTTGGGCCGCCACGCGCGCCGCGTCTTGATCTCAAACTTCTCTGAGACGTTGTTGCCGAAGCGGATACGCTGGGAGCCGTAGAGGCCCGTGTTCGACTGCTTGTAGACTTGCCGCGGGCCGTACGGGTAGTCCGGGATCTCGGGCATTTTGGCCGTCGGGGAAGGGATCGGGATGTCGGAGCCGGGAACGCTAGGCTGCTTGTAGGGAGCCGCAGGCGTTGTACTGAAGAATGTGACAGCCAGCCTGGTCAGAAGGTGTGTGAGGGGCGCGGTCGGTGCTGGCGAAATCATGGCAATTGTTGGCCTCGCAGCTACCCGCAAGCAAAATTGAAGGGAGGTTGTTGACGGCATCGTTCGACTGATGAGTGCTGCGTGGGGTGTCAAGCGGTTTGAGGCGATGAATAGAAAATTGATGCTGCAGTTGTCGTATTGGCCAATTGCGGGACTCGTGAAGCTCTTGGTCGACCTGGACGGCCTTTTCTGGATCTCTGCGAGAATTGATGGGAGACTTGTTCGTCTGTCCCGCAACCGACCTTGGTCCTAAAGCTCTCCATTGACGACGGGCTGTCGTTTCGTTCGAGCTCAAAATTTCGGAAGTCTGGCCTGACAGCTGTCAGCACTCAAGCAAGGCAGCTGCCAGGTGCGGGGCAGCCAAGAAGTGGGTCTCGTGTTTTTGCGGACCTGTTTTGGTGGGGTTGGCCAACTTCGATGCGCAAACTGCCCTGCGGCCCCTCGTTGGAGACGCGGACCTTCGTGGTCGATTCACCCCCATTATCATCACGATGCTTCCTCCAATCGAGGACCCCGTGCTGCAAAGTAACCCCCAATTTGCTGTGCTCTATTCGACACTCACGACATCAATAATAAATCAGGATGGAACAACCAAGAATGACTTCGATGCTGCCGACCGTTCACGGGTGAAAGATGTTAGTTCTCCATCTCAATGGTGCGGGTGGTGAAAACGGTGGAAGCTGATCGTATTGAGCTGTCTGTGTCGCCAGGAACTTAATAAACGTCGATTGCAAGTTGCGAAGGAGCAATTGCTTACGCATGCAATATCAACTGCCAACCCGCAGTCACTACAGTCCAAACCAGTCTCAGCACCACCGCTGGGCAGACGATCGCGAACACTCAGCCAAACAGCGCCGATCTCAGACACATCAACAGAACCTGCCGAACTGACCCCCCAATTTGCCGAACTCCTCACCCTTCTCCCCCCCCTCCTTGAATCAAATAACAATCTTTTTCCCGATTCAACTACCCTTTTGCTTTCTAATCCCCCATTCTCCGACTTTCCTACCCACCTTCCCCAACTCGCCAACCTCGTCTCCACGACCCTCCTGTCAGCTGCCGTTCAGCTAGCTTGCATCGCCAACCCCTCAACAAATCCATCCTTTGTCCATCGCACAATCCCAAACCTCAAACATCATGTCTCAACCCTCGTAATGACGGTAGCCGAGCGCAAACTTGAACTCACTCGCGCCCGGCTTGCGGTCGTCTCTTCTCTTGCTTCCCTCTTCCAGCAACAAACCACAGTTCTAGCTCAGTTACTTCGCGTCCTAGAAGCAAAGCATGGCCCGATAGCGCGTAGTCTCGAGTTCCGTGCGACCGAGGCGGCACTGGCGGCGCAGCGCCAACAAGCAGAGGCAGAGATAGCACTGGGGATGGCCAGGCGCGACACCTACACACCAGAGACGGCGCAGGCTCTAGCAAATTATGCGGCACATCTGCGTGATGCAAAATCGAGATTGTCAGAGAGCATTCGTGCTCTGCTGGTTCAGCTTGAAGAGTTTGGAGTTGTGATTGATGATGAAGGCGATGAAGGGAGGACAGACAAACATGCAGAAGGTATCGAAGAAACAACAACTGCCCTCGGCGGTAACAAATAAAGGTAACTAAGGAAATGATCAGGATCTACAAGGAGATGGAACGGCAATTGGACAAGGTGAGAGGAGGCTTGACACGCTTGAAAATGGCATAGGCCCAGTCTCTCGGATGATGCCTCAGAGACCCCCTCGATAGCAGTTGACAAGCTGTTTTGAGATTAATCACTTTCCTCAAGTCATTCACATGCGATCGCTTCTGTCTCCCTGACCTGTATATATGCACAACTTACCCCCTAAATGTTGTACATGACAAAGGATTCGATCCGGTACGATAGATACAGCTCGCAGATGCACAGTACGCAGGAAAGGAACCTCCACCGTCCCGATACTCCAACCAGCCTACCCATTCTCCCTACTCCATGCCCATCTATCCTTTTCTCTTAGGGACCGAGTTTTAGCCCTTAACTTTGAAGATAGCCTCAGCAAGACGGCCAACGTTGTCGCTAGTGATGCCAGCAACGGAAATGCGACCGTCACGGGTGGCGTAGACGCTGTGCTCCTTGGCAAGCTTGTCCATCTGCTCCGGAGTCAGGCCGGTGTAGGCAAACATGCCAATCTGACTGGTGATGTGACTCCAGTCATGCTTAGAACCGAGCTTCTCCAGGTTCTCCTTGAGCAGGGCGCGCATCTTGATGATGCGATCGGCCATGCCCTTAACCTCAACGAGCCATTGCTCGTACAGCTCGGGCGTATTGAGGATCTCGGCAGCGATGCGGGCGCCGTGGATCGGGGGGTTGGAGTACATGGGGCGGACCAATATCTTGATCTGCGAGTCAACACGTTTGCTCTCCTCTGCGCTCTCACACACGATGGAGAAAGCACCGATGCGCTCGCCGTACAGGCCCATGTTCTTGGCGAACGACTGGGCCAGACAGATGTTGTGGCCCTGCTCAACGAAGTAGCGCACCGCGAAGGCATCCTTGTGGATGTCGCCGCTGGCGAAGCCCTGGTAGGCCATGTCGAAGAAGGCGAAGTGGCCCTTCTCCTTCACGGCGGCCTCGATTTGCTTCCACTGCTCAGGAGTCGGGTCGACACCAGTAGGGTTGTGGGCGCAGGCGTGGAACAGGAACATGCTGCCGTTGGGGGCCTTCTTGATGTCCGCAATCAAGCCCTCAAAGTCAAGGCTGATGGTATCCTTGTTGTAATAGGTATACTTCTCGACCTTGAGGCCGGCATCCGTGAAGACATTGACGTGGTTGGCCCACGAGGGGGTGGGAATGTAAATGGTCTTCTCGCCGGGGTAGAAGCGGGCGAGGAAGGCAGCGCCAATGCGCAGAGCACCAGTACCCGAGATGGACTGGGTGATGGCCAGACGGTCAAGAGCCGAGCTGTTCTTGCCGTAGGCGAGTACAGCAGCGGCCTTGGTGAACTCGGGAAGACCCGTAATGGGAGCGTACTCTTTGTTCAGGCGAGCCGAAATCACCTTCTCCTCAGCCTTGCGCACCGATGGTAGAACATAGGGCTTGCCAGCATCATCGCGATAGGCACCAACACCTGGAACAAAAAAAGGCACGCGTCAGTTGTTGCGCCTGTGGGTCAGAGCCTGTTAGAAGAAGACGATGTGGTGCAACGAACCGAGGTTGATCTTCTTTTCGAACTTGTCGGCCTTGAAGGCTTCTGTGATACCTGCACAAGCAAATGTCAGCTCCAAAGTGCCTCCAGGCCACAAACTGTCAAACCATCGTCTTAGTGAGAACGGGCAAGGGAGCGCATACCGAGAATGGCCTGGACACAGCCGAGACATTGAGGTCAGCAAGCCAGTGCAAAGGAGAGCTCGGAGTCGCCGGAAACACATACATCCTTTCGAAGAGTACGTTAGTCTGGTTGCACGCGTACAGACGACGTATTCGAACTATCTTGAAACGTACAGGAGGACCCTGGGGAACATTGGCCCAGGTGGAGGCGGCGCGCAGGGCGGTCAGGTTGCGGGACACCGCCACCCGCCGCGAGATAAGTCTGACCGAGGAAAGCATCTTTGCTGATGGGAAAAGCGCGACAGAAACTTGGGGATTCGATAGATGGGGGAAGAAGCTCAAGAGTTCGAGGACCTGCGCAACAGAGCTCCGACCTGGGAGAGTTAGAGGTAGTCGAGTCACAGGGTGTAGATCAAATCTGGCTGGTGGCGGGCAGAAGAGCGAGCAGTGTCCCTCCTTGTGTGCAGCGACCCCGCGATTTGCCTTGTGGAGAGCAGCGTTGGCGCTCGCCTGCTCGAGGTGGGGCGAAAAAGTTTTGAGCGCCCATGGTTGGCCAATTGGCAAAATGCACAGAACAGCGACCGCGGGAAGGCTTCCTGCACACACCGACCTCGGCCGAACTTGGTTCTCGCTTACCTAACATTAACTACCCTGTCCCGTCACACCATCGCTCCCATCGCATTACCACACATTACTGCACTTTTCTCGCCTGCTGCAAGCCCTCTCGAAATCTACAAAAACATGTTTATACGGTTAAGGACACTTGCTGGATCCAGTTCTGTCAGCCCTCGTTTCCCAGTGAGTCTGTGTGGCCCACATACGATGGCTTCTGTTAAGAACTGCGAAGAATGGATTTGGCCCCTGGGAACGTCACATGGAGCGAAGCGCCAAGTAAATTTGCTTCCTCAAACGTTTGACAATCTGGAACCTCACCAACATCCTGATCATCTGATGATGATGTCAGGGTTCGGATTTCCGAAAACGTCTGGCAAAGAAACTTGACAACTTCAACCTCTTTGTCTCGGTGGGCTGCTTGAAACGCTCTACTACCTAGGTATTCTCGCTGCTAGACCTGTGTGGCTTGCACTGAATGCACGGTGTTAGCAAGTTCCGAAAGCATTATTGCAATCCACAGGTAGCTGTAGAAGGTTTACTTGTAGACCCTGTCATTGGGAGTTAGTTTGCCAGAGGTCAAGGACTTCTCTTAAAGTCCCTCGAACCCAATGATCCAGGATGCTTATACGTTTGTTCCAAGGGACACGACCAGGGAACGATGATAAGTAATTTGGTCAAAGCTTCAAGGAAAGGAAGTGTGAGATTGTCTCCTGAACTCACCCTATCAACAAACATCAAAGCTGTCAATTGCTGGGGTGCTAGTCAGCAGTTGAAGCCAGTCCTCGATATCTGTTCCAATGCCCTCCGAGCTTCCCATGAGTTAACCACCTAAGGCTTGCGATCTGAGACACCTGCAGTCCAGAAGACTCAACACTGGGTGCACAGTGAGTAAAGGTGCGACTCCACGTCCAGGAGACGGTACCCGAGACACAACGACCAGCTGGAGCTTCACGAAGCATGTGACCTGACTACTAGGATATTGAACTTACAGCTCGCACAACTTGCATTGTACAGTGATATAAACCTCGTTGCCGTGGCCGCAAACGCTTCTACTTTTTCCACATTTTCTATATTCCTGAGCTCTACCTACTCTCTTCCGTGAATCGTCTAGGATACCAAATCAGTGTTCGAATGACCTGCAATATGCCCTCTAACAGCCTTCTTCACTTCCTCTGCTTCTTTCCTACCTTAGCCCTGGCCTTTCACAGGGGTGTACCCGCCAACCCTCCGCAGGCTATGATAACCTCAGCACCAAAGGAGTGTCCACTCATTGGACAAATCCCTGGATGTGGTGTGAGTTGCCTTTTGAAATCTGCTTCCCATTCGAGGATGGAATCTCTTCATAGGCCCCGCCCCCTTGATAGTGTGCAATTTAGTCCTCTGTTCTCCCCTGGACATGCACGCATGATAGGGTTTGGGAAGCTTTTAAAAGTGCTCAAGATACTTAAGTTCATATTCACTTTCCCTCTCTCCTTCTTCCATTCCTCCTACACATTTCTCTTCTTGTTCATTCAAACTCCCATTCGTTTTCTCTTCCTCCGCCTTCCCTTATTGCTTTTGTGTTCATTCCAGCTGAACTTGAGATGTTATTTACCCCTAAGATACTTGGGGTCTGCAGTTTCTAGTATTAGGAGATTATCTTTTCAGGTCTTTTTAAAAACCAGATGACTGATGGAATCCCAATGCGTAGCTCGCCTGCCTGGCTTCCGCCGCCAACGCTGTGGGTTGTCCGGACCTCCTTAATGTCAAGTGCCAGTGCGGATCCTCAACGCAAATTTACAATCATGCCTCAAGTTGCGTTGTAGGAGCCTGCGGTGCTGCCACTGCCAGCGTTGTGCGGTCCATCGGGTCTGAGATCTGCGCGAAATGTACATAGAATCTCGGCAATATTTCTGCGTAGGTACCCAGGTACCTGACACGTACTACGCACGGAGATACCGGTCCCGCTAGGGTTAGCTCCTGTTAGGTCGACACCAACAGAATTGGTATCCAAGAACATGTGCCTCATGTATTATCCCTGCTGCATCCATTATCTAGCAGGAATAGGGTTAGAGAATAGCTCTTGAGCTGAGAATGTGAAGAGTGGAAGACTTAAGAGAGTGACGGATTACTCGTCTAGCTTATGTAGGGGATAGCCATGCATTCACACCACAGTCACCGTCCCGCAGGTGACCTGGGCAAGACTCGGAAAAGCATATGGTTCGAGCCGAAATTTAAGTGAACACTGGCCTCCTGTCTGATAGTTCGCCAGTTTTATGTTCAATGCCAGGCAATGCCCTCGCTTGTTGCATGTCCAGTCTCCGTGTTGGTTCTAGGTGTCTTACATTCTATTATTTTACCATCTTCCTGTTCCTCGCATTTCATCACGACATGGTTGAGAAAGACGTCCCATGTTGATGGTTTCAAAGACTGTTAAGTGTCAGCAGAAATATTAGGGCTAGCCTGGCAACCCAACTGACAACAATTTAGGGGAGAGATATGACAACGATAAGATGAACGGGACGTTTCAGAATTTTCAAGGCTACAAATCCCCAGTCTGGGTCCATTTTTAATATGGGTGCCGATTGGTGGGAGACTCTCCCGAACCCCATCGAACCCGAAAGATCTTAACCATCGCGCTATGCTATTAATAATACTACAGCGTTATGTTGTGGACGCTAGGATCGATCCAAGACAAAAAAAAAAAAAAAAAAAAAAACCTTGCGCACTGCAGCATGGACATATCAATCCTATTTGGACCGAAGGATCCGACATTTCAACCTCGGCGCCCCTCCTATATGTTAGCGTCACCGGAATTCGGAACTTCGGCCAAGGTTTGTCGTCTCGACCAGGATGCCATGGAAACCAGCTTGACGTACTTACCTCGCTCCTGGGGTATAAAATCCATGAACGTCACCACCCCCACCAGCCCACAAGAAACTTTTGGCTTGATATTTGCTGAGATCATTTAATTTTGCCTTTCATTGATCCTTCGCATACATCAACATTCTCCTCAGAGCAACACCGGGGTTCACAATGGCCGAAGCCGATTACAAGTTCGAGGGCTGGTTGGGTCTTGACCCTTCCTCCGCCAATGGCAACATGCAATGGGGGGAGTTCGAACCGAAGCCCTGGGAGGAGACGGATGTTGATATCAAGATCACCCATTGCGGCATCTGCGGCAGTGATCTGCATACTCTCCGGAGCGGTTGGGTAAGTCAGCTTTTCAACGCCGGCAACTAGAATCGTGTCTTCGGAGGGCCTGGGATGATGCTGAGACGTTTCTAGGGTCCCACGATGTACCCGTGTTGTGTCGGTCATGAGATCGTCGGCACCGTCGTCCGTGCTGGTTCTCAGGTAGAGGGAGGTTTGAGAGTTGGTGACCGCGTGGGTGTTGGCGCTCAGAGTGACTCCTGCCGTGGCCGCAAGGGGGATTGTGAGCAGTGCTCGTCCGGACAGGAGAATTACTGTCAAAAGCACCACACCGGCACGTACAACGGTGTCTACATGAACGGCGGCAAGTCATATGGTGGCTACGCCCTCTATGCCCGTGTGCCGTCTCGTTTTGCGGTCAAAATTCCCGACAGCATCAGCTCGGCCGAAGCTGCTCCGATGCTTTGCGGCGGCGTTACCACCTATACCCCCCTGAAGTATCACGGGGCTGGTCCTGGCAAGAGTGTCGGCATCATTGGTCTGGGTGGTCTGGGCCACTTCGGTCTGCTGTGGGCAAAGGCTCTCAAGGCTGACAAGGTCGTTGTTGTTTCGCGGACCTCGGCTAAGAGGGAGGATGCTCTCAAGATGGGCGCCGACGACTTCATTGCGACGGATGAAGAACCTGATTGGGCCAGGAAGCACGCCAATACCCTGGACTTGATCGTCTGCACCGTCTCATCTACGTCTATGCCATTTGCCAAGTACCTGTCGCTGCTTAAACTGGATGGCACTTTCGTCCAGGTCGGTGCTCCGGACGATGGTCTCCCAGCCATCAATCAATTTGCCTTGATCATGAAAAGAATTAAGATCACGGGCTCTTTGATTGGCTCTCCGGCTGATATCAAGGAGATGCTGCAACTTGCAGCTGAGCAGAGGGTCAAACCGTGGATTCAGGAGATCCCGATGAAGGATGCCAACCGTGCTATCGTTGACATGGCTGCCGGCAAGGCGAGGTATCGTTACGTACTGTACAATGAGCAGCCCGGTGTTTCGCGCTTGTAAATGCAACTAAGTTGCATGATATTCACACAGCATGAAGCTAGATGACGATTGAACTTGGTACATACACTATAGAATTGTATATTGAAGAACACAGTTAGACAACTGTTCTTAGGGTTGATATAATGCAGTGACATGTAACTACGCTATACCTAGCAGATGGGGGGGGTGGGCAAAACCAATATTTCGAGGCAGTCACTTCGTACTGTACCCTTCCCAATATCTCTTTCCATGAGTGTTGAACATCATAAACTTCCATTATCCCTCTGTCCCATTTAAATGTTCATGGAGGGAAACTCTTCAAAGAGCTGAGTGTCCTCCGAGCGGTTTTCCCATTCTCTTTCTGGGCTGCATTCTTCCACTCTCACTTTCTATCTTGCTTCCTGTGTTGAGTAATGGAAGCACCTACTTTCAACAGTTAACGAGCAGAAGTGCCCTCAGCTGACACTACAGGGTCTCAAAATGTTTTGTACTGCTTGTGTCCAGGAGTCGCATCGCAGGCGCTTATCTTATTGATTCCCTATCCCGGTAGTAAAAATAACGAAGGCTGCGCCAAGACAGTCTATCTCTGTATCCCCCGTTTCTATCCCTCTATATTGTACTTAGCGCCATCATTTAAACCCTCTTACCCCATATGATGCACGGATGGTAAACCTTACCCTCATTTCCTGACTAAGGGTAGTGGTCACGTGAAGAATCGAGATTGAAGAACTTGGTCACTCTGGTAGAGGATCAACCTTCCTCACAACCATCTGACTCTAAGATCTTGCTACCCTCTGGAGGGAAATGAGCCAACAACAAAACAAGAGCTGCTAGAAACGCAATCGCCTGAAGGGATCGTTAGCTACTTTTTCAACATGCTCGGTAATTTATAACACTTACTGCGTTAACAAAAAACGTCAGGTGAGGTTTTCCGATGGTGGCGAGAGCAGCGAAAATAAACCCGAACAATCCTTGGGTGGCCAGTCTTGCGATATTTTCCGTCAATGTTAAGGCATTGAGAGCATCAGCCCTTTTCGACGCTGGAGACATTTCGGTCATAACGCCTTTCGCAGCTGGCGCGGATCCCGATGCCAACGGTAGCAATACCGACGCTGTTACGCATTAGATGACTGTTTTAACATCGCTCCTGGGAGATTTCATCGATAAATATGGCTTACCGAGGTAGAGATGCCATCCTTTTGTAGCAAAGGCAGCTCCCATGGTTAGGGCACCATCGAGTACGAGGCTAATGCGCAAGAAGAAGAGGTCAAAGGCAGTTCCCTCATCCTCTTTATCAACTTCAGGTACAAGAGGTTCTTCTTCGGCGAGACTCGCGATTGGTGCTTCCATTTCTTCGGGTGCTATCCTCATCTTTGACGCCACAGCCTCTTCGCTCTTACGCTCATTAAACTGCGACGAGCGGGACAGATACCACTTACGGCCGTGACGTATGATACTAGGGAACAAGAAAATCAGAAAAGCCGCCCGCATAAATGCGAACCCGGACATGAGCCAACCATTCTCGTTTTGCTGGAACTCAAATACGGCTGTCGCATACATCTGGATCAAAAGTGGCGCATATCCAGTAGCCAACTGAACCCCACGTCAGTGATCATTCCAAGCTACCACTATGGATGTAACCAAGGACTACACATACCACACCGAGGAAGACACCCGTGCAGAGGAAGAGGATGCCGTAATGGTTACGGACTACGGTCCCAATACACACCTTCTGAGAGGTAAGCAAGCGAAGTGGTGAGAAGAATGCTGAGAGGCCTTTTGAACTAGATTTATCGCTGGAGATAGTTTCTGGTGCAATGAAAGGTAAAGCCACGCGGACATAAATGGTCGACAGAAGGAACGAGCAGGAGGCAACTTCGAATGGCCGACGGATGCCCAAGTAATCGCCAATCATTCCTCCAGCTATAACCATGTGTTAGAGACTATGATAAAGAGACAGGACTATGGGGAACTAAACCCACTCAGATAGCCAATTCCCTGTCCTAACATAATGCAGCCCTGGAGCATTCCAAACACAGCGGTCCTACGGGCAGGGACAACGAGTTCTCCCGCAATGATATTGGCAACCAGGATGTATCCGACGGGACCACCAATGATAGTGATGAGCTGGGTGCATTGGAAAATGATAATGCCGGCCTCGCCGCCAGCCAACACACCGACAATCTGAGTGGCAACACGAATGGAAGGCACAAAAGTCTGCATCATCAGTGCCATGCGTGGTCCATATCGTTTGGCCATCCATCCGGCAACAAATAAGTTGATCGTGCCGCAGAGTGTGGTAGTCATGCCGAGGATGGAGTACTGGGTGGCAGTCCCGGCAGCGATCTCATTACGGCTACAACGGTCTCCAAGGCCATCATAAGGAGGATGATCACGATAAAAGATATCGCATTCCATTAAATGAAAAACATAGAAGATTCTGTACAGCAAGGCTGTTAGCATGTATCTGAGTTGCCAAAGATGGTCTTTGCAGCATCCTACAAAAGATAGTAGCTGTAAGCATACTTACGGGACCTGTGTGAAGCTAAATGAGAGAGTAATAAGAAATCCAGCAAAGAGAATTCTCTTTTCAACCTGGATCTTGTCAAATTGAGAGCAAAATACACGATCTACCCATGCTTGGCACTTTGCAGAGGGCAACCATGGAGAAGTGTTATAGATCTGAGCTTGTGTTTGGACATCGCTCCGCTGCTCATCCTCTCCATGAAGCAGGGGCGTTTGCTCAGTAACGCTGTTTGGCCTTGTCATACTACCACTACCAAGCACAGCACAAAGTAATGCATATGGATTGAGATCGTGAGGGTCGCAATAGGAAGCAACGCTGTTGACTGCAGAAATATGAGAGAGATTCTCCATTACAGTTCGGCCCTGGGGGATGCAAATGGTCTGGCGGCGGTTGCGCCACTGTGGGGATGCGGAACTTTCGGGTGGCTACGGGAGTAGCCGAGCAGTCCCGAGACCAGCGCAAACGACGGAATTGGCCAATGAGGCTTGGAATCCAGAATGCGACCCTGGAAGCCCCGCTTGTTCCGTTGAAGGCAAAGTGGGGTAGAGGAGAAAACACGGCTGGCCGGTCGCAGACAGGGCCCACCCCCAAGTAGCTCGATTTGGGCCCTCCCTCTAACCAAAGTCAATCCAAGCTGGCAGCTGGGCCCAGACTAGTCTCCTCCAAAAGAGCAACTAATGTCGACACTCGACTCGATACCCAAGATGACTCCTCAAGATGGGATCCAAGTGTAGTCAATAAGGAAACACAATACTCATTAATCACGATGTCTACGAAGGGTATCCATATGTCATATACAATTTCTTCACAGGGTCACACACAACCTCTTCCCATAATCGATCACCTGCCAATGCTCAGTGCCTGGCGTGGATACAGCATAAAAGACGCCAAGAGGATCCCACTTAAACCGCAGAGCCTTGAGGAGGGGGTAGTTTGAGCCCCAGAAGTGGCTCTGCCAGTTCGGCTGGTAAGGATCAGACTGCACATTTCCATTAGCCAAAGCTCTAGTTAAGCGCTGAGGAATGAACCTCGAATCGGGAGACTCACCTCGTGAATGTAGGTGCAACCGCTTGTGCTTGCTGAGCGCAGCGCCGCGTCCATGGTGTTGGTGAGGACGTTCTGCAGATCAGCCTTCTCAGCAAGAGAGGCACCAATAGGAACTGGAAGGACACTGATAACGAAATCCGTTGCATTGCGCCACGCCGGATGTGTCGCACTATTGCTCTGTGGCATACCATGACCAGGATTGAACAGGTGGCCGATGATACCACCCCAGAGATCAGACCGAGGAGCAAGGACGGTCTTGAAGGCGTCGATGATGCCGTCATTGTTGTTGGCAACGTCAGCGTGGTTGAACATCCAGCCTCCGGTGAGCGCCGACTGGCCCGACTCCTCACCCTCGAAGAGATCGATATACAGCTCGTAGAAGGTGGGATAGCTCTTGATGTCAAAGTCGAACGGGATGCCTGCTGAGTTGAGCTCATCCAGCATGGGTTGGAGGATGGCCTGCAGCTGGGCCGCAGTCTTGCCAATCCCGACGAAGGGTCTGACGCGGAATGTGAAGGGCCAAATTTCAAAATACACATAGAGGCCATTGTCAACAAAGTGGTTGGACCACTTGTGGAAGATTTTGACGCCGTTCCAGATCACGTTATCGTCAAATGTGTGCGTGGTATTGATGTACAGTTCAGCACCGGACGACGCGATATCGGGGAACGTCTTCATCGTGACAGAAAGGATGACTGCGTAGGTTGAAGGACCACCTCCCTTCAGAGCCCAGAAGAGGTCGGCATTCTGGTACTGGTTGGCCGTCACATAGTGACCAGAGGCAGTGATGGCTTCGAAAGCCAGGACATTATCGGCAGCTATAGTCATTCAGAGTCAGCAACTTATTCTCAATTACAACCGTAGGGATGGAAGAAGCATTTACAGAAGCCCTTTAGAGTTGTCCATGGCCCATGACCGCCACCTTGGACGAATCCGCCAGCAATTCCAACACTCGGGCACTCGCCAGTCACGACAACCACAGGAGGGTTGCGGGCGTGACCTTGGGCAAGGACATTTCTTGCCTGCACACCAGCGCCGAGCTTGACAGCAGGACCATTATAAGACCCAGGTCCACTGTACGAGTTAATCCACTCAATTGAGTTAAAAGCGTGCATGTTGATGATGAGAGCGCCATGGCCAGTGCTGCGTCCAATGAAATCGTGGCCAGTATTGCGAATTATGAGGCGTACATTGTTCTTGCGGGCGAAGTCGATTCCGGCCTTGACATGGTCTGGCTGAGTGGCCATCAGGATGTACACGCCGTAGTGACCGAGAGTACATGGTTCGCTCGGGTTCGTTGTCGGTCGGCACGTGTCGTTGGTGAAGTATGTCCACAGGTTGGCACCCGGCTGCTCCGTCCTGCCGGGAGAGCAATGTCAGCCTGACGACTTCCACCAGCACTACACAGCACTGCCTACAGGAACGGATACTTACGTCCAGAATTGATCCGAGAACTTCTGGAGAACCTCGGCGCAGGCAGTTGCATTATATGTGTTGATTGTTCCAAGAGGACCCTGGAAGGTGTTGTGGCAGACAGCGCCGGGAGGAATATGCACCTGCAACCGTCCTCCAACTGTGGCATTCAGAGCATTCCATTTGTTTGCTGACGGCCAGCAAGGATCGCCGGGAATGCATTTGCAGCCCAGAGTCAGGCCACCAAAGTTGATAGTTTGAGGAGAGGCAGCATCCGAGAAGTCCAATTGGGAGAGGTTCGTCACGGCCGCCTCAGGATTAGCATCACTTCTGACCTGAATCTGAGCGAGTGTTGCAGGGAGAAGGCTGGCGGCTAGGGCCAACCGGGATAGGGAGGGTAACATAACTGTGCAGAGAGATTGCGAGCTGAAAAGGGACACTGAAACTCTGGGACTGCTGCTCGGTGGTCCTGAAGACAACGACCGATAGAGACCTCGGCCAGTCCTTAACAGCAACAGAGAGCAGTCCCTTCATATACATAGCGTCTGCGCGTCGCTTCATCTCGATGTCCAAGTTGCATTGGAGTTGCCTGCCAGAATTGGACATTCCCGCGAGGCTAATGCACCTCGCAGCTCGCAATCTCACGGAGTCCGGGTCGATACCCTTGTCCACCGCACGGCTCACGGTTGCGCCAAGCACCGTCGCGTTGCAACCTTCCAGAGGCAAATCGAGGACCGAAGAAACGGGCCATGTTGCTCATCGGACGCGGCTCCCGTCCGCACGCATCCTTGATCTTTATGTTGATCCGCACAGACAATCTGGGTTGCGCGGAGATGCGCCTACTATCGAACGCCAAGAACAATCGCTAGCGTTGTTGGACATTGTGCAGACACCGTGCACGTGGCAAGAATTCAACTTGAGGGGGTTTGAGCGAGATTGGTATAGACCTATAGCACCAGGGGAGCATGCCAGTTTACAATAGTTGACCTCGGAAAATCAAGCGTGCAGATCCGATGCAATGAGAAGCATTAACAAGCACTCATGGCGTAACTCACAGGCGAGATATAGCTGGAACGGTCATTAACTGATTGGTTTGTCGACTTCGCCTGCTTGAGCCATGCCTTGAACACACACGACACCACGCTCCAGTCGCGTAGATGAAGTTGTTGGTTCGACGCTTTGTTTTTGTTTAGCTGCATCAGTATCCCTAGTTTGATTCTCAACCAACACGGTGCGTAGCAGCCGAAGTGCCCAATGCTGCAAGTGCGGAGTTCAATTTGCTCTCGGACATGGGCATGTCTCCCTGAGGTTAGTCAATGTTCGTCTACCTACGCAAGCAGCGCGAACGAAAAGTGCTCCAAGATGCTACAGCCAAAAGTACCACTGGATAAACTATGTTATGAGCATGTCTCCCAGCTTCTATCATTGGGGCGATGGTGGTACCGGATGCTGCTCATTAAGCTGCAGGACACGCTAACTCGTTATGAACTCATGTCAAACAACCAAGTGCTACTAGTCGTCATGGGAATGGTAAGATATGACAAACCGATATGATGGATGCCTAAAGGCCTGGGGTCGAGGTAGACCAGACTGGTGACTTATGGCGGTTTTGCCTTCGTTGCGCTGGATAATAATTACATGATGGCATACGGGCTGGCACACACTTCCCTGGAATCATCCTCTGCTTTCCGGCATCGCTCTGCTCGTGCGGGAACTACATCCTGTTTCGATCGGTAGTTGCTAGGTATAGGAGTTATCGGATGTATGAGAACTTATACTCTTGCCCCACTTATCATCAAGGCCTGAAGGATATGAGCCGGGAGGGGCAGGAGAGTTAGATTCTGTAAAACCAAGTCTACTGAGAGCTTATCTAGTAAAAGACGAAGAGAAGTACTTGCAATGGGAGACTTGGTCTGTTACAGGCAAAGATCGACAATGGGTCAAACGGGTTAGATGATAACCACTGACGATGTGGGTTGCACGACGAAGTCGATTAATACGTGTAATAATTTTTCTTGGTCCTCAGTGTCCTTGTTGTTAGGGAGAGTAAAAACCAAGAGAAGCCCTTCATCATGTCCGGGCAGCTTGCTTTATGGAATCCTCTTGCCCTTGTGAGTGCCTCAGCCTACCAGGCTTTTCAGGGGTCTCGTCCTCCTGCCTCGACCATCTGGCTCATTCGGTCGTGTGGCTCCATATCTTCCGGGATTAACCACGTATTTGCGTCGTTCACAACCATTCTATCTCTGGTATCCCTTGTGTTGGCAGTGGGAGATACGCCTTTCCTTTGACTGCCGTGTCCGTGACAGTACTTGTGCAAAGGGGATAAGATTCGAGAAGAGAAGACCAGAAGGGAGGAGAAAAGAAAAGGTATAAATGCAATAAAGGACCAGAATCTCATGAAGTTGTGCATATGACCCAGATACGTAGGTCCAGCAGGTGGTTTACGTTGTGTAACCCTCCACCACGTCGAGCTGTGCCAGGCTGACTGTTCAGCCCTCTTGTCTGTGTGCGAGGCAGCTCTCCCGCCTGCCCCGCAAATAAGGCAAGACTCCCATCAGCTGCGGGCTGCCGGTTGAGATCCTAACCTCGCTGTCTTCGACTAGATCCCAAGACTATGAGTTGTATACAGACATATTTACGCACATGTATGCTATATATCTATTAGGGACGAAAATCTGGAATCTCAAAATCATCACTGCCTAATCTACAGTTAAATTACCGAGGTTGTGATGATGGTGACCAACCCCACACTTTAACTTCAGCACCAAACATTACCCCCAGCACCGCGAGGTGTGGGACTGGCCGTAAAACATGATTCAATTCAATTCAATTTTATTAAATTCAGTTCAATTCAATCCAATTACCCCGCGGTCCTGTGTGGACCGTCGCGCCCCACTATGTGAAGTTTGCTTCCCCGCGCGGGGAATAGGCACGCAAATCCGGGCCGTTGACTTGCTCCTTGGCGGAAAGCTCAATCTTGTCGCTGACCTAACCTTGCTGATGTGCTCGAAGCCAGTATCACTCTGCTTTTCCCCTCCTGAATATCAGAACTTCTCTTAGCTTATACGGTTGTGAAGTTTAATGACACTGTCCGGATGCGGAGAGCCTTCCCCGAGACCATGAGAATAACAATGATTATGCAGGCGCCAGCACATATTGCAGCCTGAGTTCCGAAACTAGGTTTGGTTCCTTGTGCCTGAACCCACGCAATCTGGTATAACTCATAACGAAGCCGCCTAGTGTGCGCATCATCTTAATCCAAGCAGAGATCTCCCCCAAAGCGAGTTCTCCAAACCACTCCTCTTTTCTCCCTGGTTTCTTGAAACGGACCAATCAGAGGAAGAGTTCGCGGGACTAACCAATCAGGAGCGGTTATCGTGAGCAGTCACCCATTAATCACTGGCCGGCTCTCCGACTCAACATGGGCGCCAACCAGCGCCGGCGTCCCTCGGTCCTACGAAAGGCCAGGGATCACAGGCAACGCAACCTAATCTCACAACGCCCCAACTGCCTCGGCCCTTTCACTCCGGGTTATCAGGACTGCCCTACGAGACCTAAGGTCTTGCAAGGCAGAGCAGTTAAGCCGACCAAAGAAGAACGCTCTTCGATCAGAAAAGAGGGTCGTGCAGCCTATAAAACTAAACTCGCAGAGTCCCGTAACGCGCAGGACGTGACGCCATCGCCATTGGACCTGATGGAGGCCGAACCCTCGGCGGCAGACACGTCTCGCTCCCATCCCCAGAGACCGAAGCGACCATGGTTCCCTTGGAGGGATGTAGACAACGCCTCCGAGCTGCCTTGGGATGGCGACAACTAGGTTCCCTTTAAATGAAGTCATCGCAGAGGCCCAACGACTCATCACGAACAGGAACTGCGATGCCAGAGGTTTTATCGACTTTCTAAGCTCCGGCAGACTCCGATCCTCGGAGCAAGGCTGCACTAGTGTTGCCCAGCTGCCATGGGATTTATTCATCTATTTATCCTATTTTTCGACCGGGTTCACCCTCAAGGGTGCTGGGTCGTGCCCACGACGCCGGCGGGCAAAAATTACCTGAGATGGACTTAAATACAGGTAACGCCGGGAAAAAGTCGCATAGGGTAAAACCGGCGTGGGTTAGAGGGAGTGCAGTGTACTGTGTACAGGGGAGGGTTCTTGAAACCGGCCGGCCCCAGGTATGTACCTCGTTGGGTCCTACTCCGGGTCGTTAGGCTCGGAGTCTAGATGATCAGCGCGCTGGGCTTTGGGCGGGCTTGCGAGAGGGGAGCGAGGGAGGCGTGGTAACGGGATAGGGTGCCCTGTGGAAGCGTCCCAGGTTTGCCCCCAGAGTTTGACCAGGAAGGTCCTGGACTTGAACAGCTGGAGGAAGACCAAAAAGCCCTTGGGTCTAGGCTGCCGGCAAGTGGGTTGTTGAAAGAGGTGAGAGGGTAGGAAAAGAAGTGGCCTCTGGACACCACCCCGCCGCAGGGGCACTCTTTGATAGCCTCCGGGGAGTGGTTGAACCGCCTGTGGTACTCCAGGAAGTCGCCGTGACCCGAGGCCTCTGCCAGCCACCGGGAGAGGCACTGCCGGGGAAACTTCTCGAAGGGTTGTCCGAGTGCCGGCTCCATCGAGCCGAGGGGGGTCTGTTGGCCTGCCACCATCTGTGCAAGTCCGGGGGAGGGACGCGACGTTTCTTGGGAGGAGAGGAAGGTAGGCCAAGCCATGCCCTGATGCCTGCGCGTTTGGGCTCCCACTGGGGCCTAGCCCTCAGATCAGAGGCCGCTTGGTGCAAGCGGGACCAGCCGTGGTAGGGGATTCGAGCGAGCCTAATCCACAGAGGGTGGCTGGCCGGTAACATCGCAATGCTGTTTCTCCACCTTGCTGGTTCTCTGTCAGCAAGTACTCAGGATAGAGGCCGGCAAGCTACCAGAACCACGGGGTTGGTATTGTCCTCCATACCGGGAAATCACCCTCAGTGCTGCGTTTGCAACCTTGGTGAGAGATGACCACGCCGATGCGGGCCTGGATGGGACCAAGAGGCCGTTGACCCCCGTCCTATGTGGGCCGGTATTAAGTTGGACTATGCCGTACAGAAGAGAGGGGGTGACGACTGCATTGAAGATGTTGGGGCCAGCTGCGGGGGAACCCCGGACCCTTGTGTTAGACAGGCGCTTGACCAGTCCTACCACTGCAGTCGTCGCTGACGCTCTTATGGCCGCCTGCGTCGCAGGGCTGAGCTTGGGGTCTCGACATAGTCTCCGCGTCATGCACGAGCGCCTGGATGAGGTCCAACGCGGATCTAGATGGGACGGCTCCTGCAACGTCTGGGGGGAGCAGCCCCGAGTTTAGCGCTGCCGCCGTTATCCTTCGGGCCAGAAGCCTCTCCACACCTTGCCGAAACTCGACAGCAGAGTGATCGGCCTCTAGCCCTTGTATGATCGCGGATCTCCCCGGGCTTCGAGAGAGTGCCACTGTTGCTTGTTTGAAGGCTTTAGGGAAGGTCTCCCTTTTTACGCAGCCTTCGGCGTTAACTCGGGCAGCTGGACAAACGAGCTCCCAGGTGTGTCTGAGGAACGCCAGTGGCACTCCGCCGGGGCCGGGTGTGTTCGAGGTGGCACCGAGGAAGGCATCCTTGAGCTCGTCGTCGCTGGGCGGGTCAGCGAGCCTCGCTGCCCACTCAGAGATAAGACGGGGTCCGGACCAGGCCGGGCGGGAACCCTCTCGGGCCCCTGCAAGGCGGAAGGCTTGAGTAGCGAGGTAAGCCGCCACCCGCTCCGTGTCCGAGATCACTCTTCCGTTCACGACAATGACGGTGGGCCGATCATCCGAATGGCCGATGCGCCACTTAAGTATCTTACCCCACTCCGCCGGGGTCGAGGCTGAGGTAACCTATCCCTATGGAAGTTCGCCCTGGCCTTCTTGTAGAGCTTGCGATAGACTATGGGGTCAGTCTCCCTGGCCGTGGCCAGCACCTCCGACCACCAGGGGGCGCTCTTTGTCTGCCTGTCGGGGCGGGTCGAAAAACGGCCTGCCACTCCAGCGAGGGTATCGAACACGTCCCATACGAACTGCTCGAGCTCCTCCTGGAAGTCAGATTTAACCGGGTTGGGGGGAGGAAGAACCTCAGTAAATGGGCCGCTCCTGGGCCATTGTAGATTGGATGAGGAAGGAGTGAAGCCTGGCGATGATGGGCTTCCCAACCTTCTTTTTCAGTGCCATCAAGATTTCTCTCGACGTCCTCGATTGCGCGCAGCAGCTTTTCAGCAACGGATATGAAGGCGTTGAACTCCTTGACCTCCTCGCGGGCCCTCTCAAGAGCGGCGAGAACACCGGCGCTCGAGGGGGGTATCTCGGCGAGGGTGCTCGGTAATCGTGGTGTTGCGAGCCGAAATGCTCAGGTTAACCACTCCTGATTGGTCTATCCTTGCAGCGCCCCCTCTGATTGGCTGGATCCAGGAATCAGAGGAAGAAAAGAGGGAAAGGTGTTGCCATGGGATTCCTCTGAGGGCGTTGCGATCCTCGACGAATGGCAGCGCATCCGTAGAGGGACCTCCCTTGACGAATGGCAGCACATTCGTAGAGAGACCCCCGTTCGCCGCCCGGTCAGGACAAGAGGCCTCGCCCAGCCTTCAACAGACGGTCCTATACAACCGCTCCGGGCAGCTACGGCCCCTTTGTCCTCCTCTTCCCCTCCCTCCCAGAATCCTCCTTCACAAGGCCCCGACCGACCATCGACCCCTATTGGCGACACTATCTTCGTAAGATACTAAGTGATGCCACCCTTTCTCAAAATCATCTCGGCCAATGTCCAACGCTCCATAGCCAATACCGACGGTGTCCTGGAGCTTGCCGTCAAGCGTAAATTGTCAAATTGCTTGCATCCAAGAACCCCCTATAACCTTCGGCAAAGTACGACGTCACCCGAGCTTCACTACCTTAGCCCTCGACGACAACGATACACGCGCTGCCATATACGTGAACCGGCATCTAACTTTCGACCCAGCCTTTCCCCCGACCACGCCATTCTCGGCATCTCCCTACCATCGATCACGGTTGTCAACGTATACCTGCATCCCAGGCTGGATAGGGCCCTCCCAGACTGGACACGCGTTAGAAACATACAATGCGTACAACGCACTCTTGTCCTTGGCAACTTTAATACACGACACCACACTGGGATTCGCGAGCCCTGCCGAACCCCAGAAGAGACATGCTCGCTGCCTGGATCTCGACCCGTGGCCTTCACGTCCTAAACCCGCCCGGCTCTACACATCGGGCTGGTGGAGTACTAGATCTAGCCCTGGGGCCGGAGACAGCCTTCGCTGAGTTTGCCCACTGGACCTCGGATCACAAAACCCTGCTGGTGCAAGTGGACAGAGCCCGCCCGATACCCCTCCCTCCCCCGAAATTGCTACCAAGAAGCCGGTTCGACGAAGCCTCCGCTCTCCTAGAGGTCTTTCTGCCCCAACCGAGGCAAATCCTCACCTTGCAAGACCTGGAGAATTATGCTTGGTTAGTCTATGACGCCTTAGAAGGAGTAGTTGGCCGTTTCGCTGTTCCCCCTGGCCCACACACAAAGAGCACTCCATGGTGGTCTGAGACGCTCCAGGTATCCAGAGACTCGGACCCCCTGGTCTCAGGAAACTCTGTAAAGAGGCCCGTACGAACTTCTACTGAGATCAGGATGCTTCCGTTGCCACCCCATCCGACTAAGGTCGCATCCTGCGATGGCGCAAGGGCTCCTCGGACGACCGCCCATCGGTAATTTCAGTCAATGGGCGTTCCATCTTGAACGTAGAGGAAATAGCAGCTTACCTTGCCGCCCAAGCCTTCCCCCCAGCTGGTTCGCAGTCTGGCTCCAGACCGCTTTGGTCCGGACCAAGAATCACCCCAGACTTACGGACCAAGTTAAATACCCCACCCTCGGACGTTGAACTCACTGACAGTTTCTTTGGGGCGACATCTAACACTCCGGATCCCGATAGAGTGCCTCTAGCATTTGTTCGACATGCCTGGGACAAATTGCTACCAATTGCCCGATGTCTCTCTGAAGCCTGTCTCCGCCCCGCCTACTTCCCCTCGGCATTCAAGCAAGCAACCGTGGCTACTCTGTCCAAACCGGGCCGCGACCCCCGATCCTACAAAGGATGGCGGCCGATTACCTTATTGTCTCTCTTCGGCAAGGGCATTGAGAGACTCCTCGCGAGAAGGATGACTTCAGCTGCAATCTTATCAGGCATTATCCCCCAGATATCGCCGGGCTATTCCCTCGAGATCTGCTCTCGACCTTGTCCAGGCCTTTGTCCATGATGCGGAGATTAGATCACGTCAAGGATGCCACGGGCTGCTGGTTACACTCGACGTGGACTCAGCCTACCCCTCGGTCCATCATCAGCTACTCAAGAGGTCCTAATAGGCTAGGAATGGCCCCAAAACATCTGCGAGGCGGCAACAACCTTCTGCGAGAGGCGCCGCTTCTCCTTTAGGTGGGCACGATCTATCTTTCACTCGGACACTGAGCTGCCCCAAGGATCCCCATGGTCACCGATACTCTTTGTGCTATACTCTTTACCCATCATTACCCCGTCACAACAAGTTGCATCGTTCATGTACATGGACGACCGCGCACAACTCTCCTGGAGCCGGGATCCGACGGGTGGTTGAACCGGACGTGGTACTCGAGGAAGTCAACGTATCCTGATGCCTCGGCAAGCCACCTAGAGAGGCACCTCCTGTCGAACAGGCTAAGGAAAGGTTTGGCCGAAGGGCGAACCCAGAAGGCTGGATTGTGGTTTATTTGCCCTCCACCATGACACCATATCCGGAGGGACCTTACGCGGCCTGGGCGAGGCTGGGAGGAGTAATCTCTTGATTAGGCCTACCACGGAGGCCGTAGCGAATGCTCTCGAGGATGCTTGGGCCCAGGGGCTCAGTTTGCCATCTATAACTACCACGAACCACTTCACAGAGGTCTTGGGGGGGGGGGAATTCTCAAGTCACCAGATCGAAGAGTAAGCCGATCTGGGTCCGTCTTGTGCCGCTTTAAGCCTGCTCCACGTGGGGGGATGTACAAGACCTCTGTTTTGTTGGAATTTACTCTAAGACTGAGGCCGCCTGCCTTTTGACGTAGGGATTGGACACGAAAGCAGCGTGGAGTGCCAGCTGAGTTGAGTGCGATCAAAACTTGCTCTTGCGACGAGACGGTATCCAGGGGCCACTTTCTCCAGTGCCCCCTCTCTTCCCTTGACAACCCCCTTGCTGGCCGCCTAGACCCCAGAGCGTTTTGGCACTCATATCAACTATTCGAGAATAGAAAGTCACCACTAGAACGTTACGGCTCAGCCAGGGACCATCAAACAGGACAAGCCATCCCTACTCAACGCCCCCCCTCCCACTCTCACTCATGACCTTACATCTCGATCGATGCGCACCCCTAACAACGAAGAATCAGAATTGAAACGGTCTAGTTTGGACATCCACATACTTCACACTCACCCCTCCTAACCTATTTTCTTTTTCTTTTCCCCTTTGCTACTTCTCCCCCTTTTTCAACACCACTCATCTATCCCACGCATACGCACCGGTTTTTCCCTCTTTGATAATTCCCGCGTGTACATAGCTTAGACTAGCGAGTGCATATGTACCTTTTGCCCAACGGCGTCGTGGGCACGACCGAGCATTCTCATGGGTGATACGGGTCGTAAATGCAATTCAATTCAATTCTCACTCCTGTCAGATGTCTCAACTTCAAGTCATGCTTATCGCTTCACATGCTCAAAAGCTTCTATATCTGTCACATGGACACGGCAGTCCAAGGAAAGGGATGTCCCCGACTGCCAACACAAGGGACACCGAGATAGGATGATTATGAGCGGCACAAATACGTGGTTATTCCCGGAAGATGTCTAGAGCCGGATGACCGAAGGGAATGAGCCATATGGCCGAGGCATGATGAGGATTCTATAAAGGAAGATGCCCGGTCATGATAGACTTCTCTTGGTTCCTCCTCTCCCTGACACAAAGACACTGAGGACCAAGAAAGATTATTACACATAGTAATTGACTTCGCTGTGCACCCCACATCGTCAGTGGCCATCATCTAACTCATTTGACGCATTGTCGATCCCTGCCTGCACCAGACCAAGTCACTCGTTACAATATCTCCTTCCAACTATTCAGGTCTAGGGCCTTCCAGATTGGACTTTGGGCCAGGCTTGGGACGCTGCCACCGGGTTCCCCGTCCCAACTTAGCGACCCCCCAGCTTTCCCTTACGCGTTCGAGCCCGATCCCACAGGGGCAGCGACCCCGACACCAGCTCGTCGGAGTCAGTGTCGGGGGTAGAGATTCAGGTCCTTGGGATCGTGAAAAAATGATCCCTACCCGGCATATGTTGCGCAACCTGCCCGATGTTTCCCCTCGCTCACACCGGTTTTGCCTCGGCGCGGGCTTTTTCTCCGGCGGCACACATGTATATAGAGTAGTTAGGTAGCTATTGCCCACCGTCACCGTGGGCATGACCCAGTACCCCCAGCGGTGGGACCGGTCAAAAATAGAATTGAATTGAAGTGTTGCCACATTGGTTGCTCTTGGTGCGATTCTTCGAGTGTATACTCTTGCAGCGTAAGATTGACGAGTGTTCGAACCCACAGAAACACAGTTTCCACGGTTTTGGGCTCTTGAGCACAAACGGGCAACTACTGGCAACTTGCAGTCTGGAGCACTACCTGCGCACTGCCTGAGTGCGGGAATGCCGAGGGGGATATGCGGGAGAATGCCAAGCACAGGGGAACCAAACCCCTGCCGGGCGGCTCAGCAAACTCCGTTTGGAAACAACATTCCATGCCAAGTCTTGACCCCCTTGAAGAACGGGTCGAGATCTTCCGTCATAAATATGGAAACAGCTTGCAATTGAGAATAAATTCAAAAGCATAAAACCATGGTGCATGTTACTCTAGTATTTATAAGGTGATTTTTGTCAGGGAGCCAGTCAACCGCCGGACCAGTGAGTTTGACATTGCTACCGTTCTTGACTATCCAACCTTACAAGTTCCAAGATGCACCTCCTGACTTGCAAGTTGCTTGCAACTAGCCTTCTGGTCACCACAGCCTATGGTCTTCCAGGCATTCACGCCAATGCCCGCAAAGATCCTCGATTTGTGACTGTGGAGGGAGAAAGGTTCAAGCTCAATGGCAGAGACTTTCATTTTGCTGGCTCCAATGCCTATTACTTCCCATTTAATGCAGTAAGTCACAGCTGTAGGACCTGATTTAAGAGGTACACTGAAAAACTGCTTACATTGACCTTAGGATCAAGCAGATATCGAGAAAGGCTTACTTGCTGCTAAAAATGCTGGCTTGACTGTGTTCCGTACTTGGGGTTTCAACGATAAAAACAGCAGCTATATTCCTGGCGGCTTGCCACAATATGGTGGTGAAGGTGCTGGTCCGTCTGAGGTTGTGTTTCAATGGTGGCATCCCAACGGCACATCAACCATCAACGTTGCAGGCTTTGACAAGGTCGTCAATGCCGCCATCAAGACCGACATGAAGCTCATCGTTGCACTGACCAACAACTGGGCTGATTATGGTGGCATGGATGTCTACACTGTCAACCTTGGTGGCAGATATCATGATGATGTAAGTGCGCGCCTGACGGCTTAGTCTCTTACGTTCTAAAGCGACCTCGACTGACAACAAAGGAAGTTCTATCGCCTTCCCAAGATTAAGAGTGCTTTCAAGCGCTATGTGAAGACGATCGTCACCCGCTACAAAGATTCGCCGGCCATCCTTGCCTGGGAATTGGCCAATGAGCCTCGCTGCGGCGCTGATGGTGTCCGTAACCTTCCTCGGAGTCCGGACTGCACACCGGCTGTTCTTAGTGCTTGGATTGCTGAGATGAGCGCCTACATCAAGAGCTTGGACCCCAACCACCTTGTCACCTGGGGCGGCGAGGGCGGGTTCAATCGCGAGTCCGATGACTGGGCGTATAATGGCGCTGATGGCGGTGACTTTGACCATGAGCTCTCTCTCAAGACGATCGACTTTGGTACTTTCCATTCCTACCCTGATTGGTGGAGCAAGACGACCGATTGGACAGAACAGTGGATTCGCGATCACGCGGCCGCAGGTCGCAGGGCGCGCAAGCCTGTTGTTCATGAAGAATATGGTTGGCTGACTCCTGAGCTGCGGCTTGAGTACACTGGCAGGGTCGACAATCGTACCCGCGTCGAGGTCATGGGTCGTTGGCAGAAGATCACTGTTGCTGAAAAGCTGGCTGGTAGCATGTACTGGCAGTATGGCTACTCAAATTATTCTTATGGACGCAACCACAATGACGGCTTCACTATTTACCTCGATGATTCTGAGGCGCAGGTGCTTGTGTACCAGCACGCGAAGGAGATGAATGCGCTGAACCGTCGTCGTTGAGTTAATAGAGGTTATGGTGTCGAGATAATGTGTTGTCAGCATGCTTTCACCTCTGTACTTCAAGATATTAATGATCGGCATTATGTTCTTGTTTGAGCAACTTATTAAACTTTTTACCTTGACTTTCACCAGATAGCTGGAGCTGATGTATAAAGTCTATTCCCACTGCTCCCAATATGATGTGGTATTTTGTGTGCAACACATGCTAACGTTTTGACAAGAACAAACTTTCCCTCTTTTCTTTCTCGGATTCTCGGAACCGACTAATCAGAGGAAGAGCTGGTGGGATAGACCAATCAGGAGCTGTTATTCTGAGCAGTCGCTTTCTCAACACTGGCCGCTCAAGCTCCCGTCTCCACCATGGCGCCTGCCAGCGCCGGCGCATCTCGGCCCTCCACAAGGCCAGGGACATAAAGGTCAAAGAATCAACGCCCTTGTCTCCGTCGCCGAGAAACTTTACGCCACGATCGAAGACGTCGAGAAAAACATGCCCGAACAGCTCGAGAGATCGGTCGCCAAACCGCTTATTTCAAAGCTTCACTCGCAATCCCCAAACACTCTATCATCGGTATCTCTCTACAGGCAGTCACTATCATTAATGTTTACCTGCACCCAAGATTAGACGGAGTCCATCCGGCCTGGCCCCGGCTAAGATCGCTGCGTCTCACACAACGGACAATAGTTGTCGGAGACTTCACGCGCCACCCACTCTGGGATCTTAGGGCTCGATCCAACCCCAGATGGGACATGCTGGCCGCCTGGGGGTCCGCCCATGGTCTCCACGTTCTGAACCCCCCCGGGTCCTACACACCAAGCCGGAGGAGTACTGAATTTGGCTTTCGGCCCGGTCACAGCCTTGCAGAGTTCGCTCACTGGGCATCGGACCACAGAACCCTCGTAGTATCCCTGGACAGAGCGCGCCCTGTTCCTTTGCCACCCCCGAGATCTCTACCTAGAAGCCGGTTTGCTAAGGCGGCTGCCCTACTAGAGACTTTCATCCCGAGACCACGTCAAATTCACTCCCCCCAAGAACTGGAAGACTTTGTCTGGGCAATCTTTGATGCCATGAAAGGAGTGGTAGGGCGCTTCGTGGTCCCCTCGAACCCCCACACTAAGAGCGCGCCGTGGTGGTCAGAAGTCTTGCAAGTGTCCCGAGATACAGACCCTTTGGTGTTCAGGAAGCTCTGCAAGGAGGCAAGAATGAACTGTTAACAGAAATCAAGTCGCCACCGCAACCTCCCCGGCAGACTGGGGCCGCATCCTCAAGTGGCGAAAGGGCTCCTCAGACGACAGGCCATCGTGCATTTTGGTCAACGGCCGTTCGATCCTGAACGTAGAAGACATTTCAGCCTACCTAGCTATTCAGGCGTTCCGGCCGGTCGGTGCGGGCTCCGGCCCTAGGCCATTCTAGTCAGTACCTAAGATCCCCCCTGATCTTAGATCCAAACTGGTCGCCCCACCCTCGGACGAAGAGCTCACGGACAGCTTCCTCGGAGCGTCCTCGAACACCCCGGGTCCCGACGGAGTACCTTAGCATTTATTCGATACTCCTGGCAGAAGTTGTTACCAGTCGCGCGATGCATCACAGAAGCCTGCATAAGACTCGGCGCCTTCCCTTCAGCCTTTAAACAAGCAACGGTTGTCACTCTGTCAAAGCCAGGTCGATCCTATAGAGGATGGAGACCAATCACTCTTCTGTCAGTCTTTGGCAAAGGAATTGAGAGACTTATAGCCAGGAGGATGACGGCGGCTGCAGTCCTTTCAGGTGTGATTCTCTCGGATACCGCGGGAGCCATCCCGTCAAGATCGGCTCTGGATCTCGTGCAGGCTCTCATCCACGACGCGGAGACGAAGGCACGCCAAGGCTACCATAACCTCCTTGTCACTTTAGACGTGACTTCAGCTTGTCCGTCGGTCCAACCCCGCCTACTTAGAGAGGTGTTACTAGATCAAGGATGGCCCCTCAACATCTGCGAGGCGGCGATGGCCTTCTGCGTAGGACCTCGTTTCTCCTCCAGATGGGCACAGTCCCTGTCCCGTTCGGACACAGGCCTCCCACAAGGATCCCCTTAGTCGCCAATCCTGTTCATCCTCTACTCCTTGCCCATAATCACTCCTTCACAACAAGGATCGTCGTTCATGTATATGGACGACCACGCACCACTATCATGGAGTAAGGACCCAACCCAACTAGCTCACCATGCCGCTCACTGGGTTCACCTGCTGGGCAAAGAGCAAACGGGCTCGGGCTCAGGATAGACCCCAACAAACGGAAGTCTTGTACATCCCTCCTCGCGGGGTAGGCTCTAAGCGCCACAAGGAAAACCCAGAGCGACTGACTCTCCACTCCGGGAATCTCACGGTCCCCCAAGAACTCGATCAAATGGCTTGTGGTGGTCTTGGACACGAAACTGTCCCCATTGACCCAAGCCGCCGCCAGAGCTGCAGCCACGGCGTCTACAGTGGGCCTGATCAAAAGATTGTCAAACATCAAAATTAGGGGTTTCCCTCCCAAGGCTGGCCCCGTCATGTTTAACATGGCCGTGGTGCCCTCCCTCTTATATGGCCTGGTACAGATGGACATCGACCCTTTCAGAGCTGGAAGCAGGGGACGACTAATCCCATCAAATCCAGGAGCAATCTGGGCAGCCTTGGCTAAGGTCGCACACGCTGCTCTGAGGGCTATTTTCCCAGTGTGGCGTACTATCCCGACCCCATGGCTGTGGTGGCTAGCCGGGATCTACCCCCCTAGTACTTGCTGGAGCGAGAAAGAGAGAGATGGAGAGCTCGAGTTCGAACCTTACCGCCCGACCACCCCCTCTGGAGGAGACTCCAGTCACCACCATACAAGGCTGGTCTCGCCTACACCAATTAGCCGCCGACGCCCAACCAGGCCCTGTCTGGGAGCCCCGGCGACCAGGGCTTCGGGCTTGGCTAGGGCTATCCCCAAGTTCTCTCAAACCACAGAAGATCCCACCCCCTGATATAGCATCATGGTGGCGGTCGAACAAGCCTCAGTCCAGCCTGTGGGATGGCCCCTTAGCCAAACCTTTCCTCGCTCTCTTCGACAGAAAGTGTCTCGAGGAAGCGGCCCATCTACTGAGGTCCCTCCTCCCCCCCAGCTCCGGCTGACTTCAACTCCCAGGAGGAGCTCGAGCAGTTCGCATGAGATGTGTTCGATACCCTTGCCGGGGTGGCAGGCCGTTTTTCGACCCGCCCCGGCAGACACACGAAAAGCGCGCCCTGGTGGTCGGAGGTGCTGGCTACGGCTAGGGAGATCGACCCCATAGTCTATTGCAAGCTTTGTAAAGAGGACAGGGTGAACTTCTACAGGGAGAGGGTTGCCTCAGCCTCGACCCCGGCGGAGTGGGGCAAGATACTGAGATGGCGCTTCGATCATTCCGACGACCGACCCACCGTCTTGGTCGTGGACGGGAGGGTGATCTCGGACACGGAGCGGATGGCAGCTTACCTCACTACTCGAGCCTTCTGCCCTGCAGGGGCCCAAGAGTGTCCTCGCCCGGTCTGGCCCAGTCCTCGTCTTCCCCCTGAGTGGGCAGCGAGGCTCGTTGACCCGCCCAGCGACGACGAGCTCAAGGATACCTTCCTCGGAGCCACTTCAAACACACCCGGCCTCGATGGAGTGCCCCTGGTCTTCCTCAGACATACTTGGGAGCTCGTGCGCCCAGCTGCCCGGGCCATCGCCGAGGGCTGCATAAAATGGGGAGCCTTCCCAAGGCCTTCAGACAAGCGACAGTGGTCACCCTCTCAAAACCCGGGAGGGATCCCCGATCGTACAAGGGCTGGCGGCCGATCACTCTGCTGTCGACTTTCGGCAAAGGTGTGGAAAGGCTTTTAACGCGAAGAATGACGGCAGCGGTGCTAAACTGAGGGCTTCTCCCCTCGGACGTCGCGGGGGCTGTCCCATCCAGGTCCGCGCTGGACCTCGTCCAGGCGCTCGTACACGACGCGGAGACCATGTCGAAGTAAAGCTATCATGGGCTCCTGGTCACCCTAGATGTGGACTCGGTCTACCCCTCTGTCCAACCGTTGATCCTTCGCGACGTCCTGACGGACCAAGGCTGGCCACGCTGGCTGTGCGAGGCAGCAGCTGATCTTTGCTAGGACCGCCGCTTCTCCTTCCGATGGGCACAATCAACTTTTCAGTCGGACTCAGGCCTTCCGCAAGGGTCCCCATGGTCCTCAATCTTGTTCGTCCTGTGCTCACTACCAATCATAACCCCCTCACCACAGGGGTCCTCGTTTATGTACATGGACGACCATGCGCAACTGTCATGGAGTAAGCACCCGATTCAACTGGCCCACCATACCTCCCTTAGGGTCAGCCAGCTATGCGCCAAGGCCCGGGGGCTCGGCCTCAGGATCGACCCAAACAAGACGGGGTCTTTTACATTTCACCCCGCGGGGCCCGGGCGAAGCGAAGCAGGATAAACCCGCCAGGATCTCGACACAGGTCGAGGGAGTGTCCCTCTCCCCGAGCAAGTCCATCAAGTGGCTAGGAGTCTCGCTAGACCCCAAGTACTTGCTTGACAGGGAGCGGGCACGGTGGAGAAGCCGTGTCGAGATGTTACCGGCTAACCACCCTCTGCATGTAAGGCTTGCCCGACCCCCTTACCGCGGCTGGTCCCGCTTGCATCAGGCAGTTTCTGGTCTTGAGGCTAGGCCCCAGTGGGAGCCCACACGCCTAGGCGTTAGGGCGTGGCTCGCCCTCCCCCCCGACGCTCCCAAGAGACGCCGAGTGCCTCCCCCAGACATGCGTGGATGGTGGCGGGCTAAGAAGCCTGCCTTGGCCCTTTGGGATGGACACACAGCCAAGCCTTTCCTCGAAAGGTTCTCCCGGCAGTGTCTCTCCCGCTGGCTAGCGGAGGCTTCGGGCCATGGCGACTTCTCGGAATACCATGTGCGATTCAACCACCCCCCGGGGGCGCTAAAGGAGTGCCCCTGCGAAAGAATAGTGTCTAGAGGTCACTTCTTCACCTGCCCCCTCGCTACCTTTAACAACCCGCATGCGGGCAGGCTGGACCCGAGGGCGTTCTGGTTCTCTTTTCAACTATTCATGTCCAGGGCCTCCCAGATCGAGCTCGGGGCGGGTCGAGAAACGCCTGCCACTCCGGCGAGAGTATCGAACACGTCCCATGCAAACTGCTCGAGCTCTCTCGGGAGTCGAAGTTAGCCGCGGCTGGGGAGGAAAGACTTCAGTAAATGGGCCGCCGTCTCGAAATGGGTCTTGAGGAGACGTTTGGGTGGGGGCAGGCGGCTAGCGAGGCGGCTAGGCACCGAGATAACTAGCGCACGGTGATCGGAGGCCCAATAGGCGAACTCTGCAAAGGCTCGGGCCGGGGCGAGGGCGAGGTCAATGACCCTCCCATCGCGGTGTGTTGGGCCCTCCGGGTTGAGGATATGTCGCCCCCTCGCGGCGATCCACTCCCTGACCATATCTCCCTTAGGGTTGGGGCGTGCGCTGGGGTCCCAGTCCGGGTGATGAGCATTGAAATCCCCCATTATAATGAAGGAGTCGGGATCAACCTGGAGGGAGCAGAGAGTGCGCCAAGAGTTAATAGCGATGTCAAAGTTGGGATGTAGATAAACGTTGTCTATAGTGACCCCTTGAAGGGAGATAGTGACTAGCCCGTGCTCTGGGGCGGTCGGGCCGAGGCCGAGAGCCGGCGGCCAACGTAAATCGCAGCTCTAGTAGCTCCATCGTCGATGGCGTAAAGGGTGAAGCCCGGGTGACGTCGAACCCTGCCGAAGATGACCGGAGGCTCCTGGATACACACCACCTGATACCGGTGTCTCACCGCCCTTTGGAGGACACCGTCGATGTTGGCCAGGAACCTTTGTACATTGGCTGAGATGACCTTACAGATCCGACTTATTGCCAGAGTCCAGACTAGTTCTGACGATGATGCAGTCCTCGGTATGCTCCTCCTGCTCAGACTCCACCCGGGCGGCGGGGCGGGCCTGAGGGCCCGGGTTAGTGGGGACTCCGGTGCTCGAGTCGCCCGATCGGACCTCTGATCCTGGCCGTAGCCTTTTTGGCAGGCTGCTGGGGGGGCTCAGTGCGGGCCCGGAGAAGTGAGCCAGCGGTGGGAGTGGAGCCCTGAGGTGGGGGGCTCTGACGCCCTGTCCTCCGGGGCTTGTGGGGCATCGGGGAGGACCTCCTCGCCGCCTATTATTTGTTGGGTGGGGCCTCCGGAGCTGCCGGGGAGGAGCCTTCCTGATTAGGGGCGTTCTGTGGGGGCGGGGGCGGGGGAAGGCTGCTGCGTCTAACAGCTCGGTAAGCCACCTGGCCGGCCTTCCTGACGGCCTTCCTTTGGGAATCCGTCAGTTTCATGACCTTGCCCTGCCAGACTTTCGGCTTGACCAGGCAGTCTACGTGGCCTGGGCCCAAACAGTTCGGGCATTGGGGGAGGGGAATAACCACACCTGATTGGTTGATCCCACGAGCTCTTCCTCTAATTGTGACTCAATTTAAAGACCATCTCGCTAACAGCCGGAACAAAGGGGCCTGCCTGTTTTTGGCCTCCGACGCTTATCTTTTTGGGGCACTTCTGTTCCAATCTAAAAGGATTGGTATCGCATCCTTCAAGATTGGAACGGCCCAAACGGTTCCAAAACGGAGGGTACCTGTTAAGCGGCACAGTTAATTCTCGGTCCATAATTACAGGTCATGTGTGTGAGGTACAACTGAGGTACGTGCAGTCCGGCCTGCCCAGGCTGTTAATATATGCAAGAATTGTTTGATCATGCGATATTCTTTGCTGCGGCTCAAAACGATTGCACACAAGCAACCTAGAGGTTACCGGACTAGGCTTAGCTTTCCGCGTGCTTTCGTATTTCGCACAAAACCTATACATACCAAGGTAGCTGCCTGAACCCTTACCTAAATGAAACTTATCCCGGAGCCAACAGCCGCATGCGCCTACTGATTGGATCGACCGGAAACCTAAGCCCCACATTTGGCGGGAATCCCCGCAAAGTTTGGGGCCTTGCTGACAACAGGCACTCACTTCAACCATACATCATACAGTCCTCACTCCGAGGGCGGAGACTATAACGAGATTCCACCCTACTGGCACTCCACCACTGTTAAAAACAGCTGCATTTCAAGCACCATAATGGTCATCCAAACATTCGAATCACCAAGAAAACTCAACAAAACAACTTCCAGGTGGTTAGGATTAGTAATCAGGGCTGGTTTAGGTTTCAGGTGTGCGAACATAGATTTTCGTATTGCGTTGCGTTGTGAGTTATGTGTATTGGGGCGTACTTGCCAAGGGAACGGCGCAGCCCGGCTGCCAGAGTGTGACGGGATGGTGGCGAGCGGTCGGTTGACTGCAGGGCACGCAGGAGCGCGGCATGCCACTGCGGAACCTTGAAGCTACAGTTGCGCCCTGTAGAGACGAGAAGACCGACTGGCATCTCGTTTTGGCAAATTTCACATAGGAAATGGCCCATGTGAATTACCACAGGCGGGTTCCTTGCAGTTATCCACGCGGTGGCTTGAAGACTCTCGGCCCATACGTTCTCAAAAGCAGCTGAGATATCATTCTGAATTCCTTCACCAGAGCATCTGCTCCGAGAGCCAGATAAACATTCAACAAGTAAAACAAATTATGGCCTTAGTGTATAGTAATTCTAGCTATATGCTAAATCTTTTGACTTACTAGGAGCGTTGGTACAAGTAGACTACCTCTTCTACGTACATTTCAATCCAGAAGAGGATTAGGTGTATAAGGGTTCTATTCATCTACCCGTTCGTGCCTTGCTGCGTTCCTTCGGCCAGGGCCTTCTCGTCCTGGCTTCTCCATGCTTGCTATCTGGGCTCCCACATCGCTTTTCGTCCAATAATCCCTTTCTTTCGCTTTCGCTTCCGCTCTTCTATACCTAATTCCTCAACACTCCGCTAGATGGACCCAGAACCCCGATGCGTGTTCGAAGGTCTCATCCTTGCTGGATCAAACTTAACCCGGGGAACGGGACCCTTGTAACGATTATAGATGGAAATTATTCTTTGGTTTAGAAACCCATAGAAGTTTCTGGTTCGGCTTCTGGTGACTACATATCAAATCCAGTTAGCTTTACACATTCATTCCATCTCTTTCACTGTCTCGCGTTCTTTAAACACAGTGTGAAGTTTTTTTCCTTCATCTTCCTAAAGCTATATATTGGTTGAATATTCTCCCCTTTATCTCCCTCTGTCACATGGACACGGCAGTCCAAGGAGAAGAAATATCCCCGACAACCAGCACATGGAACACTGGCGACACAGGAGCTGAGAAGGGCAAAGGTATATTTGATTGGTAAAGCCCAGGAAATATAAGGGGGGCACCAAGTATGAGCTAGACAACCTTGCCACAGTGGAGAAAACCCCTGAAGACCGCAGAAGACGGCGAGGTACGCACAAGGACAAAGGAATCAGTGCGATTCCTTTGGTTGAGAGTTCAGTATCGACAACTAGACTTCGCTCCACCGACCCGCCCGTAGTGGATTCGGTGTGGAGTGAAGCGACGCTGCAACGTCCGGACTACGCCAGCGCGGAGAGTGATATCTGCAGCTGCACCTACCATGGCTGTTCCTATCGATTTGCAACACTCGCGTTGTTATATAAGCACAAGCGTGAGGAACACTGGCAAGCTTGAACACCAACTGGTAGTTGACCGTGCGATATGATCCAGCAGTTGCAACATCTCGTTCAAAGGACCCTCCGGATCTTCACGAGGCTGCTTGCCCGCGAGAAGGCTGAAAAGGATGCCGCTCCTTGTCCAGTAGATACTCAGGTGCAGGCCAGCTAGCCACCAGAGCGAGGGGTTCGGTATTGTCCTCCACACAGAAGTATGAGAAGAATTCTCTAGTCAGCAATATATATATATACATCAAACGTTCAACTACATCCGCTAGCGCGATAGCTCAATGCAACATCCCATATCTCATAAAGGTTATCAGTTAGCTCCGATTTGTAAGAGAGTCAAGAATTATATCCTAAGAACGATTAGTTGATGTTAATATAATCAAGCAGTTCTATGGTTATAATTAGAGCTATAACATACCAGTTTTTCAAAAATCCTTTCAAAATTTCTCTCAATTTGCTGTAGAGCATTTGCTTTGATCTAAGTAGTATCAATCGCTTGCTCTTCTAGAGATTGCGTGTCAACAAGAGGACCTTGGCTACGTAATGCGCGATGAGCAATAAGTTCAGCGGTTGTTACGTTATGAATATAACTTATAGTTGGTCTGGTCATAGACTCAGAGACTAGGGCTGATATCGCCCCCTGCCGTATAGCTTTTTCCTTATTATAAATGGCGCGTGTAAGTCGGACGAGCTCTCGTCCGCGCTCTCTATGGCCAGCAGGAACTGCAGGGGAGTTACTAAAACCAAGAATTCGATTAAGCGCCCACCATTCCATAACAGAGTTATGAACAGCGATAGGTAACTAAGGATGTTTAGCTTTGCTTTAATGAGTTTTAGCTATGCTATAACTTACAGGAACACACTTAGAAGTATGCCCATTTCTTGCACAATTGATACAGGCTTTAGCCTGCACTAGAGTTTAGAGCAGCGTTAGCTTTATATAATTAGCGGAATATATTAGAATACATACCATCAGTCTGCATGATACAACGATATCCAAGAGTTTTATATCCTCTAGTTAGGCAAGGCTTACAGGGCAAGAGCTTTTCAGCTTCGTTGTCGTTAGGCAGACCAGAAGCATTGCTTTCAGAAAGATGTGGGGTATGTGTTGCTCTATTTCCAGATCGGTAATGAGGTGAGATTGAAGCGGGAGGTTGATCACGCGCTGTAGTGTGTCCATGGCAAAATGATTCTTCATCTTGTAACGTTGAGTTGGGCAATGGTTGTTCGGTAGGCTGAGCGTGTACCGTAGTTTTTTCATGGCAAAGCGATTCTCCATCTTGTAACTCTGAGTTCGGTAATGGTTGTTCGGGAGGGTTGAAACTGAAATGCTCTGAGGTAAGTACGTTAGGCTGATCGGATAAGGAATTATGTTTAGGTTGAGTTATATAAGAAAACTTAGGAAGACGCTGAGATCTATTATTTATTTTTCTTACGTGATCCCGAGACCGGGGAGGTTGAGTTCGGGGAGGATGAGTTTGGGAGTACTGAGTTTTTCTTTTCTTCTATTTCTTATTAGCATTTAGTAAGTATATCACACTATATTCAAGAGAGTGAACTTACAGCATGTTCGATGCTAGCTATAGGGGGGCTATGATTGCGCTTTTTATGCCCTTTGCTTGCAGGGGTTGGCACAGTTTGAGAAACATGTGGAGCATGTGTTGCTTCATTTTCAGATTGGGGAGGAGGTGAGACTATAGTGGTAGGCTGATTGTGTGTTGTAGTTTGTCCGTGCGAAAATGATTCTCCATCTTGTGACACTGAGTTGGGCAATGGTTGTTCGGTAGGAGCGGTAGGCTGATCGTTTGCTGTAGTTTGTCCGTGGCAAGATTCTCTATCTTGTGACACTGAGTTGGGCAATGGTTGTTCGGGAGGGTTGAAACTAAAATGCTCTGGAACAGGCTGATCGGATGCAGGATTTTGTTCAGGTTGAGTTGTGAAAGAGTGAAGCTTAGGAAGACGCTGAAATATATTCTTATTTTTCTTTCTTACATGATGCCGAGATCGGGAAGGCTGAGTTTCGTAATGTCGAGTTTTTCTTTTTTCTATTCCTGTTTAGCATTTATTAAATATATATTACATTTAACAGAGTTAAACTTACTCCTTGTTCATTGTTGGTTAAAGGAAGGCTAGCAGTGCGTTTTTTAAGCCCTTTAGGTTTAGGTGCGAACAGAATTTGAGAATCATATGGAGCGTGTGTTTCTCTATTTTGATATCGGGGAAGAATTGAGACTGAAGCGTTGGGCTGACTGTGTACGTTATTTTGTCCATGGCATAAAGATTCTTCATCATGTAACGCTGCGTTCGGTAATGGTTGTTCGGTAGGTGCAGTAGGCTGGACGTGTACTGTTGGTTGACCATGGCAAAGCCATTCTCCTTGTGGCACTGAGTTGAACAATGGTTGTTCGGGAGGGTTGAAGTTAAAACGCTCTAAAGTAGGTGCGGTAGGCTGGTCGGATAATGAGTTTTGCTTAGGTTGAGTCATAGAAGAGGTAAAGTTAGGAAGACTCTGAGGT